AGAGTAAGATACTAAAACTGCGTGCACTACGTAGCATACCATACGTCCTTGTCCCCCTCATAATCAGCACCGTCTACCTTCGCTCGACAGCATCCACTTCGGCCTGCATCGTTCACGATCTCTCGACCTGCTACCGTATGCTCGCCATCTTCGCCGAACGCTACGAAGTGGTCGACTACTATCTCCAGCTCGTCGAAATGTGCGCCGCGATCGCGTACGATCGGCTGCTGCTTGAGAAAGTGCCCTACCCAGCGCCGTCGAATGGCTCGAGCCTGCGCAAACTGATGAGCACCGAAACCGACGACACGCCACTGCCGCCCATCAAGACCTACCTGGCGGCGCTGACGGCGCTGGAAAATTGTCTCGTTCGGGGCATCACGGATCCCGTGAAGTGCCGTCATGCCACATGAACCGGATGAAACGTGCCTTGGTGCGATGCCTAGGTGTATTTCGGACGGGGCTGCGTCTCCTCGTGCTCCTGATCTAGCCATGGTGATAATGATAATAACTATCCTCTACTTGCCCTCGTCTTCTCCTGCTTAACCTCCACTTTGATTCCCTCGGTTTGCTCCAATGACTGAGAAGGACCTCTTCTGTTCGAAGCTAATGATGATATAATACTTGACATTGAATTCTCACATGGTTCGCAGCAGTAGATCTTAATCTGCAAATCTTTGTCAAGGATAGGACGCCGCGGTAAACCTGCGCCTAGTGCTGTGATGGGGTTTGCAGGTCCAAATGGAGGTGTCAAACAACTGACGACGACACGATCGGACCAAACAGAATTCTGGAGAGCCGATCGTCAGCAACAGCAAAGCCCGAATTACTGGACGATGACCTGCAGGCCCTTGGACCCTTCCTTCTGGAAAGGCGAGAAGAAATCATGATACGGCTTGACATCGTCGTATTCGGTCTCAAAGATGCGCAGGTCGAACTTGTCCAACAGCGTCGCCGTCGTGATAAGGACCTCCAACTGCGCCAGATCCCTGCCGATACAGGCCCTCGATCCTTTGCCGAAGGGGGCATAGAAGCGCTCCGCCGTTGCTGCCGTGGAGGGGTCAAGCCACCGCTCGGGATCGAATTCGTGGGGACGTGGATGGCAGTTGGGGTCCATGTGCATGTCGGCAATGTTCATGCTGATGATGGTCCCCGGCGGAAAGGAGTGGTCCCGCCAGACTATGACGTTGTTTGGATCGTACCGGGGCAGGCGGCCAGAGACTTCGTTCCCGTACCTCAGGCACTCTTTCATACAGGCCCCCAGGTATGGGAGGCCGAGAAGGGTGGCCTTGGAGCTAATGTCAGCACCGTTCTGCTTTGCGGATTCAAGCTCCGCGACGAGTTTGCTTCTGATATCGGGCTTGGTCAAAATAAAGTAGAAAAGGGTTTCCAAGGTCGCTCCGGTGGTTTCGGACCCAGCGCCGACAATGGTGGTGGCTTCGGAGAAAAGGCGAGCGGGAGTTTTGTCGCTCTCGGGCAGATCAGAGTTGTGGATTCCGTGGAGGACCGTTTCCCTGTCATCTCCTTTGTCTGAGCCTACTACGATTCTCCTCGATTGTTCGTAATTGTACTGGCACTTGGAGTGAGTCATTCGCACACGAGAAGAAGAGGTCAAGCAGCTTACCATTTGAAACTTCATTAGCTGGATCATCCCTGGTGAAGCGATCCGGTGCATCAGCCACGAAGGAGTTGCCATCAGAACCGGGAAAATAAAGCGAAAGTGTCTGTTCCAAATTGCGACATGTGATAGCATCTGATTGACACTACTCAAGTCTTCACCCAGATCCGGTGACTCCAGCAGATGGAATCCATCCGGAAGCGCATACTGGCTGATGACATCTCTCGCCAGAGAACGGAATGCATTCCCGAGTCGGAGGGGTCGTCCACTGGCTTTGAATTCCTCCATGCGGTGAACTAGCTGCGTAATGTTCTTCTGAACCTGGATCTCGAGTGCGTTGAGAGCGGCGGGTGAGAAGAACTTGTTGAAGGCTTTCCGTCGCTGTCGATGCCCCAGAAAAGAGTCCGTCGCGAAGGCAGCATCCGGGCCATCCAAGAATCCGTAGTAGAATGGATCCTTGTTCAGTTTGGACGAGATGTTGTAGAACTTGTCGTAGTACTCCGAGTCTTTGATGTGGATTTCGTTTGGATTGATTCGCACCACCGGTCCTACGCCTAAATCAGAGACTCGTACCCAAAAGTGCCAGACGACCCTACCGTATTTCTCATGCAAGTCCTCGATATGGAAACAGTACTTGCCGCCCAACCAGGCATCATAGTAGAATTCATAGAGATACAAAATGGCGGCTAGCCGCGGCCCTGGTATCTTCGCCAAAGGGTGGAAGAAGCAGCGTTGAACAGTGAGATGTAGAGCCCGAAGGATAAGTGCTAGCACTATAGCGACGAGGCCAGTAGTCCATGAAACAGGGACCAAGTCAGTTGGAAAGGTCATCATTGTTGTGTTCAGCCAGGCTTTTGCAATGCAGATTGTTACCGCCCTATAGTCACCGAGGGAGGTTCGACTCCGATCAATGCTTTTATTTTGAAAAGGGATGACCTCTCCCAGCCTAATCAGTCCCTCCAGAAAGCGCACAAAGTGTGAGATCCCGCGGTACTACTTGAGTCGTTGTAACCCGACGACTCCTCGGATGCGCTCTCCGAAGGATTTGCCGTGGTCCAGTCGTCCAACCCCTGAGCTTTGGTCCATCGAATCGAAGTGCCACTTAGCATGTCTACATGGCTCTCCTACTGCATCTCATCATCTACAGCTCTTGACCTTATGGTTACTAGGAGGCAGTCATAGAAGACGCGAAGTCCGTCATATCAACTCCCACTACGATCCACGCGAGATATGCCTTACAATTCAAATAACTTGAGTCAAATATGTTATGGACTTGATGAGGCGGCCGTTTGTAATCTCGTAACGACAATGTAGCCTTGCGGTCAGAAGCCCAAAAGTCCCATTCGCAGACTGGAGGGAGGGCCCGGGGAACGGGCTTTCCCCCACCAAAACCCCGGTGTTTTCGTATCCTGCCTATGCTCGACTCCGCTGCGCATCATGGACTAACGGCCCTGCGACACGCCATACATTAACCGCACTTACCCTTGCAGGCATACCGAGAGCTCAAGCGAGACAGGCCAGATATACCGAAGAGGCATAGAGAAGCATAATATCTTACCAGAAGAAAATTGTACTTGAGATAAGCGTAGATTATCACTATATATTTTTTAAATCAACTTCTACAATAGTGCCAAACAAGGAGAGATCTGACCAAACTCCTGAACAGGGCCAGGGGTTAGAAAGCCTTGCCGATCCAGATGACGGTGTCTCGGTTGGTATTCAAGGGAGGAAGCCAGAGTAAACCTCTGACATCTAGGCAGTCTCGAGCGAAGCTCACGAATACGCAACAGGCAGTAACAACACTATGGAGACTGAGGATAAGGGGAACACTGTATTATGTACGAACAGCTTCGGAAAAGGTACAAGACTTCTCAGAGGGTCATAGGGTACCAAGCAAGGCACTATGCTGCCTAGACTTGCTACAAGTCTCCCAAAGCCCTCCAAACGGACTTCGATACGGATTACTGAAGCGTTACCACTTACTTTGCTACAATTTACACCAAGATGGGCAAGATATACTTGTGACCTGTCCGACCACAAGGCCGGAGAGATACCAGTCCATGCTGGTTTGTGGGCTTCTCAGAGTACGGCATGCTCGGCTCAACAACCGCGGGTTGCATTGGCGATCCTAGGTAATTTGGAGCAGCACAATTTGTATTATATTCAAGCCAGAGTTACTCCGTACAAGCAGCTCAGACATAGAGACCGTTGGCGGCTAAGTCACGTGCTAGATGAGTATTGGCATCTCTATCACCCTCTGCCTCATAGCACTTGCCTGTTTTCCATTTTGCTTTGCATCCTTCATAGATCATAGAGAATGATATCAATCCACCAAGTCTGTCAGTTCATCAGAAACAGCGTCTTTAACTCGGTCATGCATGCTGGAAACGAACCAACAAGATTCTAGCTATGCTCCATGATGACGAGGTGGTTGGCTGCACTCGCAAGCTTTATTGCAGTCTTTGTTCTCTAAAAGGTACGAGGCTACGCACCTGAGCCGTCCAATGTACCTGTCTCACTAAGGACAGATCGTATGCGACATTCTATGGTCACCTCTGCGCGAGATCCCCGGACCTTTCCTGGCACGAGTGGCGACATGGTTCTTACGGGTTGTGTATATCTCTACAGCCACACTCAACGAACTCTACAGACAGTATGGGCATATTGTTCGGGCTGGACCCAACGACATAACCCTGTCAGGTGTTTTCAGTGTCAAGGAACTCTACGACAACAAACTGCTTTCACCAAAGTACCTATATATGAATTTCTGATTTTGCCTCCCAACGCTGTGTTTAGCATGAGAGAGATGAGCAAGACCACAGTCAGAGGAGTATATCACTGAGCCATGCATTCTCTCAATCAAACTTGGTTGAAGCTGAACTTTTGATCGCGAACCAGCTGCAAAAGCTCATTGATGTACTGGAGGCCAAGGAGGTCAAGCCTATTGATAGGTCGAAGTTATTTCGACTGGCTTTTTTTGACATTGTTGGTAAAGAAATTGCATCTTTTCATCTGCTAATGATAGCTATGAGAGCTCTTCTTGGGCCAATCCTTTCGCGGGTCGGACGAGGGAGACACACCCCAGTTTCTGACCGATGTTGAGCTATTCTTTGTTCTGGCGGACTTGAAATTCCATGACCCCTTCATCGCAAAGGTGCTCTCATGGACACCTTATCAGTATATCTCCCTCGCCGTGTATATCATATGCATCCTAAAAGTCTTGTCAGACAGTCGATAGATACATACGTACGCAAAGAATCTCCTCCAAGGTTACCATCAACATTGATGTCCATTTCCCCCAGGACACGAAAAACAAACTTGGCCCAAAGTACGAGCCATATGTCATTGCGTCAAGGAGAATTTCTATTGGGGCATTTTACATACCATGCCAGAACAATCGGTGGCTACCCGCGTCGTGGTCAGTCTGGTGAGAGACAAAATCACCGGCGAGGACGAAAATGGACCACCAGACCTGTCAACCACTTTGACAACCACAATGTCGACCTTCTTGTCGCAGCAATCAATAATCGCTAAAGCTGAACCATCCGTCCGCTCTCGACCGGTGACATCGCGCACCATCACGGCACCCCCTGCAACTACGGCAAGCGCTCCAGTGGCAGCGAAGAAACCGCCAGCTTCAGACAAAGCGGGAAGCGAAACAGGCATAACGTCGACCGTACTGACAATATGTCCTCTGACTGCGAAGATTTCTCTCGCTTCTATCAGCGAGAGTAAATTGAAAATACTCAGGCCAGATCATGCGCCTTGTATTGTCCCTTGCAAAGATCCGTAAATCGGAAAAATCTCGCAACAACACACATCGCTATTTGTTATATATATTGTAATTTATATTGTAGCCACAATAGCGCTCGAATCTATAGAATATATCTACAATTATGTAAAACTAGGGTATAAATCTTAAATTGTTTCGTATCATTCAATTCTCTTCGCGCCGCTATAACCACAAGAATGTAATTGCACAATTTGGTACATCTCGGAAGACAGTCTGAACTTCCGTGAGAGACGTATTCGGGAATCAAATCAAATCACAAGACCGCCAATCCCACATTTGCTCCCCCGGATGCTCGGGCTTTCGGACCAGAGGAGTGCTTACGAGAGCGACAACGAGTTTTGTGTACGTGTACTGTAGTCATTCGAGAGAGTGATTCTCTAGTAAGCGGTGTTTCGAGGAACTGCATAAAATTTCCCAAGCCGTAAGTATGCGGGATATATAAAGACTATGTATACCTAGTATTCGCCCTTTCGTACCTCTGTTTCCATCCCAACTTCACCAAGGGGACCCTACAGAGTATTTGGCACTTCTTAATAATTCAACCAATACAATGATGTTCCTTACTTGTCTCCTCCTGCCCGTCCTGCCGGTCTCGACCCAAGTCAGACACTCCCTACGATTCTTCAGACCAAAGGGAAACGATTAAAATGAGTGGTGGTGAAATGTTTCTTAAGATGCCAAGATGGTGCGGGTTTCAACAAAGGAGGTGGGAGACTTACGAGGTATGGAAAACTACCTAGGTGTGTATTTCCTGGTTTGAACTCACTTTGTGGATGTTGACTGAATTGAGAGATTAACAAAAACTAGTGATGGAGAAATTTTTGCTTCTCAAGACTTCTATACAAACATGATTGATCGATCGCATGGCTGGCACCACACACACGCAGACAACATCCCCGAATGTCATCAACTCGAGTCCACCACAACTTGTTTCTTCTTTTCCAGAGTGGCGCATCGAGAGATTGAGAATATATGGATATGCTTTGAAGAGAGAGGATGGATTGTAACTGCGGGTTCGGTCTGAGCACAATTTTGTTTCTGGTTTCTTGGTTCTTTACTTCTGATCACCTGCTGGTACATAAGCATTGACAAGCATTTGAGGATTTTTTTTCATATACATCCAGTATTCCCAAGGACAATGACTGGTACTTATATCTTCGTCAGCAGCCTGTTCCTTGTGGCGTATTAAATACCAGATCTTGGACACTTCTGCCGGCGCAAGCAAGCTCTCAATGATAATGGCCAAAGGTTCTCCAGCCAACCAACAAGGCTTCATTATTCCGGGATGCCGCGTCATCGGGAACGAAACCCCGCAAAACAACTTCCTACTCAGTGAGAGGAAGAACGTACAGTCATCATCATACGGCTCCATGAACTTACTTCGCTAGGTGCAGTGATTCCAAAGTAGAGGTTGACGCTATCTTCACCCCAGCCTTCTTTGATCGACCTTCCTTGTTCACGAGGCCGCCAGATGGATCTCAAATAGGAAATGCAAAGTAGCGTTGGTGACTGGAGGGGAATTACTTTGCACCTTGTACGAGGGTCATCCCCAAATGTGGCCTAAGTGGCAGGACTTGTGTAGTAACTAACATCCAACATCAGTAGCGATATCACAGGCGGACCTTGGGAAGAGGGAGGTAGGAAGAGATGAAAGAAGGATCAAGTAGACAACTCGCGCCGGAGTATCTATCTTCCGAACACCGAGTATAGTAATCCGGGTACGGATACGGAGTATAGAAGAGCCAATTGGATTTGTGCAGAGCGTCCTCGCCAGTCATATCCGCGGCTTCGCTTGACGATATGTGCACTTGATCCACGAGGGTCATTGATTGAATCGTTCCATACTGTAGTTACGAAACTTCACCTACAAACATGCGTCGCCTCTTGGAGCCCACCGCAACGCGTCTCCCGCAGTTGGACAGACCCATAGACTCGATGCACCGTACTATTCTAAGCGTCTTCCATCTCAAACTCACGAATTAATGCCAACTCGCTAACTACATCTCTGGGGGTTCACAAGCCTTTTTTGATACAACGCCCTTCTCGCGAAATGAACATGTCCGTTGTGTGAAGGCTCATCATGTCAAGTAGAAAATGCTGCGCCAAAAACTGACATCGAGCCAGCCTCAGTCATTTCCCGGGCCAGATTCCATGTCATACCCATCACAATTGTCATCCGAACATCACACTCGAGGTCTTGCTTGGATCTTTGTTCGCGACTCCTCACGGAAAAGCTTTGGACACCACTGCATACCGTATAGTCGAAATTACTCCTGAGTTTGATCTTCCTGAGAACCTCCATCATCCTAGAGAGCACCAGGCCGAGAAATACAAAGCTTGTAGTGGTATACTAAGAAGTGACATCCACTCCAAATAGATTAGTAATGGTGTTGCAGAGGCATACGGCGTACGGAGTACATAAATGGTGATTTCATCTGTGAAAGGGGATTTTGGCGTGTTTACAGTACTCCGATTAGAGCGTTTTGGGCTGTATGGTAAATAAAAGTCCTAATTAGTGGTCGGACTGTAGTTCAAAGACCCCGCGCAGTTTGTCCCGCCTTTAGCGTCCGCATCTCGCAGTGTTGCTCAGGAACCCGAGGGAGCTTTGGGGGCTTTGGGACGCCCCGAGTGGCTTGCTTGAAATCACACTTCGCTAAATATAGACCCGGAGTAGTTCTGATCTTTGGGTGGTGCAATAGTCACCTAAAACACGGAGTACCTAGGTAAGTACAGTGTACAGTACTCCGTAGGAACTAAAGTTCCCAAGATAGGAGGCGGTGTGCGACAGAAAATCACACCCAAGACCAAACAATTTATGGACTATCTGCGCACTCTCCTGACCCCTCCATTCTCCTTCTCGACTCTTATACTTCATCACTCTCGCCCTCTCTCCTCTTTGTGTCCTGTCTAAGATCTAAATCAACTTCATCATGGCCTCCGACAAGCTGATCTCATATGAAGGTGCGTCCCCATGCCTCATGCGGCGCAAAAGGCGCCTGCAGCCTAGAGAACCACAAACACTGACAACGGCGCAGACTACCAAGGCTGTCTCACTGCCTACTTTGAGTGGGCGGAGAGCTATGACTCCAAGGCAAGTAGTCCTACCAAGTCGGCGTGGAACAATTCCAACAATGACAATGCTAACATCTCTCGTTCTGATCAGGACTGGGAACGCCTGCGAAAAATCGTCGCACCCACCGTCCGCATTGACTACCGCTCTTTCTTGAACAAACTCTGGGAGGCCATGCCTGCCGACGACTTTATCAAGATGATCTCCGACCCCAAGGTCCTCGGCGACCCTCTCCTCATGACTCAACATTTCTGCGGTGCCTCCAAGTGGGAAAAGGTCAGCGACACCGAGATCATCGGCCACCACCAACTCCGCGTCCCCCACCAGAAGTACACCGACGCCTCGCGCACAAAGGTCAAGGTCAAGGGTCACGCCCACTCGTACAACATGCACTGGTACAAGAAGGTGGATGGCGTCTGGAAGTTCGCCGGTCTCAACCCAGACATCAGATGGGGCGAGTACGACTTTGACAAGGTCTTTGCTGAAGGCCGCGAAGAGCTCGGCGAGGAAGAGGCCAAGAAGGTGGCACAGGAAGCCCAGGGCATTCCAGCTGCGTAGAGTGGCAGAGGAACCTGGTTAACTGGCATACGACTAGACCGAGTGCAAGGGAGTCAACTGGACAGGCCGCGACCAAAGGTAAAGGCTGGACTTTGATAATCCAAGGATTTAATGAATACGAAGAATTACAAGGTCTCGCAAATGCTCACTCTATCGTCTTCTCAATGTGGCCAAGCTCCCATACAGACTGATATTAGGGGCCAGATGTCCTCGATTGGCCGTGAATGAGGGTACTAGATTTGTCTCAGAGAAGAAGATGTGAGCTGGACTGGCGACATGAGTTACGTGTAGTAGATGTTTCTTGAGCCAGTCCTTGCATGCCACTACTCTACTGGTACCCTGCACTCTGCGTTGATATTTCTTCCACAAGCCGAAAGTCGCCTGGTGAAGCCGTGTGGTCACGTGTAAGCACAAAGCCTCATGGATCACTTGTGTTTCCTTTCGCTCGCCTCTTTCCGCGTCTTTCAACTGACGCCCAGTATGATTCGATGTCCTTTATGAATTAACGGATTAAGCAGTGTATCTCGCAGAAGCCCTTGTCTGTTTTCAGGATATCGATATATGAGTGCCCCACGTTCTATCGGCACTTCTTTTTCTCCCGCCACAGCAGCTTGAGGATGGCTATTTCATTGACACCAGCTTGGCGAGCACCAGGAGTGGGTGATACAATCCAAGTCCAAGAAGACTAGCTCCAAAGCTCGCCTGGTCTGCGATTTAACCCATGCTTCTACTCTCTCCACTGTATATACGAACACGAGCTGCTATCCTTATATGCCGATAGGGGAAGATATCTTGAAGTATGTCACTGATTCCTAGCTATGTACCGAACACAGATCAGATCAGAGCTCCCAAATCAAAGTATCGTGAGCCCCTTCCACCAAATCCCCACTACAGTTAATCTGTTTTTCAATCCACGTTTGCTGGCCCGAGGTAGAGCATACGCCAAGGTCCCTTGAGTACGGGGCCTCTCCTGAAGCATTCGCACAAACCCGCCCTTGGCACCGATCGCCCCCTTGCGTATCTACTCGTTCTGGTTGGATCCTTGTGGCTTTCCAAGACTTTAACATCTCTTGGGATGAGGTGAGTGTCCCCGAAATGAATCTCTTCAACATATGCCGGGGCCCCAGACTCCGTTTCCAATGTGGGATCGGCAAATGGTACGAGTCATGCTTGGGCGACAATGTTTGATATCCCGCTTGTGGTTATAACCCACGCCGATGGGTTTGAAAAAGCATTAAATGACCATTTCGTCAGTCTTCTCGCTTCTTGTCTATGTGCTTCTAGAGTTTTGGTCTGCTTGAGAAATTTCCCCATAGAAATCGCACGTGGAAGGGGTTTGGGTCTTTGGACAATCGCAACAAAGACGACAAGATGCTTGACACGAAAGAATCTAGCCTCTGGACAAACCGGAAATGTCTCTTCATTTGCTGCGTCGTGGCCATTTCGAACATGCAATATGGCTTTGATACTGCCGCTGTGGGAGGCTTGCAAGGTAAGTAATGTCATGAGACACACGGAAACTTCTCTACACCAAAGTAGCTAATGCCGTCTCTTCTCAGCCATGCCTGGCTTTCTCAAAGTGTTTGGCTATCCCAGTGAGCAAAGCCCGAATGGGTACGCCATTGATGTAAGTACCTCGACGATCAATGCACACAAGCATCCAGTCTTCTGACCTGCCGAAAAAACATAGTCGACATTCCAACAGCTGATTAGCTCGCTTCTGACCCTCGGATCCTTCATCTCGGCCCTGTTAGCTGGCGTCTTTGGAGCGTACTTTGGGCGCAAGACTGGTATCTGGGCTGCGTGCGCCCTGAACGCGGTGGCTGTTGCCATTCAGATCGCCACCACGTCCAAAGGAGCTATATATTTCGGCCGACTCCTGCTTGGCCTGGCCAACGGGTTCTTGGTTACCTTCTCCAACGTCTACACCTCGGAGGCAGCCCCTGCCCATCAGAGAGGAATCATCGTCGGACTGTTTGCGTGGTGGGTCAATATCGGCTCTATTCTCGGAGCGACGGTCAACAATTCCACGAAAGTGAGATTGGACAAGTCGTCTTACCAGATACCACTTGGGTGCTTGTACATTGTGCCTACCATCTTGGCCGTGGGCTTGTTCTTCATCCCGGAAAGCCCCAGGTTCCTGCTACATCAAGGCAAAGAAGCCGAGGCGAAGAAGTCGTTGGTGTACCTACGCGGGTCAGCTCTCACCCAGGAGGAGCTGGAGTTCGAATGGGCCGAGATGCTCCGTGGCTTTGAAGAGGAAAAGAAGAATGCAAAGAGTGTTGCATGGATGGATATGTTCAGGGGTAAGTACCAGTCCCACAATTTGCTGTCCTGATCAATCCCTCTCCTGACTATTCATAGGCGCTGACCTGCGCCGCACACTCCTCTGTTATGGCATGATCGGATGCCAGAGCGCATCGGGGATATGGTTCTTGATCGCCTACCAGACGTATTTCCTCCTTCAAGGCGGTGTCACGAAGGCTTTTGAATATACAATCATGACCAGCTGTATTGGCTTCATCGGTGTGGTAAGTCGCACACTAACGCATCGTCAGGTGCCATCCCATCTCCCCCGTTACTGACAGGTTCATAGAACGTGGGAATGTACACGATGAGACACCTGGTCGGTCGACGAAGTATCCTCATGATCGGGGCCGCGGCATGTTGTCTCTGCCAACTCGCGCCCGCCATCGCCGCGAGCACCACCAACGACCTCAAACTCCGCGCCAACATCCTGACCGCCTTCATCGCCTTGTTCAAATTCTTTTACAATGGGGGAGTGGGCGTTGCATCGTACCCAGTCGCCACTGAAGTTGTCAGTACCCGATTGAGAGCCTGGACTGTGGGAAGCTCGACCGCCATTGGGTATTTGCTAGCCTGGCTCGTGAGCTTTTGTTCTCCGTATTTTATCAACCCGGCTGAACTTGGTTTGGTAAGTCACCTTTCCATCCCCGAGGATGTACTAGACACGCACCACCCGGGTCACTTTGGATCAAGCAGACTCGAAAGATACTATTGGTAGTCGATGTGTTGCTGACTTTTTTTCGGGTTCTGGATAGGGCGCCAAGTACGGCTACGTCTGGGCAGCTTCCAACTTTGTCTGCGTCGTGTGGGTGTTTTTCTTCATGCCAGAAATGAAAGGACGTTCTCTCGAAGAACTCGACGAGATGTTCATCAACCGTGTCTCTGTCCGCAATTTCCCCAGGTACGAATGTGCTCTGCGCCAGGATGCCGCGAACGACGTATACGTCTTGCATGACGACGGATTGAAAATGAGGCATATTGGCGCAACGCATTCCGAGGAAGTTGAAGGTCAGAAGACCTGAGGACTCAAAGAAAATACTACGCCGTGGCTCGTTCTCTTCATCTTCGTGAGGGCCATCAAAGTATCATCCGGTGTCTAGGATAGAAGTCTATGAAGAAATTCATTTCACCATCACAGCTGATTCTGTCGTTGTATCTAGTACCGACTCCGATCCGGGAATGCCCATGATGGTGGTAGCCTCTCTGATATCGAATATCACGCTTTCTCTTTCGACTTGTCTCGCATCGTCATCCTCGACGACATTGTTACCCATTTCATTCTCGAGGACTTTTGCAAACGTGGCTTCGACATCGTGTTCCGTCAGCCAAGTCATGTTCGGTCTGTTGTTCATTTTCTCTCTCAACTCCTCGTCGGTACTAGGCACGACGGCCGCCGCCTTGGTCGCCAGGACACTCTCCACGAGACGCGTCGTGTGAGGCCTTCGGGTATTTTCGTAGAGGGTGAATGCACGCTCGAATTCCTCGCTTCCAAACGTTTTGTCTGACTCGTCGTCGTCGTCGTCGTCGATCGTGCTCGAGCTCAAAACGTGTTTGAGGCTGAGATACAACGCCCACGCGTCGTCCAAAGCCAGAGACCCTCCCGCGGCGTGGGCGCCTCCGTGGGTGTGAGCGGCGTCGCCCACCAGCGTCACCCGCTTTTCGAAAACCCAAGACTCCAACGGCTCTCCGGCTAGGTTGGGATACATGCGGACGTGAGGGGTGGCATCGGCGAGCGCCTTCACCACTGGGTTCCAGTCGGCGTACAAGTCCCTGAAGAAGTTCACGTCGCCTTCTTGGTCCCATCGAAACTCTCCGTGGCCTCGTCGTCCGGGCAAATCCTCGGGATCATAATTGCCGACGGTCGTGTACATGTTCCTTCCCAACCGGGAGGCGAAGAAGGTGTACCTCGGACCCCACCAGTGTGCAGAGTCAGCTGGCAAATTGGGGATGTCTCTGATCAGGGAAGCGTCGAACGTCGACCGGATCCAGGTGCGACCCGTGTGGTGTAGCGTGTGCCCCGGTACAAACGTCCTCCGGACCTTGGACCTCAGACCGTCGGCACCGATGAGTACGTCTCCGGTCGCACTCGTACCGTCCTGGAAGAGTAGCGTCACAGTGCCACCGCCACCGCCGCCGCCGCCTCCCACACCGTTTGCGGCATCGTCGTCACGGACGACGACGGATTCGACGGCCTTGCGTAGGTGGATGGTCTCTCGCGGTACGTGACCGAGAAGGGTGGAGTGCAAATGACCCCTGTGGAAACGCGCCGTCTGGTGTTTGCGGTCCGGCACGTCCACGAACCGGTCGGCGCTCACCACCTCGTTGGTCTTCCAGTGGTGGTAGATCATGGGCAAGGCGGCGGGGCCCCGGTAACTGACGTCGTCCGCGAGGGCGTCGTCCACACCCAGGCGCTCCAACGTCCGCAGACCGTTGGGGCTCAGGGCGATACTGGCTCCTATCTCCCTCAACTCCGTGGCCTTGTCGTACAGCTGGACGTCGAAATGCAGGCCGGGCGTGTCGGTGGCGAGGCGACCAAGGGCAATGGCCGTGGAGAGTCCCGCAATACCTGCACCGGCGATGAGGACCTTGATCTCCTTCCGAGTATCATCATTGGACATTTTTTTCCCGGGTGTCTTTTTTGTGTTTGTTTATGTACAGAGTCGGAAGAAAGGTCCAAATCGAATTTAAAAAGTGGTCGTTATTATATCATGGTTGCAGAAAAACCCCCCCGTTGTACTCCGTAACAAAAAAGGTATATGTCGTGGTGTGCGCTTCTTCAAAAGGACGTATTGTACTGTAGTGGTTTGAAGATGACTTGAAATCGAGGTTACTCGTGGTCAGGGTTCGGACTCGTTAGAAAGATTGGTCGATTTACCTTTTAAAGGCTTGTTGGGATGTGCTGGAGATAACCGCACGGACAAGCGAGCGGCATATGACTTGTTTTTACCGCCCTTATCGGAGAGAGCGGTGATTCAAGTGCGTACTATTCCTTGAACTGACCTAGGTACCTAACGAGCAATCCTCGGCGTTGACTTCCTCCCGCCATAGTTCGAGACAAGTTTGGTCAACCCACGCCCAACGAACAGCATGACAAGTCAGCCTATCACGTGTCAGGCTGGAGTTCCCCCTTTTACCCCCTCCCCAGACCGACCAATTACATGGTGCTCTGTGTAAACAGTAACCTACATTATGATTTTAGGTAGCTTTATCCCTGTCAACGAGTACCATAGCAATTGTAGAGTATTGATGAAAGTCAAAAAGTGCTCTCGTAGGAGAAATATTAGTAGTACTATGGTATCTACAGTACATCCACACGACTGCCAGCCTGCAAAGACAACATCTCTGCTCCATTCCCAACCACTACAGCCATTTCAAGTGCAATTGAAACTCCAATCCACAGAAACCCGACAATATCAGCCGCCAATCCATCCCATTCTATTAAAAAGATTTTTCGCTGCCGTGCTCTCAAACAACTCTTCTTTCGCCTCCGTTGTCCGAGAATGCAATATGCCTTATTGCTTAGCTTGTCATGTTTTATCATCATACATAAATCCAGTCGTCATTCCCATTCAGTAGTCCTGGTAGTGATCCAAGTTCTGGGTTGATCCGTAACCACTGACAGGTCGACTTGGTTGTGGGACCCAATTCCCAGTAGCCTGGGCTCGTCGTTCTATACAAGAGTCAGTCATGCGTGATCAGAAAACTGGGGTATGAAAACAGCCTCACCTCTCTCGAAATCTGCCCATCTCTTCATGGTGATCTTGGTACTATCAAATTCACCTTCGTACTCCAGACCGGCTTTCTTGGTCTTCTCGCCTGCCGTCTTTCGTGTGTCACCCCAGCTGAAGTCGTCAAACTTCCAATAAGCGTAGGTTGGTAACACAAAGTTCCAAATTGGCAATGAACCCAGGTAGATCACCATCCATAGGATATATGACCAACGATGTGCCGTCAGAACAATCAAAACTGCCGGGAGACCGAGGATAAGAGCAAGCAGGACGAGAGGAATGACTGGCACTGGTTTCCTCACAATCGAGATGATAATCAGATAGACGGTGAATGCAATGGCAGCTGGCAGGACCAATGTACCGATGAGTTCGATTCCAACCACAAATTGCATGCTGAAACAGAATGTACCGCACAGATCTCGAACCAGGACGAGTTCCATCAAATTGTGCACCGTACTGTTGATCCATCTTCGTCGTTGGGAGAGCAAAACTTTGAATTCATCGGGAACTTGGGTTTTGCAGACAGCCTGGGGAACAAAGACTTGTTTGCGTTTGGGGAATGTCTTCAGCATCAACGTCGAAAGGTAACGATCTTCACCAAGAAGCAACAAGTTCTTCTTATGCAGAGTGTCCACCACATTTTCTGAATAATGCTCCACGATGTCGGGATTGGCCAAGATGGGAACCCAGTAGTTCTGGCCGCCCTTGGGGGATTTGATCCGGTACATACAGAAACATCCGGGCAGACAAGTGACACCACCAAAGACTGATTCGAAAGACTTGGATAAATGATGCGAGATGAAGTATTCAAAGACCTGAATACGTGTAACCCAAGACTGATTCTTGTTGGAAATCTTGGTCTCGCCACAAAGACCCATGATCTCGGGATCCTTGACCATGGCTGAGATCATATGGGTGAGACTGTCAGGGAATACCTTCGTATCGGCATCGACCATGAGAACCGTTTCGTAAAAGTCGGGAGACATGCCAGTGACTTTCCAGAGACCGTTGAACATTTCGTATTCCAGTTCGGTCATTCTTTCATCAAACATGACCTTTTGCAAGAACGACATCAAGATGATCTGACTGTCTCGCTTGCCTCGGTTGCCAGGTTTGCTTTTGGTGGCTTCGTCGGGTGTTCCGCATTTCACAACCATCATCATCGGCACGCGTTGCTGCTTATTTGGCGCGATTCTAGATTCCGGACCATAGTCATAAAATCCGGCATATACCTTGGCCATATTGTGCCGTTTGGAGCCACTGGCCACTGCAACATACGAGAACGCCTGAACATCTTCGGAGGCAATGACAAAATCACCCATCATTCCAAGGACAATATCGGGAGTGGATAAACTTTCTCCTTTGCCTTTAATGAGACCGTCGCAAATAACGAGAATCGCTTTATGGCTGTTGGGATAGTCGGTTGTCGCGATGGAGTCCAGTGTCGTGCGAATGCCTTCCTCACCTTCGGAATACGCAGTCACCAGGCAGAGGGTGTGAGCAAGCGGGTACCCAAAAGGCTGCCATTCGGGCGGTGGTTGCGGAACGACGTTATCGTGAATGAAACCTTCGGGTCCATTGGCCCCGAGATTGTCCATTGTGACTGAATAACGTGATTCGTGACCGGATAGGAGCAAGCTGGATCTACTGGCGCCGACGCTCATGCGGGTCGCTAGGTCCAGCGTATTTTGACTGGTGTTATAGCCGCTCCTGTACAAACTGCCACCCGGTTGGGTCAGTTTAGCCTGTGAGGACTGACTGGTCATGGTGGTTGGAGGAGCTCGATTGGCCTTCGCAACGCGTTCGACAGCGTAGGGGCTGGTAAAACGTGATGTTTGTGGGAACAGCATACTTCCACGTTTGCTGGTTCTGCCATCAGAACCCGATATGGTAGTCGCAGGATCCATAAGTTTCGGTGCAGGTTTGTAGATATCGTCAGTCCAAGCTTCGATCTGCTCGGCTCGCTTCTTGGGATCCATCGTCTGAGACGTTTTTGGGGCCCCGTACTTTCGGGCCAAGAACCACTGGAAGGCCAGGGCAAGAAAGAACTTTGCAAGGACAATGGACAGGATGAAGGCCAGTGAGACGTACAAGACGACTTTGGAAGCGATGCATCCCACTGATTCTGTATCAATCGAGCCCACCTTGGCAATTTGACTGAGGCATTTGCCTACTTTCTTGTCACTACCAGACTGCAAAACATGTGTAATATCCATTCCACGAATCTGATCATTTTTGCGCATGTCGTCAAATTGAGAAGGCCAGGCAACTTGGCTGGCATTAAACCACTGGAGAAGGTCCAAGTCAATGACTGAACCAGAGTAGACAACAAGATTCCGACTCTTGTTTTTGACATCATCCCAGGTGAAGAACACTTCTCCAGATTTTTTGAGACCATGAAAGAAGGTATCGCGTCCTTTTGAGGTAGTGTGGCAGGCATAGCCCAGATAATAAGGCACAGTGGTGTTTACGGGCGAGGAACCATCCTGATTGAAAGCTGTACACGGAAAATACCAGGCCAAGTCCCCGTCAGAGTCTGTAGGGACATCTGATCCGGGGGCAAGTGTAATGAGCCCTTTGCAATCTCCGTTGACTTTCTGAAACATAAAACTTCCATCTTGCCCTCCATACTTATGCGGGAGGTCATACAGAACGTTGCTGTCCAATGGTATTCCCAGAGCCGCAGGATGTTGCGAGCGAGACAGATCATAAGCATTGCCATGAAAGATCATGTACCCTCTATCGACATGATTGATCTTGAGCCGGAGTCCAGGTTGTCCACATACTGCTTGGGTGAAGCCGAAGGTCAGAAATCCAACAAACCCAGCAATGAGGAGAATAATGCTGATCAGGCCGCACTTCTCTCTCCAGGCTCTTCTCTGGGCACGGGCTGGCATACCGAAGCATTGTAGGATGAAATCGGGGGCCCAGAATGTGATTATTGCACAATACACGTTCCATATGCTTGGAGGTTTGATCTTGTCTAGCTCCTTTTTCCGGAGTTTCTCCTCTTCGGTGATGTTACGTGTGTCTTTCCTGACCAACTTGCGCGGTTGATGCTTCTTGCCCACCGGCTCCAACTTTCCTGGCACATGGGCTTTCCGTTGCTGGGCAGGAGTGAAATCATCGTCCAATACGGTTTTCTGATTACTGCTGTCCGAACTGACAGTGCGTCTTTCGGCCAGATCTTCGATAGCTGGGTCGTTGCCCGTTGTCGAGGGGAAGACTTCCATGTTCTGAGCATGTTGACGGTAATAGTAATTAGGATGGTCTCTATCAATTCTGTTTCGTTCAGGGCGAATGAGAGATTTCTTGCGGCCAAGCTCGCTTTGGGTCATATTGGCCATGATAGGCTCCCAGTCGGCTACTCGAGAGCCGGGTGAAGGAGGGTCGTGCTCGGGGCCGGCTCGTTGACTCGAGTAAGGGCGGTTGTGAGGTGAATTGTATCCACCAGTCTCGATATCTCTCAATCGTCTGGAGGGAGAGTCTCGGTAAGGTGAGTGAGATTTTTCGCGCGTAGGCGAACTCGCAGGCCAGGGCCTGCGCGGGTCCGACATCGTCTACGGGAGGAATGTGAGCGCTGGGTATGTGCAAACAACAATGGTATTGTCACGTACGCTTCGATATGTCAATTACCGTCCGATCATTGGTATCTGCAACTCGTTTTCTTTTCAAAATTTATTTCTGTGACGACAGCGCCTGCGCCGTCCCTTCAACCAAGGTAAACTCAACGAGAGTCGATGGTGGTCTGTATACTGTCTGGCGTTTGTTCTATCGCCTGCAAATGCCAACTATGCGATTGAAAGAGCCTTGGACACAGGCAGGATGTAGGATGGATAGGACAACGTGCAGTGTGCAGTGTGGTGACCGTCACCGAGGGTGAAACAAACAGTGGTTGCGTTTGTTGGCCACGGTCGAGATTCGAGGAATGTTGCGGAAGCGAGCGAAGAGGAAATCTATTGACAGACTAAGAGATCGAATGGATACGAAGTCCGAAAAGTGGCAGTCGATTGAGTGAGCGTCAGAGAATGAGAATGAATGTTGTTCGTGTGTTTGCGAGAAACAGGAGTAGCAAATGTGCTGATGGGAGAAAAGCACGATGGCAATTGTGCACCTTGCTCCGTACTGTACTGTGCAGTGTTTTGGGCTTGCATGGATACGGCAAGAGAAAATACAGGATTGGCTATGGGCTGGTGACAGGGATTCGGCTGGTGGATCATCAGGAGAGACTTGACAAAATTCACCAGGGTGAAGCGTTGCTGTATCTATCTTTTTCAATACTGGAAAGAGAACGAAAATGAGAAGCATAAAGCAACAATGTCAAACATCACTTGATTCTTCCAACAGCTTAACTACAGACTCAAACCATCCTTTGTCGACTCTCCTCTCCCTGCTACCTCTGCATCTACTACTGTACTATACTCCGTACTACAATCCGTACGCAACATCTGTTGGGCGCAGTTTCTCAACTGCGGAGTGGCCTCGGTTGTGGCTGAGCTTCGATCATCGCTTGTTTAGTGTGGTTTGGTATTTTTAACCCCGATGTTGCCCTGACAGTCGCCCGTCAAATCGACCTATCGTTGGGAGTCTTGGGCACTAGTAGAGACGATTCTGCCGCCACATGCCGCGACTCTTCTGCCTGCGATGACATCTGACAAGTGAGCCATGACAACCTTCGACACGTTGCCTCCCTCAATACCTGTTGGGCCGGGCAAAAGTGCTCTTTGGGGGAGTTTGTGAGAGGCCGTTTCAGTAAATGGTCCTCCGTACTCCAGTATGCCGTTATGAGGGACACATCAGCGGCATCTGTGCTGTAATCGGGTGTATCTCAAGTTCGAGTGAATTAATTTGGAGGTCAGCGACGAGGTGATGGTGTGGTGAGTCGTCATCATCTCACCCAATCCAGCACGCACAAGCTCCAGGCCAGTAGCAAGATTCCCAGCTGTTTGAGCGCGTTGGCTTGTTGTCTCAATAATAAAAGTCCTCCTTGACTCCTAAACTGAGACCTGCTTGGACGCGAAAACGGACTGCTAGAGACGGCTTAGGTGGTCGGCCCCTCCCGGAAGACTAAGCGCCCCCAATACAGCCTAGCACAGCCTATTTAGCAGGCCTAACATGTTGGTCTTTCAAGCGCCCATGGTGCCTCTGAGCGTCTCGAGGTACTCCAAAGACCGAGTATTCGTATCCGTACTTGCTGGGAACCAAAGACCACGAGCATCTGCTATGGATACTCCGTAATATGAGGGAGACCTTGATACCTGAGAAACGTCAGGTACCTTAGTTATTGGTTGGTAGCTACGCGTCGTCTCTCAGCATATTCGTGTGTGAACTCTGCGTTCTGTAGTTCTCCATATAATAGACAGGACAGTGTATTGTAGGTGGTACTGTCAGGCCTGGCTCTGAAATGTCAAATCATTGACCATGCGTCGATGAACACCGAGAGCTTGGTCTGTCGGGTTGTTCGTTCGTATCCAGCACTAATAGTGGGTTGTGTAACCATGTGCTATGTCGCACAGTGAGCAGTAGTCAGCTGCTTGTTGTATTCCTGGCACTGCCAGAATTACACAAAGACATGTCTTGTTTGTTCCTGGAAAAGAGCGTGAGAAAGAGAATCTATTCTAACCATATCCCAACAGCCGGCGAACAAAGAAGGCCGGCTTCACTAGGCTTCAGGAGGCAGTTGAGGAAAGGGAGCGACATCAACCAAGTGGGTGTGCGTGTGCGCGGGGGCGTCAACCCTGTCACTCTCCCTTACATACATTTTTACCTCCTCCATCATCCTCGCTCCCTGTCAAATCCATCCCTATCCGGCATTCTACTACGTTCTACTTCATTATTTGCAACTCCATTCCTCTCCTTCCGCTCTGACTGTACTGCTCGTGTCTGTTATTGTTGCCAGCGAGTTCTGTTGTTTAGCATCCTCAGACTGTTGTCGCTCGCTTTACCTGGAAGTCCTTTGCCCAAGCCTACGCCCTTCGCTCCCTTGTCAATCCAAGAACACTGTCCCTGTGATCAAGAAGACGCCACAGCATTCCTCCATCCAACGACGTGATTTCCTAGACCATCCTTACCTTCCTCGACCAATTGGCCGCATTCCAACTTCGCCTCTGACCTGGTGGTTGCTGGTCAATCGCCTCTTGCGCAAGTTCCCTGAGACCAACAATCTCCTGCCATCTCTGTTGCTTTCACAGATACATTTCACCATATTGACACACAAATGTCTTCTTTTTGACGTGTCAGCGACTGTGTCTGCGTCGGCATGGCTGAAACAACGAGTCATCCACTCCCTCCGACTCCCCCTCCACCCATCTACTCCCCTCCTCTCCGAACCGATAGTCCACAGATCATTGAACCCGTGGATGAGCGCGAGACTGGCCTTGCGCGGCCAAGCAACGCACAATCGAAGCAAATAAGCAACCCTTCCATATCAATGTCTCTGGCAGATGAGCGACCACTGTCAACATCCCCTGCGCCCTCAAGCCTGCAGATCACTCCGCCAGAGACAGCAATGTCAAGATCAACCGATCCTGTAGCGCCAAAGCGAACCTTGACTCCTCAACCTTCGCAGCAGCCAGATCCAAATAAACTCTCACCTACACCGCAGGCCATATTCAAGAGGCGGCCGGTAGACGGTGACAGCGTCGCTGACCACCGAAGAGTTTCTTCTGAGAACTTTACCTCTAAAGATGGGAATGTTGAGTTGACACCCTTCCAGAAAAGAGCCATACGACATGTTTCTGCATCTGCTCTGGAAACAGAAGTACCACCAGGAAGCTTTGAGCCATTGAGTTACCACCATCAGCTCGTGGAGGATGCCGAAATGAAATCTCTTGACAAGCGGGCGTCCAAGTTGACCATCGATACTGACAATTCTGGTCAGCCGGATGGTAGCCGTAACAGTACATATGGCAGGAACTTGCAGAGACCAGATAGCGGATTTTCGAGCACCTCTGATTTTCGGGGCCGGTCACATTCGCCCAATAATCTGTCCCCAGGTCGACCTGTTTCTCGAGGTTCACGTTCGCCAGATACTCGACCTTTGTCCTATGTTGATCTTCTCAATGTGCCGTATCCTCAAGCTGCGCCGAGTGGTGCTGAAAATCTCGTCAATTCGGGTCTTCGCACCGTGGTTGGGAACAACGCCAATCTTCTGTCGACCAGGAAAACGCTCGACATGTACCGTGCCAACGTCAAAAAGACCAATGACCCGGCAGTGCAGTATGAATTTGCCGTATTCATGATCAGCGCGGCTCAGGAGGAGGGACTTGAAGGGGACGCGCATTCAGATACGGCAAAGTCGGAGAAATCGCATCAGTCTGTGAGAGATGATCTTTTGAAAGAGGCCAAGCATATCCTGCAGAAATTGTCTGATCGCTCCTACCCATTCGCACAGTATTATCTGGCCGACGGATATGCATCCGGTCTATTCAACAAAGGCCGAGAAGACTGGGATCGTGCATTTCCCCTTTTCCTCGCAGCATCTAAACATGGACACGCCGAGGCGGGGTACCGTACCGCGTTGTGTTACGAATTTGGCTGGGGTTCGCGGGTGGACGCAGCCAAAGCAGTGCAATTCTATCAACACGCTGCCAGCAAAAATCACCCTGGAGCCATGCTGCGACTTGGACGAGCCTGCTTGACTGGCGACATGGGATTGACTAAAAAATACCGTGAGGGCGTGAGATGGCTCAAGCGCGGCGCTGAATCTGCTGATTTCCAGTACAACCAAGCTCCTCACGATCTAGGATGTCTTCACGAGACAGGCTACGGTCCAGACGTGTTCAAGGACGAGTCCTACGCCGCCCAGCTGTACACCAAAGCTGCCGACCTGGGCCATGTCGAGGCCAACTATCGACTCGGACAAGCGTATGAGCTCGGTCAATTGAACTGTCCCCAGGATCCTGCCCTCAGCATTCACTTCTACACTGGTGCAGCGGAACGAGGCCATGCCGAATCACAAATGGCACTTTGCGCGTGGTACATGGTTGGCGTACCGAACGTTTTGGACAAGGATGAAGCCGAGGCATATGAATGGGCGAAAAAGGCTGCCGACCAAGGTCTACCCAAGGCCGAATACACCGTGGGCTACTTTACAGAAACGGGCATCGGTTGTCGTCGCGATCCGCTTGAAGCCAATGTCTGGTACGTGCGTGCAGCAGAACACGGAGAAGAGAGGGCCAAACACCGAATCGCAGCTATCAAAGCTGCTGGTTCCGGGGCAGATCCCATGACAGCGGCGGCGGTCGGGAAGAAGGGATTGTTGACGGACAGCAAAAGTTCGGGCAATATTGGACCACATGGTGAGCAAATTGACGTCAACGTCAACACAAGCACAACCCGACTGACAAGAACCACAGAGGGAGAAAAGAAGAAAAAGTTTGGTATCTTCTAGACGGAGACTTTGTAGATCAGCAGTCTAGCGATACAGCGATGTAGCATTTCAAGGCGCAAGAAGCAAAACTTGGGAAGATTTAATGGCATCAGAGATTCATCTGGGACAGCATCGCGGTTGGACGAGGCATGGGTCAGAAAAATGCATCGCATAGCATTAGCATCGGACAATGGGATGAAGTGAGATATGATGATCCTCGACAGAGACTGGTGATCAGTTCGATGGGGGGAGGTAGTCGAGGTGGATGGATCACGTGTTAGATAACGTGACTCTGGATCTCCTGCGTAATGAGAAAAAGATCGAGGAGTGAGCCACACAAATCACCATCATCAATCATAATCACTTTTCATTCCCTTTTCTCATCCAATCCCGACGATGCAGCTAAACGTCTCTTGGACCTTCTTCTCTATTGCCCCTCTCAAGCTTTTTCGTCTTGTCTGGCGTTGACGCAATACAATTGCAGTATCTGTTCTCCTTGCCACCGCTCAGCTGAGCCACTCTCTACACGTACTATGGGAATGACTCCTGAAAATGATCTCGCCTCCGAGGTCATCTGGCCCATCGTATCCCCCTTGGAGCCTATGATATCGCAGTAATTGGCGAGATCTGGCGGTGTATGCGGTGGTACAGACCATGGCCCCTTGGCATGCAGCAACTTGATCTAGTCACGTCGTCGCCAATCAAGTCGCCGTCTTCAACGGCCTTCTGCGTCTCTAGTCTGGTGGCCTCTGGGTTTCGACCTCCCGCCAGATCTCAAAACCCAATCCGTTTTCCATCACATGGTCCTATGATTGACGATTTCGTGTCCTCCTGGCCTTATGTTGGTCGAACAAATGTCGGCATATCGGTGCCGTTTCCTCTCCACTCTGGATTCAATTGGCGCCCAAGACGATCATCTCTACGAAGACCTTCTCCCACCAATCCCTCTCATCTGGCGGCTTGTTTCTTGCACTCCCCCACACGATGCAACGCCCAACGGCGCCAGATGCCAGCAAAGTCTCGCTAACCATGACTTCCTAAAACAGTTGACGCCCTTTTTCGCCTCTGCTCTCTGAATAATTCTACGACCCTCTCGTTTCCCCTTGCATTGTTTCATTCCTGGCGAAATTCCAGTCTCAATTATGCTTTTCGATTCCGCTGTTGAGCGCCGTTGTGGGACTGCGACATGGTCCGTCATGCAATGATGCGTGTCTCGAGATTTGGCGGTCACTCACCGTACATCATGTGCTGATCCTCAATATACTTTAAAATTCTTTTCACCATACTGACAAACTGAGCTTCAACGACGACAAACGCTCTCTTTCATTCATTGTCTCCATTCGTTGTTTTTTTTTGCTTTGACTTCTTTGTCTCTCGTAACCCTCTGACGAAACGATCGGGTCAACGGTACCACCACCAAGTCATATCCCACACACCCCAACTTTGACTACAGCACATCTACGGCCTCGAAGAAAACATTTTGACGAATTTTGACGACAAGTTCTATAACCAGCGACCAACCCGGACGAACAACTTATGATTAAAGCTAGTCAGTGACACGCAATGAAGGATACAGTTGACCACTCGGACGCCGAATCATTCCATTCGGCCATATCAAACACGAACAAGACAGTACGACAAACGACCATGCCAGAAAATCATCCCGCCAAGAAATCTAGATGTCGACGATCATGCAGGCGACACGTGCAAGACCTGATGAAGCAGCCTGATGGCTCGACGAGCTCAGAAGATGCTGGGGCCGAGTCAAGCGAGACCGACCGAAGAATTTCTCGACCTTGCTCGAGTCGGTCCAGGTACCGACCAAACAGTCCCAATCCTAGCATACCGAGACGGCAGAACAGTGTCAACCTTGGAGGGAGGGAGAAGAGGAGAAGAAGGCACTCTTCCCCAAAAAAGGATCCGGCCGCTTTACACCGACAGAGCTGTCAGCTCTTTTCATCGTTGGATGGGATGCTCGCCCTGAGTCGAGAATTTACTCCGTCTCCCAGCGTTTCGACGACACGAACGGCCACTCGACACCCTTCGCTCGTTCCAGGGGATGTCGCTGGCTCTCACTTCAAAGCGGACGTTGAGGAACGCCAGCTTTGCCACAGCGTGGACCAAAAGTTGAAAATGGTCGAAAGAGAACAATGTAGTGTTGGTGGTGGTGGTGATGGTGGTTCGTACAACACAACGAGGAGGAGTGTGTCGTCCTCACCGACCTTCCGGCATAGTTATTCCGAATCTTCGTTGATCTACCAGTCACGCATTGTCACCCCGAGAATATCAATGTCAATGTCTGTGGGCGGACGCGTGTACAACAACTGCGGCGCGGCGGCCGCGGCGGCCGCGGCGGCGGCCGTGCAGAGAAGACCACCCTTGAACACGGTCATATCCTGGACCTCCAACGCCACTCGGCGAGAAGAGTACGAAAAGATCGACCGAGCTCATTCCGGCGTCAGGGGTTTCCTGAGGAAGATGTTGCCAAAGTGTGTGCACTCGAAAAACTCCCGGAGAGCATTCTACACCGGAGGTGACGGTGACAGTGACAGCGTGAGGAGGTTCCGAATGAGTTTGGACGAAACCGACGAAACGGATGAGACAGATCATGATGACGAGCGAGTGGCGACGGAAAAAATCAAACGTGACGACGACGATGATGGTGTCGATGTCGATACCGTGGACGTGGATGAGAAGGCCATTCACACATCTAAACAGTGTCACGTTGCGATTTCTGCGGAACAAGTCGCCACAACCACGGCCACAGGTGGCCGGAAGCACAGGTGGACATGTTTCCAATGATGACGACGACGACGACGATCTACAGTATTTACGACACTGGAAGGGGAGAACCCTGACCTGGGTTTATGAGGTACGGAGATCTTTGTACGTGATTGGTGATGTTTTCCGCCCCCATATATGTACAGAGTACCAGAGTTGGCGGCTTTCCTCTCGACAAAAGATGAAATCAGATGACCAACACTTGCGAGTACACTCTTAGCGACGATGTAGAGTCGACTACCTTACATGATCTATGAGTTCATGAGTCCAAGCCATGCCTGGAGAGGGAGAAAATAGGAAAGTGGGGAGGGGGGCCAATTTGTATACGGTACGATTGACTGTGTTTAGCGAAGCATACTCCATAGGAACCGAAAGCATCTAAACCTCTACATAACTCAGAAGAGTTGTACAGATGGATAACCAACCCATCAATATTCGGCTCCATCGTCATCAACATCATAAACAATACTTTGAGGCTTCGACCATAGATAAGTCGTCAAAGCTCTCCCTCCCCTGCTTTGCGTTCGGCAAAGACACACTCGCGGTCACTGTTACATTTCGTAGAGTTCCCACGGTTCAAAAGGATCAAAACCGGTGAAACCGACTGGACACTGGTAAAATGGCATCGACATTTGGACTGGTTGTTGTTGTTCTTGTGAAGGTTCGAACCCTCCGAGCGGTGGTGCTGGTGCTGGTGGCGAGGTAAGCTGCTGCTGTGTGTTGTCATTGTCGTCGTTTCTACCCCGGGCGGATGCCGACACGGACAGCGAGGTTTGCGTCGTGGTTGTAGTTGTGGTAGCAGGTGGAGGAAAGACTGGCAAGGTCGTTTCTTGCAAGTTGACCGTCGTAGAGGTTGGCGGTCTCGCCTTCTTAGTGTTGCGAGTGTTTGTCGCCGCCGAAATGGACAAGTCGGGTTGAGATCTCGGAGTAGTGGTGGTGTTGTTGGTGATGATCGACGCAGGAGGTGAGGTGGCACTGGTGATTTCGGTCCAAGCGAGACGGAACAAAGCTAGGGGGTGGAGATGCTCTTGTGAAGCCGGGTGGTCAGGACCATTGCCAGAGTCGGCGGTATCAGGACCACCGACAAGGTGCATCGCCGTTGCCGACGCCGTATGGTGGTGGTGTGGTTCGACGCCGACACCGCCGCCATTGCCGTCCGCTTGACAGAACCACCTGGTGGCATGGCCGGCCAGGGGGGTGTCGTGAGCCAGGCGCAATAGGGACCGAAAACACTTTTCCTTTTGCTCGGGGTCCGGCACGACCAGATCGAGAACGGAAAAGTTGACGTCCAGATTTTGTCGCGCTCGCCGCAACCCTTCCCGTTCGGAGGAACCAGAATGATGGTCGGTGGGCTCTTCCAGCTTGGTGGCGAGCATCTGGATCCGGCTGGATTCGTAGGCCGACACGCGGCACAGCATCTCGCCACGGACGTCCCTGCCGTACGTCAGTGCCATCTGAAACACCTTGGTGATCATCTCGGCGTGGTATTTGCAGTCCCGTTGGAAGAATCGCACGAAATCGGCGGGCGCATCTTCCAGCGCGTTGGCGATGGGGAAAGTGTATCCCGGCATCATGACACGGAAGAGGTCGCAGTGGCAGACGTGGAAGGCCAGGTGCATGCCCATGAAGGACGAAAGCCGACGCTGGTCGTGGTGGACGAACATGTTTTGTTCGGTGAGCTGGAGATGGCCGGGAAGGACCCTGGCCCAATCCTGGAGCTGGTCGACCAGCTGGAGGAAGGGGGAGCCTCGGTTCCAGGGCAAGGGGGAGGCGTTTCCGTCCCGGACGCACTGCAGAGTCAGCCCTCTCAAGTAGGTGATCCTCAGGTTCCACGCCTCCAGACCTTGTCGTTCCCACGCGTTCGCCGTGCCACTTTCGGCCGAGGCATCAGGGCCCAACCTGCACGTCGGCGTCGGGATCTGATAAATGTAGTCGTGCTCGCATCGCGGGAGTGGGACGACGGGTAGCCTCCTCGACGTCGTGATTAGACGGTCCACGCCGGCAGCGACATTGATGTCGATATACCAGCAAGCCCAAAACAGTCGCCGTCGCGACTCCTCCTCAGTGACTCGCTCGGGAGGGCCTTGAATCTCCGAATCGCCGGGTGAGACCACGTCGAGTCTCAGGATCTGGAGGGCACGAGAACAGCACGCCGCAATCATCAGGCTGAGGCTGGAGCTCTGTGAGTTTCCGTGGCAATGGTTGTAGTGCCAAAGAAGGACCAGAGTCTGCAAGGGAGGTGAGAATCAGTTCAGTCGCACGTAACGCGCAGCCAGCAGCATGTATGCACCTACCATGAGATTGGGAATGTTCACCTCTCCGATCTTATCGAGTACTGTTGCACGAGCCTTTTCGACCCAAGCCTTTCCCGGATGGTCGTCCGTCGAGGTGATCGGGGCCTCTTTTGCCGCATAGTGTCTGTTCAGCGAGTGAGCATGGTTGATGACGGCAAATTTGAACGGGACTCACATGGCACCAAGTGCGCAAACGATGTGCAGGAGAGCCGACCCATATTTTTCAACGAGCCCTCCGTCCGCAAAGGCACGCAGGAACGAGGGACGATGCAGAAACTGGTTGATCGCCTGCGTTTGATCAAAGTAGGCGTTGAAGAGAAGTTGCAGTCGGTCAGGCTCCGCCGGGAGATCTTCTGCGAACAGCCTGTGGCAGAAGAAAGCAGCGTTGTCAGTGTTAATCGAGGACAATACTGGGGAAAGGCAAACTCACCATTCATTGTTGTCGCCCACAATCAAGGTTTCCGAGATGGAGGGCAGCAGCTGAAAAGAGGCCGTTCGAGCTCGAGGTGGTGCATTCTCAGCTTGAGCTGCTGCTGCCGACGGAGTGGCCGAGGCTCCTGGGCTCCTGCTAACACTTGTTGGACGCCGACGAGACGAGTGGTCGCTTCTGGAAGTGCAAGCCAGGCCCTTGCGCGCGCATCGCTGACAAGGTCTCGTCTCGGTGCACCGCAGCTTCGATCGTCGGCATTGATCACACGCGTCTCTGGCATGTCTCTGCCGGCCGGCCTCTCGATAGATGTCGTTGACGAGGGCATTGATTTGACGCGTATCGAGGTCCTTGTCTAGGCCATACCCTGGGCAACGGAGGCCCAGGTTTCGACAGCGGCCGCACGCCGGGAGACCCGCGTCGCATTTAATCTGTGATCTCGCGCGGGAGTATGAGACTCAATATCCAGAAAAACACGAGCATTCGGGAGCTTGTTCGGCGCTCGCTCACCTTTCGGGCTTTGCAGACAAGACACCCTGGAAGCGAGATTCAGTTTAAGTCTAATACACTTCCGAACAAAGAAACAAAAAACCCAGGGAAAAGCCCTTACCGTACTGTCCTCGCGGCGTCGTCGAGGGTTCATCCATCAGGCATTTCAAGACGGTCCAGGGAAAAAAGATTACATATTCTAGAATTCGGCCAAAAGGTCGTACTGTACGGCGCAGAGGACGTAGGTGGGCCAGAGATGGAGGAGGAGAAGGCAAGAAAAACGATCCTTGGCTGGGGAGGTGGATGGAAGCGGGAATGAATCTATTTAACTTGGTAATACTCCGTAAAGTATTTTACCCCCCGATTTCGCGGGCCGGTCGGTGGCGAAATCAACAGCCAATGAACCCGGGGGAAAGTAAACGAGTACGATTGCCGTATTATTCTTTTCTTTGGACGGGACCGGGGGGGATAAAGACTTGGAGTTTCCGTACATACAAAATGCGGTCCCAGAGGTACGGAGTATCAATAAATAACGGAACTAGTAATTTTGTTCTTCCATCCACTGGAGCAATGTCCAAGTGCTCGTGGTATGCTACTATTCTACACTGTCAAGCTCAGTATATACAATGAATGGTACTCCATATCTAGCCAGTTCACATACGCCCCTAATGTGTCGCTTCGTGTATATATATGTATCAAGTGGGCACAAGGTGACGAAGGTTCTCCGGCACCAGAGACGGATCTTTACCGACGAACCTGATGCATTTTCCGAAGTCCTCGAATTCGTCCACGGGTTGCTCTGCTTGGTCAAATTCGCCGGCCAGTCCGACCACACCCACATCCTTTTTGTACTTGTCCCACGCCTCGAGCAGCGTGGCCAACAGTTCAGGGTTCTCGGGACCAATATCTCGGGTCTCGCCAGGGTCGCCGACGACGTCAAAGAGCTCCCACCGCTGTGGACCACGAGGCCGAGGAACAAAGGTGATCTTGTAGCGGCCTTTGCGGAGGGCGCCGCTGCCACAGATTTCCCAGCCCGTGACGTGTTCGTCGTCGTGGATGGTGAGGTTCCGGATATCGTCGGACTGCGTGAGGCTGTCCAAGAACGAACCCCAGCTCTTGCCGCGCACCTGCTGCACCTTTCGACCGCGGTAGACGCCGCCCGGGTGCTTGGTGCCACCGAGCTCGAGAATGGTGGGCACGACGTCCATGACCGTGCAAAAGGCGTCCGTGACGGACCCGGCGCATCTCAGGTCGCTCACGGCCGGCTTGACGACCAAGGGCACCCGGCACCCGCCTTCCGTGGAATACATCTTGTACAACCGCCCCGGCGCCGTGGAGGCCTGTGCCCACCTCGACCCGTACCAGACGAAAGAGTTGGCCCGGCCAATGTTGTCCAGAGAGTTGTCGTAGTATTTCTGGATGTGCGGGATCAGGGAATCGCCCAGCACGGGTGACGCCTCGTAGCTAGCCCCCTCTGCCCCATTGTCCGACATGAACATGATGTAGGTGTTGTCGTACTGATCGGTCTCCTTTAGATGGTTGATCACCTTGCCGATTCTTTCGTCCATGCGATCGACCATGCCGGCGAACACTTCCATGCATCTCGCCGATTTCTCTCGCTCTTCAGGAACCATCTGGGACCACTCCGGCGGCTCGCCTTCCACGGTGACGACCTCGTGAGGGACGACGTCCTGTGCGACCAGACCCATCTCCTTGAGTTTGGCGAGGCGTCGTTCGCGCAGGGCGGCCGGTCCATCACTGTACAGCCCTCGATACTTGTCGACGGAGGCTTTCGGTGCCTGGAGCGGCCAGTGTGGAGCGGAAAAGGGCAGGTATGCAAAGAAAGGCTTGGCCTGCTCTTCCTCGTTTCGTGAAGAGAGATACTCGATCAGCTTGTCTGAATAAAAGTCGGAGGAATAGAAATCCTTGGGGGTGTTCTTGACGTATTCGCCGTTCTCGGAGTGAAGACCCGTCACCGCCGTCTCCATGAAGGGGGGAGGTTCGTTGACGGCATCTTCATATTGGGGTTCATGCCCTGCTCAAAGAAGTCATCAGTATCACACCGCCGTCGCCTACAGGGGGAGGAAATTGACCATAGGACCCATACCGTAATGATTTGCGCAGCCCGGCAGCAGTGCGAACGATCGATCGAACCCCCGAGCTGCCGGCCCATGTTTCTTGTTCAGACCCAGGTGCCACTTGCCAGACAGGACATTAAAATAGCCGGCGTCGCGAAGCAACTCTGGGAGAGCCACCACGCTGTCGACCAGGTAACCTTCGTGACCGGGTTGTCCCTGATGTGCGGGTGACGAACGCACAAACTCCGACAGCTGCCCGAGGCCAGTCAGATGGTGATCGGTGCCCGTCATCAGCATGGCGCGCGTCGGTGAGCACGCCGCCGCGACGTGGAACGATGTGAAGCGCACGCCATCTGCGGCGAGTGCGTCGATGTTGGGCGTCGAGATTTCAGAACCGAAACAACTGCAATCGCTGAAACCGAGATCATCGGCGACGATGACCAGGAAATTGGGCCGCCGCATGGATTGGGATGATTGATATTCGCCCATTTTGAAAGTTCAACTCGACGATGAGGTGTAAAAGAAGAAGATGGGTTGACACAATATGTACAGCAAGTACGCAGTGTACCGTCGTCCTCTTTTTGGACTGCTTCTTGTATGCTTCTGCACAACTGGATGGGATGATACTGGGAAAAAGAAAGAGAATCGCGTACACAGAAATCTTACGGACTCATTGTTCCGCCAAACGTGTTGCTTCTTTCGAAGTTCCCCTCTACACGCGCACCAGTCTTAGTGTTTCGACGAAGTACAATGTAAATACTTCCGTATGTGCCGCGATGTCACTACGTACCGGGGGGGCATCATCAATGGATGTTGGGAGAATAGCTCGAGGCACTCGGTGCCCCGACGGCCGGAACTCAACTGTCGGAGCTCGGCGAGCCCATGTCCATAGACGGCATCGAGGGAGAGAACTTTCGGAGCTCGGCTGTTTGGTGGCGAGTCGCTCCCCCGGGGAGTCTTCATGGGCGATGTCGCGATTGGGGCCTAAACTGCTGTCAGGACGAGTACCGACTCATTGGCTCTATGCAATCTATTGAGTAGTCCCCGATGTCCTAAACTCAACAGCGCTATTTGCCCACAAATTGTCCGTGGTTGGGAGCCCATTGTACGGTATGTATGGTCACAACTTTACAGAATGTCAGGCCATAGTACGAGTTACCTACCTACTGGGTACTCCGGAAAGCCTGTCCGGAGGCAAAGAAACAACGAGCGACTGAAAATCGGATGGCGAATACTCCATGTACGGAGTATGACACGGAGTACCTAATCTGCAATTCCCATTTGGATGGTGACACGCCATGCTGCTCACATCCACGCGAACAACAGTGCACCAAGAGCTAGCCCGACGCACCCCTTTGTCGCTCGGTCGTCGCGGCATTCGCGATCATTCAGTGGCAATGTGAATCATTCGTCTACGGCCCATGAACATGAAAGAGAAACAAACATGAGGCTGAAAGCCAGCGTCAGGTTCGTGGCAACTATATTTTACACTCTCTGTTTCCATCGAGATCTATGGACGCTATAAAGATACCCTGGTTTATACCAACCGATACCTCGTGTTGTCGAGGCGGAATGAACAAATCAAATCGTGATGATCAAGATTTGGCAGGGCCAAACTCGAATGGGTAATTGATCATGCCAGTTTCCGCATAGTACTGCTCCCACAGGGCAATCAGTTCGGCCATGATGTCTGGACGCTTGGCCGATAAGTCGTCTGTTTCTCCCTGGTCCTCACCGAGGTTGTAAAGCTCCCATTTGCTGTCGCCCCGGGGCGCGTGCATCCACACGGCCTTCCAGGGCCCTCGTCGGATGGCTTGCAGACCGACAAGCTCCCATCCGTGGACGTGAGTGTCCTCGCCGTGGACTGAGGTCTTTGTGAAATCCGACGACGACAGATGAGATACCCAGCTCTTCCCCCGCACCGGCACGATTTCACGCCCGTGGAACTCCTTGCCGGGGTGTTTGATATCGGCCAGCTCGAGAATCGTCGGGAGAAAGTCCATGACAGTCGTGAAAGAATGCGTGACGGAGTTGGGTGTGGCTTTGAACCCGGGGTACCGTACGATGCACGGACAGCGGATCCCACCCTCGGTCGGCCAACATTTCCAGCCTCTGCTGGGGGCGGTGGCTGCACTGGCCCACCGGGGGCCGTACCACACGAAACTGTCTTTGTGGCCGATGTTTTCCAGACTGTTGTCGTAGTAGGTGTTTATGATATCCGACATCATGGTACCGTCACCCATGGCCTGAAGCGCTTCCATCATCAAGCCTTCGGCGCCATTGTCAGAGATAAAGGTCACAAAGGTGTTGTCGAGCTCGCCGGTCTCCTCCAGATAAGAAATGACCTCTCCCACTCCCTTGTCAATCTCCTCGACCATGGCCGCATATACCTCCATCTTTCGTGCGGACTCCGCCCGCTGGAGGTCGGTGAGCTCCTCCCATTCAGGTCCGATGTGACCTTCTGGTTTCGCGGGAATGACATTTGCCTGCACCAGACCAAGGTCGATGAGCCGCTTTACACGTTTCTCGCTCAGCCTTGAAGGGCCGTCGTCATAAAAGCCCTTGTATTTGGCAGTGGTCTCGTCCGGTGCTTGTAGAGGCCAGTGAGGAGCCAAGTACGCCAAATAAGCCAAGAAAGGCTTCGCCTTCTCCTCCTCAGTCCTGTTCTTCAAGAATTCCATCATTCTTTTGGTGGTGTAGGGAGTACTGTAGAAATCTTCCGGAATCTCCGTTTTCCGGTCGATATATCGGTCATTCTCCATCCACAATTGTCCTCGCCACGGCAGTTTGTATTTTGGGTCGTCGAATTGTGGCTCATAGTTGTAGTGGTTGCCGCTGCCGGCAAGAAAGCTGAAGACCTTCTCGAATCCTCTGGCATGAGGACTGTGCTCCTTCTTCATCCCCAGGTGCCACTTACCACTCATTACGGTATGGTAGCCGGCGTCCTTCAAGATCTCTGGCAGAGCGGCCACGCGAAAATTGAGGTATCCCTCGTACCCGGGTTTCCCTTCAAACGTGGCGGGATGCTCCCTCATGTGTTCGGCCAATTGACCCAAGCCGGCGATATGGTTGTCAGTGCCTGACATCAACATTGCACGCGTTGGGGAGCACGCTGGAGCAGTGTGGAAGTTTGTCATTCGAATCCCTGAGTCTGCAAGACGCTGCAGGTTGGGAGTCGTTATTTCACCCCCATAGGGTGAGGTATCTGAGAATCCCAGATCATCGGCCACGATGATGAGGAAGTTGGGCTTCTTCGCCGTCATCCTTTCTCTTTTCGTGTTGACTGGTGTTGAGTTTCAAGACGTTGTTATTGTTTCTGTTTCCCGTGCTGACCTTGTGTTTGACCTATTTACGCCGAGTCCAAATCTCAAGTCGATACCGAATATGATGGTTTAATACATAGACCATTGCTTATAAGGCGATTCGAGCACTCGGTAAAAAGGTGGCTCATAAATCATTTTTCAATGGCCACGCAAAAAGCCCGACGAGGTGTAAATCAACATTCGGCGGTCGCTTCTCCATCGGACCTCGCTACGCACGGAGCTCGCCAGGTCAGGATTGCATGGATACCGGGGTGTCCATTCACGACCGTCCCACGGGACACCCGAAATCCATTGAGGAGGCCCTCGATCCCCAGGTTCTGGACCAACCCAACCCAACCTCAAATCACCTTTCTTTCCGCTTCTTCACCTATTTTGTGGGGGGTGGTAACTCCGTACTTTAATCGACCTGGTTTTTCTGTGGTCAAAGCCGCCCGTCACAAGCGAAAAAGATATTGCCAGCCGAGTGGGAAGCGGGCACGGGAGAAAAGACGAACTCTCGCTAAGAAATCAATCGCTTGATCTTTCATGCTGCTCAAGAAGATATAAAAAGGGTCGACCTCAAACCGCCGTCTTCCCATCAGTCCATACCACCAGGCACTCAGAAAGCTGCTTCTTCCACCTACGCACGCACGCCCTTTTCTCTCTTCCCTCTTCCCTCTTCCCTCTTTCCTCGGCCAACGACCATCCACAAATATGGGTGTCGATGCTGCTATCCCCAATGATGGCCCTACTGGTCTCTCAACAGGCGAGAGCGGGTCTCTGCGCAGTCGTCTGCGCCAGTTCACTCCCAAGCTGGTTTTTATGATGATTGTCCTATCCCTGGCGGCCTTCAACTTTGGTTACGACCAGGGAAACTTCTCTGGTCTTCAAGCTCTTGATTGTAAGATTACTTCCTGGCTTGTGCCACAATCTCCGATGCTCTCCCTCTCTGTCTGCAGCAAAATACTGACACTCATGTCTGTGTGCTCCTTTAGCTTTTGAGAAACGCTTTGGAAAGTATCATGCAAAGAAGAAGAACTATCTGCTCCCATCCTACCTACAATCCATCATGACTTCCACTCCATACCGTGAGTCTTTTTTCCCCCTATTCAGCGACCATCATCGTCAGAACATCTCATCTTGGTCGCGAAAACCTGCGCACCCTGATATTCACTGGCATTTTGTTTGCGATGGTTCCAACAAAACTGACTGGGACTCGTCGATAGTGGGAAAACTTCTGGGAACGTGGACTTGTGCTCCCCTCATGGAGCGTCTCGGGAGGAAGAAGATGATGGCAGTCATCATCGGGCTCTCCTATCTCGGCGCCGCTCTCGAGATCTCCGCAGCCAGCCCGGCCCAGTTCACCGTCGGACGGATCGTCTGCTTCTACATGGCCGGCTTCACCGTCCAACTGGTCCCTATCTACCTCGCAGAGTGTGCACCTCCCGGTCTCCGTGGATTCATCGGCAGTCAAGTCCAATTCCAGATCAACTTTGCCATCCTCGTGGCCGCGCTGGTGAACTTGGGCGTGTCGCACTTGCACCACCCAATCCAGTGGCGAGTCACCATCATGGTCCAATTCGCCATGCCGACGATGATGCTTCTCTGTTTCCCCTGGTTGGTCGAATCGCCCAGATGGTAAAGTTGATTCCCAATACTTCGTTTCTCTTTCAATGTCACTGACTTTTTTTGGCCAACTAGGCTGATCGGTCGAGGACGAAACGAGGACGCTGTAAAATCTCTTCGGTTCCTGCGCCATGGAGATGTCCCTACAGAGGTTCTCGAGAGAGAAGCTGCGTTTATCGGGTCACTGCACAACAACGAAGGAAAAGGTAGATGGCAGGAACTGTTCACTGGCACTAACCGGGTAAGCAAGAGAGACAACCCAGACCCTCGTCTGACCTTGGAGCGTCTTTACTGACTGCGATGAACAGAGGAGAACGTTGATCGCTTGCTTCGTCATGTTTGGCCAACAAATCACCGGACAGGTCTTTGCTTCTCAGTACGGAACCATCTTCTACAAGACCCAAGGAGTCGCCCACCCTTTCATCATGCAGGTCATTCAGACTCTTGTCGGCCTGGCCTGCATGTTTGGCACCTCCCTGATCATCGATTCGTTCGGCAGACGGAGCGTCCTCTTGACGGGCGCCACGGGTCAAGCCGTCTTCATGCTGTGCCTGGGCGGCGTCGGACTCATCCGCCACCCGACGGGCTCGGTCAAGAATCTCATGGTGGCCTTCATCATCCTGGACGCCGTCTCTTACAACGTCTCGTGGGCCCCCCTTTCCTACATCACCATCGGCGAGGTTTCCACCCAACGCCTGCGAGAAAAGACCGCCATGGTGGCGGTCTCGGTCTCCATCGTCACCGTCTTCGTGACCTCCTTCACCCTCCCTTACCTCATGAACGCCGACTACGCCAACCTGGGCCCCAAGGTCGGCTTCATCTACGGCAGTCTGGCCACCTGCATGGCCCTCGCCGCCTACTTTGTCGTCCCCGAACTCAAAGGTCGGACTCTGGACGAGATCGACGAGCTCTTTGAACAGCGCATCGGATCTCGCAAGTTTAAAAAGGCCGTCGTCGCGTCCACCGATTTCGAGAGGCCAGAAATCGAGGTCTTGAAGGGCACCGCCACCGCTACGGAGGTCGAGCAGGTCGGAGGACCTGCCGCTGCTGCACCCAGATAAGCCTTCGGTGTTTTGCGTTTTGGCAGTACATAACTTGTCTAGGGTTCATAAAGAAATCTCCCAACAAAATTTCTTTGGGAAATCAATCATGTTGATATCCAAGACGTGGGAAGGATGTGAGGAGAAGCTAGCAAGCAATTCGACACCCGTGTTTCCGACCAGACACAAAACAAAGCAATCCATTGAGAGTGGTGCCTACTCCATAGAGTGGTAGTAGTAGTAGTACTATAGTGCACAAGCAGAAGAAGTGTTGTCAAATAAAGCAATGGGTTTATTGGAGACCAGTATTTGTTATGAGATATCATTGATACGTCTCACCATCTCACCTAATAATTCTGTCAACTCATCGCTGTAAAGTGTGACTGTCAGCAAGTATATATTACATCCCTGGGGATTACAGCGTAAGTAACCCGACTGGTCAGTAATTACTGTCAATACATGATATACTCTTTGTGGGCTTTTTACCAGTCGCCATGATTGAGTGACTTGTCTCGTCTGGAAAATTTCAGCCTTGCCCCGCGCGCATTCACCATCCTCATTCATTCATTTCTCCTAGGTATTCAGCTTACTTTGTTTTCGTACCACGCAATTATGGACAGAGTAAAAGAACAAGACTCCCGGGGAACTCGTAATTCTTATCAAGCAAAAAAATTCAGTCAAGAATCCAAAATGTTTCAATAATAAGCTTGTATAGAATTGAATTTAAACAGGCAAACAGTTATAGAAAACGGACCAAATGCAGCAAATTCAATGGCTGACTCGAAGCGGCCAATCTGTACAAAAAAACCCATCATCAATATGTGACCCCCTACTCTCCCTCGCGCTCTCTCATTCTCTCTCTTTTCCCACCCTCCCCGACCCCATTCCAATCCCCATTCCCAATCCGTCCTCGTCCGACACTGTCAAGACAGAGTATCTGGCCTCGGGCCTCGGACCTTTTCCCCTTTCCCCCCAGTTGCGTGATGTGACCATTACTCATGACCGAAAACGAAGAGAAGAAAAGATTTTCGGGATTTGTCGAGACGGGAAAGAAATAGTCGTCCATTCCAAACCGCTCCCGGCGGTGGATAATCGTCTTTGTTGAGCTAGCCTGACAAGTCCAGAAGAATCGACCCTCAAGCCCACCCTCGTGGTGGTGCTCTCTACACATGTTCCTTGAATCCATCCTCCTTCCCTCGCAATGCAACAATTTGTTCAACCAGATTCAAACATAGTCGAATGGGACAAGCAACAACAAAAACATTCAAGGAAATTCGTCAGCCGTGAAACGATCGTGAGGGAGGAAGTCGGTGGCGAGAAAAAAAAAGAGTATCAATGCAAGGGATAGTCAGGAGTAGTTTAAACCACTACCTGATGTGCAATAATGGAAAAGAGTGCGCGTAGCTGTCCGCTTTCAAGGACAAGAGTATCAAAACTTCCTCCCCGTCTCTGATGGTCCTGCCTTCCAATCGCTATTTCTTCACGGTGAGGTGATCAACAATCTAGATTTCTTGGTGGTGGCTGGGTTGATGTAGAGGAGCGAGCGAGCGGCTCATGACAAGACAAAGATACTGTCAATTGTCACATCGGCCAACGACCGGTCTCAGTCACACCCTCCCTTCTTCCCTCTGGTTATTTTTTTTTCCGGTGTCGGGCCCATCGAGGACTTTATTCGCAGAATCGAGACAACATGCAATCTGAAATGACAGTGGAAAAGGTGTTGCTCTAAACAATCGAGTGGTCAACTGCTCGCAATTTCAATCTTTGGCCAACAGTGGTGATGGCAACAAGATCGCAACACTTCTGGCGTATTCGGTGGTAGTACTTTGGTCGGTTGGTATGACAAGGCATAACCTGGCGTGAGCCCATATCTCTCTGAAGGTTCGTAGTCGATGAACAAAGGAAAGCAATGAAGATTATCCTAGCAAGACCAATGAGGTCCAAATAAAGAAAAGGCCTCCGATCTTGCCGAGACCATGAACCCGTCCACAACCTGAACAACGCTTGCTAACATGGCAATCCTCAAATGCAAGACAAAAGAGACTGAGAAAGAGAAGAGGTAGCACGGTGGAATCAATTCCAGTGCTAACCCAAATCCTCCTCGCCCTCATCCTCCTCTTCGTCCTCTGCACTTTCGCCGCTGATCTTTGACTTCTTGACTGGTGTTTCATTGTCATCAGGTCCAGCTTTCCTCTTGGTACCGGAATTTGTGTTCTCGACCTTCTTGGTGGTTGCAGGGGTGCCGTTGGGACCCGCCTCACCCTTTTCCAGTGCAGCAACTTCGTCGGCTGTCAAGAATCGGCCTCCGGGCCCACGAGGTCGTCGCATGGCATGGTTGTGACGGGATTCGTGGAGATACGGCTTGCGACCCTTTGATGTGAGGCGGAGTTGTTCTTCAAGCTTTTGTCGAGCAACGCGCCGTTTGAGGATGCGGTGGAACTGTTTGGCGTTGACGTACAAAGGCGATTCTTCGACTCCTCCCGCCACAATCTCTTCTGCGGGGGCTTGAACCGGTTGTTGTGGAGGTTGCATAGCCGGAGGTACAGATTGCCTGGGCATGTTATGGTTCATCACCGGTTGTGAAACTTGACCGTGGGGGCTGGTAATATGCTGGCTCATTCTTCTCTGTTGTCCCATCTGTGAGCCTTGAGGCATATTTACTCCGGATGATAGTGGAGGCATTTGTCCTGTCATGATGTTAGCAAAATCGCGTTTGACGCGCCGAGACGTTCGAGAATCTACTGACCAGATGCTGCTGCTGTTGCCATCGCAGCTGCCTGCGTGGGAGATATACCATATCCCTGGGTCATCGCGGGACCCATTCCATATTGGTAACCCATCGATTGATGAGCGCCGCTTGCTGTTTGAGGTTGGTAATGGTTCTGGGTCTGCGATGGGAGGATGGGGGATGCTTGGTTGGGGTTGTGTTGTTGCAAGTGCGACTGACCACTGGAAGGAGACTGCAGAGTCCCGGGCCCTGCGCTCTGGGGCGAAGTTTGATACCCGCCCTGCAGGTGTGGATGTTGAGTATGCTGCTGATATTGCGGAGGATATTCCATGATGAATGTGAAGTCTGAGGAAGCTCAAGCTGTTCTCTCTGTTCTAGTCGCACGGCTGCGGAAAAAGAAGGTTGCGGCCCGTGGAGGGGACTTGCTGGCCGCCTCAATGTCGCGCGTGCGGGAAGACGCAGGACTCCGAAGACTAAGCGTGACGGTTGAGAGGAACAAGGCGTGAGGTGATGGCTGAAACGCGCTCTTTCGGGGGGGTATCGTGCTTTGAAAAGCAGCACAATGGTACCTAGGCACTCTGATAGGAGGGTCTAGGAGCGGTAGAATGGAGCCTGTGCCTTGCGTTAGCAGCTAGCGCAGTATTTACCGGTCACTGGACCTGCTCTCAAGCACCAATACTCACGATGACGGCTCGACGAGCAAGATTATGCAACGAGCGTTTGAGCAAGACGAAAGACTGACCACCTCTCCACTATATTGACGGAATCGAGTCAACAAATGAGGCGAAACTAGGTCGCTGATGATCTAGCAAGTGTCGTCAGCGGGCAGGATTCGCCTCGTTTTGGGCTACTTTGCAGCAACCTGAGCTGGGGTTGGCGTAGTGCTGCGCTTGATGATGTGTTGTCACTTCTTTTCCGCGTGGGCAGTGCGAAAGGGCAAAGTGTGGCGCGGGTTGACGATGCCTGATCCCAAGCTTTCCGGTTCGGCTGTGTGCCAGCTCTTGCGACGAAACTAAACCCACGGTCTCGGTGGACGAGAGTCGCGATGCTTCTGTTGACGTTTCTAGCAACCACTCGCTTTCCAGAAGCTTGAGACGCGCGCGCGCAGGTGGGATTGGATTGACTGAGTTGCGGCGGCGGCGAAGGTGAATGATTCGAGGGCGGAAAGGGCAGGTAAGCTGCGATTCGACTCCCGGGCTACGTAACAGCACAGAATGAATCAGTATTGGCCGTGAGTAGGGCAGCAATGACAACAGGAGCAGTTATTGGGGGAGTAGGTTGAGTGGGAATATTTAGATGGTGATAATTGGAGGCGACCGATGATGTGTTGGCAAGTCATGCAACTCACCTCTAGTCCGTGTCCCACAATGAAGCTGGACTGGGATCTATTCTTGTACGCGATTCTTGTTGGGATTGTTCTTTTGGCGACGTCAGATGTCTTTCGCGAGGGTTTGTTGCACGGTATGCAGCAACCACAATGGCCGGAGCTGATGTCGTTTCGGCTCTACAAATCGCGCGCCAAATCGCGGCAACGAGATGGACAATTTCTAAGTTTTGCGCGTTCCGATATGGCGTCGGCGAGATAGTCGCAAGCCGGTCGCAAAGAGAATTACCAGTATCCGTACGCGACTATGAAATGGTAGAAGAGAGTAGGGTGGTTGGAAGCGCTGGGTAGTTGAACACCGGGACCGGTTGGAGTTGGGAGTCGGTCGACCGGTGATGTGGGTGGAAGGGTGATTGTGTGTTAGCGGTGAGCAGCGGGAGATTTGCCGCAGATGGTGGGCTGCAGCGCTGGCAGTCGGACAGGGCTGGGATCAGATCAGAGCGAGCAGCAAAGCGGCGTTTGCCTGCTTTGGGCTGATCCGAGCTGATGAGATCACACCTAACAGCTCCTGTTGCAGGATTTTCCTGGCTTGATCTTCCAGTGTCGACGATGAAGGCGAGGCTCTACTGTCCAGGCGTCGTTGAACGGTCGCCGTCACTGATAGGTCGTGCTTGTTTACCAGGAACGTGGATCTGGTTGAAGAAGCAGTCGAATCAAGTCGAGCGCGAAGATCGAGCGAGGTGATTCGGCGACCAGCTTTGGTTGAAGGCTTGTTGGGGGCTGGTCACTGGTCGACAAGGCGGGAAGAGTGTCGCAATACGAAGCCCCCCACGTGAACCACAAGGGCACTGAGGTGAGGAACGTCTGAGTGGATGGAGGGCAAGAGGTAAGGTGAGGTGATTGGATAGGCAAGGAAAAGAAGTTGAAACGGTGGGCGATTGGGCGACGACAGAAAGGTGAAAGAAAAGAGGAAGAATGAGTGGACAGTGGGCGGACGGACAAATAGAAGAAGAGTTTTCGGCCTGGCGAGAATGATCTGACCGTTTGACCGTGCCCTTTCGTAATTTACTTGGGTTGTTGGCCTTGATGGAGACGCTCGGCAGTGAGAATGACGGGCAGCAGACGCCAGGCAGAAAGAAGAAAAGAGTCGACAAGGGTCGTTCGCCTGGTGCCCTCACAAAAAGTGAAAAGTGCTTTTTCCCTACTCCGTATTCGTACTTCGCTTCTGTTTGCTCGACCGGCAGCTGCGACTACGAGTGCGCGCTACGACTTACTACTACTACGACTACGACCAACCACCTCCAGTCCTCGTGACTCAGGTTGGCTAAACCACTTTGGGCTCTGACTAATCGCACTACTTTCCGCGATGGAGTACCGCCCATACTTTACGGTGCACAACTCGTACTGCGCACCTTACACGTACGTCCATCATCACTTCTGTCGTGCTTTGAAAGCATCGGTGATGTTATTGATCGTTAGCTGTTTGCAGTACCTAGGTAGGTCGGCGATCGTATGCATCAACGCGTGAATGTGTCATGAAAATTGCGCCGGCGGAGACGAGGATTCGCAATGTCAGTGCGTTTCAATATCTGTATGAACCAGCTCGTATCCGTACTCCGTTCTGTAAACAAAATGGAACTTCGATCCACGTCACGTGTTTGTTGTTATTTTTCCATCCGTCCAGCTCCTTCTCAACTGCGCCCACATGCCGGACCTCACCGTGAACTTGTATCCCATATTGGACTCCTCCTACTCGTACGAATGTCCGCATCCCTTCCCCGTATCCGTACGGACCAACACAATCAATCCTTTCCGCGCCCCTCCGATCAGAATTGCTGTAGGATCATCAAGAGAATGTTCTTCACCTCCGCACTGTGTAACGTCCTCGTTCCCTCGGCCCTTTTTCACTCACCATCTCGGTAGTGCGAGTCGGTGGGCATGCAGGGTAGCAATGCAGAAGCTCATTCATCTCTAGCCGAAGCTTTGCCCTGCGACTGGACTTGATACTCCGTATAGCCACCTCCGCTCCAACCTCCACGCTCAAACAGGTCACCGGCTCCGAAGCCGGATTGGTGAGTTCTCACCCATGCTCGTCAGTCCTCAACCTCGTCGAGAGGTGGAATGACGGCTAGTCACACGAGCAAAAGCGTCCATGGGTTCTCGCTTCTGCAACCCCTCGCACGAATAGTACTCCGTTCTGCCTCATCACATCTGTAACCTGACAAACGTCGTCGCGACAATCTTTTAACGCCATGTCGCGGACACCAATCAAATCTCCCATCACCAAGGAAAGCCATCCTACCCGCTGCCTTTCTTCCGTCACCTTCCAATGAGAGCGGTGAACGACCCATTGACCCTTTCTATTCGTCGCTTTCCCGAAAATCATGAGACACTTTGCTACCTCTGCCTCCCTGCCTTACCGCTGACTGAGGCTGCGCAGCAAGAAAGAGTTTCCTAACACGTAAGTCATCACCATGTTGACGCGTTTCATCCATCAATCTCACGTACAAGGCGGGAAATGAGGGTAAAGTTGGGTCCAAGTAATCTCCATTCGGCCTCGAGAACGTGCTTCAAGCCTGACCGTTGTGTCTACAGCGTACTGTACGGGGTATTCTATATTCTAGTAGACCTTTCTTCGTGACTAGGGATACTTGCTGCTTGTCCCATCCAAACCAGCGCTCCAACTCTGAGGCCGCGGTCCTCGGTGTCAAGGAACAGACCCCGTCTGCACGTTCAATCGCTGACGGCCCGTTAAACGAGTATTGGCTTCTTTTGTGCATGCCCTCAATCACTCAAAACCATCCTAAGCATGGCCAGGAAAGGTTCTCTCATCTTCAGCACCTCTGAGACCTCCGGCTTGACGGGCTCACCCGCAGTGCGCCTCAAACGGTCTTGTGCTTTTTTCCTTCTGCGTCGCTCGGCTTGAATCGGATCCAGATCGTCATCGAGCTCTTCGTCATCTGTATCCCCCTCGTCTTCTTCGTCTGAAATTTTCAAATCCATGAGATCGGCCTAGACGGCTGTCAGCTAGTAGCTCATCACTGTATGAGCGTACCCCTTACCTCGTGCAAACCAAAGTCACTACTTCTGAATGCCGACACCCCCGGCGCGCCGTCGGAGGATCCCGTGCCCTCAGCGGCCATCTTCTGCCTTGTCTTATCGCTATGCCACTTTTTGCGGTCCTCCTGCCACTTGATCAATGCATCGATTTCCGCAATGCAGACCTCTTTGTCAATCACGCTCATATCCAGAGCGCCCTGGAATATGGCGTTCATGTCTAATTTGCCACCTTGAGGCCCTTTTCTTAGGAACTCCAGAATTCCTTCGATCCATCCCATTAACGCTGTAAAGAGGCCGTTGTCATGGATATGAACTTCGTGTATAAACTTGTACAAGTTGTGCTCATGCCGAGCACACAGATCAATGAACATCTGCACCGTCTGATTGGGGTCAGCCGAGACATCTTGTCGCTGGGCCACTTCTACGGTCTTGATCACATCGTCAGCGAATTGGGCAAAGTCCGTGATGCTGCTGTAAACATTTGCAGATTTGTAAACACGGATCAACGGTTCGTAGAAGATGGTAAAGAGGTCTCGGAATAATTGCAGCGTAGTGGGTTCTTCGATCATGGCCGCCATCATTGCTTTGTCTCGCTGACGAGTCATCAGCTTCAGCAGCTGTTTCAGTTGAGAAAACATCTCAGCCCCTTGCTTGAGCTCCTCGTCGTCGTTTTCGACCGCGCTGTTCCAGGCGACCCAGGCGTTATACACCCGCTGTATTTGTGGAGGCGTTAATTCGGGGTTAAACTCTTCTGATCGCAGGATAGACACAACAAGATCGATATTTTCGCTTTGAGCCTCGTCTCGTACAGCATTCTTCGTTTCTTCTGAGGATTCCACGAATGCTTTCAACTTGTTGGTTAACACAGGATCTGCAATCTTCCCTACCAGGTCATCAATCGATCTTTGAAATTGTCGGATGCCATCTGCGAGTGCCTGCGCGAATATCCGTTGCAGGAGTGACTTGGTCCCAAAAGGTTGTGCAAGAAACAAGTCTAGGACACCAGACATGACAGCAGCAGGATTCGCAATGCGTATCACATTTTTGAGCACCGTGTACGGTACCAATGAATGTATTCGGCGGGCTTGAGCGAAGAGCTCAGGCGAGTTGTCCTCGGCTAGGAACAGGTGGTAGATGGTGGCAGCGACCTCAATCCTCAACCATTCTGCGAACTTTTTATACTCGGGACTCAGGTCCTCGAGTTTTTCCTTGTTCCGGATCTCGGCGAATAGCTTTGTCAACCCATTTCTTTCCACGATGTCCCTCCGAAACTTTTCCATGTAGCTATCAAGCTCAGCAGCTCGTTTCCTGGCGATCTCGTAGAACTGTTTCTGTTCTTCCAATCGTCGTGCGTCCATGTCCTTCCGTCTTGAAACATCTTCAAGCTCCTCTTCATTGAGGGCGATAGGTTGAGAGCTAAAGAAGTCGGCGACAGACTTGGACTCAGCGAACTGGGGATTCTGCAGCATCGTTCTTAAGAAGGCTCGGAGTGAAACACGCTGGTCTTCGCGATGCAACCGAATGGGTTGTGGACTTGGCTCCCTGGACAGACTAGGTCGCGGGGATGTTTTCCGTTTGGGCGTGCCTGTGCCAGAACCCGCAGTAAGGCTCAAGGAAGACTTGAGACGTCTGTGGGTAGGGGTATACATGCGGCCCGAGTCCTCCATGAGAGACGCCTGTGTGGATACTGACGAAACAGACGAGGCATCGTCGTCTGCCCCAGGCATCAACGAAGACATGGTAGAGCTTTTGTTCTTCCTGGGCAACGGGGGTAGCATCTTTCCCGGCATTTCCCTACGCAAATTCTTGTGGAGTTTGACAAAATCCCCGTACCGCCTACCAACATATCTCTCCGGTTCGTCGGCCTTCTTGACGCGGATCAGGAATTCTGCATGTTGGTGATAGCGAACTGTCCTCTTTACAGATGTGATTCTGACCGCGGCAACATTGACGTCCCAGCCATTGATGTAATTTCCCTCGGGCTGATTCACGACCAGACCTTGCTCATTTGCGCCTCGGTCCACCACCTCCATCTCTGCAAACCGTATTCTTTCTTCGTAGCCAGAAGCAGTGGGTATGCCAGATACCATCATCAGCTCAACCAGCTTCTCTGATTTCTTTGCCAGCTTCCTCCTCTTTGTTTCTTCTAATCTGTCTTCCGAGGAGGAGATGTACTTGCTCGCAAAGGACTCGAGGAATACTTGCAGCTTGTCTTGCCAGAACTCCTTTTCTCGTGCCTGGTTCAGAAAAGGAAACTTTCGCACATGGTTGACAAAAATGTAACGGAGCAGAGGCAACTCTGACTCCATGGGAGAGACCTCGCCATATTCTGAGCGGAAGGGAGCACCGAAACGTTGAAGGGCTGTGGGACTGTTGAGTTCCTGAATTTCAGCATGTACTTGTCTCGAAATGAGTTCTCGCTTCAGATAGTGTTCTTGTTTGCCTGTCAAGATTTGTCCTGAAGGAGGTTGAGAGTCTTGCGTCGACTGCGCCCGCTCGACGGTGATCTGGGGCACTTTGGCGTTTCCATTGACCTCAGGCGCAGTCTCGAATCTTTCAAGAGTCGGGCCTTGCGTTGCCATATTGGAGGATAGTGTTGCAGAAGCCTCCTCAAGGGATGGGACGGAGAAGTAGACTCAGTATAAAAGAAAGAATGTGGTGACGCTGGTGCAGGTACAGTAACGGGCAGGACAAGGCAGATCCCCCATTCCTAGATTCTTGGTCAAACTGAGATTCCCTAGACTCCGTCGGGCTCAGCAAGGATCTGAGTCTTGAAGACCAAACAAATGACTGTTCATGATCTAGTTCAGTGCCACACAACAGTCAAGCGTGGCTGAAAACGCATCCATGGAGTCGATAAACTTGAATATTGGAGGTGACGATTGACGCAAATGACTGCGTCATGGGGCTGGAGGCTGGTGAGCGCAGCAGCAGCATTGACGCCTAGCGAGCCTAGTGAGTCTTGTCGCCTAAGAAGCCTAAATGAAAAGCCGCTAATAGTGATCACTAGGTGCTTCAGGGGCCCATATATCTCCCCAACACGGGTATTACCTGCGATCCAGGGCGCAGGAGGGGCTTCAGGCAAACCAGAGTGTCCCCTTATTCGTCTCACAGGGGCTTGCAACAGCGGAGAGCGGGAGGGATCCAAGAGTTGGCCAGGCGTTTTGTTCGGCACGCTTCCCGCAGCTGACGACGACAATTTGCTTGGACCAAAGCCCTCGGGACTAAAGGTATTTTTGTCACCAAACGACCAATGTGGAAATATTAGACTTGAGCATACGCAAGACAGCAAGCATCATTCTATACAAAGTTCGCTCACAGAACATACACCAACTTTTGCCCGCTGACTTTGTCGTGCCTCATGAGATCGAGACCCTCGAAAACATTCTCAAGTCCTTTTCCCACCTTGGGCGGATGAACCTTCACCCGACCTTGTTGCAACATAGGTTCGACCTCTGCAAGCCATGTCTTCATAAACTCAAAATCTTCTGTGGTGTCTGGTATATCCCAAACCCATTTCTTGATCGGTTCACCTGCTGCGGTATATCCTAGAGAGACGGTGGTCTTAACGTCGTTCCGGGGAGACTTGACCACCAGGAGAGTGCCGTATATGCCGCCGGCTGGACCGATTGCGTCCGTACAGATCTGAGCTGTGTTGGTCAACGAGATCGTATCCCACACATACTTGAGGTTGTTGTTGGTGTACTCTCTGATTTTCTTCGCACATTCCGGGTCGTTATAGTCGAACGCTTCTGCTGCTCCTAAGGATTTGACGAGGCCAAAATTTCGCGGAGAGCAAGTGGTGATTGGTGTGTACCCAGCCCTTGTGTCTCAGTTAACTCTCTTGGTCCGGGAATATGTGAATCGAGCGAAGACTTACATTTTGACAAATTGAATACCTAGACTTCCCGTGGCAGAACTGCCTCCATATATCAGGATATACTCACCTTTGCTGTTGGGCTTGCTGGGAAGGTCCAAGCCCATCTGCTGGAAAAGCCCTTGGCCACAAGTGACGATCCCTACGCCCAAGGTGGATGCTTCTTCGAAGGACATGCTGTCTGGGATACGCATTTGGATGTCTGCCTTGACCGCGATGCGTTCCGCAAAGGCACCATCTTCAGACTCTCTGTCATTTCCTCCATGAACAAAGCCACAAATGCGATCACCGACTTTCCAGGCCTTTGAGTAGCCGGTACCTGTCTCTGCGACCACTCCAGCGTAATCACATCCGCTTAGGCAATTTTTCGTATTGGTGTAGTCGATATGCTTCCAGTCTGTCGGATTCAGCGCGACAGCCTTGACATCGACAAGAAGATAACCGGGTCGAGGCTTAGGATATGGTCGATCAGTGACCAGCGATGCCTTGCCGGGCTCGCCCTGCATCACAATGGCCTTCATGATGGCAGTATCGCAGTGCTTGCAATGTTCGGGTGCTGCCAGTGTCGAGGTTCCTAGTGATATAGGATTGACGCAACAAGGCACAAGGATCAATATTCAAGTCAGGATGAAAAGCCGACTTTGGAAAGTGAATGGTGGAGACCGAGGTTGATGAATACTTATTGTGTCATTCTACGGAGCCGGTCCAGCATGGCCACGGAAACCTCGTACTTCATATATGTACGAGTATCAAGAAACTCAGCACACCGGACTCATACTCCACTCATACTTTGATATTCAGGCCAATGGCTGGTGAGTCTCTCCTCAACCTTCCGTGCATCGAAGTCCATCCGAGTCGGAGTGAACATGGAACGGGAACCCCGCCTTACTAATATAAGTACGGAGTATTACGGAGAACTCGTATTCAAACATCAGTCTACCCACCTGGCAGAGAACCTGTTCCTCTCGTTCGTGCACCCTTTGCTGATCTGTCCACAGGCCCGCCCGAAGTAGTCCAGCCAGTCCCTCAAACTTGATACTGATCCACTCTCCTCACACAATGACCAAGAGAGTTCGTCCGACCGAGAGGTTGTAGCCGAATACCGCCGTGTTCTACAGGTATGGGAGCATTTGTCACTTGTGAGTGTCTGGATTTACATAACATCATGACAGGGTCTTTGTGCATGAAAGCTTAGTCACATATATGCCCCCCGACGAGTGCAGGGCCTTGGGGCTGAATACTTCCTGAGAGTCTTGGAGCGTGTGAAAAGAGAGGACGAGAAGTCAATAGCCATCGTGCGGTGGAAGCATTCCGGCGTCAAATTAATAAGCAGCGGTGAGGGCTTGTCTATACCCCCGGACCTAGCAACGCACACCTTGCGACGAGAAGAGAGGACTGAAGCCGTAATGCTGCGAAGTACGGATACGAGTGGTTGTTATATCCCAAATATGTGTTGTTGCTTGTACTCCATGATGTGTTAGACCCAGAACATCTCACTTCGGCTAACCTTCCCTTTTCGTCCGTCTCTCTCCGCATCAAAATTATTTTCTTGTCCTCGTACACCGTTCGGATCATCGTGAACAACTCTACCACGAGCGCAGGTTACCTTGAGAAGAACGATTTTGTTTTCCTCGGAAAATTTCTCTACGATCAACAAGTCCTCCCCGTCCCCACCCGTCTTAAAAAAGAACACCTTCAAAGCCATTTCGCCTCTTGGGGAGCCATCATGGTCCGCAAACTCAAACACCACGAGCAGCGCCTCCTCCGCAAAGTCGACCTGATCACCTACAAGTCCGACCGTTCTCATCGCGAAGCCGCCGTGCGCCAGCGCTACCACCTCACCCACCCGCTCGACTACTCCAAGTACAACGCCCTCTGCGGACGCCTCTGCCAGCTCGCCCACCTCCTCGCCAACCTCGACCCGGCGGACCCTTACCGCGTGGAGATGGAGACGGTAGTGCTCGAGAAGCTGCACCAGATGGGGCTTTTGAAACAGAACCGCGGCCAGGGCGCCGGCCTCTCCAGCGTCGCAAAAGACGTGACCGTCTCGGCCTTTTGCCGGCGCCGGCTGGGCGTGTTGATGACCCGGACGGGCATGGTCGAGCACGTCGGCACGGCCCACAAGTTCATCGAACAAGGCCACGTCCGCGTCGGCACCGAGGTCGTGACCGACCCTGCCTTCCTGGTGTCGAGGGGCATGGAGGACTTTGTGACGTGGGTCGACGGCAGCAAGGTCAAGAGGCAGATCCTACAGTATCGTGAGAAATTGGACGATTTTGATCTGTTGTGAACTTGACGAAGAGGAAAATTAAAATAAAGAGAAGTATGCCATGGACATCACCTGGAACCTTGTCGTCCACGACGTTCTACAGCACATCTCGACTGCCAAATTTCGGGAACGAAACGCACCCGCCCCAGGAGAAACAGCATACGTTGACCCACGGGCCCCCGACAAACCATCAATACCAAAAGGCGTACATTGAAATTCCCAGTCGACCATGAATGTACGGATGTCAACGATATTGGACGTACAAGCAACGCACTCGAAATGAAACGCCCGTGCCTCGATGATGACTAAGTAGAAGCACAGTCAGAATGATGCTCCGACACCTCGTCCTTCCGCAAAGATGACAGAACTGGCTGTCGACGATCCAAACAGCCTCGAGCCAAAACACTGAAGGATTTTCGTCTATCCAACAGCCTCGGATGGTCAAATCCAGGTCTTGTATGGCATCCAGTGTAAGACGACGCGGTTGGCCCTTGACCACCAGTCTGCGACCGTATTGGACCATAGGTTCCAAGGTGGAGCGAACGATATCTGAAATCGAGATGCTCTGGCTGTGCAGAGAGACCGGGCCTGTGCAAGTGTGATATATATGTGGGAAGGGATCGCCATGAAGCAGTACCGGAGAGAAGGGGTAGCAGAAGAAAATGCGCATATGATAGATACACTGACATTGACGAAGAAACGAGAATTTTTAATCCTGAGACAAGACATGACCACTTTGTGCACTGAACCTGTCAATTCGCGAGCGAGTATTTTGTACTTGTTTTTTTTCTAGTTTCGAGCTTTATGTCTACTAGTTCTAATTCTCAATAATGCTGCCTTTTGCTGAAACGAATAACGAATTGACTCTTGGAGCAATAAGAAACTGCTCTCTAGCTCTTGTCAACTCGTTTAATAATGACCTGTCTTCTCTCCTCGACTTGATCAATGGCCATCATGAGTGTGACAAATGAGTCGCCCACCCACGACGTAGAACCCAGTTCTCCACCAGCACGCACGCATTTCACGAATTGTCTTCGTGGGAGAGCACCGAACCCTCCGTGATGCCTGAATTTCATCCAATACCAGTGCAAAGCGATATCAGGAACAGGAGAGCTATTGGTGTTATGCTCTCCTTAGTCTCAAGAACGGATTGTTGCTTGGACAAGGTTGGTGCACGCAAAGGGTCCATGTTCCGTTACTCATGTCTCATGCTGTCAAGGTCGTGCTGAAGTCGTCAGAGCTGAAACTAAGAAACGTCGTCTGGATTGATGCACGATCAAGAGCATGCGGACGGCATCGTCGATTATGTGATTGCTTTAGTTCGCCGGAGACTGCCTAGAAAGTCCAGTGCTCGTCGACAGACTTGATGGCCCATTCGAACTTCTCACGCAAAGTTTTGGAGAAGAATTTCTCGATCGGTACATTGAACTTCTTGCTGAAGACGACAGTCAACCGGGGGTCAATGTAGTTCTGTTTGAGCAGTTAGCAATTTGTGCGACAGGTATGTCTCCAAAGCGACAACTTACGATCTTCGACGTTCCCAATGCCACCTCTTTATTGTTCTCTCGGTCTTCTGCCTGGATCTCCATATTGGCAATCCTCTGGTCGAGTTTCTTGACGTTTTCCTCCAACTTCTCTACGGAAGGTGACTTGCCCTCGGGCTCAACCTTCTTGGTCTTATTCTCCTTCTTGAACTTCTTCTCGAGGTCCTTGACTGCTTCGAGACGGTCGTTGAGCTCGGACTGTTTCATTGGCTTTTGACCCTCCTCTTTGAGCTTTTCGTTCTCTTTTTCGAATTTCTTCGTGATCTTCGTTCTCAGCTCTTCAACAAGGTAAGCTTGGTGCTCAAGAATCCACGCCTCGTCAATATCGTCGGGGAGTTGAAAGTATTCTGCTCCCTTCTTCTTCTTGATCTTTGGCTCCACTTCAAGCATCATTTGCTTGATGCGCCATTGCTGATATTTGACAGCTTTTAGTCTATCGCCCAGCTTTTCCATTTGTCCAGCGTGAGACGCTGCCACAGTCCGCTTGTGATTACAGAGGATGGCCACTTTGCGGTTGGCGTCGTTGTAATCTTTTAGCTTTTCAAGAATGGTTCCCTCGGATTTCATCTCAGTCAACAGCTTGGACATGGTGAAAGATGCATTATATGTACGGAAGACCTTGGCGGTGAGTCCAGCCATGTAGTTCTTGAGATGATTGTTGAGCTGAGTTGTTGTCAACCGATCGAAGATGTCATCACCTTCCCTCTTTGGCGGCTTCTTGAAGATCTTGAGGTTTTTGAACACCTGTGGATCGACTTCAAATTCCTCATGGAACCGGATGCTGTCTTTTCCGAGAAAGTCGAAGATGACAGTGCTCGGCGCGCGCAGAGTAATGTGCTCGTATTTCAAAGAGCAGCAGCCAACAGTGTCAGCCTCATCATCGCCTTTCTCATTGCCCGCACGAAGAGCAAACTGATCGATCAAATACATAGCCGTGGCTTTTTGACGATCCGCCATGAGCTCTGATTTCAGATCTTTTCTGTAGTCTTTCCTGATCCGATCGATGTGCTTTTTCAGCTCTCGTGCCTTTTCGAACTTCTTGAAGTCACTCTGGCCTTTCACATCGGAACTAGCAGCAAGCATGACGTACTTGTAGTTCCCGTTGATGTTCTCCTGCCACATGGCAAGCCAAGTGCCTTGCTTGTCATGCTTGACTTCTTTCCACTTATGACCTTCCGGCGGTGGAGGGACCGTTGCTTCTTTACCAATGTTGATTGTGATTTGTTCGGGCATGACTCTTGTCTTCACGTGCCCAGTCTTTGGATGCTCGCCTCGGCCACGGAACAGACCAGGAGGCTCTACTCGGAAGTTGCCAACCTTTTGTTTCTTGCCATCCCATATGCAATGCATGTAAGGTGCTTCTGCGGCATCTTTTGCGGCTTTGATGGCCTTCTTCTCTGCAGTCGGAAGAGCCTTTTTGGCCTCTCTTTGTGCATCGTAATGTTCGAAGATGGCCCTAAAGTCTAGCTTGGTAAATTCCTTGATAGCGATTTTGTTGCCCTCTTTGTCCTTGGCACCACCAGTCTTCTTTACAACCTCGGTGAAATCTTTGAAGAAGTTTTTCTGGAACGTCGGGTTTTCCACATTGTGCGTTGAATTCAGCATTGACCCGAAGAATGTAGCAACTTCTTCGGCTTCCAGATGGAGATGAATAGGTGTGCCGTCGTACTTCAACTTAACATGGCCGGGCAGTGGCTCGTAGGGAGGAGGAAAAACAACGCCGTTGTGCTCGAGCGTTTCCCATTTGTTTGTTCCGTCACCTTTCGTAGGGTCCTCCCACCATTTGACTTCATCGTTCTCGTCTTCATCATCCTCCGGATCGGCAGTCTCTTCCTTTTTAACGGCTTTTGCCTTCGTGGCAGGTTTCTTTCCAGGAGTGGATGACTCGGCTTTGACCTTCTTAGAGGTTGCCGCAGACACTTTTCGGGCCAATGGTTTGTCATCATCTGAGGAGTCCTCCTTCTTCACTTTTTTAGCTGGTGTGTCTTTCTTTATGGGTTTGCTGGCTTCTTTCTTTTGCTCTCTGTTTCGGATTTGTTTGGCTTCCTTTTCCGCTGCCTTTTCGATCTGTTGCTTCTCCTTGGCCAATTTCTTTCCTAAGGGAACATCGGAGTCGGAGGACTCGCCAATCTGAGCAGCAGTGGCACGAGGTGGCTTCTGAACTGATTTGCCGTTCGCTTTTGATCTTGGAAGCAGAGGAGCGTCGTCCGAATCAGATTCCACGGTCGTAGTCGTCCTTCGCTTCTTGCTCTAATTATGAGTTAGCGAATCTTGTCATAATTCCTGTCAAATTGAAGTATAAGCTTACAAGAGGCTGGTCATCATCGCTACTACTTTCGGCCTCTGCATACGATGGACGCGTATTGCTTTCCCGTGCCTTGCGCTTGACAAGTGCACCGTTTGTCAGAGAACCATTGACGTCGGTCATTGTCGTATCTTGCGTTTTCACATCACCATTTGCAATGGAAATGCCGGGCATAGTTTCGCCATTGGTAGGAACCTGTCGATCCATAGTTGCGTCGACTTTAGAGGAGATCTTTGAAGAAGATAGAGATGTGACTAGAGGAAACAACTCAGTAGATGATCACTTGTGAAGTGACGAACGCTTCAAAGGAGTTACAAAGTGATAAGGATAACAGAGGAAACTAACGTACCACCATTGGTGCGGCCGGGCTTTCTTGATCCCGAGAGGGGCATGTCGTCGTCTGAGGAATCCATTGTGCTCGTATAGGAAGGCGAACAATGTGAGCCCCGAGAAATTTGCAAAAAGAGACGAATGCCGCAGGTTCGTGGTGGTGAAGCCGAGAGAAAGAGACACTGAAAGGACCTCCCAAACGCGCCTCGGACCGCAATGTTGGAGGTGGTGGAGAGAAAACAGGCGAACTCGAGGTTTGGAGACGAGATCGTTCAGGCTCTGAAGGTGGTTGTGAAGTGAGGTGAAGGTGAGCGACAAAGTGAAATGAAGAGAGAACAAAAGAGACAAGAAAAATGGCTTGGTCGGAAAGAAGTAGAAGACGCCAGTCGTCGTGAGGTGCTGGTGCTCTGGCTTTTGAAGGGATTGACTGCGGCGAACGGCCCACCACAGAAACGACACTTTTCTCTGTTTGGGGTTTCTTATTGCTGCATGAGGCTGCTCCCGTATTGGGTTTAGGCTGACCACGTGACGGCCCTCAAACTGCGGAAAGCTCGTTCGGAAACCTCATTCCCAGTTCACAAGGGAGCTCATCTGCACCGCGACTCTCCTCTCCTGCAACCAACACTCTCTCGATATCGCTCCATTACTGCTTCGTGGTCAGTCGAGCTACTCACGATGCTGTCCCGAGCTGTGAGACCAGCCCTCAGCGCTGGCAATGCCGCCTTCGCCAGGTAAGCTCTCCCCATCCCTCCGGCTGTTCTTAACAGCTTGGACATCATGTTTCGGACGGACGATATGCTAATCTATCTGCAGAACGGCGGTGCCCCAGGCTGCCGGTTACGCCACCCTACGAGAAATCGAAGGTATATCATTGAGAAAGGAATGCCCCGCCATATCACTGACCTCGCTTCAGGCCGTCTCAAGTCCATCAAAAACATCGAAAAAATCACGAAGACGATGAAAATTGTGGCCTCAACAAAGCTTACTCGTGCCCAGAAGGCTATGCGCGACTCCCGAATCTACGGTCAGACCTCTAACAAGGTTTTCGAAGAAGCCGAGACGAAGCCATTGGAGGAAAAGAAAACACTGCTCGTGGTTGCAAGCTCCGACAAGGGTCTCTGCGGTGGTATTCATTCCGGTCTGACACGTTACACTCGCCGCATGCTCGACGCCGACCCCAACCTGGACCTTGCCGTTATCGGTGAAAAGTCCAAGGCCCAACTCGGTCGATCGAATGCTCGAAACATTGTCTTGAGTTTTGCTGGCATTGGAAGGAATGTCCCAACCTTTGCCGACGCTCAAGCAATTGCCGACCAGCTTGTCATGCTTCCGGAGGAGTACGCCAGCATTAAAATACTCTACAACAAGTTCGTCAACGCCCAGACCTACGAGCCCGTGATCATCGAAGCCTACTCGGAGGAAGCAATTACGGAATCACCCAACTATGCTGCGTTCGAAATTGATGATGAAGTTCTTGCGAACCTCCGAGAATACACCCTTTCAAACTCTCTGTACTGGGCTCTGGCTGAAGGACACGCTTGCGAACAATCTGCTAGACAGAATGCCATGGATGTGAGTAGTTTTCCAGTTTCTGATGTCTGAATATTACTGACCTGCTCCTAGAATGCCTCGAAGAATGCTGGCGACATGATCGGAAAGTTCACTATCTTGTACAACAGAACTCGACAAGCTGTCATCACAGGAGAATTGGTCGAAATCATCACTGGTGCCACCGCATCGGAGGATTTGTAGGTGTTATTTGAGAAAGATGTTGTACATAACCACCGAAAAAGAACTTTCCTTGTGCTCTGAGCAGCACTTGAATCCAGAATTTTTTACCTGAACATTGATCATGTTGAATGCATCCCCCCATCCGGTTTGAACCTGTTTATAAGAACAACAGGCGTGATTTCTACGTGAGCGTCGCTACGATTCTGGGAAACTGGTCATTAGGGCCTTTCTTTGTTGTCAAGAAGTCTTCAGTTACAGTCTACATGTCTCACGACGCAGAAGGTATGCTCACTGACCACTGACCAATCTGCGCTACTTACAATTGTACCGGTTATACTACTCACTACTCGTCTCAGAAGTTCAAAGCCGGTGAACTCGCCATCAACATCCTTCAATTCGTGTCCGGCATCACGTGCAGGCAGTACGCGTGAATTCACTGCTGCCAGGCGTCGTTGCTACGTTGCTACGAAGACCAGCTTCACATATTGGTGCCTGCCGATTTACATCAACATGTATATTCACGGCCAAGCTATCGCCACAGGCAATGGTTTGGCCTTATGTTTATCTTCTCATGATCATTCCAATCCCTCTGTTCGTCCCATCACCACACTCCTACCCACGCACTCTCTACAGCCCAATACGCTCTGCACCAGCCATCAAACACCTCAAGCTTTCTATCCACATCATTTCCAGCTTCTTAGCTGCTCTCAAATCGTCACAGACTTGTCCCGTCACAATGGACAAGCTACCCGATTCCCCCTACCTTGACGTTTTTCGGACTCGAGCTGGCGAGCTCGTAGCGAGCCTTCCAAAGACCTCCTCCAAGCTGCCTACCATGCCAGAGAAGGTGACCAGTGGCATGAGACCATTTGATCTGAATGTGCAAAACCTTCTGAAGTACCTCAAAGAAATTGAAAAGGTCTATGAGCGTTCCAAGGTTCAAGAAGCACGCCGGAAAGTTCAGAAGTTTCGCACGACGATCAAATCTTTGCAGCAACTGTCTCACAAACGCCCGGAGCTCTTCATCAAGAAAGAGTCCTTCGACTTCAGTCTCAGTCCTATGACCGACATCACTGAGAGTTCTGAAGAGCACCAACAGTTTGAAGCACATACTCCAACAAGAGTCAATGGAGCATTCATTGTCACACCTGAAACATTAGAGCACAAAGCCACCAGTCCAGGCGATCACCAAGACAATCACGAGACTTCGGACAATGAGCAGGGTACACCCGATTTCCGCCCAATCATTCCCATGCGAAATACAAAGCGACAGCCTAGCTATTTGGATCAAGTGCAACCAATGGTCACCAGAGACACTCCTTATGCTGGCAAATTCGAATTTGCTCCAGTGGGCGGCAATCTGTCAACATGCTTTAAATTCGGTGCCGACCAGAATTCGCCCAGTAAGAGCAACGACCAGAAAACCACTCCAATTCCCTTTGAAGCTCAAACTGCTACAGTCGCTACTATCGAAGCACAAGCAACTGATGCCTGTGGACACAATGCAGTGCCAGAGAACACCCATGAAGCATGTGGCAATATATCTCTGAACCAGGAATACACTCTTGGTCATGTCTTTGTTTGGTCTCAACATCCTGTCCCCAATGGTGATGAGGACGTTTTGGTTAACGATCAAACTGTGTTGCCAGACAGCAGTCATGAAGCATGTGACAATGTTTCTGTGAACGAGAAATACACCCTTGGTCATGTCTTTGTTTGGTCTCAACATCCTGTACCAAATGGTGACGAGGGATATCTTGCCACGATAGAACTGTACGAAGCTGCCACTGATTCAGCCGCCAATACTCCCGATCATTCGCTAGTCTGTAACTCAACCGAGCAAACTACTTCCAATCATGAGTCTTCCACTGTTTCAGACATCTCTACCATGAGTTCTCACAAGGACATCTTGGACGCAAATGAAGCTGCACAGGACCTTGCTGTGGCCACTTCAATTGGATTTGCAACTGAATATGTACACACAAGCCAGTCATCTGTCGAAGACTACTGTGATACTGAAGCAAATCTCGCGACTCCACCACAAGCGACCATCGCGGCGACAGACAGCACTCCTACTGCCAGCGCTGCCGCTGGTACTGGTAATGTCATTGCAGAAGACGATCAGGTTGTGGAGTATGAAGACTCTCTTTCGGCAAAATCACCTGAACAGAGTGGTTGCGGATTCCAGGAAGCCGGAGACGCATCTGGTCTGGATTGCCTTTTCGACCCCTCTGACGCTGGAGAAAGCCTCGCCAAAGAATTGAATGAGCACGGCATGCTCGACGAGAACGATCTCGATAACGTCGCGGAAGATGAAATCCCTCTTGTTGCCACTTCTACAAAAGCCGAAGATCAGGGTGTCGAAGAAGAAGAGACTCTCCTCATGGCTACACGGATCTTTTTGCCCCCAAGCCCTGTCTCAGACGATACCTTGGGTGGTCCTATTGATGCCAATGACGATGATTTCTCTGTTTCTGATGGTGATGATAGTCTGATCATCATAACCGAAGAGGAGGCTCCGATTGAGGAAGTCGAGGAGGTGAGTCCTGCCTCGAAACTCGCAACTACCGTCACATGTCAGTCACCTTTCACCTCTACCACCGAGGAATACACTTTGCGCCACGTCTTTCCTCATACCGGGGATCAAGCACCGCCCGAGGGAGATACGGTCTCCATTGTGGATCATGGTCTTGGTCTTGAAGATACTCCAAATTCTCCGGCCGCTTCTGCTGATTCGACCTTGTGGGACGACCAGTCGCCCAAAACTGTCAAATTCGAAGACACTCTGGCTGTGTCCACTGCTCATCTTAATCCTAAGGAGATGGACGTCTTTGAAGATGAACCAAGCACGGTCTCACTTCAGGTAGAGGCAGCGTCTGTTCCAAACTCTCCATCATCGAGCAGTGAGAGAATCGAAAAGGTCACTACTTTTGAAGATGATGTTCCCAAGGAGTCCACAGTTGACGTGATTGAGATCATCACTGAGAATGTCCTCGAGGAGACTGAAGTCGCCGATGTCGAGATTCAATCATCTGTTGTTGCTAATGGTGGGAACCACAAACATGATGCCACCACTGAGCAAACTGTTGGTGATGGTCTCGAGACTTCTTTGCTGCAGCAGGAGAATGTCGACGTGACCGATGTCCTCTCGAAAGCAGACAAGGTGCAGTCCTCCAACATCACTGCCGTGTCAATTACTCGACACAGTTGCGCCACACTCGCGTTCACCACCGTGGCTTCTCTCGTGGTTGGCCTTGAATCTCCAGTCACTGCTGCGTTCATGTTGTACGCCGGCATCGCGTACGCAAAGTACCAATTGTATCACTGAGTGCGATACGTGATGCGTGCACCACACATGCACTTGACGATGATTACCCTCTCTCACACTTTGTTTTATTTTTGCGACACGGGCTTGATTTCTTTTGCAGCTTTTTGTACGAAGTTACGAATAACGCATCACAACGATCATGAAACTCCGATTCCAATGACTTTTCTGGTGCTGGGTGGTAGGATAGCGATTTCAGCAACCAAACGTTTTTGTTATGACTTGGTTTTTCGGTCATCATGACGGGCATATGGGTCCAGCAAAGACTTGTTTTTCAATGGTCAGGACGGAACACACACGAGTTGAGAATTCCAGGGAAAGCAAAGCCAGTCGGGCACTATGGCAGGAAAAGAATGGGGAAAAAGTTCATGGGTATGATTCGATGCAGGAATGGGAAATGGGAAAGGACAGCCATCTTGGGCTTTGAGCAGGGACAAGAAAGGGGATGCCTCGCAGGAATCAAGGAATGGGACCATGATTAGGATGAATGGATATCAGGAATTTTCGGACGGAAATCTAAGAAAGGGCGAAAGTCCTCGTGTGGACTTGAAAGTCACCATCGTACCTGTACTTTGGAGGCAAGTCTTTGTGTGATTGGGCTTTGTTCCTTTTTGTTTTCGAGGGAGTCTTTACACTAGCACCCACGGTGATGATGAGTTGACGACTAATGAAGCACTGCCTTAATGAATCATGGTCATTGAGTACGTTTCCTCTAACGCACAAAAGGAGTTCATGCAGACTTTAGATACTGTCTCACTTATGGCAAGTTGGCCAACCAGCTCCCTGATGTTGAATGATCAGAGCAGCCATCATGTTGAAACGAATCACCCCCTTTGGGTATCTTCCACAACCAAGATCAAGGCACATGTGGTCTCGATGTTCGCACATTCCACTCCTTGACCACACCCGGCACCCCCTGGATCATGGAGACCAACACCGCCGAACTCCCGCACGCAATCGGCACGAAATGACTCGTCTTACACCCCTGCAAGTACGACAACAGTATGCCAGGAAGCACCTGCTGTTGTTGACCAAAGACGTGCCTGATCTCCGTGGCGCCGGCATGGACCACAATCTCGGGACGCACGGCGGGCGCATTCCTCGCCAAAGCTGAGACGAGGCCGTTCGTGAATGCGGCCTCGGTCGACGCGATGAACAGTGCGGTCCCGACATTCTCGCAAAACAGCGTGAGCGACGTCACGACCGCCATGTCCTCGAAACCCACGGCGGCCTGGTTGGCGATCATGGGCACCTGCAGAGCCAAGCCGACGCCCAGGGAGATGATGATCTCGTAACCGACCCAGAACGCGTTGCCGGCGTCCGCGTCGAGGGTGTGCACCAGGCCGATACCCAATGTCCCCGCGACGGCCCCGACAAGAAGAAACGGAGTGTACCGTCGCCAGAAGGTGAGGACGCCGTTGGCCACCATGGTGAATACGGAGACGCCGAGCATCAGAGGGATCAGTCGGACGCCACTCTGCGCGGCCGAGGCGTTGCCGACGGACTGGAACTGGATCGGGAGGGCGTAGGAGAGGGGGAAACACAGCCCCGCAAGAAAGAAGGCGTAGACGCAGTTCAACAACACCGTACGTCTTTTGAGGAGGTGCGTCTGGATCATGGCCCGGGATCCCATGTACCATTCGTTCCCGAGGAATGTGGTCAATAGCACAGCAGCACCGGTGAGGCTGGTAATGACTTGCCAACTGCACCACGACACCGATATACCAGCTTGCTGTGTAGCGACGACAAAACAGGTCATCGCCCCTGTCCAAGGATCAAGATGAATCAGTCCTTGGTGAGCCTTGATCACGGTCATGGAACTCAAGGGAACTCAGGAAGAGGGGGAAAAACATACCACAAATAAGACACGCCCCGGCCAGGTCGAGAGACACAATCTTTTCCTTTAGATTTGTTCTCATGGGCGCTGCGACGGCAGGAACCTGCAGAAAGACCGACATGATTGCAGCCGCCAAAAAGCCGATGGGCAGACTGATCCTACATGAGAGAATCATAAGCCATGTTCACACGCGAGCCTGCTTCTGGGAAGTCTTCTCACCAAAAACACCAGGTCCAACCAAGTCCATCCGTAAGGACACCACCGAGCAATGGCCCCACGACGCTCGCACAACCGAAAGTGACGCCCAGCACACCCATGTAAGCCGCACGATACTCTGGTTTCGTACTGAGTGCGATGATGATGAAGGACCCGGTCATGACACCCCCGCCACCTGTACCTGCGATGATCCTACCCACGATCAACATCGAGCTAGAACGTGCCGATGCGCTGATGACATTGCCCAACTCGAAAACGCCGATTATCAGGAGAAAGGTTGGCTTCAGCGGGAAATGTTTATACTGTTTTTATCCCAGATCAGATCACATGGTACCGTACGTGTTGGTGTGTGGTATAAAGAAGGAGAGAGAGGAAGCGAAGGGAAAGTGCCATCTCACCGCTTTTCCCCAAGTCGACTGGAAGGCAGCATTCGTGATACTGTAAGCACTTCCATACCAACCCACATCCTTGACCGTGCCAAAGTGATCAGTGATTCGTGGTATTGCAGTTGAAATGATGGATTGATCGAGTGCCGCTAGGAAAATACTCAAGATCAAGCCAATGGTGAGTAGGATGAAGTGAAAGCCTGTAGGGTATTCCTGAGGCTGGATTGGCGGTGGCAGTGTGTTATCGACTCGTTCTGTTCTTTCAACCGCCGTCGACGTCGATGGATCATCGTTCATTTGGTGTTGTTCGACCACTACCGGCCGAAGCTCCATCGTTGGTGAGATCGCGGTAGTGCCGCCGTTGTTCTCCATGATGACTTTTCCAAGGACGAAACGGGCATGGTACGGTAAGTGAACATACAGACAGACCTGTGTATGTATGTAGAGACTGTTGGGGCGTGGGCCCAGTCAGAGGACGAGGTGTCATTGTATGTGTTGTATATGTAACCTCAGTTTCGCCCTGATATAGCCGGAATAATGAAGTACCGAGTAGGGCGTACATACACCGTACTTTACCTTATGGAGGACACACTACATCTAAACAAAGATCATTCACACAACACGGAGTGAACACTTTTTCAGTCTTGTCTTCAGATTTTGTTCTCCGAGTGCTTCTTCTCCTTCGATTGATACTCGACTGAGCATTCTCATCAGACAAAAACAAAAGCATGGCCCCCTCAAACGTCCAATTGCGTCCAGCCAAACTGCTCTCTTCCCGGGCGTATCGCGTGCCCGGACAACTTCTCATCACCGAATACTTTTTCAACGTGCCGCTCGACCACGCCGACCCCGACGGCGAACAGATCCGGCTGTTTTGTCGTGGTGGTGAACGGTGGCAAAGCGCCGTGGTCCCTCCCAAGGAGAAAGAGTACCTCCCTTGGTTCGTCTACATCACCGGAGGTCCTGGATTTCCCGGTCGCCCTCCACAGGATCAACCGGGGCTCACCAATGAAGTTTTGGACAGGGGTTACAAAGTAAGTGAAAAAGAAGCCGAGTACTGGTAGGGTAGTGAGCCGGGTGGTGTCCTTGTTTTTTCGTTCTGACACAAAATTACTCGGACGTACGCAGTTCCTCTCGTTCGACCACCGAGGCATGGGTCTTTCGACCCCCGTCACGGCCGACACCCTTAAGCTCAAGGGGGACTCCAAAGCTCAAGCCCGATACCTCAAGTTTTTCCGTGCAGACAACGCCGTCAGGGATCTCGAGGCCATCCGTAAGTGCTTGACGGACGACTACCCCGACGACGACCGCAAAAGATGGACCATCATGGGCCAGAGCTACGGCGGCTACGTTTGCTTCACATACCTGAGCTTCTACCCTGAAGGGCTGCGCGAGGCTTTCCCGCTGGGAGGCACACCTCCCGTCACGGCGCACTCACCCGACGAACCAGTGCGACGACTGTTCCGCAAGGTTCGTGAGAGGAACGACGCGTTCTTCGCCAAGTATCCCGAAGACAAGGTCAACGTCAAGAACGTGGCTCGACACATAGCACAAACAAAACCCATGTTGCCCTCGGGCGTCGCGCTGACCCCCGCCCGCTTTCTCGAACTGGGCATCTACCTGGGTTTCCACGGTGGGTTCGACATGATACACGCCGCGGTACTGCGAGCCGTCAACGACCTTGAACTCTTTGGGTTCCTCACGCGGCCAACGCTCACTCAATTCGAAAACTGGCCTTCGTTCGACAACCACCCCATCTACGCCCTACTACACGGGGCCCTGTACGCACAGGGTCAGGCACCGGATTGGGCATTTGACCGCGTCCGAGGCGAGGAGGAGTTTGGCAGCATGTTCAAGTATTCAGAGAACACTCAAAACCAACAAGTTTACCTTACCGGGGAAATGGTCTTTCGATCCGTCTTTTCCGACAACGCAGACCTGAGGAGGGTGGCCGAGACCGCCGAGTTGTTGGAATCGGACAGTGACTGGCCGGCACTGTACGACCTGGACCGGCTACGACGAAACACCGTCCCGGTCTACGCCGCCGTCTTCGCCGACGACATGTACGTCGACCTGAACTTTTCCCTCGAGACGGCCGGCCTGGTCGACAATTACCACATGCACCTCACCAACGTCATGTTCCACGACGCCATCCGGGCCAAGACCGCGGACGTCTTGAAGGCCGTTTTTTCGCTGAGGGATGACACTCTAGTCTGAGGATGATGATGACACGACACGACGTGTGCTCGTGATGAAATTGATATGACTTGTGGTGATTGTGGTCAAAGTCGGTTGAAGTGAAAAAAACAAGCATTCATACGGATACTGATAGGCCACAGTGCATGAGGTTCAGATCATGCTGAGAACAGAGAGAGAGAGAGAGAGAGAGAGAGAGAGAGAGAGAGAAAAGAAAAGAGACAAGGAATGGAATGTACTAATGAGACCTTGACCAGGCAAAGTTGGACGGAGATGTTTTCTTAGAGTATATACATAGGTACAATGCACTCGTACATCCTCCAGGAATACGAATACTGATGCTTGGTACTTTCCTCCATGCCTTGATCGTTCGTGCTTGAACAATCGGCATCTGTGACGGTGACGCTGCCACACTGGTCGTCTTGAATAATTTCAATATTCTATCTACCAACAAGTACTGAGTAAAAAGAAGTATCCATCTGCTCCGTACCAGTAGACACAATGTTTGTAGGAAAAAAGGAGACTATCGAGTACTCTCCGTACTCCGTACTCACTACGGAAATACAAAATTCAAACCCAATGCCACTCATTTCTATTCCAAAGCTTCGCGAAACCCGATAGAAACTACTCAATGCTCGCTCAGTGTAGTAGTACCCCGGTACCAAGTGACCAATGCAAGTCAACTCATCAAAAGGAATCAAAACAATATTCATCATAATCATGTCATATTCACGTCACATATGGAACAAAAACCTTTTCACCTCCCGGCTTCAAGCTGGGAAGGTGTAGGTTGGTTATCTGATGGTGCCTGACCTGCTTGGCTCGGAGCCGGTCGGGAACGCCCAAGTATACGAAAGCCTGTCAATCGTGACCTGAAACTCGAAGATGGAGGCTGGTGTTGCGGCTGCCTCTGACCATCACGATTCGAGTCCCTCTGTTGCTCATCTTGATCTTGTTCTTGCGCGCCCCGTCGCTCGGCTCTAACGACGACAGGGAACCCATGCCGATCACGATCGTGGTAGACAATACTCATAAATCTGCCCGGGATGACCATGGCTGGTCTTCTGGCGCCCCGACCATTGTTCCTGAGGGCGAAGGGCCCGGAAGGTTGATCGAACTCTCGGGTTCTATTCAGGCCTTCACCGGTGGGAATTTCGGGACGTGGTTTGGGGACATAGTAATCGGCCTTGCAAAGAGGACAGCAAGCGCGCCTTGACGTCAACCAAGGGTCGACACATGAAGCGTGAAAGGCGTGTCCACAATGCAGTCCCCGGATGTCATCGTCGTCTTCGATGGTGTCAATACAGATGGCGCAAGCGTCGCCTGGGTCAGGTAATTGTTCGGCTGGGACGGCCGTTTGTATTTGCTCTTCATCGTCGTCCTCATCATTCGACGTAACTTTTTGTATGGGACTTCCACCTGCGGTAGACTGAGCCGACTTGGGCCGCGTCGGCGTAGCTGGTCGGGTGTCCGCTCGACTCTTTTCGCCAACAACCTCGGCGGGACCGTGTTGTTCTTGTAATTTTTCTTCTTCTTCTTCAATGGTGGAAACAGTGTGTGTCGGAGCCAATTCGGTAGACTCCGTCTCATCCTTTGACTCTCGAGGTTGATTGTGTATGCTGGCGGGTCTTGATGCAGTGTTGATACCTCCTGCGGTAGGAAGGCCTTCATCGGCTCGGTTGGACCGCCATGTCTTGTATTTAATCAAGGGAAATTTTTCATTGACCTCATCCATTGTCATGAGCTTCTTTTCGCGCCTGCGACGATGTTGGCGAGGCATGGCGCCGAGGTCAACGCCATCGGGATCTTCGCCGTTCATGCGCTGTCGGTTACGTTGATTGTATCGGAAGCAGTACTTGACCCCGACGATGATCCTATTCAAAACAATCAATTCGAGATGACATGGAATAGATCGCCATGTCACGCTTACCATAGATTCGTAAAGACCACACCAAAACCCAGCGCGACGAAGAAGAGGAGTGGCGAACTCGGTCCATTGCCTCCGCCCCCGGGATTGCTTGTTGGCGAAGCCGTAGGGGAAGATATCGTCGATGATGTTGTGGCAGCCATCTTATCTGACAGCTTACTGTATGGTGGAAGAGGTGGTGATCAGGATCTGGATGCGGGCCGAAGTGGCGAACGGACGCGAGTATTATAGAGGTCGATTAGCCAATTCTTAACCATCAGCCTGACGAAGACCTGCGTCGGGCGACGATGAAATATTCCCACGGTGATGATGATGACTATCGAGTAGGGGGTGAAATTAAAGTCGATCGAGGCCTGGATCCAGATTTTCCAAAGTAACCAGGTCGATGCGCAGGGTGTTTCAAGGGAGAGATGCTCGATGCAGGGAGCGGGATCCGGGATGGGATTGGCCGATTTGGAGAGCGCGATAAAACGATCAGGTGCGTCGGGTGAGATATGAGGCCCGGAAGGGGGTTTCCTCTTGGGCAAATGAGACAAGGGATTAGGAAAGGCGATGAGGATGAGGAAATGAATTGAAGAAGCCGAAGGAGCAAATGGATGGAGAAGGAAGAAGAGTAGGAGGGACGGGCGCAGTTGAGTTTGGATTGAGAGGCGAAAAGAGATGTGAGTAGACAAGATGGGGAGAAGCAAAGGCTGGTTTGGGGCTATCTGCTGATGGTCCGGAGAACGCAGTTGTTGGTAGCCCATGCAGGGGCACGGTGAGTATTCCTAGGTACTGTAATAAATACATCTAGGTAAGAAATCCAACCCCCCCAAGGCCTGGAATGGCCAAGGACGCGGGCAAGTTGGAAGCTTAAACGCTTGGTTGACCTCGGTGAATTTTTGGGGGAGGGAAAAAGCAGGAACAGCTCGTGAATCTAGGCTACTGTGCCCCTAGAGGGCCACTAAGGCGAGCCTTACGACCATCCCAACACTCTTGACTATGCCCAGTATGGCGGAAGACGACGGAACAAGCCAGCTGCGAGGGTCACGCATACCGCAATCCTTCAAAACTACGAGCCCACTACTGCACGAAATAACAAATTCTTGTTCTTTGTCGATGATGATGATGATGATGATGATGATGATGATATCGATGATCCACCGACTGAATACTCGTACGGAGTAGATGAGTTGTCACATCTCCAAAGGACAGCGTCGATCTGTGACCAGTGTGCTACAGTATATACCGACTGCTCGGGGAACAAGTGACAGCTGGACCATCCACCTCCACATGCCCTGCCTTTATGTTTAGCCCTGGTCTTTCTTCTCCTCCCGCCTGCATTGCAAAGTGCGAATTAGAGCAGTCGAAATCGAGTCGCGGCTTGAAGCTTACGCATCTTTTTGTTCCTCTTCTGGAGCTACGCGCTGCTCCTCCGCGGTCCAGTTTCTCGCTTGCCCGCATCAACCTGCACCCAAGCATCACAAGACCATTTACTGTACTCCGTATTCAACCTCCTCAATTCTCGGGTGCATCAAAAAAAGCGTCGTGCAGATCATTTCACCTGCTCGGAAAAGGAGGGAGAGCGACCGACAATTTAATCGTTGCAATACTTGCCCTCCTCACACGAGCATGCGACGACAGCTGACAGCCTTGACCGTCACCCTTGTTAGTGCACTTCTCGGTCTTGCCTGAGGGCGTCTACCACAAAGGGTCATAGGCCAAAGAGGGCCAGATACGAGTGCCATCACCCCCTCGCATGTGCATGCGATGCAAGTCCCAGGGATCGCAAGGTCCCGCAAAAAGGCCGCGTTTCATCACAACAACGGTAATCACTGGTAACATCACCCACTGAGAAAGGCACGGCACGGCACTTTTGACGTTGGCTCATCATCTAAACATGCTTCTTTCAAGGTGTTTTACTGTACGGATACCCCGTATTGTCTGGTCATACTTCGCTGCTTCATCGTCTCTTGCCTCCCGGATTCGTGCTCGGAGCCATACAATGCTTGCCAGCCACAACAAGGTGCCGCGTACTCCCTGATGTGTACCTGATTTCACCTGTAGCCTACTGGGGTCATCCTCTCGCCACTGATGTGATCTGCCTCGTCTCCTTCTGTACGATGCGAGGCTTAATATGTGACTTTGGAACCTTTACGGTATCCTCCCTCCTGCACAGCGCGTTAGCTCAGCTCAAGTGTCACAATCGAGTCGCAGAATTGACTGACGTCTTCCATGTCTGACTCCAATGCATTCATTTGCTCTTCTTGGGCGTTGAGGTGATGGAATAGAATCCAGATGAGCTGTATGCACGTCAGTTTCTCGTTGTCAGCTACCAGATACATCGAGAAACTTACACAGCCAGCTCCGAAAGATGCAGCAGCAAGGCCAACAAACTATTTCCCTATCAGTTGATGCTCGTGTCGTAGCAAAATCTAGCTTACCATCCACAGGATAGCAGGATCATATGCGACAGGTGTCAAAGCTTCACCCAAAGCAGAACCAAACGCATTGGTCAACAGGTACATTGACTGAACGAAACTCTTCATGCTTGGTGGCGCCTTCGTGTATGCGTACTCCAGACCAGTCACGGAGGCAAAGATTTCCGAGATACCAATGAGCATATACTAAAATCCGGGTCAGCACATCTGCTCCAGCGATGGAACATCGTCATCAGATCTTACCGCGGGCGTCTGAATGGCAATGTGGATGTTGTTTCCTTGCGCAACTCCGTCGACGATCGAGGCATCGCACAGCGGCTGATCGTAGCACGGACCGGAACTGCTTTTCGTCAGCGAGAAGTCCATCTTGAGGTGCGATCATCATACACGTAGATCAAGTGCTGCACAATGGCAGCATATGCCATGGCGAGAGACGCAATCCAAAATCCAAGGACAATCCGGTTGATGGGAGGGAATGGAATGCGCATCTTGCGGAGAAGCGGGTAGACCCAGCGGTCGAGTATTGGAACGAAAACGATGATAGAAATCTGCCCGAGTTAGCCACGAGGCACGAAATACCCAGTGTCTTCAGATCTTACAGGATCGAAATTCTGCATCAAGTCGTTGGGAATTCCATGGCCTTTCATCTGACCGGCCTGGGTAACGAAATTGCCGCTGCGCAGTGTCAGCCTCTGGGCTCACCAGTTATTATGTGTCAGGGAGTTCCCAACATACCTGAATTGACCATACACCAACCAGTAGATTGGATAGATGGCGAAAACTCTGCAAGCAACCAGTGCTCTCTTCAGCTCATCAATAAAGTGATCGTTCCAAGGCACTGTCTTTGTGATCCCGTGTGCAGCGAGCCAGGACGGTTTGGGAGCATCTTCGTTGCGGTATCTGATCATGAGCCAGATGCACTTGAAAGCATCCGTGATAATTGATCCCTGCGGTGGACGAACGACGTACACCTTTCGGCCCAAGACCAGCACAGTAGTGCCGGCGCAGAACAGGCAGAAACATAGCAGATATGCCGACCAGAAACCTATGTCGCGTTCCATGTAAGGGGTGGCCAAAAGGGACAGGGCTCCGATGTTGATACAAGTGTAGAAGATCATGTAAATTCTTTGGATGGTCACCGCAGGATCGAGAATGATTCGTTCGCCCTTGGAGGTGGTCATGATCTAGGAGGGTCAGTAGCGCTCTTGGGTCGGTGCTCACAAAAATTGACTTACGGCCATCTTGCGTCTCTTGTACTGATCAGCAATCAGCGGGGCCACATTTGACTTGATACCACCGGTGCCAAAGCCGATGACAATAATGGCAGCGATGAAGCCACCTAGGCCGGCGCCGTGGTTCAACGATGATGGTAGGGCGGTCGTCCACAGAATAAGGAGGCCGACGATGTAGACGATGGAGAAATAGAGGATGGCCCTGTACTTTCCGACATATTGATCGGCAACGATGGCACCGAAGATGGGGGTAACATAGCAGAAGAAGCTGTCACCAGTCAGTCGGCTGCTGTTATTGTCGTGAGTGGACAGAAATCTTACTTGAAGAAAGTCGTCAAGCCGGTCGCACCCTGGTGGCCCATCCCAAGAGCGCCTCGTCCCTCAGAACCATCAAGAGGTCTTTGGACGTAGTTCTAGACCCGCTGTCAGTCGTCGCACAGATACCGCCGCTGTGTGGTATTCCGCACCTGGAAGATACCCTGGCAACCGTAGTAGGTGAATCGTTCGCACAATTCGACAAAGGCAACCAAAAAGGTCGCAAACGGCAGGCTTTCTCCGACATGTCTCAGGGTCTTCTTTTCATGCGCAGTCGGCTCCTCTCCGTCTGGAGTGACTTCCATGTCAGCGTCATCGCTCAACGCCTCTGCTGGTGCTTGGCTCATGAAGCCATGTTCGCTAGCCTTGGGTAACGACTTTGGATCGTCGTTCAAGGGGCCGCCGAGGACGTCGCGGGTGATCTTTTCGGAAGGCTCGATGTCCTGTTTGATTTCACCATGCAGTCTATACCGGTTAGCGGAGGGGTCTCGGTCTCTGCCACGTGGGACGGTCCATACTGAGCTGCATTGAGTTCGTGGTCCGCCATGGTTGCAGTTTCGAGAGACTACGAAGTAAACAATGCAGAAGTTGCACAGGGATGGAAGGGTTCGAGAAATTTTCTGAGCCCCAGATGGTGGCACACGAGGACATAAATCCCCCGGGGCCCTGGCACTTACCTTTGTCAATCGAACCATGGAAGAGGGGCGGCATCATCTCCTGTACCGGTATCAACTCGAGTGTAACCACGTTATCAAGGGCAGCGCGATCCAGGTCTTTCAACCGTAGCGAGACACGACCAATGCCACAGGACATCGAGCTGATAGAGAGCCCAAGTGGGATGAGAGTGGTCCAGAGATCGTCAATCGCAGTGAAGCGATGTTTCATGTGGAGTGGACGTTCTGTGCGACTTGACGCGGAGCAACGATACCTTGTTGGTCCAGATATCCATCGAAGCTGCACAGAACAGGACCACCACTGCCCACGCTAAGCCCAGATTTGCAGGCCAGCGTCAGGGTAGCGCGCAAAAGCTTCGCGCTTCTTGCAACGACACAAGAGCTGCCAAGTCCATGCTTGATATTGCCACCACACAAGGGCGAGATTGGTATTGGTCATTCTCGTGAAGGATGAGGTTATCGAGGGCGGAAGTGCCAAGAAAAGCCAAGACGGAATCGGCACGCCACTGATTTCATGCATACAACCAGGTTACATACAACCACCACCACCACCACCACCATACCACCACACAAACCACGCCGTCTGTCTCTGGGAAATATCACACAATCTTGGAATATTCCGCCGCTGCTCATCTTCCTCCCTGTCTGGTTCCGAGGTTCAGAAAATTACCAGCAATAGCCGCTCATTACACATTACGCCGAGCAGTTCTATCGTCCCGAGTGAGGCAAGGCACCTACCTATCGGGATGATCAATATTTGCTCCAAAGGGAAGGTAACATTTCGGGCCTGTCAATACTGGGGAGTTTTTTGTCATGATATTCATTCTTCCTCCACCGTGGTTCGCAACGTATTATTTCTGTTTGCTCATCGAATAGAGAACTCGGAAGTTCCGGCGCACGCTCCCAATGGTTCCACGTCTGTTCCTCGACAATCTGAGTCTCCATAACGTTCCGGACCATGCCATTGTATGGATATAAGAGACGAAACTGCCGAGAAAAGACCTCAGTACCCACCAAGAAAACAAATAACAATATACATAGAAGTAGATAGCCCACAAGGCCTCGGCCGTAGAAGCGATGACATAAAATCTTCCTTCTATTGAAAGGGACTGCGCCAGCAGATGGACTTCCAGCACTGTCATGACCTGTTTTCCTTCCCATTGCCGGCATGGGCCAAAGCATATACAGATACTAACTTCAACACGAAAGAAACAAAAATACATTGATGCGCTTTTGCATACTCCAGCAACAACTCCGATGGTATTCTCGCCTCCAGCGCCTTGCAAATCGTTGTCAACATAGGAAATTCGGATTCTGTCGTGCAAGCAAATACTGTAAAATAAAGCAATGTTTGTGCAATACATCAGTAAAGAAAAGGTAGTCAATCATAGTAATGTTTCATGAGATGGTGGCACCAGAAGGGCTGCCCAGTGGTTTCGGCGTAGGCTCTTCTTCCTCCTTGTCGACCGTCCTGTTGGCGGTAGGTGTCACGTCTGCGCCAGGGTCGATGTGCGCGACTTGTGTTCCCGGCTTGCGAGGGAAAATGACGGGTGGCGTGATTTGGTCATGGCTAGGACGACGTTCAGATTCCTGTTCAGGATGGGAGTGATACGAAGCCGCTCTTTCTAGACTTTTCCGAGGTTGGCTGGCAATAATGGTGGCCTGAGATGGTTCCTCGGGTATTGTCAAGCTTTCCATGCGTTCTTCCAGGATCTCCAATGACTGCCTGAGGTTGTCAGATTCGCCTGACTTGTCGTCATTCATCGAGATGACACTTCCACGGCTATTGGTACGCATCATCTCAATTCCGAGCTTGGAGGTTGGCCGACCAGCTTTGCCGACGGGAGAACGAGAACGGACTTGGACGTCCCCCAATTCTTCATCCTCGTCGTCTCCCTCTTCAGCTGCGCCACTTGGATTCTGCATGCTCCTTTCTAGCCTGTCTCGCTTCTGTCTGACTATCTCGGAGGACTTCTGGCGCCGTGGAGTACGAAGTCCATACCCGGGAGTCTCTTCTACGTGGGCACTCGCAGGAGCGGACTCGGTCTGAATGAGGTGAGGAAAGCCGCTCTGGACATATGGCTTCTGTCCGGTGACAATATCGTCAGAGATGCCTAACCCGCCCTTCGCCCATTCGTCTGTGGCAGCTCGAGACACGATGACAGGAATGTCATCGCTCTTGAAGGATTCAAGATCACTGAAGAAACCGCCACTACCGATCGAGTCTTCTCGAGCTGATCCTTTGTATGATGAGTCAGGCATCGTGGGTGCAAGGCTGGATGCCACAGAGCTTGGGCTGTCTTGAGTGTGAGCATGTTCGACCCGAGTACTGATCGGCGGAATGTGGAGTGGAGCGGCAAGCTTGAAGTCTTTCGGCGGAGGTTTCCATGAGCAGTATTTGCACAGCATCTCTGACAGTTTCTGCGAAGTCGGCGGCTTCTGCATAAGAGTATCGAAATGGTGGACTTCGGGCAGGTCTTTCAGATAACCTGTTATACACACAATAGGGGTATGTGTGTTGGCGCTTTTCGTGTCTCTAATCATCCGCGCAACGTCGACACCATTGATAAGGGGCAGCTTGAACTCCATGAAGATGATGTCGAATTGAATCTGACTCACGGCTAAACGAAGGGCATCAGGTCCATTGGTGGCTGTCACGGTCCGACATCGAAGTTTCTCCAAGAGTCTTTCCATGACCATACGAGAGACAGGATGGTCTTCACAGATCAAGACATCCAGCGGACGATAGACAGGGCCATCGAGAAAATTAATCTGAGACATCCTTCTGGAGCTCTGTCTGCGTCGTTGCACCTTCAGCAACGCTTTGGCTTGTGCCGATTCGTTATCCGAGGACGAGGGTGACACATCTCGTGCGAGCAGTTGGCTCTTGCGTTTATAGTGACCCGGAATGAAATTATCTCTTGGTGGCTGACCATCGCTTTCCTGAGAACCAACGGTCTGTGACCGAGTACGACCATTGACAGTGGCGCTCGTTTGTCGCTGAGGAGGATTCATGGCTTTAGCAGGAGAGACCGCGGGCAAACGGGCTGTCTTGACGGGTGAAGATGAAACTTGAGCGTTGTGTCGAATAGCATCATGGGGTATGTCAAAGAAACTTCCAGGGTTCAGAGAGCTACTGCCTTGAGATGAGCCAGAAGTCTTTCTTCTTTCGTGATGCTGCGCAGCCGAGAACTGGACCAAGAGCGGCGACGAAGGTTGAGAAGGTCTACTCGGTGACGAGTTCGAAGTCCCGCCTAAACTGGATGGCGAGCCTGGCCTGTGGCCTTTGCTAATGGACAAAGCACGCTTCACCGGCATTGGCATCATCGGGCTGCCCTCTAACGAAGGCGCAGGAGAACCCACCGCAGGGCTATTAGCCGCAGAGATAGCTTGCGAATGGGAGTACCCACGCGCTTGGGCCTGCATTGCTTCCTTCCGCATTTTCTCCACGATATCCTTGTTGGCCTTTTCCAGTACCGGTAGGTTCTTGAATGTAAAATTGCCGAAATCATCCACAATCACAGGTTCGCTGAGTCTTCGACTCCGAGTATCTCGAGCTACGTGAGGAGGAATATGGAGAGGCATGAGACCTCGTTTAGAGGAAGCTGCCTGTGTCCTCACACGAAGGAGAGCATCATGGGGACGATTTGGGTAGTCTGGTCCATTTGGCGTCGTTCCGGAGGGAGATATTTGGTCTTCAAGCTCCTCTGGGAATGACGAGAGAGTGGCTCCACGGGCATCAAAATACTCCGTGTCTTCTGGATGCTCGGGATTTGGAATGAACTGAGCTTCGTCTTCAAGTAAAGTGGTCCAGTTGATATCGGCAAACCATGGATGGGCCTGGATTTCGGCACCACCGCTCGGGTAGATTTCGTCTTTGTTGGCTCCAAGTCGGTCAGCTGGATCCAGCTGAATGAGTTTGTTGATAAGGTCCTTTGCCTCAGAGCTGACCTCGATCTCATCATCCTCGGGCCACGCAATCCTTCTGTTCAAAATATTGTCGAACACTTCTTCTGTACTCTCCGCATTGAAAGGTGGTATGCCATAAAGAAATTCAAACATGATGCATCCCAGGGCCCACCAGTCACACATCTCATCTTGGCCAGTACCATTGATTGTCTCTGGCGCCAGATAATCTGGCGTGCCCACAAACCTTTTGCCACTGTCCTCGCCATCAAACAAAGGTGGTAGGACTTGCGAGGAGGCGGGTGGTGGGGGTGGTTGAGAGATGTTACTCAATGATTGAGATAGAGGAAAGATGTCCGGCGATTGGCTTCCCACACTGTATAATTCTTCATCCACAGGTTGAGTGCGCAGCCCCGTCTGGAATGCAGTGTCGTTGTTCTCCTGTACGCCTAATTTCTTGAAGAGGTGATGAAGATCGAAGCTTGAACTGCTGCCACTGTCGCTTCTTTGACCACTTCGGCTCCAGGACAGTTCTCTGGTAAGGGAACTTTCTCGGTTCAAATTGAAATACGAAGGTTGATCCAGACCACCTGCAAGAGCTGGAGTCATCAAAGGTGTAGACGTAGGCGAATGTGGGCCCTCATAGTCAAAAGAAGCTGATCTCGAGGTAGGGTTCGACCCCGAACCAGTTCCAGAATGCGTAAAAGGACCTTGCTTCAACAGGTCTGGAGCAGGCTCTTCAGGTTGCTTCAACGCACGCTTTTGCCGGCCAATGAGTCCCATTCGCGATAGACCAAAATCAGTCAGTTTCAAATGGCCCTTGGAATCAATGAGAAGGTTATCAGGCTTCAAGTCACGGTGGACAATTCCCCGGCTGTGCAAGTGCTCGACTCCAAGAACGACTTCAGCGATATATTTCTTGGCCCAGTCTTCACTCAAGCCTCCCAAAATCTTGACGAGAGAAGCACAATCACCACCATTGAGATATTCCATGACCAAGTAGAGATAGTCTTTGCTTGAGAAGGTCCAATACAGCTTCGCCACAAAGTCGCTCTCGCCTTGCCACATCATGATGGCACGCTCTGCTTTAACGTTGGTGACTTGGTTCTTTGCAACCATGTCTGATTTTCTGAGTACCTTTATAGCAAAGTACTCGCCGGTGATTTTCTTTTTGGCCAGATATACGCTGCCAAAAGCACCTCTGCTGATCGGCTTGATGACCTCGAAATCTTTGATCGAGGGGGGCTGCACACGTTGTTGAGGATGACTGATCGAGCTCAGATGGGGTGAAGAGGGTGTCTTGTCAGACGAATGCATCGAGGATTGCCTTCTGTGCAACAAGGGCCCAGGGGCTGGAGGCATATACTCGCCCGCTGTCAGTAGCGGCGATACAACGGGAGACTGGGCAATCTCTCCACTTGGAATTCTTGACTTCGTCATGCGAAGAGGTGACGGTGGAGGTGGTGGGTATCTCCCAGGGGACTGTTGACGGTGAGGAGAAGCCGAATTCAGGCCATGGAGATGGAGGCTTCGCCTCTTACGGTCTCGTGAGTGAGCAGACCGACCGTGCTCAGAGACGGAAGCTGGGGACTCTGGTCTCCAAGTGTTCGACATGACGGATGATGAAGGCAGACTGCTGTCGCTATCATTGGCATCGTCAAGGTAAATGGAGCGTCTATTTGAAACCGGCTGTGGCTGTGATATGAGGTTGCTCTTATGAGACTTAGGAGTTGGACATTCAATGGGACTGCTCGAACCAGTGGACACAGCTTGTGAGGAAGAGCGTCGTTGATCCTTCATCGAAATATAGGGTATGTCTCTGGGATTTCGTAGAGCCGAAGCCATTGATCGTAGCCCAACATATGATCCTGCTGGACTGTTTTCGGCTTCTACCGCTAATGGCGTGGGCTGTTCGTCCTCCCCAGTGCTCTCCATTACATCCTCTAGTGCAAGGTCCGGCTCAGATTCACTGTCGCTTGATAAAGCCTCTCCAGCAGCTACCCGTTCGGCTTTGATCAGTGCTTCGTTGATACAGGCATCAACCTCAGCCATGTATTCTTGTCGAATGCGTTCCGAGTACTCTAGAACATATTGGTGGCGACGCACAGCGTCAACCTTTGACCGAGCCAGCTTTTCGGTATCAGCACTGAGGGCGGCCAAACCAGGTTCGTTCTCCAAACTGATAGGTGCCTGCCATTGCATCACCTGGGAGATCCTGGACTCTGACTGTGGTGATTGTGATCTGAAATCATCATCGTCGTTGCTCTTGCTGTCCTTGATGGAAGGGACATTGATCTCGATGGCTGTGTCACAAAGATCAAGAATCAACTCCACAACGCGGACCAAGGGCCTTCGGACGACAAACGAACGAGCGCGAGCATGACCTAGGCCTGCTGTAGATGGACTTCTGGACCTGACCGGACTGGCTGTGTGTGAAGCAGAAGCCGATGAAGCTGCAGAAGATTGGACGGGGGACGGACCGATTGGCAAACCCTTGTATTCAGGCGTAGGCGATGGACTGGAGGAATCGTCCGTAGAATTTCGTCCCTGTCGAGCCTCGAAAGCGTCCAGAACCTTGACTATGGCATTGCGATGCTCTGATAAGTTTTCTTGGATCATTTGGACATCCAACTCGGCTCGGTGTTCCTGCACACAAAGGTCGGAGTGTTTCTCGAACCACCAGGGTACGATTGAGCGCTCACACACCCGACATAGAATGGGCAGGGGAGGAGGATGGTTCTCAGGGTCATTGGCGCCGGATTCCGCTAACTCGGTGAGATACTTGGCCAGAATTTCAGCCCCAACTCCCAGCGTATCGACCAAAGCTTGGGGAAGGGCAATCTCAATCCGGACGGGTTCCTGTGCAGGTTGCAACATCCACATTGAATGTGATTCTCCTCCAGAACTCCGGTCGTACACCATGATGCCCTGCCCTTCTAACTCCAAAGTAGATGATTCTGTGTCGTCCATTTCGACATCGTCTTCGTCCAGTCCATGCCCGTGTTCTGTTTCGAGCATGGGGGCCATGACCGAGGTTGCGCCAATCTTCACAGCGAACTTGACATACTGGCTTTTGGAGTCATTGGACTTCAGGGCCTCTATTGCAGCGTCAAAGACATCAGGTTTGTCGCTGATGAACTCTGGAATTTTGTGTCCCTTGACCGCGTCAAGTTGTGTGCCAACCACGTCGGTCCAGGATGGACTGACCCATCGTATGTGGCCATCTAGACCGAGGTCGAGTATAATGTTCCGTGTCTGCTCGGCCGCCTCTTTCAAATCTTGGGTGCCCTCCTGTATGTCTTGACTGAATGACCTTTCCATGGCATGGCGACTAACCTCGCCGCCGAAGCCTGCATCGCTCTTGAGGGCTGTAATGGTCGGTGGCTCTAGGAACTGTGGAGGGGAGCCATCTTCCGCCATTACTTTTGCTCCAAGGGAGCGAGAGAAGCAGAGATGGAGAGACCGCACAGGGGGTCCTGGGAGACGTTGGCCGCTGTTTCAGAGACTTGTCGACCCTCGAGGGGAGTCCAAGAGTCCCTCAGCACGATGACATTTTCCGCACAAAGGCTGACCAAATTCTCTTGCCAGCAAGCAGTCAATATGACAGAGCCCTCAGGCAAGACCTTTGGTCGTGGTTGGACTCGGGGGGAAACGAGTGAGGCAGACGGAGAGAAAAGGTGGATTGATGATCGACACGAGATCTGGGAGGGCGGGAGGAGCAATCGTGATCGTGGACCAAGGCTGACAGCCGGCCTACATGAGGACCATCGAGATTAAAGCGAGAGAATACGAAGTATAGTGGGCGGTCGGTCAGCGTGTCGTCAGGTAAAGGGTGGTGAGGATTATTTGTTGACGGTGCAGAACAGCAGAAGATACGAGTAGAACTGCTGGGTGTTGTTGGCAATGGTGAACTATTTTCTTTGTCGGCAAAACGTAAGAATAGGTAAAGCAGGCGAGGGCATGTAGGGGTCCAATAACGGGGGGCTGTGGCCTGAGCGGTGGCTCTCCAGACAGTACTGTAAGTGAGCAAGTGGTATTGTGGATAGAGGGAGTTTGGTGTCTACTGTATGTGAAGGGCCTACGACGTGTACGAGGGAGGGAGAGAGAAAGTTGGTGGACGCCAAACTTGGACTTGGACGTGTTGGACGTAGCGTCAGCGGGGCATTATGTTCAACTGCGTCTTCCGTGTAGGCCACTGTGGTTTTAGTCCTCCGCGGTTAGTGGGCTTCTGCTTTGAAAGCAAAGAAACCCGAAGCCTCTCCGACACGCATCCTGGTGCCGAATGATCCTAATCAATCAGGGATGCATCGATTTCCTGCCCTCAACCAATGACCACCAGCTACTACGCTCGGCACCAAGAGAAGGTGCTAAAGAAAGTCGAGGCATGCCTTCATCTAACGCTTGTTCCTGGCCCTCCAATGCCATTCGATCTCCCGGCCAGTTCTTGCTTGCATAAACCATGCTGGTGCATGCATGTTTGCAGCGGCTTCCCATCCATCACGACCCATGGCTGCATCCTTAATGCCGGGCCTCCCTCGTCCTCATCCCCCTCCTCGTACAATCCTGATGCCAATCCTAATCCTGAGATATGTCGTGCTGACGCTTCGTAAACATCGCATCCCTCTCCACTTGTGTTCGTGCAAGGTTGTCCGGCGACAGACGAGCCTGCGGGCGGGAAGGGAAGTTCTCTGTTGTGTTTTGTGCATCATATTACGTCTTCATACCTCACAGGGAGCGATGATGTCCAGAGTTCGATGGCCGAAAGAACCCCTAGCTGCCAAATGCGGGTGCTGGAGCTATGATCAAGCGCCGTGGCCCTCAACGACTCCGTGCGTGAGATTTTCTTACTACAAATGCACGTTGGATGAAACAACAAGTCAAGCCAACCTCTGTCCAATAACGCTTCTTACACGGCCAGGATTGTGAAAGATCCCAGGGCTGCACGTCCCCAGAGCGCGCAGCATATGCAGTCCCTCCAGCGGTCATATTTTGAGGTTGCGTGACAAGTGTGTGCACTATCTTTGTCCTCCCTGAACCCCTGCTGTCTCTTTGTTATGCTGCAAATGACAGTTTGTTCCTCGGTTCACAACCAAATCTGTCGCTCACTTCCCTGCTTCAGGTTTCCATGTGACCAGAAAAAGCAGACCAGAAAAACACACAAAGCGATACCCAAGTGTACACAGAGTACTAGAGTAGGTAATCAGTGACACCTCAATTTTCTATGGCCCGACACACTTGAGCCGACTGTTGTTTCCAACTAAAAGAATAGACAACACGCCGATCACACTCGAAGAGCACTGGCAGCGCTCAAGACTCAGCTGACCCATCTATTCGGCTCTGAAAAAGGAGGGCGCCAATCACCTTACCTTCTCCAGGCGCACTACTGCATCGAGCACCACTTCCCGTTATGCAAGAGAAGCTCGTGGACTGCATGGACTAAGGATGCAGCCCTTTTCTGATGCTCGTCTGCCCAAGACTCCGTACTTGTTGGTATTAGAAAAAAAGAAAGTACTAAGCTGCGCCATTTTGGGACATGCCGATTTTTCCCTCTGCCACGCCGACCTGGAAAAATAATCCCCGACCTCGTACACCCAACACATTCATACCACCTACTACTTAGTACAATAGGTGTTGAGTGGAAAAAAAGACAAAAAAATTGAACCATCATACTCTGTACACATGCTACTCATTTCAGGCTAGCCATGCCGTGTTTTGCGGCACCCGAAGATATACTCTTCCTTCGCATGCCGCATCCGAGGATGACGGTTTGCTGACTCTACATCCATAGCGCACCCCTCCTCCTCGTGTCCTTGAGAGCAGGGAAGAGGGATTGCTGAATACAAATTTCTTCCGTACGAATGTGGGGAATAAGCGCTCGACATACGAGTATATGCGAATGACGGGAAGTTGTCATCGATGATGGGCTCCCGAGTTCAGTCTTTTTAGGCCGAGAGATGTCAATGACACCGCGCGCAGATCGACATTGTCTCTGTTCATGTTGTCCTATGCCCTCGCTTACCTGCCTGTACCTCTCTCACTGGCGGTCGGGAGAGAAATGCGAAGTTCCGTATTTCCCCCTGTCAAAGGCTCTGCTTCAGAGGGAGAATGACAAGCACACGGAGTACTATACCAGAATGACATGGGGGGAGTAAAGAGGAGAGGGGGGTGCGTGAGGATGACTTGCCGGCCGCAATAGGCTTTGCAAGACTGGAATACTCCTCTCTTTCCATGCAACCCGTTCATTTCTTCTCCATCATCTCCCGAGAGAGTGAGTACCAGGGATTGGTTTACGAGCCATAAGCCATTTCCGCTTTTCCATGTCAAGGGGAAAAAAAGAAGAAAGGCCATCAGAATGCTCATTTCTGTACTTGATTCGTCGCAATACGAAATAACACTCGGTTTTGTCAGGGTTCTGCAGGCAAGGTTGATTATTCGCTTCGTGTCTTTTGTCGCTGACATCTCGCAACTGTTCTGTTGGTACAACAAGAAAAGCACTGCCACCACGTTTCCTTGGACTTTTCGGCGGGCCTCGATCGCTCTGTCTCGGCTGAACATCTCCGCAATTACGAGAGAAAAGACCTGTCTTTTTCCCCCCTTATCGGTACCGGGTATGCTCAGGTATGTCGGCCGTACGTCAACGGGCGATCTCTGGACTCCCAAGACATCTGTCTGAGTGATACGAAGAGGAAGTGAGTGACGAGGGACACCATTCTTGCCTTTACAGAGCAAGAAAAGTCCCAAGAACAACCCCCGACAAGTGTCGTGTGATTCGGCTTCATCAGCTTGTCTAGTCTACGGATACGAAGGCTTGTCGACGAAATCAAGGTGACAAGTCGAAAGCCCGGAAGAGAAGAGAACTTTGTAGAACCACCGACACACAACAAGAGTCCCCTTCCCAGGTCAAGCCCATGTGCAAATCAATCCTGTCAACGTCAGCCGCAAGCCTTTTCCCTTTGCTTCTGCTGTTGCTGCTCTGGCGGGAATACTATGTTGTACTCCGTACGAGTATCAGACATGTGTCAAGAGGGCTGACTCCTTTGACACCGCAACGCCCACGTTCGGACCCTGCTCTTTCCAGTGCAAGCACACGAGCAAACGCGAGGACTGAAGATTGAAAACAACAGGGCTGGGACTCGTATAGCTTGTACATTAAATTACGAGACTTTTTGATACCCGCCCCCTTCTGCCGACAGGTCTAGATGTAAGCCACACACTCCAGACATGCAAGTCCGAAACATGCCCCCTGCCACGAATTACACGTACCCAGGTAGGTGAGAAGGCGGTGTATTGAAGGAACGGGTTTGCTTCCTGAGACGTCCCTCTCTACCTTAGGACCTTTGTACAGAGTACCCTCACAGTAGGTCATGGTTTTTGTCTGATCCCGCAACGCCATGCTGTGTTATTCCTTCAGAGATCCATCAAGGACCCGAAACCAATGTTGCAACCTTTAATCACCGCCAGCACTTTCGGACAGTCCATATTCACATCTATGCCAGAGACAAAAACAGAGACGGAAAGGGCCTCTCACTGGCCCTTCTTCTCCTGCTCCAATCGCTCCCCTTCCTTGAATTCCCAAACGGCTCTTGCCAACCCTTCATCGATCTCCACGAGGGGCATGTATCCCGTTCGTTCCTTCAATTTCTCGCAGCTATAGTATCGATGAATCACGGCATATTTGACAGTCTGCCTGTTCAACTTGCCCTTCCGACCCGAGAGGAAGTTGAACAGCTCGGCGGCGCCGCCCACGAAACTCGCCAACCCTGTCGGGATGCTCCAGACCTTTTCCATGTTCACGTCCCTCCCGTAACCCGTGTACAGGAACCTCGTCGCGTCCCAGAAGTAAGCCGGACTGTCGTTGGTGACGTTGAAGGCTTCGCCATCGACCCGCTCGTAGTCCAGTGCCACGGCGCCTCCCTTTTGTCGTCTCTGATACGTCTGCAGCAGCGCCGTGGCGGCGCACAACAATCCGTAGACGACATTGTGCACGTAGGTGTTGTCGAACAGATTGCCCCCGTCTCCCAGCTGGATGTGCAGTTGCCAGCCCGGTGCGCCTTTGGCCGTGTTTAAGATGCCGCCGCTGAACCCACCCCGGTCGCCCTCGCCCACTATCCCCGCCGGCCTGACGGCGCAGGTGAGCATGTGGTTGTACTCTTCTTTGTCGTTGGCCGCGAGCGCGAGCCGCTCCGCGTGGACTTTTGTCTCGGAGTAGTACTCGCGCGGGTTCGGACAGACGAGGGGGTAGCGTTCGTCGGCGTTGATCAGGTCGGACTCGCCGTCGTGCACGACGCTCGCGCTGGACGTGTGGACAAACACCTTGCACCCACCTTTTCCGCCGGACCAGTCGCCGTGCTTGCCCCCCGCGACCTCGAGGAGTGTGCGCGTGCCGTCAATGTTCACCTTGCGCAAGATGTCCGCCGGTGCCTCCCATGACGGACTGGCCGTGTTGATCACGACGTCCGGTTTTACCTTTCGAAACACCTGCAGCAGGTCCTCGACAGAAGTTATGTCCCCCTCGTGGTACGTGCAGCCGGGGAAGATGTGTTGGGTGCACCGGAGATCGAGGGCGTGGACTTTCGTGGTAGAGCACGAGGTTCGAGGATATCGGGATCGTAGGCTGGGGAATGGAAACGCACGCGTTGTAGAATTTGTGTTGCTTTGTTGTTGCTGTTGCTGCTGCTGCTTCTGCTGCACATGGTCTTCTGAGGGGAAGTTGAGTAACTGGTCGACCACTCTAGACCCAAGAAAGCCGCAGCCTCCAACGACTAAGACGGTGCCGTAAGATCGGGCTTCGCTCGCTTCTGTCATCTTCGTTTGCATGTGACTGGGGAATTATGGTTGCGAGTATGGAATATCAAGTCACAATCTTTTTCGTTTCTCGGTGCAGCAAGAGTGAGTACAGTAGGTATTGTTTAGGTCGATCCCGCGGAGAGAATTAAAGTGGACCATCAATCTACAGTACTGTACTATTTTCCTCCCCCTAATAGAAACTTGTCGGCCCCGGAACTGCCCACGTTCTTGTGGCGTGCCCACCAGCAGCCCAGCCAGAATGCCCACCCGTCTATCTGAGTCAGGTGCTCCTGCGTCCCTCACATATCTGTAAGTTGGCTGCGGCGATAGAGCGAGGAGTACGGGGTATAGCGAGAAGCATTGCTACCTGAGGCAACTATTCTTTGCAGACAACAAGGATGGATGTTGTTGCGCACCGCATAGTAGGCCCCAGAACATCGAGGATGGAAAGGAGCTACACGCGAGAGCTGAAATCCTCTCATAGTCAGTTTGAGCCACCGTCTATACCGACTTGATGAGCTGCTATGGCTGGATACCTAGAAGAAAAGAAAAACCATTGATGGTTGCTACCTTACACCGTTTGATTGGCACCGTCTCCTTGGTTGCTGCTCTCGTCCTCTAGCAGATTCAATTGAATTTTGTCGCTACCATAACGCCTTGCTCAAAAGATAGACATGAAATCCGCCTCTCAAATCAATCGTCCTGGGTGTTGCTGTCATGATATGATTTACGGCCACAAGCTGGTCGAATGACTCCTATCCAACCTCCTCAGTTGTGCGCTGCGCCGACCTGCGGAGCTGTCGAAAGTAGCTTTTCTTCTCGTCTGCGGAACCGAACAGCAGTGCTGCTGCCTCCGGATTAACAATGGTTCGAGGATCGTATGGAGGACAATCTTCCTCCAGGGACTCTACGATTGCGTAGACATGGTTCCTCAACTCTTCCATCACCTTTGGAAAATAGCACACGGTGCCCTTCTTGGAGACTCTGTGGTGAAAGATGCTTGTCTCGAATGTAACACGAGGTTGTTCCTCCGGGAATCGCGGACTGATAGCCATTTGGATCTTGAAGATTCCACCATCCAGATTCGTCCCAGGTTTCCCGAAGTACGTGAGGATCCAGACATAGGGGTTGTCATTCTCCAACTCAATGCTGACGTTGTGGCAGTCCATTCTCTTGAGGTAATCCGGCACCTGTTCGAATTGACGTTGAATGGTAGCGGCCTTGTGGGACTCTCGACGCTTTAATGCCATTCCGTCGATAGCCCACTGCTTGGTTTCATCGGCGAGTACTTCTTGTATGCGTACCAATCTCTTGCCTAGAGCCGAGTAGTTGAACTTTCCATCCATTGTATTGCCACCTCCTTCGAAGGGCATCTTGCAGAAGTCCGAGCCGTCTTTGTGTTGAGAACTATACGTGGCAATCGTCTTAGTGTAGTGATCGAGATACCACATGAAGCGTCTTTTATACAGATCTTTGTACGGCTCAAAACGTGGAGGCAACGTCACCCTTTCTGGCTCGTCGTCGTCGGTTAATTCTTCAAACGCTTCCTCGTTCGCTTCTGCGTCGGTGGATTTGTCCTCGGTATTGGCGTCGGATCTGTCAGGTACACTGCCGTCCGGCTGGATGTTCAATGCATCCTCTAATTTGGCAAGCACAGCGATGCGAAGTGTTTCGTGACGAATCTACCCACAGATCAGATTCCAGATTCCAGATTTCACGGTACTCGAGACTTGTTACTACCTTTGCACAATAGAGCTCATTCATTTTCTGATCCTCCTTACCTTTGGCATGCTCGTAACCTGGCTCGTTCTCGTACGGGGTATTGGATAAGAGACTTTGGATGGACCACAAGATCGACTCCAAGCCTTGTGCAGACGACCACTCTTCTCCCGGTTTCTCACCGTGCCAGGTACCCAGTAGAGACAGACAGACCTTTCCACCTGCATATATGTTCGGATTGAATCGTGTTCTGCCACCATTCGTGGTCTTTGCATTGACTTTGGGAGGTTTGCTTGGATATTCGGGGGTAAAATCGACGGTAAAGTCAAAGAAGCCATACTGATAGGGTGTACCTGGAGGGCCGATTATGAGGGCATGGACTGTTCGAACATCTTTCTCCTGGCAAGCGACAGCAATTGCTAAGCAAGTAGTCAGCCTTAGATACCCAAAGAATAGGACAAAACCTTGTTACTTACAGAGATCACTACCTTGTTGAATCGAAGTGATTTCCTGGTGTCTGTCAGCTGTAATCTCTCATCACAGTTAGCCTCTCACTCTTGATATCCTCAAGATGGTTTGGTTAGACATCTTGATGTTTGCTTGCTGTAAAGATCGTGTCAGCGGCTGAGACAACCAACTTGTCACATGGTTGGCAATCGTAATAGCATAGGAAGAGCGATCGGGAGCGTAAGAAACAAAAGAGACAGGGTTGAAAATGTCAAAGTAACTTTGAATGTCCAGATCGTGGGTCAGGCTGTGTTTCACAGCATGAGAATCGTCCCTAGAGGATGCGTGCTCTGCCAGAAGACGGGCGCAAGTGTCAATGTGACGAGACCCAAGAGTTCTGCATATGGTTGAGTCTTGGGCCAACCAGTAAGGGACAAGGGTTATATATCCATCATGAGGCTGGACGGTTCGATGACAGGTTTACTGGACAGGCAGAAATCCAGCCATGAGACTGAACGTGGTTCCTATTATTTTATGGTACAGTACATGTGCTAGATTGATGGGCACCGTTACTTTCACCGGTTAACTTACTTTGTTGACATGATGACGCACATTAGAGGCACTAAACATCGATCATGGGGGATTGCTCCGTAGAGGATCACTATTTACGGAGTACTCGCCATTTACCTTAAGTAAGCCCTTCCGGGTAACGGACAGCCTAAAAGGTAATAGTGACCCCTAAGAATTGATTTCTGAGACCCCCAATTGCACACCCTCGACCTAATCCATAACCCACAAAAAGTACAGAGCCTCATCTCAGCATCAACCAACAGTGTGAGATGGACAACAGTGCTGTGTACTGTCGAGCCATCTGGCGCACGAACCGTGACATAGGCTCTCCGCTGCTCAGGATACTTCTAAGCACTCTCGCATCAATGTCAAGCAATGTGTTTTTTGTTCCTAGTCAAATTGACGAATTCGTTACAGAAGCGAGGCTGAATATCGCTAGCTGACCCAACCCTGTAGGGATCACTCGCTAAAGTGCATCTACGCAGTCATGCGAGACTGCCACTCAAGTCGGTGCTGACCGGACCCAGACAAGGCTTGTGTTGATGAGGAAAGTGCTCTTCAGCTGCTGACATAGGTACAAATCCACGGTAAGATGGCTTTCAGACATATGAAGTCGTCTCCGCATGATGCAGCGAAGCTCAAACTCCATCTACACAGCCAGCATATGCTCGACAACGGGCATCTAGCTTCGGTATTGATTACTTGACAATGGGCAAAATTTTCCTTAACCGACAGCCTCCGAGAATGTTGGCTGAGACGCTCCGTAAACTCGCTACGAACATTGACAACAGCGAAATGTCAGAACAGCCATCGAACCTTGAAGCTGAGAACTATCTCCGGGCGTACAAGAAATACTGCTCCGCATTGGGTATTGGTAAGTACGATGTAGATTTATTCACGTCTGGAGCTCACAGAACTGCAGACGAAGAGAGGGGGACAACCTCGTTTGACCAGAGGCTTCGCCGGGACTATCGATGGCAGTATGTTTGCATTAGCATCTTCAAACGCTTCTGGAACGCGCTCACAAGACTCTCTAGCACTGTGCAGTACTGGTTCGTGGCCTCGATCGCAAATGGCATGCTGTGGTCTCAAATCATCATCGGGGCCGCAATTACAGCTTTGGGAGCTACCCATGCCAATGGATCCAAGACAGCCACGATCTACCTGGGGGCTGCCAGTACTGTGATTGCTGGTTTCCTCACGTACTTCAAGTCCCGAAACCAGCCAAACCGTTCCCGGCAGTTCCGACAAGCACTGCGAAAGGTGCGCAACAAAATGGGTGAGTGCTGTGGAATTCTTTCAGTAAATGGTCGAATTTGTGATCAACTCACCGGTCACGCATTCTGATCCTAGCTGGCCTCACAAAAAATGATGGTTGAATGAGGACTATCAAACGTTCGATGAGTAGTCGTTGTTCAACTGACATCTCATAACTTTAGATGAAACGGCCCACGAAATTTCCGATTCAACCAGTCCCGATGAAGCGCTCGAAAAAGCCATGAACATTCTAAAGCTGTAGTGAGTTTGCTTCTCCCGTGACATATGCTTCGCTTAGTTACCGGCCTGACATACTTTGGTCCAGTGACGAGGCCCTTGCTGAAGCTGCGGCGAACTATCCCGACTTGTGGGTTGCAGTTCAAGACATGAAGAAATTACTACCCGGGTCGAAGGATACCAGTGCGGATGCTGTAGATGCTGTGACGAAGCCGGAGATAGTGCCCCCGCCGAACACCTCAGACGCCAGTGGTGCACCATCGAGCACAAATGGTCCGTCAAATACAGACGGGGCACCCGTAACAGTTCGAGGAAGTGGTGGTTCAACGCAGCAGCTTGCAACAAACGCAGGCTCGGGTGGTCCAGCGACCCCAGACGACAATATTGCATCTCCAGGGCCATCGAGGGAGGTTGAAAAGCAGGATGCTTCAGTGGACATCATTTCAACTAGTACCGACTAGGTGTTGGATTATCACGTTGGCAGTGGTCCACGATGAAAATTGGGGCGAAATTCGTTCAGGTCGAGCTGATGATTCGAAGGTGCAGCGTTTGCGCTTGCGGACCTTGGGTTATCATTATGATATTCAGGATTTGTCGGATCGATGCTGTGACAGATTCTGTGCACTTTCAACTTGATTTCCCAGGCAAGAGGGTGAACATCAGACGCATGGGAAATATGCATCACGTGATCCTAAAGTCGGTCTAATTATTCCTCCGGCTGCGTTCTGTCTATTCTTTTTCTCATCAGTCCGTTGTCTCTTGCGGCCTTATATTCCTACCGACACAAGACCGCGGAGCTTAAGGCCGAAAGAGATGAACAATCTAATTCACGCACGGAAGGCGCCTTGTTCTCTAGCCTGTTGATGATTGTGCATGATTACAGGCAGCAACATACTTGTTTTTGGCGGCGATACGGAACATGTACTAGGTCCGTATGTAGCTGATGCGAGATGTTAAAGAATGAGCACTATTATCAATACATTGTAACTCGGACCCTGTTCCGACGTCTAACGTGGTGTGCCCGCCAGATGCGAGTGATACTTCGGCCAACATCTACATGCAATAACTGACATACCTGGGTAGGTAGATAGCTGGTACGGGCAGACGTCAGTTTCATCTCGCCAGCCTTGAGATAAGGATCGCGGAGTCGTGAGATTTGGCTTCAACTGAAGAATCCTTACAGTATTCGTGTTGGCGATCTGTGTGAATTGGCACGTTCATTGGTTCAATCTGGCACCCGAAAATATCGAGATCGTCGCTACAGCGTGCTGTAGTTCAATCGTAGGTACGGAGTACGGAGTACCTGGATATCAAACCACGGTCGCGCTGCCGCTCAGTACGTAACGAGTGTCCCCATTCATCTGCAGTACTGTACGTACTATGCTCCGTAGTACATGGATGCGAGTCCCCATTATCATCATCGTCGTCGTCCCCTTGGGCAGTAGTATATCGGGCGGTGTGAAAAGGATCATGGTCGCTTCAAGAAATTTTATGATGACGAGGTCGAGTTCCCCTTCTAGGGCCCAAAAGTCCGCGGCGCATTTCTTGAGCACGACCACTGCAAGCCATCCAGGCTCCAGCTTTTTTCTTCTCCCTTTTATTCCCCAGTAGACAGACACTCTCGTCATGGGACCTCATGAGCAAACAAAATCGAGCACTTCACCAATCTCCAAAGGTCTTGTCCGCGGCTTCAAAGGGGACAAGTAAAATCGGGAAAACATCAACCCGCCGGGGTCAAGGCCTGATCCGAAGATCCACAATGGTCGTTCACGATCGCACGCGCCTCTTTTTCAGCCCAAGCCTTGAGGAACCACTCTGTATGTATGCCGCTCTGGCAGAGAGCAGCAATTTGTGGGAGCGATAAACAAAAACTGATGGGGTCCATGTGCGTGATTTTGACACCTAGTACCGATTTTGTATGTAAGTACGGAGTAGTATATATGTAGTTGAAATGATCCAGCTGGCAGGGTGGGTTGTCGTGCTCGAACCTTGCAAGTACCCTCTCATATCAGATCACATCCACCTACTCTTTCAAGTTCAAATCAATTCGAACTCTTTTTCCTACGACTAGCCATATATTTGCGCGCCACCGTAGTAAAAGAGTCACCATCATCATAATCACCACGAATCCCCCCTCGGCGTGTGTGTCTGTGAGCTTGCTTCCTTTTCTTCCGGGAAGCCATGTCTTCAGAACCCACGAGTGGTGTATTGGAGCAGGGCGAGAAGCCTACAGCCATGGCTCCGGTTCCAGAAACGCCAACATCCCAGAACACATCGTCCTCCGCATCAGTATCTTCGGAAAAGCCAAACGATGAAAGTCCACCGGCAGAAGGACCTGAATTCAAACCCACCATGCGACTAATCCTCGCATTTGCAGCTCTTTCGGTCTTGACGCTCATGGTCGCGCTGGACGGCACCTCGATAAGTGTAGCCTTACCCATCATTGCGAGGAAACTGCATGGGTCCGCCATCGAAGCCTTCTGGGCCGGCACCTCATTCCTGTTGGCATCGACGGTGCTCCAGCCGACGTTCGCGTCCTTCAGCCACATCTTCGGTAGGATGCCCGTCATCATGGTTTCGATCACCTTCTTCTTCGTCGGTGTCGTGATGGCCGCCCTTTCCAACAACTTTGCCCTCCTGCTTACCGGCAGATCGATCCAGGGCATTGGTGGTGGTGGTATCATCACAATGTCAGAGATTGTCGTCACCGACCTCGTCCCTCTGCGTTACCGAGGCCAGTGGGCTGGTATTCTAGCCGGCATGTGGTCCATCGGTTCGGTGGGTGGTCCGATCATTGGCGGTGCCTTCGCACAGGTACAATGGCGCTGGATCTTCTGGATCAACCTACCATTCATCGGCGTCGGTGTTGTCATGGTACCCCTCTTCCTGAGGCTGAACATCATCCCGCAGAGTATCGCCGCCAAACTACGCAGAGTCGACTGGATCGGAACAGTCATCTTTGTCGGCAGCATGACCAGCTTCCTCATACCTCTTACCTGGGGTGGCGTCATGTATTCGTGGTCCTCGTGGAGGACTTTGGTTCCTCTCCTCATCGGCCTTGCCGGGATGGTCGGCTTCTGCTTCTACGAGGCCTACCTGGCCCCTGAACCACTCTTGAGACTTTCGGTCTTCCGTAACCGCACGACCAATATTGCATATCTCACGACCACGCTTCACGGCATGATCCTCTGGTGCCTATTGTACTACATGCCTTTGTACTTTGAAGCTGTCAAAGACTACTCACCGGTCATTTCTGGAGTTGCTTTATTCCCTTCGACCTTTACCGTTGCCCCGATGGCTGTGGTGACCGGTATCCTGATCACACGATTCGCGTCGTATCGTTGGGCCATCTGGTTGGGCTGGGCCATCTCAACACTTGGTCTGGGTCTACTTGTTTTGCTCAAGGTCCACACGAGCATTCCACAGTGGATCTTTATCGACCTTATTTCGGGCATTGGTCTAGGGATCTTGTTCCCGGCCCTGCAATTTGAGCTGCAAGCTGCAAGCTCCAGTCAGGACATGGCATTCGCGGTGGCTGTATTTGTTTTCACTCGAAGCCTGGGGCAGACCTTTGGAATTGCGATTGGCGGTGTCATTTTTCAAAATCAAATGGTGAAAAACTTGGAAGCATACCCTGCTTACGCAGCACAAGCTTCTGAGCTAGCAAAGGATGCTGCTGCATTGGTGGAGATCATAAAGAGAACGCCACAGGGAGAAGGCAAATTGCAGCTCATCACAGCGTACACCGACAGTCTGAGAACGGTGTACATTGTGATCGCGGCGATATCGGGAGTCTGCTTGGTCGCCAGCCTTTTCGTCAAGGCTTACGATTTGAACGTCGGACTGGAGACAGATCAAGGGTTGGTGGAAAGCTCGAGAGGGAAGGAAGTCAAAGTTGAGGAGGGGCAAGGAAACAACTGAGAATACAGAGCAATATGTGATTATGCAAATGACGACTGAATGAATCAACTGCAGGCTTGCAGGACGCATGAGGAGATGGTCGCCCACTTGATTTGGGCTTTCTCGAGGTTCGGACTATATTCCACTCTTATAATTGCATCGTTAGACTCGATAGAATGTACAATACTCCGTACCTGATGCACGAAATATGGATTATGGATGCCATGTTTCAGAATATATCCATCGCGTATCGGAAAAGCAACGCGTAAGAGGTGTAAGTAGTACGCTTCAATGGCAATTTGTTGGGCGCAGGCTGTGTACTCGAACCTCAAGGGAGTCTGGTGAGCCATGCTGCTTTGATGGTTCACGACGCCCCGAGTGATCGAAGATCGGGGCACCAGTTCATGGGCTGGGGGGGGCTAGTAGTGCCTGTTCAGGCTTGGGCTGGTGGCTCTTTGGTGGCCCACAGGGGGCCTAAGGAGCCTAACGGGGGCCACCGGGGCTTGGGATTCGGAATGAGTGGAGCGCAGAAATGTGACAAGACACGCTGACAGGGCCACTAAGTACTCCGTAAATACTTTAGGACACACCAGGAAACTGTCGGAAGATCGCTACGGGCACAATGGGCAATTGGTCTTCGGCATGGGATTGTCCCTCTTTCGCGATGGTGAATCTTTGGTGCACCCAGTTACTCCACGCCCATGGCCCGGATCATATCTCCCTTCTTGTTGTCAGTAGTAGCACTTCGAGGAGGGATTGATGCATCAGAACATTAGAAGAGGCAGCTTTTATAGTACCGACTTCTTACCACAGCCGATAGATGTTGTAAATGATAGTTGATGACCGCCCAGTTATTCAAAAATGGGTTTTCTGACGTGATGTGAAGCACAACTCAACACACGGACACCATCGTTCTCGATCACCTCCATGCATTTCCTGATTCCCTGCCTTAGGCCTGTTTGGTCCTACAATAAGTCGTGGCCATAGTCGCAACCGCAGGCGCATTCTTTACTGTCTCCCCAACTCCATCTCGTCCTGCACATAGACTCGTACTCGCTCACAGACTTATTGGTATATCCGACTTCTTCAATTCCTTCCTTCGACATTATAGCCTATCCTACCATATTCCAGTTATGGTCATATCCTAGAGAAACACATCGATATCGTTGCCAACGACTCATGCCCTCAACCCCCATTTCGATGCGTGTAACGCTTGGTCCTCGCAGTATCATACTTGTCAGAGTCCCTCTTGATGGCCATTCTTCCGCCTCGCACTCCTGATTGATACGAACATCTTGTTCCTCCACCCCGCACCCTACGGTCGATCGATACCTCTTGACATCAGCGTCCCTCGGTCATGGTCGGTCGAGATGTTGGGGCCGCTACACAAGCACGGCGGGATTCACGCGACAAACAAAGCCCGTCACAGACATTAGATGGTGACACTACCACAACAGGAGTTGTTGACGGAATCGCCGCACGTAAAGGCCGCTGGGTTGACACAGACGAATTCCATATTGAGGTCCCTCAGCTGCCGCAGTCGACTGAGGTAGCCCTTGCTACGCTCTCTACCCTACCTACTCCCCTGCTCGTTCTGTCCTCTTTGAAGACGGTTATTCTTGCGAATTCAGCTGCCGGCCGACTGCTAGGAGTAGATCAGGATGGGGTGGATACCACGGTCACCGACATCCTTCGAGGCCAGTCACTGTCACAAATCGGCATAGACATGGTTTCAGAAGGTGCCCCGGTTTGGGTCAGTTGGGAAAAATTCCTCGATAACCTGGCAGGTGGACTCGAAGCGATGGGTAGGCACAAGAGCTCCCCTGGCGAGCTGCTACCCGGCGTTCAGAAAAGAGACGATACCCCTACCGGTTCACCAAGTGCCCGAAGAGCACAATCCCCCGTCCGCAGCAGAACCAAAAAGCGACAAGACACGGTGGTTGACGTTACTATTTCTTCTCCCAAGAGCGCACAACACCACCGTCGCCATTCAGAGAAGGCCAACCAAAGTCGAAGACAGAACGTCCGCGCAACTTGTCGGATGATTATCAGCATCTGGAGTCTAGAAGGACAACAGTTCTTCACCCTGACTTTCACCAGCCTTCCCTCCTCTCACCATCATCAATATCGCAAACACCATGCTCCGGCAGAATCTATACATCGCAAACCATCTTCCAATTCAACACAATCGTCGCAATCCTCTCAGTCACAAACCCCTAATTCATCTGAATCAACATCAAATGTGAATACTCCCTCCGAGAATTCAAGTACTGGCATGACCTTTCCCCCGAATAGTGCCCCGACCCAGTGTGCTCCATCTTCGACTCTCACAGACTTCCAAAAAGTTCTCAAAATGAAAAACGCCATGCTGAATGCGGTCGAGATGCCTCTGATTGCCATGTGGAAGGACGAAAGCGTGGTTTTCCCAAATATGGCCGCCCGTCGATTGCTAACCGTCGACGCTGACCCAACTTCTGATGATTCCTACGACTTCCTTTCGCGGTTTAGACCTTGGGCGCCCGATTTCTCTCATGAGCTCTCTGAGAGCAACAACCCCATCGTCGCACTCTGCCGTTCACAATTACCCTTCAGCAACTGGCAAATTGGCATGATGAGCCACCGCACAGGGAAGAAGTCTACCTTTGACGTGAGTGGACATCCCGTGTTTGACGAAACCACCGGAGAATTCCTAGCTGGGTTGATCGCTTTCAAAGACGTTACCTCCTATGCGGACAAAATTGCTTCTCAAGCTGCAGAGCAGGAAGACTGGTTTCGACTCATGTGTGACATGATGCCGGTCATTTGCTGGACTACGAGGCCCGATGGGTATAATGACTACTTCTCGAAGAGATGGTATGATTATACTGGTCTGCAGAAGGCTGACACTGAAGGCTTTGATTGGCACGCTCCTTTCCACCCAGACGACATAGAAGAGGCTTTTCCAGTTTGGAAGAATTCTCTAGCGACAGGTCAAAAGTTTGAGGTCCAGTATCGGTGTAGAAATAAGGATGGTGAATGGAGGTGGATGCTTGGGAGTGCTCTGCCACTTCGGGACCACTCCACCGGTTTAATCGTCAAATGGTTCGGTAGCTTGACAGATATCCAGGATATCATCGATGCAAAGCTGGCTCAGCAGCAAGCTCGACAGAACCTGGTCGACGTCCTTAGACACTCTCAGATGAGTGTGTGGATTGTTGATCAAAGTGAATCAGTCACGTTCTGGGAAGGGGATTTCATGAATAGTAACGATGGAAAAGCCGCGATCGTCGGAAAGCCGATCGATCAAGCATTCCGTCGATATGTCAACCAGAACTCGATCACCGAATTTCGCGAGGCGATCAGACGAATTCTAAGAGGCGCATCCGATCTCGAGATTTGTGAAAACGAGCTCAACTCACGGTGGTTTCGCTCTAAACTAGTTCCACTCAAGACGAAGGGGTCTGGTGAAGGTGCAGAAGAGAATATCATTACGGGAGTCATTGGAATTGGTTCTGAGGTCACGCAACTGAGACGAAAAGAGCTAGAAAACATCAAACTACTCGCCAACGAAACCGCCGCGAAGGAAGCAAGTAAGATGAAGAGCAGTTTTCTAGCAAACATGTCTCATGAAATCCGCACCCCAATCGCAGGAGTCTTGGGAATGTCAGAATTGCTCTTGGATACGACATTGGATGAAGAGCAGAGCGACTTTGCCCAAAATATCCAGCGATCTGCCAACTCATTGTTGACGGTGATCAATGACATCCTTGATTTCTCCAAGATCGAATCCGGCAGGTTAGACATTGAAGAAGTGCAGTTCAGCTTGAATATTGTTCTTCAAGACGTTACCAAGATGCTGACATATGCTGCCAAGCGTAAGGGCTTAGACTTCAGCAGTGAGAGTAACCTTGGTTCAGAAGAACGTCTTGTGTTGCTTGGAGATCCCGGTCGGATAAGGCAGATACTCATGAATCTGTTGACAAACAGCATCAAATTCACGTCCGATGGGTACGTCAAAATGAGCACGCACATTGTCGACGAAACTCCGGACACTGCTACAATTGAATTCTGCGTTGAAGACAGTGGTATTGGCATTGAAGAAGAGGTGAAGAAAAGACTGTTCAAACCCTTCAGCCAAGCAGATTCGAGCACTGCGAGACGTTTTGGAGGCACCGGCCTCGGCCTGACGATATGCAAGAACCTGGTCGAACTTATGCGTGGAAAGATCACATTGGACTCGAATTTGGATGCTGGAACGAAGGCTATCTTCTCCATTCCTTTCAAAAAGGTGGAATACAATGCCAGCTCGCCCATGGATCTGCTTGACATCGGTCTCATTCCGGAAAGGTTGCAGTCCGAACTGTCGCTGTCTTTAACAGGGTCTTCCAGGGAGGAAAATCGTGTCTTCAACCATACATCATCGCCGTCAAAAATAATGTTGCCTTCAGGCGGAGCGGTTCATCGACGCTCAGTGACCGAGCAGGGAATAGCAGCGATGGTACCCGGTCCAAATACCGACAGGAGAAAGTTCCATATCCTGATAGTCGAAGGTAAATCTAGGTCCCTTTTTGTTTTCCCGCCTATTCAGCACTTTCTAACACCTTGCAGATAATCCAGTCAACCAGCAAATTGCTCTCAGATTTATCAGAGCGCTCAATTTTCCTGCGAGTGCGGTTTGGAATGGACGGGAGGCTCTCGAGTACCTTCTGAAAGCGACATCCCCACATCTGACCCCTGAGGAGGCGAAGGAGTACCCCATACCATCATTGATCTTCATGGATGTTCAAATGCCTGTCCTGGATGGTTACCATGCAACACACTTGCTTCGACATCACGCCCCCTTCACTACGATTCCGGCCATCAATCACATCCCCATTGTGGCAATGACAGCTTCAGCAATTCAGGGCGACAGGGAAAAATGTGAAAGAGCTGGTATGGACGACTATATGGCCAAACCCGTCAAGCGAACTGCATTGGAGAAGACCATATTGAAATGGATAGCATCCGGTCGTGCTTCTATCGCCCCAAAATCTGGGCCATCAGGTGATGCTGTAGGCACCACAAAAGCGACATCCAAACGAGCACCAACAGACCACTCCTCGACATGCACCGAACACGATAACATCGCCCTAGAATTCTTTGCGCAATACATGCCACAGCCTGCGGTGGTGGAAACTTCCCCTCCGAACACAGCGGAGGTTGCTCGGGCACGCCGATCTAGCATTTCGAGAATAATTCTGGAGAGCGAGATTCCTGGTGGTGAGAGCGAAGGTGATCGTACAAGACGGCGAGCGGACGCAGAGGACAAAGCTCGATCTCTTCGAGATGCCAAACTAATTTCTGCGACAGAGCTTGGTCCAAATCAAGCCAGCATCGCACCGAGAGTGGTGCTGACTGACGCCGACCTGCCAAACGGAATACCAGAATCCGGGCGGGTTGGGGACAGTTTCTCTCGAATGGCCCTGACTGAAGAGAATGTCTCTTTATTCAACCACACGCAGGACACAGACTCGTCTACAGTTGGAACAGACTGCTCAGAAATTGCAATAGACGATGATACGTATCCTATGCCCGACATTCCCGGGCCTCCGCCTCAAGGCCTGGTGGCTACCGTGGATCTTGCACATCCAAACACGGCTACAGGCGCAGTAGTTCAGACATTCTTAGAGACGGCTGGAGTATCGCCTCTTGTTGAGGTACCAGCATTGACACTGGCAAAGTCTGCGGATGGGTCACCGAAGAGGAATCGCCGAGAGGTTGGAGGTTTGTCTCTTGACCGAAGGCATCAAAGCGATTGGAGTAGTAGCACGGCAAAACCAGATTGGTCAGGTTCATGAGAACGTTTTTGTGCTGTCCATGGTTGGATTGAAGGTTTCCCCTGGATGCGTTAGAATCTACACTATTCATATCATGTTGGTGAGAATCTCTCGGTGTTTGGTGTTTGGCGTTGGAAATCAGGTTCCCGCCTGATGTTTTAAGTGTCAAAACTCACGATTGCCTTGTGAACGGCCTTCTGGAGGGGTTGGTTATCTGGATCAAGACCTCATCACGCTGGTCTATTTTTGGTACGTACACGAGTGACGCGACTACGACTTATGGCAGAGTACACGAAGACGCCATGAGAGGATCAGGATGGATTTTCATGGCTGATCCACGGTGGTCAAGAAAGGTGAGGTGATCTCAGCATGCTACATCCAGACCCCAAGAAGCGTATTGTCTCTTCGAGGCAGTTGACAGGTCGAGATGGGGCCATGGTTTCTGAGGTCTGCGCCGTGAGGAGATGTTAGACTTTGGTTTGTAACTAAGCAGGCATAAAGCAACTATTTGGTGTTTGATATATATATATATATATAAATCAATATCCAGTCGAGATTTGCTTGATATGTTTGGGAAGCATTCGCATGTTACATAGGACTCGAGTATACCCAGCAACCACTTAGGAAAGGGATGAAGAAACGCCCAATATTCATTCGGTGACAAAGATCAAACTTTCCTCGACTGGGTGAAAGGCGCGCCAAATTTACTAAGTCAAAACCGTCGAACCTGCAAACATGTTGTTGGGTGTATACACGCCCACTTTTCCTATGACGTTGGGGTCTTTGGCCTTGAGTTGACGCAGTTCCTTTGCGTTTTGGTGGTGGTGGTGTTGGTGTTGGTGATGGTCTGAAGCGTTTGACGGTCGGGTGTTTGTGGACGACGGGGAGAGATGGGCATACTGTGAGTGATGGGAAAGGGTCGGTGCCAGGGACTGGGAGTGGCGTTTGCCACCGGCGGTGGCCGTACTCGCGGTGCTGTGGTGTCGAGGGAGGTGGGCGACGTCGCCGTAACTTTCACTGTCGTGGGCCTCGGTGGACTGAGTGATGCGGATGGGTTGTTGGGTTGGATCGGGAATGTCGTCACGAAAGCACATTGTGAGAGGGTGATGTAACTTATGGTAAGTGAGAAGAGGTTTTTGATGGATGGATGGTTGATGATGTTGATGGTGGTGGTTGGGTGATACCTTGGCTAGATAGTCTAGGTAGGTAGGTAGGTAGGTAGGTAGGTAGGTAGGTAGGTAGGTAGGCGGTTCCTTTTAACGTCTCTCAACCAACCTTCAAGTTTCTCATTCTTATGGTGAGGGGTTTGGGAAAAAGAAAGAGAGGGTTTCTCAAAATAGCTCGCAGTTACTTTACTGCCGTACTTGCCGCACTCTTAGTTACATACACCTTTGTTACAGTAGAGGCAAAAAAATGGTGGGTTTACCGAATACGAGGTAGGGCAAGGCAGAATCATGGTACGCGGGGCATTGGCCACCGTTAAGGTAGTTATCTATACCGGGAGGGGTCAGTCACCAGACAGGCTTTTATTTTTTTCCCCGGTGTGTAGGCGTGTGAGAACAATGTCGCTTGTCACGGCACGGGGGGGGGGATGATGAACGCGCGGTATGTTTTGACCTCAGAGGGAAGAGATCAGGTAGTACCGAGTACTGTATGTACAGTAATGTGCTCGATGCCCCATGGGGAAAGGGAAAGATGGTGGTGTCATTATTATTTATTATTATTTATTATTATTGGAGATTCTTTTAATTAGCCCTTGAATCCCTAATTAGAGACACAAGCTTTCTCGTTAATTAGTAGCTCATCTTTCGCTGACCACAAGAAGAGGACGGGTCAGGTTTGTTGTCTTCCTATATACTCGTACTATAGGGTCAATCGTTGTCTTTCGCAAGCTGGGTGTCTACTCGTACTCGTACTCGTACTTTGAGAACTCTCAGCCTTGCTCTGGGTACAGACTCTTAGTTTCCAGTACATCGTCGCCCACCGATTTGGTTACGGTAAAACTTCAGCCTCGTTCCTTCGTACTCGTGTCAGGCTAGGTTTCCAAAATGGACCTCTTATTTCTTACTTCTTACGTGCGTCTACTCCGTGCTACTCAACCTTTCAACGTTATCATGGCGAATCATTATACTTCGTACATGATAATCGAAGCTTCTTTGACCACTGCCGGCATGAATGTGACCCCATGCAGTCCCGACCATCTTCGAAGGTGGCCCCCAAAAGATCGTGATGCAACACCTGTTCAACTCGTTGTCAGAACAAACCTCAACTTATGATTTACATATACAACAGGAGAACCAAAGTGAGATGAGATGAGATGAGATGCTATCCCCTTATAGAAAACCCCTGGGCCTTGGTTCTATTTTTCAGTCATCATTCACCATTCACTGAGAACTTCCTCTCTGTCTCCACCACACATGATAATCTTTTTCTACAGTACCCACTACATGCTAACACGATACTTACCTGAGATTGAGATGAGTAAGACGGGCAATGTAATGTTGGAATCTGTCCAACCGTCGATCAGAGATGAATGTGTTCCTTAGATATACTGTGTGCACTGCTTCCCTCTTCCATCTTTCTCGCATTGTCAACTACAGTCAACCACCTGATTTGAATCGACCGGTAAAGACCTCAATCGTTGCGCCCATCCAAACGAAACCCGAATCGATAAAAGATGGAACGCAATGATCATACAACAATCTCACAATTGATTGCTTACGACAATCCAGGCAATGTCTCACCAGAGAAAGTGGTTCATATCGATGATGTTGCGGGCAAGAGCCTGACTTATGGCGGCCTTCGGCAACAAGCTGCGCAATGCGCCTGGGGGTTTAAACGTCGCATAGGGCTCAAGGAGGGACACAAGGTGATGATCATTGCGCCAAACTCGACCGACTACGTGCTTCTGGCACACTCCGTCTTTTGGGCCGGTTCAATTTTTGTACCACTCACCGCAGCCTCTACGGCCAGGGAAATTGCCCATGCTGTTTCCATCACCGAACCTGAATATATCATCAGCGACCCTGGCAAAGTTGACGCCGTTGAATCAGCTCTGCAGGATTTTGAGCTACCACTACCGTCCAAACCCAAGTTGCTGACGATAGGAGGGCGTCGTGCAAATTTGCAACTGTTCCCCGACGATGTCATTGACAAGACTGCCGCGGAACCCCTGCCACCCCATGATGTCGGTGGCAAGAGTACAAAAGATATCCCCGCGATGATCATCTTCTCCTCAGGCACCACCGGAAAGTTCAAGGGCGTCCGATTGTCGCATTACAATCTGATATCAAGTTTGATAAGTATGCGCATCTCGTCCAGGTGGTACGTCGACCCTGGCTCGAGGACAGTCTTCTTCCCCCCATACTGTCACATCTATGGCATCTCCGCCGTGGTCTTGGGCGGTATGTGGGTGGGCTCATTCACCTACTGTATGCAATCCTTCGATCTCGAAACATACTGCCAAAAGATCGAGCAGTACAAAGCGACAAGTGCCCATATCGTGCCTCCTATCGCAGTCATGCTGGCCAATTCGGATGTCGCTGCGAAGTACGACCTGACGTCCATCAAGGTCATGATGGTCGCCGGGGCTCCTACCAAGCAGGCATTGCAGCGACGACTAAAGTCGAGGTTCGGTCAAGACCTGAGCGTCGTGCAAGGCTTCGGCCAGAGCGAAACCACCGGAGCAGTGACCATGCAAAGTCCCCATGACGACGAAAAGAATCTAGGGACCGTTGGCAAAGCCATCGCGGGGGTCGAGGTTCGACTCGTCAACCCGAACACGTTCCGAGACGTGGCGAGAGGCGAAGAGGGTGAGATGTGGGTGAAAGGACCGGTCACCATGATGGGTTACTGTAAGAATGATCAGGCAACGAAAGAAACCTTCGTCGGCGACTGGCTGAGGACAGGGGACATCATTCGAGAGGACGAAGGTGGTAACTTTTGGGTGACGGATCGACTGAAAGAGTTGATCAAGTACAAGGGGTTTCAGGTTGCACCTTCGGAACTCGAATCCCTCCTTCTCACTCATCCATCAGTGGCCGACGCCGCCGTGACGTCCATTTACTCGGACGAACAGGCCACGGAGCTGCCGATCGCTTATGTCACGCTGGTCGTGACGGCTTCTCCGATGTCGAAGGGTAGAAAAGACAGATTACTCCAAGAGATTCGTGAGTGGGTAGATGGGCAGGTGTCAGGGCACAAGAGACTGCGCGGTGGTGTATACGAGTTTGGTCCATTGCCAAAGACTGGATCGGGTAAAATCTTGAGGCGCGACCTTCCCTGCCGCAGGCTACAAGAAAGTGGGAGGGGGTTGAAGCTTTGATATGATCAGACCGGAAAGTGCGGACTTGGGGGGTTTGCGGCCTTCAGGGTCGTGTTGATATCGTGTCAAAGGAATTTACCCCGGACGAATCGAGACGAACCGGATAGATGTACCTCCGATCGAATCGTTTCGCCCGCCTTCGTCCGGCATTGTGGATCAACCAAACGTTCCCCGGTCCCCCCTTGGCAGGAGATGGTACAATCTCCTATTGGTTCTCGATTTTCATATACTTCTTCTCCTGTCCCTTTCGGTGATGTTCTCTACGAGATACACTTTTTCACTTTCTTTCTTTGGACGATGGCGGCACATGCTGACCGGATTTTAGTCCTCCAAACACCGTGTCGAGTCGGTTTTGAGTTGTGACATGATGGCATCAAGTCCTTGTTCTGGACAGTGGACGCGTATTACATAGGTAGGGAAGACGTGGATATAAAAAAGGTCGATGAAGTCTCGTTGTTGCCCACACAAATTTCATTCCATCATTCTATCAGTGCGCGACTACCCCCTTGATAACGTACACAACACAAGATAACCATCCGCATCTGGTCTGTACTCCGTACATAGGTCCCGCACCAAACCACAATAACCATGCCAGCGTCTCTACCGAATCCATTACCGACAAAACCACTCGGCACCAATGGCCCGATCGTCCCGGCCATGGCCGTCGGATTGATGTCTCTCGGCGGCGCCTACGGTCCGGGAGGGGACGACGCGACCAGGCTCGCGTTCCTCGACGCCATGTACTCCATCGGCGCCCGACACTGGGACGACGCCGACATCTACGGCGACTCGGAGGAGTTGGTCGGGAAATGGTTCACGACGAACCCAGAGAAACGCAAGGACGTCTTCCTCACCACCAAATTCGGTTTCACCGGACCCTTGGACGCCATGGTCCTCAAGAGTGACCCGGCGTACGTCAAGGAGGCATGCGCTCGATCCCTGGAAAAGCTGAAGTCGGACTATATCGACCTGTACTACTGTCATCGAGTGGACGGCAAGACACCGATTGAAGAGACGATCAAGGCAATGGTCGAGCTCAAGAAGTGAGTGATTACAGTCATCATTTGGCAATGGAAATGGAATGCGTGGAACGGATGAAATACTGACCCTCGAGATTCTTCATAGTCAAGGGAAAATCAAACACATAGGCCTGTCGGAAGTGACCGCATCAACCATAAGACGTGCACACGCCGTCCACCCCATCACGGCCCTACAGATCGAGTACTCTCCGTGGGCACTCGACATTGAATCTGTCACTTCTTCTGGCGGCAACGACGAAGAGGTCTCCATCCTGGACACCTGCAAGGATCTGGGGATAGCCGTGGTGGCCTACTCGCCTCTCGGCCGAGGGTTCTTGACGGGTACCATCAAATCCCCCGCCGACGTGGCGGGCGACTGGCGGGCCATGCTCCCGCGATTCTCGGCCCAGAATTTCGACAAGAACTTTGACCTGGTCAAGAAGATCGAGGAGATTGCACACAAAAAAGGTGTGACGCCGAGTCAACTCGTCCTGGCCTTCTTGATGAAGGAGTGGGACGGTGTGCACCCGTTGTTCGGCACCAAGAGCGTCGATCGAGCAAAGGAGAACCTGGCGGCCTTGTCGGTCGACGTCACGGATGAAGAGGTCAAGGCCGTGCGAAAAGCCTGCGATGACTGTGTCGTTACCGGGGGCAGGTACCCCGATGGAGCGACGGTTCTGATGATGGGCGAAACTCCAGAGTTGAAGTGAGGATTGTGCATGACACTCTCAAAGGTCCATGATAGCTAAATTGAGACGTAAGAAAGATGGCAAACTCAAAACCAAGCTTGATGGCAATACCCAAGACTATTCGTACGTCTGTATGTAGGTGTTTGTGCAAGTCTCTGTGTGCAAATCGAGATTTCGAATCAACCACCAAAAACCAAAACTAAACATCCCCCTGCTTCAACAACTCTTCGGCCCTCTTTGCAACCTCTTCCATGGCGAACATTTGAATCCTCGGGCCGACACTGATTCTCGCCACACCAATCTCGGCCAACTCCTTGATGCTCAATCCGTCGTGACTCCATTTGTAGGACACGCTCAGTCGACCGTCGAATGCTTCGGTCATTCTCTCAACCTCGGCTCGACTCACGCCACGCCGGCTGCCTCCCCAGACAAAGACCGTGGTGGCTCCGGCCTCGAGATATTTCTCCCCCCTGGCGATGACCTCGTCCATCTCCCCGCCGCGGACCAGGGTGTCGCAACGGGCGTTGACGACAAAATTGGGGACGCCGAGGTCTCTGGCCGTTTTCATGACCAGCGACACGCGTCCCGCGGCGACATCAGCGGGCATCATCCGCTGCGTTTCCTTGTCACAATCTTCAATGTTGATCCCCACCACGCCGGCCTCGACGATTGAAGTGACGGCTTCGACCAATCTATCTCCGTACCCGTCCTGGAAGTCCGCCGTCAACGGTTTGTTGCCGTGTCGCGCCACCACCTTGGCCACGACCCGGACGGCGGCCAGGTTTTGGTCGAGCGTCAAATCGTCGTCCTCGACCCCGGCGGCCTTGGCGACGGCGTAGGAGGCCGTGGCCACGGCCGAACACGACTCGAGTGGCGCGACCGCCGAAGCGGACGCTCCGTCGTAAACGTTGGCCAGAATCACCGGTTTGCCTGGGCGGTGAAGATTTTGGAAGGTGGTGGCCAAGTCGTTGAGTTTTGTCGACGCCATTGTTGGACTCCTTTGAAGGTCGGGGTATGTATTCCTTTCAAAACGGGCGGATGAGGTCTCACTGTCTCTCGTCAAGGTCAACGTTGAAATCTGGGAGGCTGTTTGAATGAATTCGGTTTGCAAGTCGTGTGTGCTATCGACCCTTTTTTATAACTTCACCCTAGGATACAGAACGCATTTTTTCATTCGTCTCCAAGACAAATCAAATATGAAAACTAGAGTGCCACTTAGTAATGGGTTATATCGACAGAGGAGTCATAGTTGACGGTAAGTTGTGAGTGGTGCCCCATCCCCCGCCTAAAAGGGGAAAATATATGAGATACTCCAAGGGGCTAAGCGCCTACGAGTTCGGACTCGTATTGGCTTCGTATTTTCATTGTTGCCTCGATCATATTTTGTCACAAGGCGTAAGCATGACATTCTGGAAAAGAAGAATGGCGTATAGTCGAAAGACCAATGCTGATCGAGCAACATCCGGATCTCTTTTGAACGTGTTTACTGTAGTGTGAAGAATGATGGTTTCTCCACTACATACATACGTAGTCTCAAGACGGGGTGGCGACGGTGTTGCTCTCAAAGTGTCCAATCGCCAATGTAGAAATCAATAGCTCTAATCTATGCCATTCCTCCATTGTATGCCGTCGTTTCTTCCAATTGTCGCAATACACAAAGTCGTCGTTCAATGCATTTTTCAATGCACTTGACCAGACTGTAGCAGCCGCGGCAACCAGAGCCTGGCTGGCGGTGGTTTTCGAGAACACGCGTCGTGTTTTGCAGTAAATGTAGACATCTACTCCTAAATCCTTCAACGTGCCCTTGGTCCACTTCGGCGACACAAGACGTGACGAACAGGCGCCAGACAAGGACGTCCAGCCGAGGAGACTGTCCTCCTCCGTCACCCAACGTATCCCAAAACTTCAAAGAAGCCGACGGCAAAAGATCATCGGATTCTGGTATCTTGAGAAGTTGTTCTCGCACTCGGCAAGGGACGAGCCCGGTGGCCATGGGGGAACATGGAAAATGTCTATCAGACTTGTATGTGTGTCCTCTCGGTACGGAGTACAAAAACTGAGATCCGCTGACTGGGAACCGCATGCTGACCAATTCTTGACCGAAAGAACTTCACTGGAATGAATGGGGGAATTTGTCGATTTCCACACAAGGCTAGTCAGCAGAGACAGAGAGAAAGAGAGTATACGAGACCGAGCACAAAGACCGGCACGAGGTAGGCTTTTACTTATTTTATTACTATAGGGATATCCTGTGTGAAAATACTAATCTTTGGCCGTTCAAGACCGGCTGTCGACGAGTGGATATCGGATGGGCCATGGGTCGATTGAGGGTGTTGTTGATTTCCATGGTGAACAATGTAGTGAAGAGCTTTTTCTCCATGGAGGTGAGTTCCATTGCCGATTGTTCTTGCGTACCAAAGAGCTGCACCCCAAGGAATTTCTGTACTCCGTGACACCCCATGATACCTAAGAACATACGGAGTATACAGTGATTATATTGTATCCAGCCAAGCACTAGGCAAGACTAGGCGTGCGGAACGGGGGTCGATCTCTGCAACCCACAATGAGGCTGAGGCGGAGCGAGGCGAGGCGAGGCGAGTGTATTGTAGTCCCGTCTTCTCTAATAGTCTTATCGAAGTCGATCATCTCCTATCAACATTTCTGACAATGGAGAGGGGAGAATTTCGACATTTGGCGACATGTGACGTCCTAACAGAACCAGATATCGATGTACTGCATGTCTATGAGAAAGTGGAATGTTCCAAGGTCGCAAAGTCGACCATGGCTTCGTCACGCGTCGACGTTGTCGTTGTGTAGAAGTCAGCAAAGCCCCTCAATGGAAGAAAAAAATAGGAAACAAGACTAGGATGAGAAAAAAGTCCATGATGCAAAATCGAAGATGGGGTGTGCCCCCCTCGAGGAGTTGTTGGGGGGAGGGAGGGTGGAAGAGGTGTTCATATATACATTCCACCTTGAGGAGGTTACCTGCACCAAATCTCACAATTGTACTAGCGACAGTCAGTCAGTCAGTCGATTCAGCTTCAATCACTTTTGGAACATGTTTTGCAATAACGATACCTGAGACCAAAGTCTTCATTCGGGGGAAAACTATGTTCACTAATACAATACATTGAATGAGACCTCTTAATCCATCAGGGTCGATTTTGTGATCCAAGAACCAATTCTGTTGGTCGATCCCATCTACCTTCCCACAGGCAGCATGGATAGAAATCTGTAATAACACGGTCTTTTGGTCGACGGTGACATTATCTCTTGCAATAATGTCTTGTGCAACAACCATGATCTGAAACCTGTAACCTTTCTCTTAATGAAATTCAACTTTGTTTCCCATCATCCGAAACTCTGAGTCATGTCATGGCTCTGCTCGAACACCATCCACGTGCAAATGCAAAAGTGAAACCAACGCCAGGTCACATTGTGATGCCACCCACTTTACAAAGCGTTGCACGCCTCGCGATGCAAAAGAAACCCATCAGTCATCATCTTCGTCTCCGCCGAGACCGGCATTCTTCTTCATCAAGAACACGTCGTCTTTGAGATCTTGAATCTTCCGTGCCAGCTTCTTCTTCAAGATTGCACTCGGAGTCTTCTTAAGTAACTCGGTCTGCTCGGCGATCTTTTGTTGCATGTCTTCAATTCGATCCTTGACCTGCTGCAGATTGTCATCACCTTCCTTGTCGGCATCGTCGAGATCTCCATCTTCATCCCCACCTTCGTCATCGTCGTCATCCGAGGATTGATCGACGGCAGACGCCGGTGTATGTGCAACTGTAGCTGAAGGAGATGCAGAGGTGCTCGTGACTGGGAACGACGAGTCACCGCCTTCAGGAGGGTGCAAGGTGGTGCTTTGGGTCTGTGCAGAAGCAGATGGTCCTGGAGCATCGTCGTCCGCGAACATGCGCTCGAACTCGTCAACCTCATCCTGTCCGATGTCTTGAACCGGCGTCTCGGTGAGCATTGGCGTTTCGAAAGCAGGAGCATGGTGGCCATTCTGAAAGGCAAAATAGTCCTCGGGTTCCTCGTCCTCTTCGGCTTCGGCATCCTCATCTTCTCCCAATCCAGAACTATATCGCTCTTCGTCGAGCCGAGGATCGTGGTCAAGAAGCTGATATCGCACCAAAGTTGCGGCCTTGTCAGCTTCGAGCAGTGCTTTGACACGTCTCTCCACCGACTCGATGTCGTCGACTCTGGTTCTTTTCGTTCTTGCGAATCGTCTCTTTCTCACCCATTTCATCGGTGCTGTCAAACCGTGTGCGTATTGATAGTTCTTGGGATCGACATCTTCAGGAAGGGGATAATTTCTCGCCTCTTCATCGGTGTGGCAACGTCCCAACACCAACAACATTTGGCAGACATCAATGCTCTTGATCCAACCCTTCTTGTCCCATGATTTCATTCCCTCGACGATGCACGGCAAGTCCACCATGGTAATTGCGTATTGATTGCCTCTAATAATCATAATGCCCCTCCTACCGAGTGTATCTAGCATCCTCATCTTGACATCCGCACCGTTTTTGGACCGAGGTAGATGCACCGTGCCATCCTCGATAGCCTTGCGTAGATAGTCGCAGTCAGGTCCCGGCTGCATACGAAGGATAAACCCCTCGTGTATCATGGGGTCATTCTCTTTCTCCTCGAGTTCTGAATCATAACCTACACCAATAGGCCGTTTTGGAATTTTTCCTTTTGCCTTCAACTTGACCGTAGTGGCCGTCGCATGCTTCGAAGGGCCGGCAGGAATGGAGGGCGTTTTCAACGTGAGTTTCGGTATGGCCGTTGGTTTAGGCTTGGTCGGTGGCGCAGTTAATTCATCTTCGGATTCGGCGGCGGCTTTGCTCGGCCGTTTGCGTTTCTTTTGAGATGAGGAGGCCGGGGTCGACACGCTGATAGTGCCTGAAGGCGGAGGCTTAGGGGTGCTTGTAGAGCCAGCTGATGGCCCGCCGAGTTTGAGCTTGATGGAGGGTGTGCGAATCGCGCTTGTAGGCACCGGTGTTTGTACTGGTGGTTGAGATCCTGCCTGCGGTATCTGGGGCTTGCTCAACTTCAACTTGAGTTGTGGACGTTGACCGCCCTTCTCGGGTGCTTCAGACATGTTGTCGAAATCGTGGGCGACGCTGCTGGCTTCAGTGTCGTCGTCCGCGCCAAAGGGGTGAAGGAATCTGACTGAAGAATACGGAATCAGGTAGTGAGGGTCATCATCGGTATCGCCAGATGCAGACTGAGACCCCTTCAGCGGTTCAGTCGACTCTAGGAAGGGTGGGTCGTCGTCGGCGGGAAATATTTGAACAACTGGATTGATCTTCACCTTCTTTTGTGGTTTGGGTTGTGGATTGGGAGATGGACGTTTGCGCAGATGCTTGCGGACTTCGAGAGCGATGAGTTTGGACTTGGCCCGCTGCTCCTCGTAGTGCGCCGGAAGTAGTAGCCTAGATTTGCCCTTCGATGGGGTTGGCTGCGCCCAAGCAGGAAGCTCCACAGGCTCTCCATCCCCTGCAGTCTTAGGCTCCTGACCAAGCTCGCCAGGTCCATCGGCACCGTCATTCGTGGGGTTTCTGGGCGTCAATGCGAATTCCTCGGCGACAGGTGCCACATTCTGATCCCTCTGATCGTTGTCGTCCTTCTTCTCGCTCTTGACATATGGATTAAACACCTTGGAAGCAGCAGGAAACCGCGCCAACTTCGCAGGGTCGAGCTTCAAAGTCAAGAAAGCAGTCGCTGGCGTTTCTTCTAGTGCTTCTATCTTTCCGCTCTTCAACACCTGAGCAGGTCGAGGTTGGGGGAATTGTCTAGCCACGGGTTTGGGCTGCTTTTTTTTCCGACTACCCATTGTGACGACGACCGACCTAGTGAAGGAAATGTACGCGTAAAAATCTGGGGGTTTTCACCTGAATATTTATTTGCAAGCCTTTTTGCGCAATGTGTTTCTTTTACTCTTCGTCCTGAGTCGAAATCTTTCAAGCAAGGACAAGCCAGCAGAATGACTTCGGCGGATTTGCACACGGCGCTGCTGCGGCCAGCAGTCATTCAGATCCTGAGGGCAGCTGGCTTTGGATACGCCAAACCGGCCGTGATCGACACACTCACCGATCTCGCAGCGAGATACCTGTTGCTTCTTAGCACGTCAACCGCTCAAAACGCCTTCAATACGCACAATACGTTTGTCGCCACAATCCAGGACGTGAGGCTTGCGCTGAGTCAAGCCGGCGCTCTGACTCCGCAGATGAGTACCGCCGAGGAAGGATTGAGAGGCGATGTGGAAGTTGACGGTGTGACGGTCTCGTTCGAAGACCTTCGCGGCGTTCAGGCGTTCGTCAACTGGGCTCAAGGCCCGGTCAACAAGGAGATCAGGAGGATTGCGGGTTTTGGAGACGATGCCAACGTCGAGGAAATAGCGGCTGGTCTTGATGACAAGGAAGACTATCTCTCCGGTCAGTTTTCAGTTTGTCTTTGCAATAGCGAGATTGTTTTGTGGCAGCCTGTCCCGCCGAGACATTGATGCGCAAGTGAATTGACTTTTGTGTGATTTTGCAGCCCTGAAGAAGAAGCACAGCAAGACGGGTGAGGAGTCGCGTTATCAAGGTACAGTGCTGGGAAAGGACATTGAGCTACAGTCCGTGGCTATAGTTGGAGGCCCAGCGGCATCGCTCTCTGAATGGGCGCAAAAGTCGTTGTCGCAAGCATCAAATGCAACCGAACCTACAGACGGAGACAGTCCCGCAACATCAGGCATTAGCAGCGCCCCTCCGACACCTATTGACGATGACTTGTCAATGTCCTTTGTCTGAAAAAGTGCTGCCTTGATATTTGTGCCTTTTGCCCAGTAAGCTTTGGGTGAACGGTACCTAAGAAATAGGACTGTGCGCCAAAGACAGACCAACCCGTCTTTGCTTCGCGAGATTGTCAACAAAAGATTCTGTTTGGCACGGTAGCTACAGTTATGTGTCTTACTATGCCTCGCTAGCAGTTTGCTTGCAAAATCACAAAAACTACGGCGTACCAAGACAGGACGATCCCCAAGACCTGGCTGAGCACTCCAGAAAGATCAGCTACCCAATCTGTGATCTGAACTGATGGTCAGTTTCGAACCATTTGAGCCATCATACGAGCCGCTTTGCCAAACCCTATTTAATATTCTGGATACCATTCGATAGAAGCGAGAAAAAATGGAATCGAAAACAGACCGGTGTCCAGGAAAACAACACTCCATCAGCAGTATCAGAGGTAGCAGGCGGACACAATCACCGCAACCCGCATTAACCGTTGACTTGCTGGGGACATTTGAGACAAGACACATATCATGTGAAAAAAATGGTGGAATATATTAAGGCCTCTCTGCAGGAGGAAGGAGAAGAAGAAAAAATCCATTGGTAGCAACTCCTGCACTCCCCTTTGACGATGAAGCCTTGTCACTCCGAGGGATACTGCAAACCTTTTCAAGCCGGCAAATTACCCAACTCCATTACCCATCTACATCATCACCATCTCCATTACCATCCTCGTATAGCTTTATAGCTTTCTCGGCGAAATAGCGGCTAGCCGCAAATTCAGAGAAGCAAAAACATCCTCGCCCTCTGAGGCCTCACCTGGTATAAAGTTAGCCAGACATACAGTGACCACAAAGTATTCATATGTCAAACACGTGTAATAATACACTTACCCAAGCCATAAGCTCTGCCTTCTTCTGCTCGTGATCACGATCACGGTGGCCACCTGCGTCGCTGTACGGCTCATTACTCGCGCGTCCTCTTTCGTGCTCTCTTTCATGTAATCGTCCTCGAGACCGACCTTCTACTCGATGAGGCTGAAACATCGGGTGCCAGGTCGCTGAGGTGGTATTCTTGCCACTGGCCCCGTCGCCGCTACCACTTGCTGACAGGAACGATGTGGAAAGCGTAGTTGCTCCCATTGAGGTCACAGTCCAACCCGTGCCGTTGTTTGTACTCGTAAGCGAGGCAGCGGTAGTTTCTGGAGCGAGCCATGGAGCGTTACTGCCAGTACAAAATGCCACTGTGGCATTGGTATCGCAGATCGTCGAGGCGTTCGGACTCAGCGATGTTGGACCAACTTCACTGGACCAAGAGCTTGAGCTGTTGCTTGAGCTGTTGTTGGGGCTGGCAGTGATGGCCGAGGTCTCTGTGGGCGAAGTAGAATTCATGCTGTTGGAAGTCAACGTGGGTAAGAAGTTCGTGGAGTTATCCGACGCTGTACTCGAGACTGTACTGTTGGTGGTGGAAGGAAAAATCGCTGTCACGGAACTGTTCCAGGAAGAACTACTCGTCATGGTCGGACTGGCAAGGGACTCTGAACTATTCCCACCTGTGGCCGTGGGTTGGAAAGAAATGTTATACTGGGACCAGGCGCTCACGACCCCTGCCGTCATGTTCCAGTCGAGCCAAGCTGAAGCAGTCGTCAAGTTGGTGGCAGATGTCGTTGTCCTGTTGCTCCAGAATGGGGCGGAGCTAGTCATGTTCTCGTTTGACGATGAGTTCGACATGGACGCTGTACCCGTGGCACTGGGACCTGTCGTCAACGGGCCAAAGACTCCCGAGCCCGACGTCAAGTTAGACGAGGCTGAGGTGCTTGAAGAATTGAGACCATTGCCATTGTTGGACACAGATGATGGCATAGTCGATGTGGTGCTACCATTGAGTGCGCCTACATCCTGCGAGGTTGTAGAACTGTAGCTAGCGCTGGTCGATGATGTCGTTTGTGCTGTGCGCGTATTTGAGCCGACCGCAATGGTCACGATTGTCATTATCAAGGGTGATGGAGAGCCTTTTGCATTGATCAGAGAGGACGAGGCCTCGTTGGCGGTCTCTGAGGGCTCTGGCTCAAACACAGTCGCAACGACTGACTCAGGCGGAGGCGTGAAATCAATGGTCAGGACTGTGAAAACTCGGCTGCTGTGAGATTCCGACGAGCTTGAAGGCACAAAAGAATTGTTGCCCCAGAGAGGAACTTCACCACTTGTCAAGGGCGCGTTCGGGCCCAAGCATCTGGAGCCTGAAAGGGACTGGCACGATGAATTGAAAGCCGGAGAAGATCCAGTCTGGCTAGAAGCAACTCCGACCGTTACTGTAACATTCATGACCATAGTAGTCATACTATTGTCATTGGGAAAAGGCGTAGCACTGGATGTGTAGTCCGAGTTATTGGAGGGCGCTGATGAAGGCGTTGAACTCTGCTCGGGACCAAAGGTAAACTGCCCAGTTTGGTTGTTTGTGGCATTGGCCGTAAGAGTTTGATTCAACAAAGACCAGTTCGATCTCAGGGGCTCCGGATATCCTGGAGTAGCGCAAGGAAAGCCATGGTTTTCATCGCAGTATGGAAGGGGAGGTGGAGTGATGATAGGTCCAATAGTCGTTCCGGGAGGAACAGTCTCCCTTCCAAACGGCTGGGTTTCGTTGCCCTGATATATCGGGCCATAAGGTTCATTATCGCAACGACGTACCACCTGGCCGTGAACCACTATTCCTTGGTCAGTATCCCTATTTTTCATCACAAAGACAGCTTCGATGCTAACCTCCCTGGGGTATTCCGTAGCTCAGCACCAGGCGAGCGAATGTTGCGAAAAGAAGAAATAACGAGTGGCCCATCTTGGATGTCGACCCCAAACAGCACAAGATGATGAGATCTGGCAGGCCAAACAGCAGCGGAGCTACGTCTGTGGGCGTTTTATATCGACCTTTCCTTTCAATCTCAGCTCAAATCCTGTCATCTCCGCATTCTGTAGCAGACTAGCTGCACCAAGGCTGCGAGGGAATGCATGGTAACTGGGCCTGCCACACTCATCTCGATCGGGAGTAACTTTTCGTTGAAGTCTTTGATACCCTTTTGGTGGGCCTTGTACACTTCGAAGGCCGTTGCCTGACTCCTGTCATATTCAGGCTGGCTGCGTGCTTAACCTGCTAAGTGTTCAAGGTGCAATGAATCTTGCCGAAACCTCAAGCTTTGACGGAGACAGATGCACCTGGCCGAGGGTTGCATAGCCATCTTCCAAGATAATAGTCATATAAATTTCACATGTGGCTGAGATCTTCACTCGTAGCGCAAGGAAAGTCATGAAGATCGTTCATTATTGACTCGACAGACGGAAAGCGTTCAGAAATTGCCAGAAAAAAATAATGTGAAGTCGGCAAGTAGCAGCTTGGTGCGCATGCTTTCCCATCGGGCCGTGGCATCGGTTTAAATCCGTCACGATTGTAACCATGTCAACGTTGTACAATCAGAGATGAAATGTTTCGAGCAGCCATCTTCAAGTGTAGCTTGTCAAGCTATATGATATTAACAACGAAGAGACTCTCATGTTGCCAGTCAATGATTCGCGATGCGGAACAGCTCTTATGAGAGGTATTTAAGGAAGTGAAGACCCGCCATTAGTTGGCTGTGTTGGGATGGTATCAGTACGACTTGGCTCAACGGAATGGACAGCACCTTTGGCCGAGCCTCGTGGTGCAAGGTTGCCGCAGGTGCAGGCACCCTACGATATGCAGATCTGACAGATCTCATCCCCTGGGACTTTGCTGGCCCTGAAGTCGACGCCTCAAAGGCCAGACTTGATCTGGCCTGAAGATAAGTCCCAAAACTATCCAGTCATTTGATGCTCAAAGACGTTGAACCCAGGGGGAGAAGCGCGTACCTGCGTCCCAAGTATGACTGGAATTGAGCCTGTGTCATGTTTGCCACACCTATACACACGGGAGCTTGTGGTGAAACAGTATATCCACATTTGAGCTGGGTTGAGCCGTCCGTACATGAGTATCCCATAATTTCCGAGATACTGTCGGCCAGGGATGAAGTTCCTCTAGAAGATTCTGACCGACTACTTAGCATGGAACGGTCATAGCAGTGTAATGCAATGGTATATCGCTTATTCTGCAAGGAACATAGTACCAAATGCAGCCTTCCGTATGTCCGGTCGGTGCGCCGATTCGTCGTTGAATTTGTTGCTAGAGACTCAGGGGAATTGACTCGATCCTAAACATGACTTTGTATTTCTGGCTTTCGGGGATAGAACACACCCCTGATGTAGCTGGAGGCCTATTAGTTCACAACCCAACTCAGCGAGCCTCGCATGGATATAGTCCGGACTATAGTGATATTTCTATGTGTTAAGTACTAAACCTATCACTTGCTCGCTATCCTCATCTTAGCCTGTACGCGCACAAGATTGGGATTGGCCGAATTGGTGTACGAGTATTGGTAGGTTGTCTCGCGGAAGGTCTAGTAAAGAGAATCTGTAATGCATTCGAAGACCGACTCTGTAACATGGCTCCACATTTCTTCGACGAATTCCATTCTTAACAGAATCGTGAAAATTTGGTTAGAGCCGAGCATGACGGAGGGGGCTTCCAGCGACATGTGGCTGATTCTTCGTGTGTTGCGCAGAAGAATTTGGCATACTCAAGCCGTAAGCGAATATTTCTGTCGAGAAAGAGCTGAATGTTTTTCTTGAAGGAATTCCAGCTTATTATCCATGTCGAGAATTCCAGGACCGTATTGCACAAGAGTTGACCAACGGCAGTTGCATTGTCCACAGGTCCAGGTTGCAGATTTCCTGTGAACAACTTCAATCCTCAGGCCGTCCGCTGCAAAGTCAAATGCCACGACTCGGCAAATCTGTGACAGAGTATATCTGGACCCGTTCATGTCCCTACCTATGGCGGAAACGTGTTGGAGCGTACGCAAGCATGACGACTTATAAACAATGCTAGAAAGATGAGCCGGCAGATCAAGTTCGACGTAGTGGGATTTGACGCGGTTTTGGAGGTCATAGAGACCACCAAGGTTGTCGTGCGTACGATTTGCCATGATACTGATTCTGTGAAATTCGAGGCATGTTGGCTCTCGTGTTTGGGCTTTCTTAGTGCGAATGGCAAAGGGGAGGAGGCTTGATGGTGGTAGATTGGTGTGAAGAAGCTCCGCGGTCATCCTTCTTAACTTTAGGTGTTCCAAGAATCCGTGCACGCTGCTTTCCTTTCGCCAATGAGCTCCTGGACAAACAAAATCATCAAGTTTTCGGCCATGCTAGACTTGTAGTATTACCCTGCAGAAGATGAAAGATCGACTTACGGGTGCACTAAAAACACACGCTACACAGGGAGCAGGCCAGTTGAGCGCGAGGAAACTTGAACACCATGCTATTCCTCGCTATGATATTCCTCAGAATATATCAATGTGACACCATGCTAAGTCGTAACTTGCATATATTATCCTGTTAATAATCTAGGCCATGACTGCTCCCATTCGTTCACAGTCCCCCGCGCCGATGGATGCATTAATTCTTACCCCCTTCTCCACTACCGGGTTTGAAGCAGAGATAAAGGGTTGTATCAACCAAGATCATGTCAGAGGGATGGGAATCGGGCCCGCCAAAGTCGCTTTCGTAAGGTCGTCAATATTTGTTGCTGTATTCTGATTTGTGAGTGCTGCAAATGCCATGCCAAACATGTTTGGCTGGACATCGGCATGTAAATCACCATTGGCGTCGGTGGTCACTGGTGTGTATGCTGGGACATTATCCTGGTTGACCCATGCCATATACAGGGGTGTTCCCTTATTCCACCCTTGCTGCATCATCGAAGGCTGTCCAACCCTGAAAACCAACTCTCCAGGAGCATTTGGAGTAGCAAATGAGGGACCTCCATAGCCGACAATGCCCAGATCGGGAAATACAGGCAAGGAGGTGATCGATTGAGGTAAGTTCTTGCATGATCCACCCACCACAAAATCGAGAGCGAGGTTGTAAGCCCAGATCCCACTAATAGGTGTCTCGAACGTTGTTGGGTTGGGGATTTCACCAGCCGTGATTCGGAAGAAGGCATCGTGACGTGACTCGACTGGTAGGATAGAGCCAACGGTCGCTTCAATACCCGGATCGGTCGTCGAGAGTGCACTTTGCAAGCCTATCAAGGCTCCGATGCCAACACTCGTGATGATATTCCCCAAGGCAAAGAAGCTGGTCTCATCGGTAACTGGAAAGCTGTACTGGCATGGCTGAACATCTTGAGCCCCATTACCAGTCAGTAGCCCTACTATCGATGCCACGTGTACTTCTTCCTGTGCCGCAATATGGGACACCACGTTCATGTTGCTAACACCGTTCGTCGTACCGCCACTGCCCCATCGCGTGAAGTTCATCAGTCCTTCTTGGAAGAAGGCAGACTCAAGGTTCTCTAGGAAATTTGCGACCTGGAAGTTGTTGATACCATTTTGAGAGAGCTTAGGGGTGCCAGGCTGATTTGACAGACCGCCACCGGCTTGCTGCGTAATCTGAGGAGGCAACGCAGTGCCTGTGATCAACGCAGGCACAGCAACAGCTGACTTGGTGAAGAAGGATAGAGCAATTGGTACAATCAAGGAATACATGGCGACTGAAGCACAACAAGAAGAACTGGAAAACAACGAGAAGAGTAGAACACGCCGGAGGAGCAAGCAGAGTGCAGAGGCGTCATTGGGATTATAAAGTAGACTTACTACGTGTTTAAAAGTCAGATTTGGGGCCGATTGTGCCTGGATCATTGCTTGACGCCGTAAGCACTATTCATATCGCGAAGCATCTGAGGCTCACCATGCCTCGACCAACCGGAGATGGCAAGGGCCGCAGCCACATGTCACAGCATATGGAGTTCTGGAGAGCAAAGCAAGAAAGTGCCAGACCTGGTCCACACCGTCCAATTGAACTCATTGTGAGTCCCTGTCTCGAACCATCCTTCGGCCTGGATCGGTATCCAGAAGCAGAATCATGGAAGGCTGGAACGAGGCAAATTCATGAACTCGAGGAGGACAATGCGAGTCCAGCGGACACCGAAAACAAGGGGCGAGGTGGCTTCGAGGGACGCCTTACAGGTACAAGCTTCGGTAAGCAACGAAGACTAAAATGCTTCAGCTTGTTCGGTCCGTTTAGCGATTCTGTCAGCAGGATCCAATTTTAGATCTGATGTCCAGACGATGCATGGATACAGCCCAAGTCCGCAGGTGAAGGCTGTATACGCGCCAAGTGCAGCCATGCCCTTTTGGGGACTGTTTTGGTCTGACAATGATGGCAGCAAAACACTTTGCATACTCAAAGCGTCAAAGCCTTGTCAAGCACCTTCATTTTATTTTCAATGACGCGCTCAAGTTTACTGCATGATAATTGTCGACGCAGGGAGTCGATTGCTTCGAAAAGCTGCCATTGCACGAAACAGTCGCCATGAAAGCACCATTTCCAGTCAGCATGGGTTCCTTCGGCATTTGCACACAATGCATGCGTGCTCTTCGGCAAAGCGTCCGGCAAGAGGTAGGTCTTTGCTAAAGCTTCTTCCCTGACCAGAGCTGATAAATTTCGAACCAGAATTCGGTGCTGCTGGCAAGATCACCAGCTTCCAGCCGTCGACATCTGTCGGTCCAACAAACAGAACCAAGGTTTCAGACTCAAAGCACGAAGTCGAGCATACATCTCAACGTTCCTACCGCCACTCCGACCAACACCACCAACCTCACGGCCGAAATACCTGAAGATGCCTCGAAGGCGGAAGCACAACCAGAGCACACCAAATCCAAATCACCCCAGAGACAAGAACTCCCGACAGGTCCCAGCGTCGCACACATGCAGGCCCAGATTCAGCAGTCCCTGCGACGCCCGGCCATGGCCAACCCTCTGGCGAGTCGAGTAGCTCAGAGCCTGCGCAAGTCCGCCAAGGGGGCGACGCAGACGTACATCACCTACGGCGAGACGGAGACACTTTTCAAATCCTGTGCAGCACAGGCGGATTACACCATCCCCGAGGATCAGCGCATGGGCATCCTCACGGGCCAAGGACCTCCCAAGACAGCCGATGGGATCGACCTCGGCCACCCCGTGCGAGACACCTGGTGGTTCAAGACGATAGGCCTGCCGCCCACCTTTTCCACCTGGTCCCAGGTCGCGTTCCTCCACATGTACATCATCACGGTGCGGATGCGCGCGGTCGACACGACGTCCGAGTTCCAAGACTACCAGCGCTACCTGATCGAACACTTCTCCAGCGCCGCCGAGGACAAGATGGTCCTGCTGCACAACATGTCCGCTCGGGGCGTGCGAAACAAATACCTCAAGGACCTGTTTCTGCAGTGGCGCGGCATCTTGGCCGCCCACGACGAGGGCTTGATCAAGGGTGACGCCGTCCTTGCCGGAGCCGTCTGGCGAAACCTGTTCCGTGGACAGGAAGACGTGGATTGGGAGAAGGTTGCGCTCGTTGTGGCCTTCCTGCGCAGGGCCATCGCCAAAACCGGCAACCTCGATATAAAGACCATAGTCAGGGGTGTGGATGGGCCCGAAGGCATTTGGGCCCAAAGTCAGCGGCCGCTGCAAGAGCTAGTAGACCGCGAAAGTGGATTTCTCAAGGCGCCTCTCGCAGATTGATCGCCTGTCTATTCAGCTTTCATCGCCGACGTCTTTGTACACCATATGTATGTAGTATAGCATCTTGATAAAAAGTATCTTTTCGAGCCAATTGCTCTGGGCCATATGTTGCCATGGGAAATTTTCAAGACAAAAGATGAAATTCAATCAAAACTACCTTAATGCTATTGCTTTAGACCCATCCGGATTGGTATTTTAGTCTAATACCGTCAGACACCTTCCCGATGTAATGAATGTTATGCGTTGCCAACCCCTGATGACCCTAGATTCACGACCACCATCTCCTGTTATTGAACGATTGTGAATTCTCAGACATGTGCGAAACTCGAGGCGCTGACCAAAGTAACAATTTGGTATGATACATGCAAACAAGACGTCCCCGATAACATCTCCTGGGTGCCGTCTCTAGCATGGACAACAACAGTAACGACTCTCAGGACTTGTTGTCTCCTCTTAGGCGCTCTGCGGAGGTACGGGAGTCGTCTTGGGGAGTTTCAGCTCGCAGAAGCAGCCCTCGAAAAAAGGAAACCAGTCATAGCCGTCTGGACAGCTACCCCATCTTCCGCAAGGAACCAAGGGGTCAGGAGCTGTGGTAGCTGTGGTTGGAGCTTGTGATTCCTCCTCCTGAATGCTCTTGGGAATGTCTGCGACGTCTTCCAGTGGATCTGGCAACGCATGTCGAGGCTGCAAATGCGATTGTGTTGAAGTCACCACTCTTAGACGGCAGGGTGAGGTCGTGGCAGCGACATCCTTCTTCAAGGTCTGTGTTGGAGTATGAACCACAATAAGAACAACTTCATTGCTCTCGTTCAGTTCTTCATCGACGTGGTGATAGCCGTCACGCAGATCAACTTCATCCATGGACGCACCTTGTGGATGTGACAGGCGGCGTGGTGGCCAGGAACAGGTGTCGTCTGCTGCATTGCAAATGTCACTGCTGTCGTCGAGGGCTTCTGTGTCATCCAGCCACACATGGACACGTGGAAGAGCCGAGACAACTGTCAAAGGGCCAAACAGGATGGTAAGTGCTGCAAATGAGAATCGCATCTTTATTTCTGCGACGCAAGATTTGATCTTGGTCTGGAAAGTAAGAAAAACTTGAGGAGTTCGTTCCGCTCAAATATAATCATCCAAGAGAAGTTGCGCAGAAAAATCTCGAATTCGACCATTCCACCAATTCTGCTCGAATGAATCTGTACTCCCACTCCAGAGAAGAAAGGCACCATAAAATTCGATCATCTTCACATAGTGACTCGTCGAATCTTGTTGCAAGAGACGGTGAAGGTTGCGATACTCAAATTTCGATGCAGGAGCACACCATCAGAATTTCGTGACCAACTTTTTGGAAGGTGATTTTCAGGAAAGCATGTGTGGGTGGTACGTAGCAACCACCAGCTCGCTTCCGACATACTGTCACTTGAATCGTGAGATGTCCCGAGGTCATGCCAGATCTAAAGATCGTCTTGGTCGTGCGACGCGGGAGGTTGATCCCGAGGTACATGCACAGAGAGCTCAATTGTCGAGAAGACCTAGTTTCGAATCGATGGTACATTAGCAAGGGAATTTGGATAACCCAAGGGTCTCAAGATATCGTTAACAGAAATATGTTCAGAGGGAGACTCGGAGGGTAAGGAATGATCAGGCTCATATCGTCCCTTCTCTTAACCTGGATAGTTCCGATGTTTGCTGAGCATCACGTACGGCCATCCTGAAGGTGAGTAGAGCCAACTTTACAAAGGTACCTCACCATCCACATGTTAGCCAACTAGAAGTTGAATTTGAGGAAGTTTGGCGGAACGGCCTTCCTCTAAGGATTCAGGGAAGTGATACTCCGTAGAAACGTGGGAGTAAAACAGACCCTGGTCATCGGAGAGCTCCTGCTGATTCTGACATTTTAATGGCATATGCGAGTCTCTACTTAGAGAATTGGACCATGAAGCAGTATCGCTCGCACAGAGATCATAGGGACTTTGGATCAAGGGGCAAGTGTCAGTGCAGGGTTGAAAGCTACCGGGCAAGGAAATTGAAAGATAGGTCAAATGCTCCACCGAACTCATATTTGTACGGTGAACGAAGCGGCCAAAGCCGCTAAATGCCGGAGATGTTGCCAGAATGTCTCCAAAACGACTCCTAAGCAGCGCAGAATCAACTCTTGACCATTCTCTCAAACTTTGATCACAGTGTCTTGGACCGGATCCAAAGCAGTCGCCAGTGACTTCGGCTAGTTTTACAATGTTGAGATCTTCGTGAACAGACCGAACCGAGTCACAAAGTAAGAAGTCCTCAGCTGCCCTCGCCGGGCAGTTGCGCGCTCAATATGCTTCTCCTTCAAGTCCTACGACATCTAATCCCACTCCTCGTCCTCTTCTCATGTACCCTCGCTGCTGAGGATCTCTACAAAATACTCGGACTAGACAAGTCCTGTTCAGAAAGAGACCTGAAAAAGGCTTATCGCACTCTGTCGAAGAAATACCACCCAGACAAGGCGAGTGGAGATGAGAAGAAGTTTCTCGAGGTTGCAGATGCCTACGAGACGCTTTCTGATGCTACCACACGCAAGATCTACGATCAATATGGCCACGAAGGCCTGGAAAACCATAAAAGAGGGGGTGGCGCAGGAGGACAACACCATGACCCTTTCGATTTGTTCTCGAGGTTCTTTGGCGGCGGAGGACACTTTGCAGGAGGGTCTGGTGGTGGAATAAGGCGAGGACCAGACCTTGAAGTCAGGCTTCACATTCCACTGCGCGACTTCTACATGGGCAGAGATACAGAATTCACAATCGAGAAGCAACAGATATGTGAAGAATGCGAGGGCTCGGGGTCTGCTGATGGACAAGTTGAAACATGCAACCAATGTGGAGGGCGTGGAATGATTATTCAAAAACACATGCTTGCGCCAGGAATCTTCCAGCAGGTCCAGATGGCATGCGATCAGTGTGCGGGACGAGGCAAATCTATCAAGCACAAATGCAAGGTCTGCGGAGGCGACAGGGTCGTTCGAGGGCCAACCACATTGACTGCCAGTCTCGAAAAAGGCATGCCCAAAGGCCACAGACTTGTTTTCGAGAGCGAGGCAGATGAACATCCAGATCACGTTGCGGGCAACTTGTACGCGTTCCTCATGGAGCAGGAACCTGCAATGCCAGAGGATGAGAGTCAAAGAACAGACGGGGCATTCTTCCGTCGCAAAGATGATGACCTTTACTGGAAAGAAGTGCTCAGTCTTCGGGAGGCTTGGATGGGAGAGTGGACTCGCAACCTCACTCACCTCGATGGACACGTCGTTCAACTGCGGCGCAACCGTGGCGAAGTGGTTCAACCCGGCCAGGTTGACACGATCAAGGGCGAGGGAATGCCGATTTATCATGAAGGTCATATGCATGGCCATGACCATGATGGGGAAGAGTTCGGTAATTTGTACGTTGAGTACAAAGTCATCATCCCGGATCAAATGGAAAGCGGCATGTACAAGGAGTTCTCGTCAGTCTGGGACAAATGGCACAAGAAGAAGGGGGTAGACCTGCTGCAAGACAGTGGCAGACCGGCGCCCATTGTACGAGTAAAGGACGAATTATAGACTATGATGGCCATCCAAAGATGTATGAAACCTGGGAACGCTTTAGATCTAGTTTAGTTGGCGTTCAGCTGTACGTTGCGAAGATATTGTACCATCAGTGATCAAGGGAATACGGTACTCTGTCAACTTCAGCCTTGCGTATTGTACAAGCACTGCGCACCCCCTTTTCCCAGTGTCGAGTTCTCTGCAATTCTCGATAGCAACAAACCCGAGACACGAATCATTATCCGTTAAAGAATCAACGAAGAGCCACCCTACCACATATAACACACAATAAGGCTCGGAATGCTACTCGTGCCAATCAATGTCATTGGAATTAAAGAAATACCTGCATAGGTAGGGAATACTTCAGTTTTGGCTCGGGAGGCCTGAGTGTAAGAAGCTGACACTTCCCCGCTTCCTTTTGTGTATGGTACAAATACGAATACTTCAGGACGAAATGTTTTTTTTGTTCTTCTTCCAATACAGCAAAGGAAGTGAAGCTCTTCTGGTTTTCACCTTTGGTTCTACAAGTTTTTTGCTTACGTAGTGTCAAAGCAATTGTCTTTGAATTTTTCAGAAACAATGTCGATCCCGACTCGCAAGGAAATTTGGGCCCAGTGGGACAATGCATGGGACCCGGGGTTGCCAGCAGACAAACGCCTGGAGATTCTCAAGAACGCTACCGCTCCCGAGTTCACGTACACCAACCCTGGCTCACACATACCGAATGGAAACTTGAAGGAAGTCGTCCAGCTCATCGGGCAGTTGTTGCAGACGGAGGGGAACAACATGAAGGTCAAACATCTCAATTGGTGGGAGCATCATGATCACAGCGCGCTACATTGGGACATGGTCGATGCTGATACTGGAGAGGCAAAGATTCGTGGGTTCAGCCACGGTCGGTACGCCGCGGATGGGAAGTTGTTGTCTGTTACGGATTTCTGGTGAGGAGGCATCCAGAAGGACAAGCTGTGGTGGAGTACAGATGGCGAGATATCTTGGCTGTAAGATCAATACTATCGCTGGATCAGAGTCCTGATCGGTGATTTATTGATGAGATATTGGAAATTGTTCAATCAGTAATACTGGGTATAGCTGAGGTACGCTTCGTCGTCTTTAATCTCTTGAAGACCTGTGTTAGGAGTATCGAAGTGGGGAATTCCGTCATACCTACAATAGGCAGTGGAGTACGGATATTCCGCCGAACGAAGAGACGAGGCTGTGCATGAAAGGGTCACAATCTTGGTCTCAATACGCGAAGGGGAACCCTACTAAACATCGGTGCGTAACCACGTCGACTTTGGTGAAAAGAGCTCCCTGGGATAGTAGTCAAGAAACAAATCAAGCTATGTCTCGATGATACTCAAGTATCTCTCTGTACACCTGGCTACGTCAAAATAACTGACCGTTTGGTCACATAAAGGTCAGAAGATCCATGTTTCAAAAAAAGCAAGTATCCCATATCCCACATCTGATCAACACCAAAAATCGCAGTAAGTCCTTCACAAGCACAGTTTCAACTATATGTACGCCTCGGGCTGATCGCTCATTTGAACCTTTTCTTCATGTCCTCTGCGGTTGGCCATTTGGGATTCATCTCGAATTTCTCCTTGGTGGTGATACGGCCCGGGTAGCCTCTTGCATCCCTGTGCTCTGGCTCATGCTTTTCGTAAGCAAAGTCTCGTGCATCCACACCGTGTCTCCGGGTTTCATCTACCGCCTGGAAATTGTCATCCGAAACACTCATCTGGTGGTATTCTCCTGAGCTTCTCCGGGAGGCGTCAGAATACTGGCCGCGACGGTGGGTGTAACCCAGTTTCTCGTCCATCCATTTGGGAGTCATCTCGTCTCGGGGTGCGTACAGATGTTTGAGGCTGGGTCTGCGTCTGAGATTCTCGGTCGTGTGCTTCTCAGGACGCCTCTTGTTGCCATCATAGGTCAACTGAGCGTTATATGTGGGATCATCGCGGATCTGATCGAGGCTGCTAAAGTCCTCGTCGGCACCGAAGAGTTGGAAATCGCGGCCTCGAGGGGTCTCATCGCCTTTCTTGGACATGATGGACAAGGGCTTTGACGGACTGTTTGGTAGCTGAGTAGTCAAGTAAGCGTGGTCTTCTATGAGAGTTGGGTTCTCCTAATTATGAGGGTTTCAAGGAGCTTGGGATCACTTGATGAAGGCCTTTTTATATATGGAAGAGCCCCCAGAAGGTCATCGTAGCCTCGACTTTATACTTAATGGAGGCCTTTGTCGTTTGGGTAGCAACATGGTGAGGAGACATCTGTTTCCAAGTCAGTTTTCAAAGATGCATAGAGGTCATCTGGCTTCATCATCCCCACGTATAGGACGGTGACACAGAAAACAGCGTAGTTTACATCTCTGTTTGATTTTACCAACCTTCTGGGAGGTGTCTGCAAGTTGGAGCCTTCTGGCTATTGGTCATGCCGATGGGTTATATGAGAACAGATGAGAAGTGATTAGCTGCGGTTTCTGCATCTCGGTTCCAAGAGAAAATTGCTTAATCCTTGCACTCCATGAATAAACTAAGTGAATCATAAAAGCCCGTTCTCTTTAGATATGAAAATTTCTCGTGTGATGCGATACATGATCTCCTAGTCAAACTGCTCCTCGCCATTAGCAGCATGAAAACATGGAAATGGCTGGACAGTAAATAAAAGCTGTGGCATTTTTGAGATTTTTAAACTTATGCAGGTAATCTGTTCTGGAATGGCTTTCGTAAGTTTCTAATATACCTGTACTGTTCACCATCTACACTGCATGTCACTCTGAAAACACACACATATAAACACAAATCCAGGAAATATCACCACTGGCTTGACTGATACCCGAAATTCACCGTCAAAGGCTCAGTCCAGTGACTCACTTCTTGGGATATTTGCTTTTGGTCCTCTCGATACTGCTCTTAGTGACATGGTGTGGTATGTCAGGGTCTCGAGATCTGTAATGTCTGGTAGAAGTTTGTTTGTACTCCCAATCCCGTGGTTCAATGCGCTCACCAGGCAGAACTTGATTGAAATTTTCGTGGTTCTCTTGAGAAACTCTCTTTCTGTCTCTCTCTCTCGTATCCCAAGTCGCTTTACCAGGATCCACCTTATCACTGAACTGCGATTTTCGTCCGTTCTGAGCTGCAGCATGGTTCATGATATCTGCATCCCTATCAGGGTACCAGTCAGTTCCTTCATACTTTCTGATGATGGCTTCGGTGCTGTAGGCTTTGTGGATATCGTCGTAGAGATGCGATTTGTCCTTGCTCCGCGTCGAAGGCTCGCCATACTCCTGAAGTTCCCTCTCTTTGTCTTTGCGAGAACGTTGAGAAGAACACGGGTATTCATCGTCTCGAGTATACCGATTGGGAACATTATATCGCTCATCATCCATCTCATGACGGTCCAGGTACTTGTCATCCCGGTCGTCATAATACCGATCCATGTACCTATCGGACATCTTGGGCGTCGTACTCTTGAAGGAGATATGTGTCTTGACTGTTGGTACTATCCGAGAAGTCGTCGTTCCAATGGTTTCTGACTGTCGGATGCTGCACTACGTCGAACATGTTGGATCGGTGGATCAGAAGTATTCTGCTTTTTATAGTACGATGTGACAAACAAGTACCCGATGTGTGACAATGCCTAGAGACACTCCTCGGATTCATTTGGCAATGAGTGCGGCACTATATTCACATATACAAGCAGTCATTGCTGTGTGATCGTCATGGCGAGAACTTCTAGTGAATGCTAGGGGTGATCCGTGTCAACAATGACAATAGCGTCAGGATAACCGCGGCGTAAGAAGCGTATTGTCACGAAGTATCAGGGATCGCATATATGTACTCGTACATACTAATAGTAGTGAACATGATCGTCATCGACCTCGTCAGATCACTTTTTTTGCACAGTCAAGGAATACCTATATCGGAGTTTAGAAAGAAACTTCAATGATGCAGATCACAAGGCTGGAGCCGAAAGGGGTTTGGTTGTACCCAATGACAAAGTTACAGATATCGACAGAGACACACCTCGCTTCTTTTCAGGATTAACGTATTGCTGTCTCTTCCAGTTTCACTCTTAGTGTTTTTCCCAAAGAATCTCCCACTTCAGCGATCACTAGTAGTCATCCACTATAGACAGGAACAACACAACTCTACAACATCACGCTGGAGCCACCGATGTAGTTATCAAGAAAACCTGGAGTCGACCTCACACGCTATAGTTCTCATAGATGAATCTATCAATCGTGTAGTCCGAAAATTGTGTTGATGCCCTTCCACTCACTGACCTCCACGTGCGCGCACACGCTGCCAAACCCGACCATGACATCGCGATATTACCAAAGCTGGCATACTTTTGACTCTACATCTGACCAATACCATGCTGCTAGATATGGAAAGATATTGAGTAGGTACGTTAGGGTTCAGGGAAACGACTTCATCGGAGCAGAGGTATGGCCACATCGACTGAAAGCCCCCTCTCACAATCGCAGTCGCCGCCGAACAATTTTGAACCGTAGATGAGCCATCTAGCTGTAGAAATATGGCCGTTAGCTGAAGATCTTAGATTTCCGTTGCGCGGGGATCTTTTTTCGCACTTTGATCAAGACTGAACAGAATGGGAGTGGTCTGATGTGGAAGTAAAACATTGAGAAACTCTACAGGGCGAGTGATTCAGCTATTGATCCAGAAGTCCGGAACTCTTACACTGGATTTTTACTCACACCGACGGCTGAATTTGTCATGCCTTGTCAGACAGATGGCCAGGTGGTGATGATACCGAGCTGAGAGGCCAGTCCCAATATAGATGAAAGTCCTGGATCACTCAACGGAGTATTCCAAAGCATTGTGTAACCAGTAGTCCTGCTAGTGACTCAAGTCGAGCACACCGTTAGGAGCGTAATCACCGTCACCTGTCTGATTACCAGGTTCCGCTGTGGTGGTGGTGATGGGAGTAATCGGCCATCACAGTTCACTCTCACTGTCATCATTCACCTCTTGGTTCCCAGCCTGATAGCCTCGCCTGAGCAGGTCACCGCCCTGTGAATTAATAGCATATATATTTTTAAGCCCTGAAATTTCTGTCAACTAACCTTCACAGGAACCGATCTAGGATCAATCCCTCACCCCCCATGGTGCAATGGTCAAAATCGCCGTCTCAACAGGGAAGTCAGTCAGGTCAAACTGGATGGCTATCCTGCAGGCAACTTTGACTTTCCGAGGAGGACGAAAATTGGTACAACATTGGGGTCACAGTGGGACATCAATTCGAGGGTTCAACACGAAGTATAACACAACAGAGGGATATTAATTCGGGGGCAGATTTGGGGCACAACAACTAAGTGGGAGGACGACATAGGAGGATCAAGCGTCCCTGGAGAGGGTTAGAAAAAGTTGTAAGCGCTGCGACAGGGGAGATTCCAGAGCGAGTACCATAGATCGGTTTAAGACCTTCACTGGTCCCGAGTTGGGAGGCATCTGGGGGAAAAAAATCCTTACACGACTGGGATTTTCTTAACTAGGCTCCTATGGGAGATAAATCCTAGTTAAATTTTTGCCATTTTTGTAGAATCTTTCTGTATATTTTTAGATGTATATTGTGTATAAGATAGTCTTTTGCCTTGATACAGTCATGAAGTTGTAATTAAGCTTGTTAGTTAAGCTCACTGATTCAGCAGTGTATCGTCAGTGCTCTGAACTTAGGTCTCGAGCTTAAACATCCGCTTACAGATATCACACCACCTTTTTTTTGAGAAAATGGGGTGCCCTGCAACAGTAGATTAGATCTAAACGTCGGAGATCTCGCATGAAGTGGTTGTCTTATGAAATACGATGTCGTGATTGGACTTTCGGATAGAGACAAATGGGGAAGGTCAGGCGACTACCGTTCTTCCCATCTTCCTGCGTATGGAGGGGAATTTCTTTTCGACGCTGCGAGCCGTCGATGGAAGTGCACACTCCCAAACTCCCGACCTAGGATATTCGATCCACGACTCCCGGAAGAGCCACCATGTGTCATGGCTCTATCAGATGCACGGGACTACGTGCTAGCCGTAGAACACAACAAACAGGAAGCTGCTGAGATCGCAAAGTCGGCCGCTCAAAGTTGGTGATGGTTTCCGCTTGTCCGTGGCCATACTGACTGCTACAGAACTTGAGAGCCGGCAGACTACCCTAATCGAAGTGGTTCAGTCTTTGGGTGAATATATCAACGATGACGATGAGAAAATCCGTGGCCGAGCCGTCTCCTTTTTGGTCGCCGTCATCTCGTCCTTGCCTCCGAAATACCTCTCCCGCCAGCAGATCCTAGTCCTGTGCAAATTTTTGTGTGATCGAATTGAAGATGGAGGGGCCGTCAACGGACTCTCGCAACTACGGAGCCTTGACAGATTTACAAATGATATGGCGCAAACAGTTATGAGAGCGTGAGTGCGATTCACCACGCGACTGCTATCCAGGGACTTGTACATCAAGGTTGTCTGGCGGCATGTCATGCAGTGGACTTGGCTGATAGAAGTGCAGGATCTTCGAGCATTTTTCGGATTTGCAATCTCTCAACCAGGCCGGGAGATATAAAGTCCTCCAGCTGGTCAACGAGCTTCTCGAGCATCATCGAAAAGGTAACAACAACCTGCGCCCCATTGCGCTGTCAATCCAGCTGACTGTTGTAGCTATCAGAGATATGGGCGAAGAATCTCTCACAGGCATCGTCGAGTTGGTGGCAGGTGAAAAGGATCCTCGTAATCTCATGCTAATATTCTCGATGCTGAGAGTCCTAATGATGGAATGGGATATCACCAACCACGTCGAAGTCATGTTTGACTCTGTCTACGCCTACTTCCCTATCACATTCAGGCCGCCTCCCAATGACCCTTACGGGATCACAGCTCAGGATCTGAAAGACAGGCTGAGAGACTGCCTGTCTTCTACTGGTGCGCTGGCTCCTCATACCTTTCCGAATATGCTGGATCGATTAGACTCTACATCCAATACTGTCAAGAAGGACGTCCTCCAGACACTTGTCGCCTGTTCAGAACACTACGATGCCTCTACTATGAGTCAATATTCTATCACTCTCTGGGATGCTGTCAAATTCGAAGTTTTACAGGCCCAAGAACCCGAGCTTGCCTCAGAAGCCTTAAAGGTCTTGGAAGGAATTGCTGCATGCCTGTCCTCAGCACCGGCGCACAACACGTCGAGCTCACCATTACTGCAATATTTGAAGCCCGTGAACAAAGAGTGTTTGGAACATCTTCAGGAGCCCGCATCACGGCAGGCGAAGGCTTCCGGAGATATAGTTAAAGCTGTAGCGTCTGCTTCAGTGCAATCATTCGAGATTGTAATCAAGGCCGTCGGACCAACCCTGTTCACCCTTTACCAATCAGCACAGGGTTTGGTGCAACAGCGAGCTGTGTTGGACGTCGCTAATCAAATATTTGAAGCCTCAATCGAAGTTTATGGATCATGGACAAAACCAAGCCAGAAAAATCCGGAAGGGCGAGAGAATCCGATACGAGAACTGAAGGACAAGTTTGTTGCCATTTACAGCCAAGCATTGATGGGAACTGTGAAGGAAGAGGTTTCCTTTCGTCTGACAGCTGCAAATGGCTTGCTACTGGTGTCCAAGATGAACTCGATGCTCGCAGATGACGAGATTGGACTATTTATCCAATATTTTGATGATATTGTCCTGACTGAAGAATCTTACGGGCGCGATGAACTGAAAAAGAAGGCTATGAATGCATTGGCCGAAATATCACAGTTCAAACCTGGACTTATCTCGGATATCACCTATCCTGCTTTTCTGGCCCGCTTGCCAGACTCAGAGGAAGACGTTATGACAAGCAATTACAACTCTGTGCTCGAAGGCTTGGCTGAGATCAGCGTTGAAAGAGAGCTTCTGCGGACATTGATGCGGCGTCTTCTCAGCAAATTAGACAATCTGTTTAACTCTAGTGGCCGTGTCTCCTACCCCTACACTTGCGCTATTTTGGCAACCATATTGTACGTCCTTGATCGAGCAGTTTCGGCAGCAAAGACAGATTTGAGCGACTACTATGAAAGGGTGGTCGTGAACTTGTCTAGGACAGCTTCGCAGACAACAACAGGGCCCCTCACTAATGAAGTCGTACTGGATCTGCTTGGGCGACTCATCAACTTGATCATTCGAAACAGCACAGCTGAGCAAATTAGTAGGGCAGCGGTAAATGTTTATCTGCTCTACAGAGGATCCCCCTTCATCGAATCACCAGAAGGACTCTCAAGTCTCTTGCAGCCGCCTTCTGTCGCCCTTCTTTCTACATGGGTCCTAGCAGCTTTACCAAAGAACATACAGTCTCCATTGCTAACCAGAGAACGGTTGCCACATGTCATCGAGAATGTCATACAGTTCGCAATGACAACCTCGAATCGTGCGGTTACACAAAGCTGCCTGCTGCAGGTGGCCTTGCTTGTAAATAAACACTTCGATTCTGCCTCCTTAAGTTTCGTTGATGAGTTACTCGCAAGAACCCTATCAGCATTGAAGGACCACCCCATGGATGAGAACGACACTTCCGACTTCAACATCCGCCTATCCTTCTTCTTGACGAAGGCCCTGGTACTCAGACTCGCGCCGAGAACGAACTACTATCTCACGAATCTAGTCGAATTGCTCGATCAACAACAATATCCTGGCGAGGTCTCACGAAAAGCTGCAATGGGATTTGTCACCATCTTGTCTCCGGATGATGTGCTGTCCAAGCAGAACGGAGCGCAAATTCGGCTTCTTGCGCCACAACGTGTATTCCAGATCCTGGTGCCACTCATTTCGGACAAGTTTCGAAACTCACAATCTCCGACAGAAAAAGAGAATTACCTTGTAGCCCTCAGTGGCGTTCTATCGAACGTGCCATCGGAGATTGTGATGCCAGAACTTCCCACCTTGTTACCGCTGCTGCTTCAATCCTTGGATCTAAACGATCAAATGGTCAAGGTGGCCACTTTGGAAGCATGTGCTATTGTAATCTCCAACAACCCTTCTGCGCTGGAAGAGAGCGGGCATATCCCAGCGCTCGTGAAGCGGTTGATCGGTGTTGCAGCCTCACAGAAGGCAGAATTCGACCCAAAGCCTACAAAGGGAGTCGCAACAGCGGGGACGCAGATCAATCTGCCCAACACGCGGCGGCTTGCAACCCGCTGTCTGACTTTGATGCCAAAATACATTACCGGCAGTGCCTCTGGGGCAAATTCATTGATTGGTCTCAAGCGAGAAGTTTTGTACGGGTTGAGCAAAGTCCTCGACGACACGAAACGTGATGTACGTAAAGAGGCGGTTGACGCCAGGGCTGCTTGGCTAAGAGGCGTAGATGACATTGATGAGGATGAGGATTAGACATCACAGATGTCCGCCGTGATAGTATGACCATGTAGTAGAGGTTTCGCTATCTCGGACAGGCAAATGGCATGAAGCGTACGGAGTATTACGTTGTGATGACAAGCTGTTCCGGAGAAATGCGGCGAAGAAGCGTCCATTAGTTGGAGTGTATAGAAGTATAGACGCGGACGTTTCTACTAAGTGCGACTTCTTTCTTGGTTTCCTGATGGTGTGCGACTGCTGCGGTCTTCCGGACAAGGCTGAAGAAAGCTTTGATTGGGTCGTTGACGTTTGGTTCAGCCTTGCTCAACTGCGGAGAAACTTTTCTGCCCTCAGACACGCCGCAGACATCGTCCTCTCTTTGTAGATGTGAGAGCCTTATTCTTCGTACTTCTAATTGATCCGTAGTAATCTCTACAACAAGTGCGACTGTACGACTCGCTGCTCTTGCAGGACTTCAGATGCAGGCGATACACCGACACTGACCTGCCAATTCTTACCTGGGACCGACCTAGACAACTGTGCAGCATCCGTCCGGCGGTGCAAGAGTTACCAGGTGAATTGCAACCCAGATCCTCCAATACAATTGCGAATATGTCTGAACAACACTCTAGCGAGCCTCGCATCAAGTCCAACAAGCGCAGCAATGCACACCGGCGCCGCCGCGATGATGTTGACTTTGAGGATCGGTGGGGTGACGAAGAAATTGCGGAAGATGAAGAGGAAGCTCAATCCGACTTTGCAGAGTCATCGTCCAAAAGGGTAAAACTTTCGGACGGATCAGGATCCCATCATGCGAGAGCACCCACCTCTCCACCACAATCGGTCGAAGAGAAAGCCGAGAGGGAAAGAGATCAAGATCTAAAGGAACGTGACGAATTTGCGAAACGACTGGCACAAAGAGACGAGCAACGCTCGAAGAAAATTGTTGAAGATAGGTCGGCACCCAAAGACAGTGTAGCGGCTCAGAGAAGGGCTCTCGCAGATGATGTGGCCGCAAGAACAGCTGCGATGCCAGATTTGCGCGTACGCTCTAGACAAGATTACCTGAAAAAGCGAGAGGCCGAGCGCCTGGCCCTCCTCCGGAAGCAAGTTGCAGAAGAGCAGGCAGAGTTAAGGGACAACCCAGACTTGACAAAACGGGAGAAAGAAGAATTTGCGCGAAACAAAGAGGTTTTGCGGCTGGCAGAAGAGAGACTGAATATCGATGACCACCTGGATGGCTATGCTTTACCCGAAGATTATATAACGGAGAAAGGCAAGATTGATCGACGCAAAAAGGAACAAGCTCTTTATCAACGATACGTCGACCGAGACGAAACTGGTAGGGAACGCTATGTCACCGAGCACGAGGAGTGGGAGAACGAGCAGACGAAACGCGCCGAAGCACAGATCAAGCGAGCAGAGTTTGTCGACGAAGGAGACTATGGCTATGTGTTTGACGAAAGCCAGCAAATGAAATTCATTGCCTCAGAGACATTGGGTGGAGATCTGGGGAAGGGAATGACAAGAGAGCAGAGGGAAATGGCTCAAAGATTGAGTGCGGCGGAAGCAAAAGCCAAGAGCATCGAGGAGACGAGGAAGAGTCTACCTATCTATCAATTCCGAGACGAAATCATCCAAGCTGTGAAGGATCATCAAGTCCTAATCATCGTTGGTGAAACTGGCAGTGGGAAAACGACTCAAATTCCCCAGTACCTGCATGAAGCCGGATTCACGCAAGGCGGCATGAAAATTGGGTGTACCCAGCCGCGAAGAGTCGCGGCCATGTCTGTTGCAGCACGTGTTGCAGAAGAAATGGGCAAGCGATTGGGTAATGAAGTTGGTTATGCCATTCGATTCGAAGACAACACGACTGAGAAGACGGTGCTCAAGTACATGACGGATGGTATGCTTTTGCGCGAATTGCTGACAGATCCGGAGTTGTCTCAATATTCCGCCTTGATGATTGACGAGGCACACGAGCGGACTGTGAGCACGGATATCGCTTGTGGGCTGTTGAAAGATATCGCAAGAGCACGTCCTGACTTGAAACTACTCATTTCCTCTGCCACGATGGACGCCCGGAAATTTCAAAAGTACTTTGACGATGCACCGATCTTCAACATTCCTGGTCGACGGTACGCTGTTGATGTTCACTACACAGCTCAACCAGAAGCCAATTACCTCGCGGCTGCCATCACCACTGTCTTCCAGATACACATAACGCAAGGTTCTGGCGATATATTGGTGTTCTTGACTGGTCAAGAAGAAATCGAGGCTATGGAGGCAAGTCTACAAGAAACGGCTCGGAAATTAGGGAGCAAGATCAAAGAGATGATCATCTGTCCGATTTATGCCAACCTACCCACCGACCTACAGGCAAAAATCTTCGAACCCACACCCGCAGGGGCGAGGAAGGTGGTTCTAGCCACTAATATTGCCGAGACTTCGTTGACAATTGACGGTATTGTGTATGTTATTGACCCTGGTTTCGTCAAAGAGAACCAATACAACCCTCGTACAGGTATGGAATCACTGGTTGTTGTTCCCTGCAGCCGTGCGTCAGCCGGTCAACGAGCTGGTCGAGCCGGCCGTGTTGGTCCTGGCAAGTGCTTCCGGTTGTATACAGCCCAAGCCTACAAAAATGAACTCGACGAGAACACAACTCCAGAAATCCAAAGAACCAACTTGACTGGTGTTGTTCTCCTGCTGAAAAGTCTGGGCATCAATGATTTACTGGACTTCGATTTCATGGATCCTCCTTCAACAGACACCCTTGTGCGAGCAGTAGAGCAACTTTACGCACTAGGGGCGCTCAACAACGCGGGCGAGTTGACCAAGATAGGTCGTCAAATGGCGGAATTTCCCACTGACCCTATGCTTGCTCGGTCGATCCTTGCCGCTGACAAGTATGGATGCGTGGAGGAGGTGCTGTCGATAATTGCCATGCTTGGTGAAGCATCCGCGCTCTTCTTCCGGCCGAAGGACAAAAAGATCCACGCGGATAGTGCCAGGGCGCGTTTCACGAACAAGGATGGTGGTGACCATTTGTCGTTGCTGAATGTCTTCAACGAGTGGGCCGATTCCGACTATAGCTTCGTCTGGGCCAAGGAGAATTTCTTACAGCAAAGAAGTTTGACGAGGGCGCGTGATGTTCGGGATCAATTGGCCCGGCTGTGTGACCGAGTGGAGGTTGACGCAGGCAAAACCTGCGGAGGGCAGTCCAACATTGAGCCTATTCAGAAGGCTATAACTGCTGGCTTCTTCCCTCATTCTGCCAGACTTCAGCGAGATGGGCAGAGCTATCGAACCGTAAAGAATGGGCAGGTAGTATACATTCACCCCTCGGGAGTTCTCATTGAGAACCAACCGAAATGGGTAATTTACCATGAACTGGTACTGACCAGCAAGGAATATATGAGAAGCTGCATGCCCTTGAAACCAGAGTGGTTAATCGAGGTGGCGCCTCACTACTATAAAAAGAAGGACCTGGAGAGTTTGGGAGTGGAGCGAAAGGTTCCCAGAGGCGAAGGAAAATCGCAGAGCAAAATGTGAGCAGTATGATGAGTGGAGGGTATCAAAAATTGTACCACTGCCATGTAATGACTTGTGAACCGGGACTTCCTGTACATTGTGGTAGGAGGCTCCATATCTGGGGCTGTCAGCCTTGCCGATGTGGGGTCACGTGCTGGGAATTCCAGCCTATTAAAATCTTTTATTTTTCGCTGCTCTTTTCAGAAATAGAATTTCTTCGGCCACCATGATAGACAGGTGAATGACAATCTAGAGTGCGCTTCTCCCGGCAGAAACCATGTCGAAAGACGAAACGACGAGTTGCAAGACCATCCTTGCAGGAACCTTGGCCAAAGGACTCCTTGCAGAGGTCCAGGCAGGCCTCAGCAAACTTGGTCGCAAACCACACCTGCTCGGAATACTTGCCAATGCCGACCCTGCCGCCAAAGTGTATGCAGACTGGACTGAGAAGACGTGCATCGATAAGTGAGTCTTTCCCCCTCCCCAGGTTCCTATTTGATTCTTTGTTTGTGTACGTATGTGGGTACGAAGAAGAAGAAGAAGACTTAGCCGGATGCTACGATCAATCAAGAGACCCCTCGAAAAACTGACATCTTCCTTTTCTCGATCACAGTGGCTTCGCATACACGCTCAAGTCGGTGGCGAAGGATGACGTCGAGGAGACCATCATGGCGGCCAACAACGACGATGCCGTCGACGGGATCATCGTGTACTACCCGATCTTCAACAACCGGCAGGACCAGTACCTGCAGCAGATCGTCGACGTGTCCAAGGACGTCGAGGGTCTAAGCCACCAGTACATCTTCAACATGTACCAGAACATCCGGTTCCTCGACGACTCGCAGGCCGTCAAGTCGGTGCTGCCGTGCACGCCGCTCGCCGTGATCAAGATCTTGGAGTCGCTGCACATCTACAACACCATCCTTCCCTACGGCAACAGGCTGTTCGGGCGGACCGTCTGCGTCGTCAACCGGTCCGAGGTCGTCGGGCGCCCTCTGGCGGCACTGCTCGCCAACGACGGCGCGAGCGTCTACAGCGTCGACGTCACTGGCGTGCAGCTCTTCACCCGCGGCGAGGGGATCCGGAAACGCAAGCACGAGGTTCACGAGAAGGAAGGTTGGACGTTGGAAAAGTGCGTGCCGCTCTGCGACGTCGTCATCACCGGCGTGCCCGGTGACAAATTCAAATTGCCGTGCCACTTGCTCAAGGAAGGTGCCGTGTGTATCAATTTTTCAAGTGAGAAGGTTAGTTGTGTTTTCTTTTCTTTTTCTTTTGTCGTACCATACCAGGAAATCAAATTGCACTTTGTTGTGTCACCCGCACTCGGAGCTGCGAAAATGCGGCGTTTCCCGAATCAAACCTGTAGAGAAAAAAACTAACGTGTAACCCTGTCTTCGGGGTGGTACTAGAATTTTCCCATCGAGGTCAAGCAAAAGGCGTCGATTTACGTGCCGGCAATTGGAAAAGTGACGATTGTCGTACTGCTCAGAAACCTGTTACGGATCGTACAAAACAAGCAGGCCCAGTTGGCCAAGGGTCACGCTACTACCACGACGGACGCCACGCAGACAGAAGGGGGTGTTGAGAAGGCAACAACATGATACCGAACAAGGACGAAAGTCCCTCCGCTTAGACGACATGCGACATTTCCGCGTGATGACGATCGCCACGCCACGTCTCCCTCTCTAATCATAAGAACATGGTCTAACAGAAAAGCGTTCGAACGGAGCACGGGATTGCTCACTGGCTTCATGCGGGTCCAGAACGAATCTCTAGGAAGCCATACCAACTTCAGCGGTATTTTACCCTCTTGTGATCAATGGTAGAGACCTCAGCAGCAAGTCCACGACTTTGTAAGCATCGCGGGAGTGCCTGGAGGAAGGTTAGACATAAGCGTGCTTTTCGGAACCTCAAGTCGATAGAATTCAAGGCATGGATGGCTACTAGAGGCTACATGGCGCGTCCCACATGATCATATTTCAAACTTCTCCGGGTGGTGAAAATCGAATTCACTCGGAGAGCTTGACCATCTCCTCGCCATCCACGATATCTTTGCATCTGAAATCACAATTCGAGTTCGTATTCCCCGGGCCCCTTACACGACAAACTTGCAAATAGCTAGAAAGACTGATTGTGTTCGAGACGTACATGGACGGTACCAAGTACTCGATACGGAGAGTGTGAGATCAGTCTTCGAGTGTGGTGGCCTTTGGGCTCTGTTTTCCTTCGTTTCCTCATCTGGTAGTGCCATAAGCTCGACAGATTATAGCGAAATGGTTGTATGGTGACATGGACTCATTCACATAAAGAGCGCTGGATTTATATGTACTGTTCTAGGATATATGTCCACAGTTCTAAACATCCATCCATCTTGCTTCCAGGAGATGATCAAACCACAACAGTCGTGATGAATACACCACCTGTTTCCTCGTCTACTTTGTGCAAGAGACCAGTATTGCGGGAAACACCACACCACACCAGAAACCTCTCCTTTTCGTCCACAGGGCTTATAATACCATCTCACACAGGCCTCGAAACGGCGCAGTAGCAAAAAAACCTTTCGCTCCTGATCTCTTGATTTTGAATGACTCCGTGTCGAATCCGGTGGTGGAATCCCGCGAGGCATCCTATAGCTTTGCCTTTTCGCCGATTTGGCCAATCTTCAGTTTCGGGGCGTACTTTTTCAATACTGACTCGTTGTGATACTGTGGCGGGAGGGGTACCTGTTAGCAAAAACGTACGACCACATCCACACAGTACCGGTCCCTACCTTCCAAAATTGTTTGCTTGCGTCCTTGCCCGCCACTCGCTTCAAGATCTTTGCGCCACCAGGATGCTCATCCACAAAGTTGGTCACATCGTACACGGTGCCGTCCACGATGATGTACATTCCATCACTGGCCTTTTGGTTGTGTTTGGCCACATCTTCAACCGTGAATGTTTTGGACATTTTTGGTGTATGTAGACCGGGGAAAATATAATCCTGATATATGTAGATTATCTCGGCTTCGGGGAACTTCGTGAATGAAAGGTGGATATTGCGCCGTGCGAAATTTCAGGAGCGTATCGAATCGACAAAGATGAATCGTCAGATGGGTAAAGCGTCAGGGGAAATTGAATTCGCTCGGCCCTCTTGTACGGGAATTCGTGACTTGGACGGGTCGTCTTATCTCTTGCGAGTCACTCGTTGGAAGTGTGCTAACCGGGTTGTCGCGGTTCTTTGGTTCGTGAAGGTAAAGGCGGGGTTATCCACGAGCGCCTCTGGGACAGGGAAATTGTATATGAAATGATTAATCAAGGACGAGAAAGAAGAGTCGTGTGGGAGGGTTCGCTGAGGATGATTATTATATACCGAATCCAAGGATACCTAGGTAGTCATTTGCGAGGAACCGCAGTCAATAGTGAGATCAATAGCGGTTTTGCCGAGGTTCATTTACCGAGAGAACAAAGACAACGACTCCGACAATCGGTCAGCCAATTCGTTTGTATCCGATTGGTTGACAAAGCCACCGACCATTTTATCAGGACTCGTATTAAGTCAAGAACGGGACTGTGTCATTGTTTCCTCACGCCCTAAAGGCAGAATCAATTCTACAATAGTGTCTTTTTTCTCAGATTTACGACTCGATGAATCTCAGTACTTCCCTCACAAATGACTCTGGATTCTCTTCAGCGAGATAATGCCCCGAGTCAGAGACCAGTCCAACATTCACGTTCTCGTAAAACTCTTTGGCCATACTCTCGGCGTGAGGAGCATGGAAAGACTCCTTGCCAGATAACACCATATTCTTCACCTTCACCTTAGACTTCTCTTGTCTCCATTTGCGGTTATGCTCTGCGTCAATTTCGAAAGCCCGGTATGTCAAAAATGCACAGCGGAGAGCATCGGGTTGGCTGAATTGCATCACGTAGAAATCGACCACTTCTGGCGTGAATGCTGCTTGATTCTGCGTCAGCCGGTCATAGAAGTGCTTCAGGTATATTCTCTCCTTGCCCTGGACCAGCGCGACCGCAATGTCCGGGTTGTGGCTTTGGAAGTCAAAATGCCAGAGCGCTCGAGAATGCTTTTCACTCTCATATAGTGTCGATCCAGGCAAGGGGCATTCTCCCCAGATCACCGAGGCGACATCGTCGGGGAACTGGCAGACGTAGGCATGGGCTACCATTCCGCCAATGTCGTGCCCAACCACGTGGACTTTGTCTTTGATGCCCATATGCTTCGTGACGAGCTTATGCAGGTCATTTGCCAGCGACTTCTTGGTGAATGGCTCCTGTTGATCTGTGCTACCGACCGGCTTGCTACTGAAACCGTGGCCTAGCTTGTCCGGAGCGATGACATGGTACCCTGCCTGCGCAAGAGGCACCATCGCATGGCGAAACTGATATGAGGTTTCCGGGAAGCCGTGGATCAGAAGTACGGTTCCTTTCTCCTGCTTCCCGTGGGATGGGTACGTTTCGACATAGTGGATTCGGACTTCTGGGTCTTCATGTTGGAGGAAGGCAGCCCGGTTGAAAGTCTTAGTGGAAGCAGTAGCTGACATGGTGTTAAGTGCGAGAGAAACTGCACAATTCACCTTGGAAGAAAGTGATTGAATGTCTTCAAAAGTTGTTTCGACGAATGTATCTTGGCCTTCATCTTTGACATTAATTAGAGCCAGCCGGTGATATAGGTTATTCTTTTCGTATGGCCGTCCCCGTTCAGCAACCAGGGGATTGTAACAAACCTGCAGCGTCATTCGAGCGTCACAGTCCCGTCAGCAAGACATCAGGTACTCACTCAATAGCGGTTGGAAATTCAGTCCTTCATCAAAGAGACTTGTGGGTGTTTTGATGTTTACGCACCGACCAATTATGGTTTCCCTCTACGACTTATGACGCTGAGGATCGCCATGGTTGAAGTATTCGTACCCGTCACGATCAAACTGTATCTCTTAGATCTACAGGGCATTGGTTTCCTTCTAGAGATTTCGCCCTCATTGTACCTGCATCAGAAATTAGGAACCATCTAAGAGTCCGGACAGTACGAGTATATACAATCACTGCTCTTCCGAAGGTATGAAGCCTTCACCCAGATAGATGGTCTCACCTTCCCCATACCACAACTTCCCACTACGGAAGTCGAGCCCCTTCTCTTCACCTACAACCCATTGTCCTCCAGCCTTGATCAGCCCACCCTGCTCTTCTGGCCAAAATTCCGCTTGGAGCCATTTGTTGATCATTTCAATCTCGTTGATCCAATGTTTGCGCTTCTTCATGTCCAAGGTAGCACTTTCGTCCATAGGGTCTCCACCGAAGACGTTCGGTGAGTTGAAACGTGCAATGGTCAGGTGTGCTGATGGGACCACGTATCTGGAGCCAACTTGTACTCCGGCATCTGTAAGGGCCGCATGGGCATCGCGCCGCAGGTGATGGTAAGTGTACCTGTCGTCTTCTACCGTTCGTCCATGAGAGACTGACTCTCCAGCAGCCGGGACGAAGCTCAGTGCAAGTGCGGCAGAATCGTAACTTAGCAGAGGCTTGATGAGCCTGGCTCGGTGAGTCACGGTGTGATCGGCAATGTCTTTACAGTGAGCCTTCAGAGCCTCTATCAAAGCCGCGATCTCCTCTGTCGTTTTTGAATGCGCGACCTCCATGACAGTCAAATGTAGTCTCTCGAGTGGCATGAGCCACAGATCTGCTTGGTAAGCAGCGAACAATATCGGCTATGCGGAACCTACCAGGTGCAGCATCCTGCAGTTTTGACTGGATGATGTGTATGAGGTTCTTCACCTTCTGAGGTGGCCTGCCCCAAAACACCAGGCAATGGCGAGGATCAACGAAAGAGTCGTCCTTTCGTGGGCCGTCTAACTTGACAAGGTACTGATCGAGAGTCCAGCCTTGGAAGTCGGACCCAAGGATTTTCTGACGCTGTTGGTCATTTCTGAGCACGCGATGCGCCGAATATCGTTCTTGAATCAATTTCTGATAAACAGGTCAGAAATAGTCCCCATTAATCCGCAAGAGGAGCGATGCGAACTGGGTCATTATGACAAGCAATGATCAGACCATCGAATGGGTTCGAAGTTGTAGGCGTAGAAGCTCCAGACAAGTCTTCAAAGTCGACTTTGGCCATTGCTTTCCCGTCCAAGATGGTTATGGCAGATACAGACACTTCATTGGGTCTCGTCCAAGGTGTCGAAGGGGAACGAAGCACACTCGCGTCGCGTGTGACGCTGTGATGTTACAGATTGCGCGGCCATGTTTGCATGCCCTTTTTACGTACTCTTGGGATTAGAAGCTCGTCCGGCCCACCGCGGGATAAGTAAAGCTAGTAATTGCGGTCACGTGAAGATTATGATTAGATAAGCCGTCTCGGCAAACCTCCTCCTGCCAACCTGCCCTCAATTTTTATGTGCGGTGTGGTCTTGGCGTGACTGCGCTTTCGAACATCGCAGTTTGATCATTAACAATTTCACGACGACACCACTATCCCTCCAAGGAACGTTCTCAGACAGATCAGACAAAATGGTGAGTTACCCCGGTTTCCACACCATGTGTACTGCTCAAGCTCCATCTCGACGATCGTCGCTCGATTCCAAGTATCCTGGGTGAAGGAGGAAGAAAGAGGTGGATGCTGGGTGCAAAGGGCATATCTCTGAGTCAGGAAGATTGCCGGGCCTACCCACGCGCACAATTTGAAAGAGATGGACTTTTTCGGAAGGTTTGCGCGCAAGGATACGTTCCGGAATTTGGGATGGCGTCGCATGGATGAGATGATTGCTTCGAGGACTTGACTGACCAATGTTTGTCCACAGGTCAACGTTCCAAAAACTCGCCGCACTTACTGCAAGGGCAAGACCTGCAAGAAGCACACCCAGCACAAGGTCACACAATACAAGGCCGGAAAAGTAAGCATTCCACTCAAGGGAACGAGACAAGGGAGTCGTTGGTTTTTCTAACATTTTTGATAAAAGGCCTCTCTGTTCGCTCAGGGAAAGCGTCGATATGACCGCAAGCAGTCCGGTTACGGTGGTCAGACCAAGCCTGTCTTCCACAAGAAGGCCAAGACCACCAAGAAGGTCGTGTTGAGATTGGAGTGCACAGTTTGCAAGACGAAGGCACAATTAGCGCTGAAGCGATGCAAGCACTTCGAATTGGGGTATGGAACTCTTCGACCCGTTTTTGGTTCGGAAGTGCGGATGTACTGACTATGTAACTTACAGTGGTGACAAGAAGACAAAGGGTGCTGCTTTGGTGTTCTAGACGCGCGGTCATGCGACTTTTACGGTGTGGTGACGGGCGTGGTGGCTTTTCGGACGCAGCAGAATCGGTCAATCGCACAAGCTATCGTGAGAGAAGGGTTACGGATTACAGCCACAAGGAACGACGGCAGTCTTGTTGCAGATATCCAACAACATTGTTGTTGCTTGCGACTTATTTTCCCATACTTGATCAGGTCGATCTGATCTGCTCAGAACCAAACGATTGATGTCAATACACGACTTTCAAAAGTGTCTACCAAGCCGACTTTCTCATTCTGTCCGTGCAAGATTTTGATCGCGCTTCTGCTTGCTGCGATGTGATCTTTTGACGAATGAGGCACTCTTACGAAGCAGATAACAACATCATTACTACCGTTGATCGTCACTTGCGTTTACAGGAATATTTGGCTGCCAAATACAAAATGTCGTTCATTGTCCGCCGAAAGCAACATATCCCGTAATGAGTCGTCTCGGTTGACCCCATGTTCCGAGTCAAGTGTGATGCACCGTGGTAAGGATGCGGATCTCCTGTTTTCTGGGTTATTGGTCAACATTGTCGGAAAATAGACGTCGACGACATTGTCATTTCGCCAGCAATCCATGAGTCTTTTTTTCAGCCTATATCTCATGCCCTTTGCAGCCTATAAATAGCACTCGCGCCCATCACGGCACTTTGCCCTCGAATCTATCCATGTCCTGCCGATCATTCATCATTGTCCAACGTCACCTCGCCACGGGTGGTGGAAGGCATTCGCCAGTCCATTCAAGTCTCATTCAACTCGATTCCGAATACGTGTTTTGTCTAGACTCCTTTCCCATGTCCAAACATGGAAGTTTACCTGAACCCTACTTCCAAAGCCCACCCTTCAGTCCATATGAGATCCCTGTCCGTTTCTCAACTCCAAGGTATATATGTAGGCTCAGCTAGATGCATGGATGAATGATGTTCCCCCGCTCTCTTCTTGTCTCCCTTCGTTCAATTTGTTCAACTACCCGTCGACCCTTTTTCCCCTCTACCCAAGTAGTCGCTTCGACCATCACCTTCAAGACCACCACCAGGCAACCGTTTCCTGCTTTTTTGGGTTTCTTTTGAAAAAAAAAAACCAAAAAGGAAAGGAAAAAAAAAAAAAATGACCCCATCACTCTTCTCAAACAACCACTCCCGTGGGCCCCTGTACCAGTACTGGAAAGAGCGAAGTGACGAAGAATCGTCTCTCCGACAAAACCGCATCGCCGACGCCCGGCTACGCAGTCGGGGTCAACGACCCATCTCGCCCACGCCGGGCCCGTCGAGCGCAGTATCCTACGCGGACCGAGCATCAAGAGGGCCACCTACATACCAAAGGTGTACCGGTATAGGTCCTGCCTCTGAGGAAACGGGTGAAACCACAACCACATCGAACACGCTCGCAGGTCGCAATGTCCATTCCCCGACGGAAACGGATGCAGGCTCGGACACGCTCCCACCGTATTACGCCGTCGCGACGAGGGGCGAGGGTACGCCTCCCGTGAACACCAGTGGCAGTAGAATGCAAAACCAGGTTTCAAACACCACCACTCTCCCATCAGCAACCGAAGAGGAGAAACCCCGTCTTTCCAGAAACGAACGACACCACCACCATCATCATCATATTGCAAGTGACGAGACTCCAGCTCAAGCAAGCACAATGACCACCACCGGCACTACCATCCCCTTCGACGACGATCAAGGCAATGACCACCAACCTAAACGTCGCAAAAGTGTCGTCGGCAAAGTAGGAGGTTGGCTGGCGGACGCGGCGAGCGGGTATACTAAGAAGCAAGAAAGATGGTGACTCTTCTTACACTCATACTTGACGGATCTCTCGCTCCATTACTGGGACTTTCTCTCTCAAACCCTCCTGGAAAGTTGCGCAAATTGCGTTCATGATTGTCATTCTTCTAGTGAGTATATGGAAAAATTTAAGGGACTTATCCTTATCCCAAGTGATTTCAAGTTCCTGCTGGCGGAATGCGTCACATATCTGATATCGTCCCTTCATGGTCCATCATGATTGTCCATTATTCAATTGTTGTTCATTAACCCTCATCAAGTCGTAAAGAGTTATAAAAAAATCAATCCAATACTCCACCAACGTCCACATAGAAAGTTCAATGAGATTCGTTGCATGATGGCTGTATTTCGCCCATATATCGTTTCGATGCTTTTCTCATATTCAATGGCCATCATCTCCCACTCTTTCGTCTACCATCAGGTCCGAAGAGTCCGTCCAAGAAGTTTCCAAACACCTTTCCTGCCGCTCCTTTCCCCGTCAAGATCTCGTCAAGCTTGTCCGCCAAAGGATCATCGCCAGACTCTGCTTTCTTGCGACCTTTGTCGTCAAATCGAGGAGGTAGTTCAATCGTTGCATCCGAATCAGCTGGGCTGACAACTCTCTCGAGCTCAGGACGTTTGGAACTTTTGCTCGAATCGTTGCGAGACGATGTCGGATCATGAGAACGGCGACGTCGATGTCGACGTTCTGAGGAATCAGGGTCTTGGGGCCGAGATGAGTGCTCTCGAGTGCCTCGGCGTAGTTCGTCTGGCGTTGAATCCGTATCATCCTCAGCCTCGTACCCACCAGAATAGGAGTGTTTGTGGCGATGTCGGCGCCTTTCCGGGACTATTTCTTCAGACTCTTTCACAGTCTCGTTTGGAACTGTTGCTACTTGGGGCGCTTCGGCGAATTGAACACTTTTTCTGCTAGCTGGAGGCGGTTGTGATCGAGACCGGGGCGGAGATGGTGATCGTTCCGCTGGAGGGCTATATGTATTGGTTGGGGTAAGGCTTCCACGAGGAGGCTCATAGCTTGATGGTACGAAATTTGAAGATGGATGAACATTCACGGGCGGTGATGGTGCAGCCGGAATCGTCCCATTTATACCTTGAAAAGAGTCAGCAAATTTCTACCTTGTCCATGCAACAAATGGGGCGTATAGGTACATGACTCTGACGTACCATTGGCATGGCTCTGGTCATTGGAAGTGGCAGGTGCAAAAGGATCGCCAGAGGTAGAGGTTGGCACAGCACTCACATTTTCAGGACCACGTGGTGCGTATGGATTTGCACCAGAAGCGTATGTCTCGTAGGTAGGCACAGCGACGTTAGGGGGAGGCCCCGGAGGTGGGGGTGGATAGGCTTGCCCATATGGATTTCCGGCCGTTGGTCCTGGGGTCGAGGTTTGAGGAGGATACTGCTGTTGAGGAACAGCTCCTGGCGGCGGAGGGAACTGGCTTGTCTGAGGATAGAAACCTTGTTGAGAAGCATATGGGTCATTGGCAGGCGGAGGGGGTGTAGGTGGGTATTGCTGAGCTGGATTGTAGTTGTCCTCGTATGGATCATGACCATAGCTGTCTTCACGGCCTACATGATATCAGTGTCAAACCATTCGTTGTCTCTGGGGTCACTTACGTCTCCGAGCTTTACGCTCACGTTTTTCTTGCTTTCGTCTGTCATACTCGGAAGCAGCGACTGCGCCTGCTCCTGCGGCAGCAGCCATTTTAGCTGCGTCTCTGGAAGATCGACGCCGGCTGTGATGTCCACCGCCCGAAGAGCTAGAGCTGCGAGAAGATCTCCGTCCTCCACGTTCGCGACTCAGGCTTCGAGACCTGCTTCTGGCTCTTTGCGCGCCGTATGCACCAGCGGCAGCACCTGTTGCGGCGGGGACAACAGCATTAGAAGCCCCATAGTAGCCTTCCGGCGGTGGTGGCCTGCCATAGTAGTCGGGTCCGTAGTTATTACCATACATTGGACCGGCGCCGTACTCGATCAACCCGGGATCGCTGATGGCACCTTCCCTGGGACCATCATAGTAGGCATCAGATCTGGCTCTGCTTCTGGATCTTGAGCGGGCGCGGCGGTCCTCTTTGACGATCTGTTCTGCTTCTTTCTTGGCCTTATTCTTTTCGTATAGACCGGCAAGAGCAGCACTACCAAGACCTGCAGCAACCACGGGAAGGGCTTGTCTGACACGGCTCTTAGAGCGTTCTCTCCCGTCCCTTGCTTTCGACTTGCTTCTCGCTCGCTCAATAAGTCCTGCTACAATAGCCCCAGCAGCACCGGCTTCCGCGATTCGCTTATTACGATGCCTAGGATTGCGCGCGTCAGTGGCTGGAGCGGCTGGATCGTTTTCCAGAGATTCAATGGAGGCTGAGCGAGATCTAGATCGTCGCCGGGAGCTGGATCGTCTCCTTGAGCGACTGCGCCGACCACCATCATCGTCCTTGCCTTTTGCAAGACGCTTTCCGGCAATAGTCGCCGCAGCAGCCAACGCCGCAGCACCAAGACCCACGGCACCAAGGGTCTTCAGCTTTGAAGGCGACTCTGACCGAGAGCGACTTCGTCGACGGCGAGAGCGCGAGCGATGGCGGCTAGAGGAACGGCTTCGTGAGCGACGGCGACTCTTACTTCTGTAGCGCTCGATGCCTTCTGCCGCCAAAGCACCCAAAGCACCTGCACCAACGTCACGTCCTACGCGACCAATGCCGTGCGAAGTATCCTGTCCTTCCTTTTTCTTGTGGTGTCGAAGAATTTCGGCAGCACCAATGCCAGCAACGACGCCAGCAGCGAGGTTTCTGCGACGGTGAGGGCTAGCGCTATCCTCACGAGTCTCCTTGCGCACATATACCATACTGTCGTCACTACTATAGTCGCGACCGCGTTGAGACACGGAGTCATGCGGACTCACCGAACGACCTCGGCGTGTGCGACGCTCATAGTAATCATCCGGCTCATCGATACGCTCTCGTACCTTTTTCTCGTAGAAGAAATCTTCTTCGCCACGAGGTGGTTCTCGACGCACAACACTGCGCTCCTCCTCCACATCAGATTTGCGGACAATCTGATAGTCGTCATCTCGGACGTGTTCACGAATGATGATGGGTTCCTGGCGGATGATAATCGTCTGGGGTGGTGCAGGCGGTGGGCTAAAGTATTCTGCAGTGCGGGTGTATTTCTGAAGATCTCTATCGTCAAAGCCACCACGGGTTGGAAGCACCTCGAAATCGTCTCGATAACGAGTAGTCTCGGAGACCCGGACGTCCCGGGTTCGATCATCAAATCTTGCCACTGACAAATCGTCTCGACGAGGGTCTTCTCGCTCAGTGGTCCGTCGGATGACGAGTTCTCGTTCTGCTGGCTCTTCACGTCGGACATTGTAGTAGTCCCTATCGTAGTAGTCCCGATCTCTTCTTGGTTCATCGTCACGCTCCCGGCGGATGACTAGCTCACGCTCGGACAGCCGCGCATCGTCCCGATGCACATCGCGCACGGGCTCGTCGACCTCACGTTCACGACGAACAATGCGTGTCTCTTCTATTCGCTCTCCCCCACGATCAGGAACAAATGACCGACGATCCCGACCGATGGAAGAACGGCTGTCGTCTTCTTTTACGACGTACCGCTTGACTGTTGTATATCCACCATCTCGGCGAGCGGATGAGACTGATGTTCGCGAATCGTCGTAGCGGTCACGATAGACCGACCCCATGCTGACCGCAAGAATAGATCAGAGGTCAGGCTGAAGGAGCGATTGAGAGAGGATTGCCTCGAGGCAGAGGGTGTGGAAGTGATCAACACGAAGTGTTGCAGGCAGATTGACGAAGAAAAGCGCGATGCGGCGAGGTTGAAGGTTGATAGAAAAGTAAGGTGAATGATATGATGCGGATGACTGTGAGAAGCGAGGGATGATGAAGTGAGAGAAGGTCTGTCCAGCTGGCAGATGAAGTATGTAGGATAATCCAGCCTGACTTGGTGGGCAGGAGGATCAGATGCTGCAGGGAACTGGATCGGGGCGAGTCGTACCTATGGCGTCGGCGCGTGCCCAATGTCTGTCCTTGACTGCCTTAGCCCAGATGACTGCCTCAGTTAGAGAATTGAGAGTACTGGGCACACTGTCCTTGAGACCAACGGCTGCAATCGGACAAGACTGACAGAACTTTGGGCTTCAAAAAACTCAGTTGGGAACAGGCTGGCTGTTGGGTAGCGAATGGCAAAGACGTAATCAACAGAGTAAATCGTAGTGGCGGGGGGTGGAGGGGCTGTGAAGCCGGGAACTCATTTAGTGGGAAAGTGTGAGAAGCAGCTGAGCGAAAATGAGAAATGAGCATCTGAACGAGCGAAAGAGAACACAGTACTTTGGGGGCTACTCTGGACTCTGCCTAGTGGCCGTTGCAATGAACCTGATTGCGAGGCCAGTTGCAAATCCAGCACATCGACTGACGTATCTGTTCCAATCCACCATTCTCCCTGCCACATTGCTAGTGAGGGTGACACGATGGACTTGCGGATCAATGCACATTGCCATCCGTATCCAACCTTACACTCGTCGCCTGCGTACGATCATTCATTTTCCCTGCCAGGGAGGTATATCACATGTATCAGTAGCCATAATGACTAACCGGTGAAGGCATCACACGACCCAGATCTGGACTGGAAAAATCACTTCCTGCACGGGTTTATTCCACTGTTTAAGTTAATGGCAAGGTAGCCACTATATAAGACAACTACGAAGACCAAGCCTAGCAGCTGGTTCATACCTGCTTTACATTTTCCCTTTCCCAATCTTCGCTCCTCATGTATGTTATAGTCAAGTATAAGTGCGCCCCAGCTGCTTTTTTGTATTCCTTGGGTATCTGGGGTCGTTAGAAACCTCCATTGGCCGGGAGGCATCAATGATATCACAAACGAAATTCGTATCAAGTCATAACCAAATGGTAGGCCGGACAAATGCCAACCTGCCCTATGCTTGGGTAGGCGTAGGACTATCATCAGGCTGATCGCCGCTATCATCGTTGGGCAAGACTTTGATTCGGCTGCCAACCTTCGCCGACCTGGTCTTCGAGCTGAGGGGAAGTTGATATTTGACAACACCTCGCACAATCAAGTCGAACTGGTGCTGCAACACTCTTTCCCATCGCGCGGACCCTCCTTCTTCGGTTTTGTTGCCTGGCTTTGCCAATCGAATCTCGCCAACAGACGATGTATGGCTATGCCGGATTGGTGAAGACTCAAAAACGAGGGGTGAGTCGAATTCCAAAATTCTCCCAAGGAGCATCTTTTGCGTTCCCGGTTCGGGATCGTCTATTGGATCAGTGCCCTCATCAATACCGTCGTCTGTATGCCACGGTGGCCACATCAATTCCCAGGTCGATGGAGATCGGCGAGTTATCCATCTGAGATGACCTTGTTCCTTTCTCCATTCAGCACCTGAGCTGACATAGGCGCTCTCGGCGAATAGATTGATGTCCAGGTCGCTCACTGTTATAGCAAACAGATTGGGGTTTGTAGCTTCCACATGAAGATCCAGCATAAGCTCCTGTTCGGACGCAAGCACATTCTGAATATGCTTAATCGAAACATCCGATAAAGGCCGGTTGAGAGCCATCACAAAAGTGGTGATACCGATGCATATCAAAGCGACGACAAAAGCTAGGAATATGCAACCACCATGTCGGCTACAATAGCCTCGGTCATAGGTATCATTGTAGTCCAAATGTCGAAACGACGCACTGTGGGGTCGGCGACTATATCTGGTGCGGTTGATACGGACCGAACCAATTAAAGGAGCTCTCTCGTCATCTGCAGCATCGTCGGATATGTCATATGGGTCGCCTTTGCGAGGAGGGCCACTGAGTCGTCCATTGGCAAGCCGAGGGCTATTTGGACGGGAATTTCGAGCAAGGTTGCTAGCGGATGCACGGGGAGAGTTAGGCTTGTTGGCTTGGGTAAAGGGAGAATCTGTATCGAGGATAGAAGTATGGTGTGGTCGACCATGTCGGCTTATGTGATGGTGTCGGGGGGTGGTGCTAGTATTTCGCTGGCTTCCCCTACCTTCCAGACCAGCCTCGCCATCGAGGTGATTGTTATATGTGCTGTTTGAAAACTTCATGCTCTTTTTTCCTGCAATCGCATGGCTTCCGTTCCGTACCCCGTGTTTACTGCGACCTCCATACTGTTCTTGGCTAGCTAGAGAGGTGGCACTAGGGGTCCGGGAGTGGTGTCGAGAAGGTCGATTGTCAGGCGGATTCGATTCGTATACAAAAGTCTCGTCTGAGTCGGAGGTGTCGGCTTCGTCGACAGCACTGGCAACCCTGGCCTCGAAGAGATCAGCTTTGGAAGTGACTGTGCCAGCATGGAGGGACGCTGGTTTGCGAGAGCTCTTTTTCTTCTCCTTCTTTGGACGAATGGTCTCAGTGCTAGGTTTGGTCCGGACACTGCCATTGCCATCTCGACCAGAGACGCCTCGGTCCGGACCTAGCAATTGAGGCATGGAAGTCACCGTCTCAGTCTCCACCGTCATTGTTCGAGGAGGCTCTGTTGCGGTTTTGGCTTTAGCACCTGCGAGACTAGTGAATGAGCGTTTTGCGAGATCAGACGCAGGCCGAGAGTTACTGGGTGCGCGAGATCGGCGTCCGTTGTCGACTTTGGTCGCACCAACTTTGGAGGACGCATCGCCACCACTTCCCTCGCCATCTTTAATGGCCAAACTTTCTGTGTGCGGCTCGACTTGCTTGTCAAGGGTCGGGACATCGATTTTGTGATCGACCACGTCCTGGACTGGACCAATGGACGGAGTGGACGGGACACTGCTTTCAGCTACCGTCTCCAAGGCGCTTCCTCCAGCACTAGGACCTCGACCAGGAGCACGAAGGGGCGCGGAGGGCTGAAACGATATTTCATTATTTTCAGGGACTTGCATGGCTGCGCCCTGATCAGGATGAGCAACGGTGGCGAGGCGCTTCAAAGAAGTGTTTGATGGCGTTGGTTCTGACTCGCTTCTTTTTGTGCTCACTCTCGTTGTAGACTTGTTCGAATTGGGAGGAGGGGATTTTAGTCGCGGCGACGTTGGCCATGCCGGAGTGTTTGGTTTCTGTGATCTTTCCGACAAGCGACCACCTTCAGCCATTCCATCTCTGCCAGCAGGTAGTTGAATTGGTCTTTGAGCCGAGAGTGCGCGTTGGACGGCGGCGGCGGAGGGAACTGTACTCGTGGCAGCACTTCGAGTGGGACTGAATTCCTGACTGCTCTTTCGGGACGGAGACAGTTGAGGGATGGCTGACATACTGCGCGAAGGGCGAACAGGTGACCCTTCACGGGAGGTCTTGATTGATTCTGTAATTCCATTTCCTAAGGACGGTGCGTTCTCTGTAGCGTGGTCCGACATGGTTTGTAGCTACAGGAGTCTCCTCCTAAGGGTATTGACTTCTGATACCTCCCCAGCTTTTCTTCTTTCGAACGTCGTTAGTCGACCAGCGAACGTTGCAGGAGCATTGCGGCTACATTTGCTGGCAAGGGGAGAGCGAGAGCGTAGGTAGATGGAGGAATATCGAGAGACGTTGGAAGTGAAGGTCGTGGTTTCGACGACCAGAATCAACAAAGGCAGAACTCCAGGAGAATGTTCCGCTTTAATGGTTGAGGCATGGAGGTTGCGGCGATCGGTTCGTAGTGGAGTCGGAGTCAACAGGGTAGTAAATCAACGAACGCATGAGGTCTCAACAGTCAGATCCCCAGCTGCTGCATCATCCCTGAAAATGACAAACAAAGAACGAGCGGAGGTAGATGATGGTTCGGTGGGAACGTGGACGGGGATGACGGTTGCATGGAGGACGGATGGAATTGGTCGTCGTCTGCCCGTTGAGAGGAAAAGCGGAATTGTAAGGCAGGGAGGAGGAAACCGCTTCCAGATGGCAAACACCGTCATGCCTCATCTTGTACTGTGGCTTGCTTTGGGGCTAGTGAGCGCTATTGGCGCAGTGCTTGAACGCCGTCAACGTGGCATCTTGGAGGCCCTGTTTTGCCCCGACACTCCAACAACGCTGCCTTCCACCCACACGATCCATTCTCGGGGCATATTCCTTTCTTCCTCCACCAACCACATCTGCCTCTATTCAGTTGGCGTCCGCTTCTAGCCAGCCGGAAGCAGCTGCCGGTGCCTGTCCCTGACCTTCCAATTGTCTGGTGCGAAATTTCACTAGCTACTGCAAGGTTGCGAACATCCGCGTGATCGAATTCTACCACCGTAGAATTCCCAAATTTGTCACCGCTTTTAACGGTGTACACAGAGCATATTTCACTGTGTGCCATGGCGTCCAAAAGCACATTATCCTACAGCCAGCGAGCAAAGGGCCACGCGAATCTGCTCGTCAGAAAACTCTTCGCAATTGCCGAAGAGAAAAAAACAAACGTGGTGTTGTCGGCAGACTTGACCACCACCAAGGAGTTGCTGGCGATTGCTGACAGTAAGTCAAGGCTTTGTGTTTTGATGTGAGAGGTCAGACCACACATATGTCTGCAGAGCCTCGAACAAATCTAAAAGCTTACCAAGCACCTTATATCATGACAACGGACGGTATCTAATGAAGATCCGTAGGTCTGGGCCCGTACATTGCTGTTCTAAAAACACATATCGACATTCTATCAGACTTCAGTGAGCAAACTATTCAAGGGCTTCTTGATGTAGCCAAGCGCCACAATTTTCTTCTGTTTGAAGATCGTAAGTTTGTGGATATTGGTAACACCGTACAAAAGCAGTACAAGGGAGGCGCACTACGTATTTACGAGTGGGCGGATATTGTCAATGCCAGCATCCTTGCAGGGGAAGGCATCATTCAGGCTCTGGATCAGGTGGTAAATGATAGCGGAGATGCGGAACGAGGCATATTGATCTTGGCCGAGATGACTTCTAAGGGATCTTTGGCAGTCGGAGAGTACACTCGAGCATCGGTCGAGATCGCAAGAAAATATCCCAAAAGCGTCATGGGCTTCGTGTCAACCAAGGAACTGTCAAGCCACTCGCCTAATTCGGCGCCCGAAGAGGATTTTGTGGTGTTCACGACCGGTGTGAACATCTCCAGTAAAGGCGACGCCCTCGGGCAGCAATATCAAACTCCAACCACCGCGATGGAAGGAGGGTCCGACTTTCTCATTGCAGGCAGAGGAATTTACGCGGCCGAAGACCCGGTGACGGCAGTGAGGCAGTATCAGAAAGCGGGCTGGGAGGCATATGAGCGCCGCATCGCCAGAACCAGTGGATGATAGGTCGACTCCGAAGTCACCCGCTTGATCGATCCAATATCACCTACAGCCAGAGAGGCGTCCTCGGCCACCGCAACTGGAGTCACCACCAATATAGGGTCCAAGTCTTTTCATGATATTATTATCTTGAGGAAAGACCTAAGCCCACCTGGCGGCAAAGATCAGCCAGTGTTGGCTCAACTTTGTGACACCGAGATAAGAACACTACGCAATTCTCCCTTCGCAGTGCCCAGTCGCATAGATGAATGTCACTTTGAGTACGTTCCATTCAGAGGCCTGTTATGAACGGTGAAGATTCGTGGCACTGGTAGTCAGCAAATTTCCATATTGATACGTTCACTCTAAATTGAGATGATCAATGGATCAAATTCGCATATGGGCTTTGGTGATCCTTCCACGCATTTCCGTTACCCATCAACCTTTAGATCTTGCACCTTGCATACTGTATCGAGGCCCTAGTTGACCTTGACGCTGTCGACCCCAGACCAGCTATGGCCACATCATACTAGACCGCGACTCTATCTCCTTAGACGGTTCGAAAGAAGTGCGCCAGCATGAACAGAAGGTCAATGCGTATCAGGACATATCGAAATTGATCCGGCCTTATGACGAAGCCCCTGGAGAGCCGCTAATGAAATGAGGTCACACAACCAAGAAATTGCGCTGCTACCTTTCCATAGCCAGTACAATCTCGCATAAGAAATGAACAAATATAGGATACCAGCGCGGCCGCTCGGAAATCGCTTGGATCTGCTAGAACGGAGTACCCAGGCCCGAATTTGGGTACGTGGCTTGATCCCAGGACAGGGGATCTCCGGGGTGGCTGCCGGTGATGTTTGTGATCAGCAGGTGGCCACCTCCAGGCACTTCCCGCATAATCGCGGGTGGCACCCATTCTACAATACAGTTGCCTGTTAGCAGCCCGTTAGCGCCCTGTTAGCGCATCATTGTCTCGTGGGTAGCGAGATCGAAAGACAACTACTAGCCTAACATGGCCTAGGGTCATCACTAAATCCCTCTTGTTTACATGCGGGTCTTGGCGTTCACCTGGGACGCGTTCGGTTTTTGCCAACAACCATGCGAACGTGTCGTGGCCTCTGGATTTCTCGAGTTGTCAAAGGCACGAAACAGGGATCCTGGGCGAATTGATCTTCTCTCTCAACCACTCACGCCATCCTGAACCCTTCTTCCTCCCGCATCCCTCCATCGAAACCCTTCGCAACCACCCCCCAACACCTCCGAATCGCCATCTACTGAAGAGACAGCACTACCAAACTCAGGTCATCCCCGCCCCCTACACCGCCCTGCAGACGCGATAGACGCACACAAACAACTCGACCTGCTGCCCAACCTGCCGATCGGAGGAGCAGCGTCAACACACATTTCTCCTACGACCAATCCATCCGCGCTAGGCGCCCTTCTCCCTTCTTCAACATCACCTTGACGACAACTGTTGGATCATTTCTCAATATCGCCGGCCTGTCTCACAACACTGACACAACCTCGAAATATCACCATCCGAACACTCCCGCCACGACCGAGTCGTGTCTGTGAGACTATTGCCTTTCTACTACCCTCATAACACCGAGGACCGCGCCTTCCTGAATCACCTTCCCGATACCTCGCACTTGCCTGGTGTTTCCTACGCCGACTATGACACAAGCTTGATCAAGACCATTTGACAACACTCAGGCTGCTTACGCCACTCCGCCACGGTCAAAAACGTCTCAGGGAGACATCCTGTTTCGTTCGGGGTTCCCATTCATGGCCAAAAGCTGGGATTGAATATATGAAGCTCGGTGTAGGTCAAAATCAGGGTGGTCACGACTCCCGTCATGATGGCAACATATTCTCCTCATCGTGAGGAGCGAGAAGCAACTCATCCGCATTCACCAAAAACACTCACCCACTTCGACCCTCATTCCGCGATCCGAGAGATACGCCGGTCGCTCTCTCGCTCGCCTTCGAAGAGCTCCGATCTTCGTCAGTTTCCGTTCCGATCACCAGGCCATGGCAATATCCCATTCTCATCATCGCCACTATCTCCGTCACGGAAAACCACGTCCGAAAACAACCTAATATCCTCATTTACTTCGACTCCATATACTCGGACCACACAAGGTTCGCGGCTTCAGCGGCCCCTTCTGCGACGAACTACACAAAGCCATGGCGTTAACCGTGTTCGGACATCTCCAAAGAGCCCTACCAAGCGTGCTCTAAATGATTCTAGTGATTGCGGAAACTCAGCATCTGCGCCACTCCGGAAACGCAGCTCTGCAGAAACAGACCGCGATCTAGCTCTGAAAGCGCTGACGGCAGAAGAAGGCAAGGAGAATGAGCATTCCCATGAAGAGCCACCTCAATGGAAAGCTCCCATGACTCGCCAAGAAAAGAGACGCAGCGGTGGTGCTTTGATCTCGACTGTTGCTCCTTTGAGTCCCATGAAACGTGCGGATGGCCCAAAGGCCGACGATGCCAACGATTTTGAAAGTCCATCAGCGAAGAGACGAAGCCTGCACGGCCCAGGGTTGGATTTCAGCATCTTCGAATCGGATAGCCTGGACGGTAGCATGTTCAATGATAAGCGTGCACAAGATGATAATGACTGGTTTGCTGCCAGTACTCCTCTCTCGGCTTCACGCTTCTCTACCATACCAAAACGATCTTCGTCCCTTCGGAAATCAACTCTTCAACAACGCCAAACTGATCGATCGAGCAATCTCCGGTACAACAATATCATGGAGGTAGACAGATCTTTCTTCGAAAGCACGCCTGCTTCACACGTGAGAAAGGGCCTGCGTGTCTCTCTGGACAATCAACCGTTGCCACGAGAGAGTCCTTTCTCGAGTCAAGGAAGCCTCTTGAGTGCATCAATTCATCCTGTGCCTGCTTCTCAGAGCAACTTCCCAACGCAACCACGGCACCCGCTGTCACGGACAATGACCCAATCCTCTTCACAGACTGACGACCAAGACGACTCACCCACCCACGAACCAATCCATAGATCGACAAGACCTCGATCCCATGACTTTTCTCGATCTTTGCCCGTTGGCGCATTGAGACCTTCCCCGGAAGGCAACGATCTCTCCTCGCAAGGATCATTCGCCACGCCTGGTAATTACAAAGCTGCAAAACCTCTCCCTGCGGCTTTCATGTCTACGGGCCTCATCTCGAAGAAGAACCGCAATGTGGACGATCCTGATGCCGGCTTGCCGAAAGCACACATGCCAGATACTCCATGCAAAAAACAATCCGTCATTTTTCCATCTGACGATAAGTTTGTTGCTCCGGACCCTATCGGTGCCAGAGCATCTCGACACTCATTTGGCGCACCTACTACGCCTCTTGAAATGCATGGAACCTCGAAGGTCTCGAGTTTTCCTTTTTCCAAAAGCACGGGTATCTTTGGCCCTCGGCCCAACAAACCAGCCTTGATCAGAGAAGGAAGCTTTGCATCTATTGACGCTGAGGAGAAAACCAGTACTCATTCTCCTTTTACTCGGGCCACCAGTCAGTCAACCGAATCAGATTATCCTCCTACACCTACCAAGCACTTCATGGAAACCGAAGGCCGTGAGTCAGTGTCGCCGTCACCCCGCCATCCCATCCATCTGGCTCTACCCAAATCAGCTGTGACATCTCGCGTCTCAAGCAGTAAGTTATCTCCTATTTCGGCATCACCTCAACACGTCGACGGGGACAGTGACAGCGTGATGGAAGACTCTCCTTCCGCCAGCCTGAGACCAAAGTCGACGTCGAAAACCACTTCGGTACCAATCCCGTCCTTTACTGCAGGCCGTCTGTCGAGAAATCTCGGATTTCCCAGGCCGCTCTCAAGAAAGCCTCTTTCTATTCAATCTTTTTATTCACCTGCATTGGAACGTACTAAAATGACATCCGTCTCTCCAGTTAGTCCAGGGATCGATAAGACCGATAGACTGTCACCTCATACTCCACTCGATGGTTTCTTTCCCCCGGACCCGAGCCGTCTCACCATCTCTGGCCGTGCCGAACGTGGCTTGGGTCAGCGAGATACTAACAATAGTGCATTCATTCCTGCAACGCCTACCGGACCGCGCGAGCATTTTCCCAATTTTTCCAACCGACCGAGCCTTAATCTAACAGCTCCAGACACGTCGAACATTGACAGCAGTCTAACGTCGAGGTTTGAGAAGGTTGACCTGATTGGATCTGGAGAATTTTCTCAAGTGTACCGAGTGTCCCAGCCTCCAGAATCATCGCAATACCACAAGATATATTCCGTCTCGGCCGCGCGACCATCATCGAGAAGTTCTTTGCCAGAAAGAGTATGGGCCGTCAAGAAGTCTCGGCATCCGTACTCGGGTGCGAAGGATCGTCAGCGAAAGATTCAGGAGGTGGACGTGCTCAAAGCCCTGGGCCATTCGGATCACGTTGTTACTTTTGTCGATAGTTGGGAACAACAAGGTCATCTGTACATCCAGACCGAATTCTGTGAAGAGGGAACGCTCGATGTGTTTCTTGCACAAGTTGGTCTCAAGGCTCGACTTGATGACTTTCGCATCTGGAAAATTGTCCTGGAGTTGGCTCTTGGATTGAAACATGTCCACGACAGCGGATTCATTCACCTCGACGTCAAGCCTGCAAACATTCTCATCACTTTCGAAGGCGTCCTCAAACTTGGAGATTTCGGCATGGCGTCCAAATGGCCGGCCAAAGCAGGCATTGAAGGCGAAGGGGATCGTGAGTACATCGGACCCGAAGTTCTGATGGGTCGGTATGACAAACCCGCCGACATCTTTGCGCTGGGCCTGATTATGCTCGAAATCGCCGGTAACGTCGAGCTTCCTGATAACGGTGTGTCGTGGCAGAAGCTCCGGAATGGTGACATGAGTGACGTGCCCAGTTTGACATGGAGCTCGGGAACCAGTGGGATCTTGCGCGACGCATCAGGCAACCCGATCATTGAAGACGACTCCCTAGACGATGTTCAGCAAAGCAATGACTACGATGTCGACGTCGTTGATGCCGATGGACAAAGCGGCATGGAAGGGCAGTATTCTGGAAAGGCGTTCCATCATCCACGCAGTGGCGAGCTTGTCGAGCCGCCTCAGTTCATGGTCGATCCTTCACACGAACAAGCTCTGGAACGCATCGTCCGATGGATGATTTCTCCTGATCCGAATGACCGTCCACTCGCGGCCGACGTACTCAACACCGAAGGGGTTCGATTTGTGGAGGCGCGACGACGTGCAGGAGCGACCATCTTCGAAGGCAACTGGGGCCCAGCAGACGAAATTCTGGCGGAAGACGCAGAAATGATCGATGTTTAAATCATCTAAGCGAGCCATCCTTACGCTTGGATCGATGTGGCGAGTTTTTGGATATCAGTACGGATTCACAGCACAGATGTAATAGTCTTCTAAGCAGAAGAGAGCTTTTCAGGATTCACGAGCGAAACGGCACTCGGGAATTGATCAGGAAACTTTGAGGCGAATTGACTTGTTGAGCAGTTGAGCGAGATTTGGTTTGAGTTTCGCAGCCCCTGTGCGGCCATGGTATAATTTTCTTCACCATATGGCATGCAGTTGGCTGGACTCGGCATACAATCCCAGAGTCATGTTTGATCACGATGCCACGACAATGGTTTTGTTATTACAACAAGGTGCAACAGAAACAAAGAAGCGTGGAGTTGATTAAGAACAGAGATTTATTGATTCACAAGGCATGTTAGTAGGGGGTTTGTTCAGCCATTTGTGGTGAGGGATTGCTCGGGATCGATAGGCACATTGAGGGCTTTCGGAAGGAACAGGGAGTAATACTCATGCACGAGGGCTGAGAATAAGAAGCAAGAGGATAGAGCAAGACGAGGACGGCATATGCAGGTTTATCTTGATAGTGGGTGTACTCGTACTCGATATTCTCGTACAGCTACCGACATTAGATGCGAGTAGCTTGAATGATGATATGAACTTCAAAGATAGTTGGCATGTTGGACATTGATTCGCGAGTGATTTGTGAGTTGTTGCCCTGGCTGTTGTTGCAAGGCATGCCTTGAGAATGTTGGAGCCCTGGATGTTGTATCATGTATTTGGGTCCATGAAGCTGTGTAGGTGACATTGAGATTCAATGTTTTGAGAATTCGTTTGAGCGTCTATGAGTCGAGAGTTTACGGACCTCGTTGCTAAGAGAGTTCGACGATGGCATGGTTCATATTCTTAATTGTCAGGAAGACCTATCTCATGAGATTCTTTATCGGCGAGGCGAGATACCAACACATCGTGAAGTATCCGTCGTTTTACGAGTCGTTGTTGGCGTCTTGAATCATGAACCTCGAACTTTAGACCAGGCGGCCATGGCTGATGGTTAGTTGTCGGACCAAATCGTGCCTTCGTGCTACGGGAGTAAATATTGTATAAAGTCGTTCGACCTGGCGGTGACCCAAATGAGGTCATACAATTTCATTCTGTTTGGCCGGACACAAAATCCAGTTCAACTCAACGGGCAAATCAACAAACAATCAAAAACTGACATCACTCACCTCCCGTCCGAATGTAGATATTCCCGACATTGCCAATCGACCTTTTTTTCCAACCTCCTTCGTACTGGTCAATGCTCATTTTGCTCGGCCCATTCTACCCTGAACCCTACGAAAGTAACATCATCGACTCCCTTTTTCCCCCCGACGTAGGTTCGGTAGGAACCTCCATGTTCCCCAAAACGATGGAATCATAACACACGAGACTGTGTTTTCCGAACAGGTGAGAGTACAGTATGAGTACGGAAGACCATCTGCAGCCTTCTCTTTGGTCATCCTCTTCTCGTTGGCCTATTGTTCCTGGACCCCCTGGTACTTACTCGACACACGGTCTGAACATGTCACCCACGTTCACCCTTGGCTCGTCTTGTCTCACATCACACAACTTGAAATTCTCTGATGTCACGCACTAGAGGCTGTCACGTCAATTCCCCGTGTCGTTGACGATTCGTTGTATATTGTTTTGCTGTCTCTCTCTCTCTCTCTCCTCTACTCCTGTTTCTGTTTCTGTTTCCGTTTCTACTCACCATTCTCGTTACAGTCTTGAATGAGGCCGACTTATTCCAACACAGTAACACCCAAAAAATGCCACGAAACTTCCCTCCTACGTCCCTCCAGAGACACGGCGTGCGCCGTCCCAGCGAGCCGACGGCTCGAGACCGTCACGTCCGCCACCACCACCCTTTCGCCGGTGATGAGCAACCCCTAAACGAGAACTCGAAATGGCAACGGACAAGACACCACATGATAGCCATGTGCGGTGAATTCGTCGGAACTTTGCTGTTCCTTTGGTTCTCTTTTGCGATTGCACAAACCGCCGCCTCGACGGGTGGTGTCGCAGGGACATCTTCCGAATTCGTCCTCACGAGCCTGGGTTTTGGTTTCTCATTGTTGGTGACAGTCTGGGCCTTTTACAGAATATCAGGTGGATTGTTCAATCCTGCTGTATGTGTCTTTTTTTCGTACACAACCCCCTCCTCCTCCTACCCTTGACGAAAAAAAACGTCTTCGTGAGTTTTGGTTTTTTCTCTCCATCTCTCGGTTTTCACCAAAATCCAAAAAAAACCATTCACAAAAACAAATCTAATCATGCTCTCCCCCTTCCCTCCTCCAGGTCACTCTCGCCATGGTCATGACGGGAAACCTACCTTGGTTCCGTGGTCTCTTGCTACTTCCGGCGCAACTACTCGGTGGCATAGTCGCCGCCGCTCTCGTCCGGTGCATGTTCCCAGGTGAACTCGCCGTCAACACCACCTTGTCCAACGGCACTTCTCGGGCTCAGGGGGTCTTTATCGAAATGTTCTTGACTTCCCTCTTGGTCTTTACCATTCTAATGTTGGCCGCCGAGAAACATTATGCCACCTTTATGGCTCCCGTGGGGATCGGTCTTGCACTGTTCGTTGCGATGATGGCTGGTAAGTATTGTACTTTTTTTTAATAGTCACCAAAATGCATTTCTCGGTCGCTGCTTTTCCCCATCCTTCGAATTGTGAGTATACTAATGTTCTCTCGACTTGTTAAAAAGGCGTCCATTGGACCGGTGCGTCACTCAACCCGGCAAGAAGTTTCGGTCCGGCCGTTGCGACGCCGTATTTCCCCGGATACCATTATATCTGTAAGTGGTCGATAATACCTTGGCTCAATTCGCGAACGAAACATCCGAGGAAACTGACATGGATCACGTCCAGACTGGTTCGGTCCCATCATGGGCGCGTTGCTGGCGGGCGGGTATTACAAGTTCGTCAAGTACTTCAACTACGAAGAGTCGAACCCCGGGCAGGACGCCCTCGACGAAAGGGAGAAGCAAAGAGAGGGGGAGAGAGTCGAATCACATTCTTCTGCCGGGGTTTGAGATTGACGGATGTTTGGGAAACAAAAGAAGAAGAAGAAAAGGAAAACAACAACTCTAGTCAACCAAAAACCAATAAAATGAATTGCCAATGCCAAAAGCATTTGTGTGGGGTGGCGCTGGATCTTGTTCGGTGGGCTACTGGGAGCATGCCTCATGTCCCATCACCCTTTTGTTCGGCCGGCGGGGTCACAGGGGAAATGTAATCAAGGCTCACCTCACCCCAGTTGTAACAGATACGCATGGTAGTTCCACTCCGCCAGGCAGAAGCAACAATGAGGAACGACATCTGACACAAGGGAGGTACTCATCGAGACCGAAGCAGACGCAACAAAATTGGTCACACGATGGGCGTATACAACATACACGAGTACACAAAAACGTCGGGGGGGGGGGGGGGGGGGGTTATGCAAAGGTGGACCAAAAGCTCCGATCTCTCGCGCTCTGTTTGGAGACAGCTACAAAGGGGAGGAATGGAAGTTAAAAAACGACGAATACGAACGTGGACATGGAAACAAAACAACCTGTACTACTTTGATGCACTCTACATCACCAGTAATCAACCACCACAAAGCATGCATACGTGTGTATTACGGAGTACACTAGTGTCCCCTTTTCCAGACATCACTGACAGGAGAGAAAATATTGATCGAAAACTGAAATCATTCTTCATTCTTGATTCCCATCGTGATTGACTCATTATTGTTACAATTCATCTGGAATACATCAAACTTTGGTGGTATCAAATTGGATGACGCAAAACTGCCGGAAACCATCGGGTTCAACTATATGGAAAGCAAACATGACGGGCGCCGACTCTGGGCGGCAAAGTCAAAGGATCTGTAGACTGGGCATAACGACAAGTACAACCCGGCAGAAGACACAAAAAGGGGGGGAAAACAAAGAGGAAAATGTGCGTCGGCTCCCCCCCCGGTCATACAATCACCAGACGCGTGTACAGGTGTTTTGTTCGATCCAACCTTAAACAGATCACCGTCACCCAGGTGGCAAAGAACACTCGGGGGGAAGGGGGTGGCGAGCAGGTCGCGTCGTGATCTTCTTTGCCCTAATGTTGCTGCTGGTTCTGCAACTTCTTCTTCTCATGGGGTGAAGCGGAGCCGTTGAGACCGGCACCGGCCCCGGCCTCGCCGCCCTCTTGGGGTGGCATCTTGATCATCCAGTTTGGCGGCGCGATGCCGGTCTGTTCGTGGATCGTGCTCAACAACGGCGGGAGGGACTGCATGATGTTCTTGATGGGCGCGATGCCCGCGGCGTCGCCACCGCCCCCGCCCGCGCCGTCGGTGTTCCAGACCGTGATCTTTGGCTGGAGGCCCTGGATGGCCTTGGCGTTCGCGTTGGCCAGCTTCTCGAACGTGTTCTCCTTGATCATCATGTACGTGAGGAGGCCCTGCGGCCCGCCAAACGCCTCGGCGAGGGACTTGTAGGCCTCGGCCTGGGCCTGGGTGGCTTCGGCCTCGCGCATGCGGGCGTGGTACGTCGCGTCGGCCTCCTTCATCTGTCGCTCCACGTTGGCCTGGATCTGCCGCTGCTGCTTGAACAGCTGGGCGTCGGCGGCTTGCTTCTCGGCGTACGCTTGGGCGTCGGCATTCTTGCTGTCCCGGTAGAAGTTGGCGTCGGCGTCGCGCTCCGCCGTCTCCTTGGCGATCTGCGCCCGCACCAGGTCCTTTGCGCGTAGTCGCTCGAGCTCCGTAGCGGCCTTCTTGGTTTCGACCTCCCTCTGGAGCTCGGCGTCGCGAGCCTCGGCAGCGCGTCGCGCTTTGATCTGGGCCATTTGGATGCCCATGTCGAGTTCTGTCTGGCGGTTGGTGAGCTCCGCGTCCGCTTGCGCTTTGTCGGCCTTGCGCTTGGTCTCGAGAACGGCCGTTTCGGCCTCGATCTTGGAGATTTCCTGCTTCGTGTGGCCGCGCTTCGAGGCCTCACCGATCTCACCGCGCATGCGTGCCTCGGCCACATCGATACGGGCTTGATTCGAAGCACCTTCGTGGGCTTTCCGAGAAAGGAATGCAAAGTACTCGGAGCCGGGGGTATCTTGCAGTTCCTTGACGTTGGCATTGTAGATACACAGACCGAACTGGTCAAGTTCTTTTTGCACGTTCTCAATGACCTGGTGTATCATTGTCAACCATCAGTGTACCCTGAGAGGCAGGGCAAGCGTACCTTTTGCTTGAAAACTTGGCGTTCCTTGAAGATCTCTTCCATGGTCATAGAGGAAACGATGACACGTGTTTCACCTTCGATGATACCCTTGACAATATCCTGGACATGGCTGCGCTGGGTCGGTACAATAGCTGTACCGGGCTTCGAAGAACTCGTTGATGTTCCGTCGGGGTTGCCGCTGAGGAGCAGCGCATATTTCTTGAGTGCCTCAGGCTTGTTGTCGGGCCCGATGGTAAAGACGGCAGGTAGAGCGAATTGAAGTTTCTCGATAGTCATCGCCTGTAGATTGAGCGAGAAGTCGAATGGCGAGACCGAGATTCTTGCTACACGCTGCCATGGAAAGACGAACGCCTTTTTGACAATGCGAACATCTTGAATATTGGCGCCAGTGACCACGAGGTACTCGTTGGCGTTGGAGATGTGGTACCACATGCCTGGCATCTTGGATCTGAAAGAATGTGTTGGTTTGTGATGAGTGAGTGTGCGATGTGTTGGCGGGTTTGAGACGAAGTAAAGAGTGAAGACTTGTAGGCTGTTTGGCTGAGTCAATCTCCAATCTGCTGTGACTGTGGAGGTTAATGCTCTGGAAGATGAAGAACAAGCAGAAACGGTAAGGAAAGGGAAGATGAGGGTATATATATGTTCTCACGACATTGTGAGTGAATATCACTCAGAGTGACTGCTTCCCGAGGAGAAGCGGTTCAAGACGATCTCTGTGACTCAAACGGAGCGCGAACGACGGTCTATGGCACGGCCACATGAGCTGCCTTGTTGGATCCAGAGGGGTACAAGATAGTGCCTTTGCTAAACGTGGTTGTTGTGAAAACTATCGAAACGGCACTGCACATGTCATAGCCCCCATTATTCCACAACGGGGGTTCGGAGCAACGGACCATACCAAGAGCAGTTGAGCGGATCCTTTGCCCTGACTAGCAAGAACTTCTGGAAAACTACCAAGAATGTGAAGGGAGGTCAGATGATTCACATTCTGCCCGTGTTTTTGCTTTTGTAAGGAAGATCATACGTCAAGTGGGCCGTTTGTCTTCGGTTTCTTGGTGCCGATGGGTGTGTGCGGGAGTCGATCGCATGTTTCAATGTCTATAGCTGATTGGTGGCTGAGCCGCCCTCAGACAAGGGCAAGGCAACCTCTCAGGTTGACAATCTGTACCTCTTTGTAGCACGAGAGTAACAAGTGCTTTCAGGCGGAGCAGAAGCACCGACCGGTGTTCGGCACACCAGGATCACTAGGGATCTCTTCGCGAGCACTTGAAGCCTTGGAAAATATGGGAACTCCGTCACCGCGTACAGCTCACAGATTAGCCAGGGGAATTCCCACAGGTACAATGCTCAGATGACTCGTGCTCGGTGGAGAAAAGTAGTTGCGTTCCAAGGGTAAGAATGTCAGGGTTGTACGAAATATAGTGATGCCTTGAGAGTTGGCTTGAGGAAGAAGCAGGTTTGACCTTCAGAAGGATAAACACAAGACGCTGTGATGTAGGTTCAAAGCGGCGATGGCTTTTGGTCTTGCTGCCGGGGTTCCTCTCACTATTTCATCTATCTTTAGGTTTTGGTAAGCATATACGAGCAAGCATGTATGCGCACAGGTTCACAGAATGCAGTGAGTGTCTTTGAAAGAGTGTATTCCAGTGTGTTCAGACTGCACTGTACTCCGTATCGTCCATGGATATTCGGCATCAAAAGCGGCAACCGGCACTATAAGCTCAGCCACTAACGACAGTCAGCCTTGCACTGCCACCGCATGTTACTGTGTTTCACTCCCGCCTTTCCCACTTTTCCTCTTGTTTCCAAGTGCAATTAAACAATCGACTACGGAGTAAGTTGTACTCGGCACGATGATGATCCCCTGGCCTCGTGACAGCCTTAAGGGTTCAGGGGACAGAACTATACGAGTACGGGAAAGAAACCTGGCGTCCATCATAATCCTACCCACTTCCTTCTGATCCTGGCCCCCATTCTCTTAGCAGCCAAGGCAGTTCTACAAACGACCCCCAATTTACGGAGAAGTAAGTTTGATCAACAGCCTCATGTGATTTGGTTTCATGTATGAGGTCTTTTTCTTGCACCAGCTGTAAGCCAAGGGCCACGACTCTACCCCCGACAAGCCGAGGTGAGATCGTGGACGAAGTGAGCAGTCCGGTTCGTGCAATCTTTAGACACCGGTTTGAGGCATTGGCGATAGATTCCTGTGCGGCTGAAACGACCCGAGTCTCTTCGCTTCAAAGACGTCTCGGCAAGCAAGCGACGTCTTGGGTGCGTGCGCACCTTTCCATCATCGCGTGAAGTTACATCTGTTGCCCACTGACGAGGCTCAATTGAAGTCACAACTCTGGTGCGCCTGACTCATATCCCCTCCCTTGTTATCATTTTCACGCATTACACATCGAAGCCTATCCACCTTGATATCTTTGTGTAACGTCTACCTTCATAGCCTTGGGACATTGGCCATCAAATTCTGGAACCCCCCACCGACAGGTCTTTTACAAGCAGAAATGTCGGAGAAGAACACGTACGCGAGTAGTGCAGATGAAACGTCCACCGAGCGGATTCCCACCTATGAAGAATCTGTGGCCTCATCTACAAACCCAAGATCGATGGGAAGATGGGAGAAATCATCCAGATCGATGCCGTCAATGATTCGCCAGGAACGAACCCGTCGGATCGAGCAGCTTATCGCCGAGTTGATTGTTCCAACGGTTTCGATGAAGCTGTCCAGTGGCTGCTCGTCGCTGAGCATAATCATCTTGCCATCAGCCTCTCTCACGGCAAACGGGGAAGTGACAGAACAAAACATCGTGACGCCAGGCCCGCAGGCGCAGGAGTCGCGAACAGTTCTCACACTTCGAGGGGAGGAGAACAGTGCATCATTCTGGACACAGAATCCTGTCGTTCAGGAATTGGAATTTTTCCTGCGTCAAGAATTATCTGAGGAGCCGATAGACGCAGCAACGCTTTTTGATAATCAACTCCAAGCCGAAGTCCGAAGCCAACCTACAGCTCCGCTGCCTCAACGACCGAAACCCAAGTCATGGCTTAAGCGAGCTTTCGAAAGCCCGGGGGCTGACCACGATCCAACGGGCGAGACGGGTAAGTGGAATCTTGGCTGGCGAAGTCCAGACACTCGTAGTGGCAGTCAGGACAGTGGTTGGAGGGCGAAAGAACGACGAAGAAATGTACAGAGGGACGAATTGGCCGTCCATGCCAGGCTGGAAAACGTGAGCTTTCGGACAGAGAGTGAAATGGGCCTTCTCGAGACAAACACTGTGAAATGTCTCTGGGTTGAGATTGAGCTCGGGTTATGACGCGTACACTGTTGATACCAAAAAGAGTCGTGGCCACCAGTGCAGTATTTACTAAATCTTGGCTATCAAATGTTTCCCTAGCTCTACAGAGAGTCACGGGACAAAGACTGTCCTGTCTTTCTTCGCCGTCCAAGCGTCTGCGGCATCTTCTAGCTTCCTCACCTTGAGATCCATCTTTGGCAATCTGGCCACCGCAGCCAGCAGACCCGGCAATTCTTTGGCGAAGTGCGGCATTGACCAGGCACCGGGTCCTGCACCCCTCATTGTGATGTTCTTTGACCGCAAGAGTGCAGCCGGCAGAGCGGTGTCCAGACCGGCCACAGATCCAATCTGGACGTACTGTGTCGGCGCCTTCGAGCTGAGGGCGGTGAAGAGGGCGGGGATGACAGGACCATAGAGATAGTCGAGTATGACATCGACATCGCCCAGGGCCGAGAAATCCGTTTCGGCGGGATTACTTGCCAACACGATGCTCTGGTCGAGCTTGAGCGCCTCCATTTCTTTGGCGTTGCGCGCCACACCAATCACCTTGCCGGCACCCCTTTCGCGGACGAATTCGACGGCGACTTTGCCCGAGATTGCCGTCACGCCGACGATGACGACGGTGAAGTTGGGGGGGATGTTGTCGACTCGGGCGGCCAGTGCCATCCACGAACTCATGCCCGGATTGACCAGGCCCGCAACCTGGACCGGGTCGGCGCCCTCCGGGACCGGCACCACGGCGGCTTTGGGCACCGTGACGTACTCTGCAAAGCCGCCGCCCATGGCAATGCTGCTGAAGTACACGGTCTTTCCGTCGGGCGTCGTGCCTACACCATCGGCACCGGGCACGTATGGAAGCCCCGCGTTCTTGCTGCTGTAGTGTTGGCCAGCGGCTTGCGAGCGGACAAGTTGATGGAGGCCAGCAGCTAGAACTTTGATGGTGACTTTCTCTGGGTCGGAGGTGGACGGGTCAGGGTGGTCTGCTGAGAAGGCGGGAGGGGCGTCCCACGACTTTACAACAATCGCACGCATGATTGAGATGGTATGTATGTGTGTGTGTATTGAATATAATCTGTGATAGTTGCTGTGGCGCTGAGTCTGAAAGGCAAGGAGGAGATAAGAAATGTCTTGTAGACGATACAATGCTTCAAGTTAAATGGTGTTCGAATGGGAGAAAGGAGGGGCACGATGTTGGGACTCGTGCCTTAACCGTGAACCTTATATATATCTGTGCAAGGAATCAATCTTGCAATGCTTTCGCTATAAATGGATAACGAAAGTGTCGCTACGTTTTGACAGGAGAGCGGAAGCCTTTGTCAGCATCAGACAAATTCTCCGATGATGAGGACAACAACTCAATGTTCACGTGCAAATCAATGTGAATCGTACGAGTAGTTGGCCAGGGTTTGAGGAACTTTTTAGAACCAGGTATCGGAGCAAACTACCTCTAGTTACAGTAGTTCCAAGGTTGGTAGCCCATATGTCTCGACCACCTGTACTGTAGATGACTCCCTGCACGAGATGACTAAGCGGGAAAAAAGGTGACGTTCGATCGTGGAGCGGAACATCATGCAGCGTGTCCTGTGTCTTCTGCCTGTTTTCGACCGAGACAGAAGAGTAAACAGGTGACTATCCCTACAGTAGTACCACGTCTTGTCAGGGTCCACAATCGGGTACCATTGACCAACCTACGTGTTACTGTCTTGTACACAAAGTATCGAGACAGAGAGCGGAATCAATTCGAGAGTCAAATTCACACACCGTCACATCAACCTCTTCCACTCTTGTTCTGGCCTTTCCAAAAAAGAAAAATGGCACCGTCCCAGATACAAGTCGCCATCTCTTCTCTCCAACGACTCCTCAACGAAGAAAACTCATACTACAAAGAACAAGAGCAACAGGAAAGCCGAATCGCGAAATTGGAAAAGGACAAGACCGATGCAGATGGAAACCGTGAATTTACCCTGAGGCAGGAGGTAATCCAACCTACAACACTTGACTATTCTCGTCTTCCCTTCCCCCCTCTCCACGACGTCTGTATTCTAACCACCTAGATTTGATGAAACAGCGTCAAGCCTTGGAAGAAACCAAAAAGGTCATCCCGACTCTACGTGAGCGTATCACTAGCGCCAGGGAGAAGTTGGAAAATATGCTCGTAAGGAAAACAATCTCTCCCGTATCCAATCGTTTATTCTTTCCTTTGCCCCTCCCGACCTCTTGACGCGACCCGCGACAGGCACCACCGCATGCTGATATGATAATTCATGTTATCAGGACACAGCGGGGAATGACGAGGAACGTGAAACTGCGGTTCAGGTACTCAAGGCGGCCAAGGAACAGCAAAAGGATGATCCTGTCGCCGGTGTGTCGACATAGGCGCCGTCTCGTGTCGGCCATGGTGGACCCAAAAAAGAGAAGAAGGCCGTCGGTTTACACGGTGCGGACCAAGGTGCCTAAGGATTGAGTATTCCTCACTTGTACACTACGTCTCGACAAAACATGAGAGCCACCAAAAGAACTCGATGAGAAAAATGAAATATGAAGCCTTTATGTTGAGATATCAGAAACCAACCTTTTTATCATCAAGTATAGTTTGAGACGAGACCAGCTCTTTCAATCGTGGACCTTGATTCAACCAAAATATTGAACGATTCGAGAGGGCCTACGTGAACATAGCTCGCTAATGATTCACCAAATGGTGTGGTCGATCTTATACAATGGACTCTCAATGAGAGAGATTTACATGTCCCTTTTAGCTGTAAAATTACGTGGTATCCATATCATCGCCCACCCGTGCTTCACCTGCAACTTCACCTGCTTCGACAGCACCAGCGTCCATTTCGACATCCTCATCCACGGGCTTCGGTGTCCGTCCAGATCCTTCGGGCAAGGTCGTCGGCGTCATGGCATTGCTCCCGCGCAGGTCCATGAGTGGTGTCGAGGCATCACCGGGCCGCGGCGTTCCAGCGTTGGACATGCCGTCTCGTCGACCCACCACACCCAGCATGTTCTCGTCGTCGTCGTCTTCTTCACCACCTTCTCGCTCCCGATCTCCTGCGCCGCCACCTTCTTCGTCCTTCTCGGGCTCTTTCTCGTCCCGTACGATCCTGCGCAACTTCATCCCTTCACCGACGACCTTCTCCAGCTGCTCCCTCCTTTCCACCCACGCCTGCAGGTGGTCTTGGCTCTCGCGCTCCAGTTCCTCGATCTCGGCCTTGAGCTTTTCGACGTTGACGTGCTGCTCGTCGCGCGGCTTCAGCGCCGCGTTCTTCGTGATCTTGTCCGCCAGCACGTCGTAGGTCTTTCGTACGGCCAGGGTCTTTTGCGCTTCGTCCAGCTGCACCCGGAGCGTCGACGTGTTGTCCCTCACCTCCTCCGCCGTCCTCTCGATCTTGGCCTTTTCCGCGACGTACCGCTCTCGTTCCCGTTCGTTGGCGGCTCGGAGGAATTGGATCCGCGCGATGCTGCTGTCGAACGCCGCAAAGTCTAGAATCACATCTTCGCGGAACCGCTGGATGTCCTTGAGGAATTGTTCATGTTGAGCGGCGGTCGTTGTTTGTCCCTCTACATTCTCCGACGGCTCTTTCGATTCCGGCCCTGCACTTTCTCTAGCAAGAAAGGCATGGAGGGGTGTCGTGGGCGCCAGAAGTCGTTTCGTCAGACGCTTGAAAGGTCGTTCTTCGATACCGAGAAGTCTGGATGCGTGGAGTTTATCTGTGTCGCTGTGAGAAATTTGGTCAGGTACAAAAAAATGCTTGTCATAGGTACCTTCTTCAGCTTGGTCGAGGAGAGTAAATGTCGCCATTGTGTTTTGATCGTGTTGCCGGTCGCAATGGTCAGTAACGGAGCATGGAATGTTGAAAAACAAACTTTGGGCGAAATACAATACGAGGGGAGACGGATTTAGTGCTTGGGACGAGGCTGAGGCCGCAGTTATGGGGGTTGGAGTGAAACGAGGCTGGAGGCTGGAGACTGCAGGCAGATCCTCCCTCTATTTCTTGATGACTTGTCGAACCAAAATCCCCCTCGGCTTATTTGACTTCACCTTCAACTCACTCACCCATCACCGAGTACAGCCATGTTTTGGCTTTGTCAAAGTTTTCTTGAATGGACTGGATTCAAGACAATAAGAATTACGAAAACCTATTGTCCTGAAAAGACTTGAATTGACCACCCACCTTCCACACTGCCCGACCTACAACTCATACATCAACCCCATCCCAATTTATAGAATACAGCCTTCTCTCTTCCTCCTCTCAACCTTGCTACGGCCTCTACCACTCTCGATAACCTCTTCCTACTTTCGACAGCCTCTTACTACGTTGACAACCTCGACTACTCTCGACAACCTCTTACTACTGCCACAACATTCACCATGCCTGCAGACAGCCTTGTCGACATGTGCATTCGTGCCTGCATAAAACGGCGTGGAATCCTCCCATCAGTCGGTGATTTGCCATATGATTTGGTACGTCCGATTCTCGCTAAAATCGAGTCTCCGGAACAGTTGGTACGTAGACCTGGCTTCTCCCGCTTTCAGTCCGCCCACCGTACTAATACCAATCCTTAGCATCAAATTGAACAATCGTCGCCACAGATCGCCGGTGAAGATGCTGAATTATGGCTCAACTTCATCAAACGTGACATCCCGGATTGGCATCTCAAACCCCACCAACCCTCGAACCCGAAGAATTGGTACAAGGTGTACCGCAAACTCCAGGCGGACGACGAACGTTCTCGTGCCGAGAAGGAGGAGCGCCTCAAGGCTGCATTCGCCAACATTCAGGACGAGAAAGAACGCAACACCACCGTTATCAAAGCAAGGCAACATCTACCCCTCCAAGCACCTTCGAGGAAGGCTGTGATACACTGGAACTACATAAGCGGCAAGACAGGCAGCAAAGGTGCACACAAGATGACTTTGATGGAGAAGATTCGAAAAGAAACTCGGAACGCAAGAACCTCGAAGATGAAGAGACCCACACACGAGTTGCGGCAGAGGGCGTCCGCCGTCAAGAAAGCACCAATCGCATTTATAGAGGATGTCAAGCGGCAGGCGGCGAAACCTCTTCCTCCAACTCCAACTCCTCCCACAAATACGACACCTACAACAACGATAAGGCCTGTGAGAATGACAGCGCCGCGAACCTCCAGACCACCATTGCACGCACCAAGAGCCAAAGTCCCACCAGTCAACCAGTCCTATGATCTCACGGCAGATAGGGAAGCAAGATTACGTGCATTGAAACTTGGTAACCCTCGCCCTGCTTCGACATCGACCCCAACAGCAGAGCAGAGGGGACAAGGAGGGGCTGGACTGACTCTTGACTTCTTGGAAGATTCTGATGGCGACGATGACCAGCAACCACGGAAGGACATGAAAGTCGGCCACGATGATCGACGTGCGTCTACCAACACAATGGGTGCCAGCACGTTGAAGAGGAAGCAACCACCGACAATGTTCACGTCATCCTCAAAGAGAGTTGCTCAACCAATACGATAATCGAACAACAGTAAGGTTGAGATATGCAAGGCGTTGGTGGATACGAATCACTTTTGACAACACAACATCAGGACACTGAATGAAATATGCAAGGCGTTGGTGGTTTCCAGTACAGGTTTACTTTTGAGCGACTTCACATTGAGATGGAATGGGAAATGATGGGAACTCAACTCCTGGAACATGAGACATTTTACAAAGCAGTACGCACATGGATGCACTGCATAAGTACCTTTTCAGCGAGCACTGAAATACAAATGATAAACAAATTATTGAATACACACAGACACACATGCTTGATAAACTTGGGTTTCCGAGTCTCTTTTTTTTCCCTTTTCGTCCATGTCTCATGCTAATGTTGGGATTCTGTTCATTCATATCATCCCCATCTGCATTTCGGGCGTGAGGGTGATAGTCTACTTTGAGGAGTAACCTGTTGCCCACTCACTTGATGGGGGGGGGGGCATCTACTGTAGAGTAAAGGAAAAGGAAAAAGTCATCATGTGTGTGTCCTTTTGTTGTCTCGTCGAGGGTCTTGTTTGACGTCGGCACATCACACAGAAAGCAAAAAAAGGTTTCAATCCATCATCATCATCCCCTCGACCAATTAATTGACCTTGGTTCATACACACTCCTTGTCCCGTTTCATCACGGTTCTCTCCTTCCCTCCCTCCCTCGCTCTCTGTCTGTCTCGCACACACTCGAATCGATCGATCGATTTACTACTCCCCTTTTCATTGAAACAAACCCCCCCCCTCAAAATCGACATTCGGTTCTTTTCTCGTTCTTGTTTCGGTAGGTTCTTGGGTGTTGCAAGTGTTACCGACCTCCTCTCAACGCGAGGACCAAATGTAATGTGTTTCCACCTTCTAGACCATAATCCTCCGCGGTCTTGTCATCGGCCCTACGGATCAAAACCCGCGCGCGTCAGCTTTTTCCACATTCTTCCCCATTGGATGATGACGATGATGATTGAGGACTTCCGATGGTCATCACCCGAGAGAAGACGGAGGAGGGGGGTTTTTCCCCCCCCCAAATCATTTGTACAAAATACAAGTCTCGGGTCATGACACATACATTTGTTTACCACCATAGATCAATCTTTGTTGAACAGGTGGGATACCTTCCTTCTCTTCGACTCTTTCTTTGATACGTGAGACCTAAAAAAAGGTTTGTCCAATGTCAGTTTTTTTTTCCAATTGTTTTTTCGGATCTTCTTTCTCATCGTAACTCCCCAGAGTCACTTTTGTCCCATCTCTTTCTGTAATGTATACATTCTCGAAGTTTCCCGACATGCTGAAAGTTTCCGGAAAGGTAAAGGTTTCAGGGTTAAAAAGGTTTGGTGGGAGACGGACCTTGTAATCAGGTTCGATGTCGAGTTCGATTTCTTTGCCGGTGAGCGTTCGTACTCTGGATTCAAACCAAGGAGGGGTTTTCCCACGTCAGTTTATGATTTCATGTGAACCCAACCGGTCAAGGTCATGAACCAGTAGTAGTAGAAGTAGACGGGAGAGATCGTAGATGACATACTTGATCAACATGTTGAAAGTCCTGCAGAGGTGAGACGAAGAAACCAACAAAGGCTTGTCGTAACTTTTGGAAAATCGTTTTCCGCGGTTACGGATCGAGGAAAAAGAGGCACAAGGATGGGGGCGGGGACGCGAGAGAGAGAGAAAGAGAGAGAGAGAAAAGGACCCGGAAATATCTCTTTCTTTGGTGGTCAGGATATCGAGAAGGTTGAATTTGGTGAGAGAAATCAAGTTCAAGTACACACAAGTACTGTTGAAGAGCAAGTCGATAATCAAATCGCACTCAAAGGATGTCTCATTTGTAAACTCGCAGCCTGATTCATGATGGGTGGTCAAGGTTCCGCGGGGCACGTCACACTTATTTACTCCGTAATACGTGCTCCGTACACTCCATATTCCGTTACCGCCGTTCGGCATCATTGATTCCAATGATTTACTTTGCCCCCTCAAAGGGCAAGGAGTTCAGCCTCGTTCTTCGAGCTCCTCTACAAAGACTACAAGGCACAAAGGATTCTTATCGATGCTCCAAAAGGTCATCATCAAATTGTGATTGGATTTTACGATTTTCTATTTCAAAAATCATTCACAGCCCTACTCCCGTACACATACGCCATAGTGCTTGCTAGGAACGACAGACGCTCAAAAACGCATCCAACAATTTGCTCTCTCGTCAAATCCTACAAACCAGTAAACGTACTGAATGGGGTATGAAAAAGTAGAAGGATAATATACAACAGATGGAAAAAAAACAACCGCCTTGACGAAAATAAGACGCCTTTCCAGCCTGTATGTACCCAATATAACATACATAGGCTTGCGCCAGAACCCATCTGGACAGCTTTTCAACTTCTTGCAAGATTGTTCCCAAATCAAATTGCTCTTTCCTTGCAGGACAAAAACAAAAACACCAATTTCGGGAAAAGTCGTTCTTTTGCGGACACACATATCAGACTCGTTTCCTGGTAGGAACTGATCGCCCCCCACCAGTGTCCTGTGTTTCCATAGTAGCGCGGCATAAAGAGAAATCAAGCAAGATCCAACTTTTTCCCGCTTCTTTTTCACATGTAAACATTATCACTAAAATGATGGGCGCGAATGCACACTCAGTGAGCTCTGGGGTAGCGCGCAATGGACGGGCTCAATTTTCAGAAACCTCGCCATAAATCTCTGGAGTCAGAACTGCCCCTGGTGGATGAGCTTGCAGCCATCATCTCGCTGTGAAGCAGTGAATCCACTGGGCTGATACTGTCTCGGCCATGATCAAAGCCCCAATAACTCATATCCTTCTTCTTCGATTGCCCACGAAGGAGACTGAAGGAAGGGCGAGTCGATGAGGTAGAGGTCTTACCCTCGATGAAAGCGTCCATTCGCATGGTTGTTGTTTGTTGGTTGTTGTCTAGAAATATTGGTGGGATTGGAGGTCGGCCGGAGGCACTTGCCTCACTCCCTCGGCGGCTGCTCACAATGCTCTGCATGCCGAGGCTGGGAGTATACAAACCACGATCAGAGGAGTAGACGGCTGTTGATCGGATACTTTGTGAATATGTGGAGCCTGGACCTGGCAGGCTAGGAGTTGCCTCTTTGGCGGAGAAGCTTCTGAATGAACTTGGAGGTGCTCGTGGTGCCGTGTTGCTACGTTTTCGTGAATGACGTGGAATAACAGGAGGCAGAGCAGGGTCTTGTGTTGGGTCATAAAAGTCCCGAGTTGGTGGTCGAGAATCCTGGATGGGCATCGATCCATCAGTCGTGAAGGACCGGGGGCCAGGACCAGCTCGAAGAGGGTTCTTCGCAATGCGAATCGAGTCACGGATTGGTCGTCGTCGAAGAGAACCCGCGAGGGATGGTGTAGGTTGATTCAATGTGTCATTTTCTGGAGGTGGTGGAGGCGGTGGTACTGCGGTCAACTCGTTCACGCTCAGGGGCGAATGCGATAAAAATGACAATGCGGTCAACCACACATAGTGGCGCTCTTGTGAGGTCGCTGTGAACTTGAGGGCTCTCTGAGGAGTCAAAATGAGGATGGACCTGTTGAAATGTTGGCCAGCGATTGCGCCTTTGGGCATAGGGTTGTCGTCTTTGACATCAAGAACAGACTTGATGATCACTGTTCATCGTTAGCTCATGGTACTTGGTATGGTCGTAGAAAAGTACTCACATTTTCGGCCACTCTTACCCATCAAAGCTGTACCGGAGGTTGGCTGCTTGCTGCTCCACATGACTGAGCGTTCATATGGTGCAAGCCATACCCATCTTTTGTGGCGAACACCGTTATTCGTAACACTTTGAGAAATTTCTTCCACGCTCTTGCTACTATCCCAATCGGCCTTGTCCGTCACTCCAAACGATTTGCGCCTTCTAACATACTTATACATCCATTCACCAACCATCGTCTGCGCAATCGAATCAACAACAGACGTCTGATGCATTGACACGGCATCTGAATTGGTCTTTACATGGTGAGTGCTCTGTCGACTGGGCCCAGTAGCAATGGATGGACGCGGTGCGCTGGCCTCCCTCGGGTTGCTGTAAGGTTCTGCTAGGAACGATGCTTGTTCCGTTGTTGGCATTTGAAAGCTGGGCATTTCTGGCACAATCGAGACCCGTGGATCCAGAGGTGGGGAACGACTCCGGGCTCGTCTTGCTTGAGAATGAGGCGATATGGCAGGACCAGACCGAGCTTTTCTCAACGTGGGTCTGGTATATTTGTGCTTTGGTCTTTTGGTCGGAGATGCATTGCTGCTCGCAGGCGAGCTTCGACCACCTTCGCTGATCGATTTACCAATTCTTGCAGAGCTGTACCTCAAAGGTACTGGGAAAGGAGGATTGCTGTCGACGGAAGCCGTGGTAGATTGTGAATGTGAACTACGGTGAGCGGCGGCTCCACTCGATATCAAAGCAGTCCTTCTCATGTTGCTAGACCGAGCCGACGGTACCCGTTTGAGCTTTGAGCCCACGTTTTGCTTCTGAGAACGTTTTTGAGGGCTAGTCCTGCCCTTTGAGAAAGCCATCCTCATTTCAGGAGGTAGACCATCCTCTGAAAGGCGAAGCTTTTCCAGAGCGGCAGCTTCACCGGCGCTGACTGCAACACTTTCGCCAATGTCCTCGAGAAGTGGATCTTGAGACACCATTTTACCTGATTTGAGGACAAATTTTGCGGTCGGGCGATTGAAGATGTCGTCCTCGAGAAAAGTGTCTTCATCGAATAAATCACCCTCGTTCTCTACATCATCGTCAAATCCTGCAAAGAGGCTGCTCGATCGGACAGGTCTGGGCATGTTAGAGGCAAAATCCCTGGAGAGCGGTCCGTTGTCATTCGGAGGTGGCATTGGTGCTCGGGAGGGTCCCGCCGCCATGCTACGTCGAGAGGCAAACATGGATGTAGCAGGAGAGATTCTTGTCCGAGAAATAGGTGGTGGCATTGCCATGGAGGACACGGGCGGTCTGAAGTGGTTCGACAATGGAGCAGGAGGCATCTCAGATGGGGGTACAATTGCCCGTTTGTCAACCCGGATTGGCTCGGTCTGCATTGATGCCGATTGATAGCCACCTAGAGATTCTGAGTTCACCTGAGTACCGGCGTTCTTAGTACGCGGCGGCAACATGACACTGTTCTCGGGCGTGGTAGGTCTTGAACCGGGTGGGATGATGGCAATCAAAGGCACCTTGAGATCCACAGTTTCCTCACTTTCAGTATGCTTGTGGCTCGTGCTGACCACAGGCACGATGTCTTCAGTTTGGGTAGCGATTGTCGCTGTCGGGGCTCGCTCCAGAGAGCTCTCGGGTATGGTAGCGAGGCCATTGTCGTGTTTTTCTGGAGTGAGTGGTGGACTTGGAAGAGCCTCGACCGTTTGGCAGGCGGACGAAACCATAACCGGTTGCTGCTTTTCCCATGAAAGCTCTACACTTTCGGCAGGGCTGACAGGGCTGGGAGATACATTCGACTGCCTCATGGTTCCAACTTCGATGTCTCCTGGTTGGAACATTCTAAATTGTCGATTGTTTGCCGAAACCGGCCAAGGAGAAGGCGGAGGGGAGAATTGTATAGCAGTATCAACATATTTGATGCTCGGCCTGCGTGGCACACCGTCTGGAGATGCAGCACTCGACCGTCGCTTTTCGTCTGGGCTGTCGTTGCGCTCGATTTCCTCGAAGTCTAGCGGCATACCCAATATCTTGCGGGCTTTGAGGGACAGACTTGAAGTGGGCCGAATCTGCTCTTCAGGAAGCGCATCGGGAGAGATACGTCCATCTTCATCGTTCTCGGGAATGTTAGCCATATCCTCTTCCAATTCATCAAAAGCAAGCTCGTCTGCCAGGTTGACCGTGACACCATTGTGGAAGCTCAAAACGGACACGCGGCCACCATGCGTGTCGCTGTTGATCGACGTCGCACTTTGTCTGCGTCCTCTTCGTGCAAGAATAGAGCCCTTGCTCGGGCTCTCCATGATACTGTTCCGGCTGTGACACGTACGCTCAGTCGGAGACACTGGGGGAGGTTGATGGTGTTGAGCATTAGCGAGCTCACTCAGTACGACCTTGAGACGTCCCTCGGCAATGTGAACCTTGGTCTCTAGCCCGCGCTTTTCACCAAGCCATGATTCTTTGTCTTTGTCCCATAGAGCTTGTGTCTTTTCTGCGGTTTCTTCCTGCGTCTTTGCCTTTTTCTGGCTCTGCTCAAGCCTTTTGCGCAGTTCTGACACATCGTTCAGTGCATCGTCTCGTTCTTTGGCTAATTCGTTGAGCGCTGAGAGTGTACCTCCTTCCAGAAGTTGCATCTGCCGCTTGACTGACCTCGTCTCCTTGTTGGCTTGTAACAGATTGTTATTGAGGACTTCATTCTGGGACTGGGAGGTATGGAGGCTGATCTCCAGCCTTTCGATGTCATTGGTTCGACTCTCCAGGTCTCTGCGTAGCGACAAGATCTCGGACACCAAGGATGCATGGAGGGTAGGTGTGAATCTTCTGGGATCGAGAGGAGAGATGTTTTCATCGAGGGCAGGATTGATGGAATCATTGCTTCGCCTCTTGCTGGCTCGCTCATCGGGCATGGGCGGAGGGGTGGAAGAGGGTGACATATCGTCGTATCGCCGCGATCGGGTCGATTGTGAACTTGACGGTGTGCGGTACGGTGTATCCGTGGGCGAAGGCAGTGAGTAACTGAACTCAGGCTCCATGCTTCGAAAATGCCACGAGAGGCTCGGTTCAGATGGCAGCCGTGTCCAGCATACTCACGTCGGAAAGTCAGGAATGCCGACACCTAGATGGCGGCGGCGGACTGGCTGGGTATCTAGACAAAGCGTGAAGACATCCTGGTGAAGCAGGACCGATGGGGCGCAGGCAACTTCGACTCGAATGCTTGCCAGTGTTCGCAATGCCAACAACACCTCAATCACCCAACTGCTGTTTATTCCAGATTGCGAGACACAAGACAGAAATCATCAAGATTCATGTCATGCGTACGGTAGTCGCGTCAGACAGGCATTAACGGGGAGGACGACAAGATAGACAGGAGAAGCTGGTTAACGCTGGCTCCCTGATCCACGTCTAGCCTGGAAAAGTACCGTTCAGATAGCAGTCAGCAACAGTTTGAAGGGACCTTCGTCTATTCGGACGAGCAAGACCTTGAACCTCAACCACTCTTTCGAAGTGGTCTGTCTGCAGCGCGTCTCAGTGCGGATCTCTGGGGCTGGTCAAAGAGGCCGAGAGCAGCCGAGTGATTGGACGATAGGGTGTGCATAGCGGGAAAGCCATGATTGTTCAGGGGCAGCGTTGGAAGCAGACGAGCAAGGATTCGTGGACCAGGGCATGAACGATAGTATACAAAGTGGAGTTGGATGGAAGTGAGGGAGCGAACGGCCCAGCGACTGGCGTGCATTTCAGGGCGACCAGACTACAGGAAGCGAAGGGCGGTGCCGACCAGCGCATCCCACAGATCCGGGATTGTTAGCCAGGTGCGGCAGAACCTGGAAGCCAAAGCGTAGCCCTTGAGCCCAGATTGCTGGTAACAAAGGCGCTCAAATGATTTACATACAACGTGCGGAATAGTGGTTGGGCGATGCGAGAATCGGTGTTTGACAAGCCATAAGCTTGCACGCCAAAGAAGGCGATCATAATAATTTGGTTGTGACTCGTAGGGGAATTTTTTTTTGAAAAAGAGGGCCACGACAACTTTAGCTACGGGCCGCAACCACTCGGGGCAGTTGCCAGAGACTAGTGAGGCTACTCCAGTACAGGCACTAGAGCGCCCCCCCCCAAAGGTCCCCGTCGTTAGGCACAAGCGTGTTTCAGTGCCTCCACCATCGGAGGATTTGTGTGGCACAATCCTTTCTCTTTGGGGTCATTGGAGGGGTCGATCAAAAGGGTCGTCTTCGTGTCAAATTTCCAGGCGTCTTTTTATTTCCACCAGACTCTGGCGGAGTTCGGATACGCCGAATAGAGAGCAGCTACGAGTACGAGGTTATTGTACAAGGTACGTGCAATACGGAGGGGAGATATGATGGAGAACTTAATGTACAGTATGACTGACTGCACGTTTATAACAATCACAACCCTTGCATGAGCACCAATCCCAGCTGCATAGCTGTACGTACAAAAAGACAGGCCATGCCGTTACTGCATGAGCTCCCTCGAGGTTACGCATCATCAGTTGTAACACACAGTTCAACTGACTCTCGGCTGGACATCAGTCGTCCCGATGTGACAATTTCAATCACGGCCGGGACCAGCATTTTGCCTTTTCCAGCGGCTTGAAGCATGAACCGTTCCCACTCGATGTTGGTAATCCCTGTACAGTACGGAGTACCTGTAGAGCTATCGTGTCTGGCCTCACTTTCGCTTGGAAGACGGATGGTCTGTGATGCAAAGCCCAAGGCAACAGTCCCGACTCTGATCATCGAGCTACAGTACGGAGTGCATATTCCCTTCGCTTATACGAGTACTCCGTACTGAGTGTGTTAATTCAATAATAGGCATCAATCACCAACTAGTCTATTTCCTCCTACGTTCTCGCGAAGGCTCGTTATTTATACGAGTAGAGGCTGCCGTCGCTCGTTTCTGTTGCGCGACCAGCCCTCGGGTAGCGAAGAAAGCTGTCAAGCGATGAATATGCCGCTCGGTCTCTCTGATATTTCATCAACTCCGACTGTTGAATGATTACCTACGGAGCAAGTACTGTACAGTAAGTGCTCCGTGGGTAGCTAATAAAACCGAGAGAGTATAGCATCTTTACGTATCTTGGGCTGCTTTAGAAGGTCAAATTCACGCCAATAATTTCTTTTGCACTTTAGTTCTGTCTCATCAGTCCGTATATCATCCTGGGATTGGTACACGAAAAGCCACACAACAGCCATCACGCTCTTGTCCTGCACGTGTCATCTGTTCCATCACAGTCACTATCTTGCGGTTCGGACGAATGACTCTGTGCGTTTTCTCTGGCACGCCATCCCTTGTGTGAATTGACGAGGTCTGTTCGCTTCACGACATGCTCAAAGTTGATGATCCTCCAATCTCCTGTCGCATTGCAACTCTTTTTGTTAGTATTATGCGGAGAGAGGCCGCTCGGATCGAATTCCTCGAACGAGGTGTCTGTACGAGATGGATAGTTGTCTCGCTCTTATTTCAGTGCCCGAGGTGTTGCTCGCCTCCATCTGCATTTGCGGATTGATGGTGTCTGTACAGGAATGTCGGTGTCCTTCGATAGGGGATATCCTCAACCACGGATATGATAAGGACCAACCCTCATGTTCCTGAACGTCGATCAAACCGGGGACAGGACTAGGTGATCATGGGTTCCTGGCGTGCCATGGGTTTCATGCTCTAAAACCGTCATAGAGCCCATGCTCACGTTATTGACACCTGTGTGGGCAGCGACAGGTGCGGCCGGGTTCAGGCACTGGCCGAACTGGGGACGGCGCATCCACCGATTCTCTGGGCTTCCTCACCACGCCGGGGACTTCCCAGTTTGCTGGTAACAGTACGGAGCAGATACAGTGGCACTGGTCTGGGTTCACCCTGTCTCGACCACGCCCTCCCCCCTCCTCTGGGGCTTTTGGGCATTTCGTCTTTTGACTTTTCCGTCTCCAACTTTGCAACTCCAAATTTCCACACGACATTCTGACATTCCGTCATCGTGCCTGACGATGATCAAATAGCATCATGATTGATATTATTCGCCCGGTGTCGGAGCGATGCGGGCACACCTATGAGTCCGAGTTATCGTATTCGGTAGTTGCTTCATCGACCAGGAGTCATTCCTCTCCTCGTACTCGTACTACGTGCAATCTCAGTAGCAGACTCATGACCAAAAGTTGACCGTACGAAGTTATTCTGTTCCCCTTTATTGTTCCTTGATGTCGCTGTCTCAACCGCCCAAAGCCCTGTTGACCGACGTGTTTGGCACCGTCGTCGACTGGCGTAGCACGGTCGAGAAGCACCTCACGCTCTCCGCGTCTGAATCGCTCAACTCCTCCACCAAATCCATCCCCAGTGCTGTCCGCGCAGCCGCCTCGGACGTATCCTGGCCTGCCGTGGCACAGTTGTGGCGCAACTCGTACTATGAGTTCACGCGCACCTACGACCCCAGCGCAAAGGACCGCACGGACTTCAAGACGGTGGACCAACACCACGTCGAGGCGCTGCACAAGATCCTCGTGGACCACGGCCTCGACGGTCTCTGGACCGACGAAGAGGTTCAAAAGATAAGTATGATATGGCACTTTCTAGACCCGTGGCCCGACTCCTCCTCAGGGTTGGCGCGGTTGAACCAGGCCTTCGTCACCGCCACCCTCAGCAACGGCAACACCAGCCTGCTCTCCGATTTGGCCCAGCACGGCTCGTTGCCGTATACTCACATTGTCTCGGCCGAGGACTTCGGCGCTTACAAACCGCATCCAAGTGTCTATCTGGGTGCCGCGAAGAAGCTCGGCGTCGAACCACAAGAGTGCGCTTTGATCGCCGCTCACTTGGGAGATCTCAAGGCAGCCCGCGGGTGCGGCTATCAGACAATATATATCGCCAGGGCCCAAGAAGAGTCGTGGCCCTCCGAGGACACGGCAAAAGCCAAACGAGAAGGTTGGGTTGATATGTGGATTGGCCTGGACGAAGGCAAGGGAGGTTTTCTGGAAATTGCAAAAAGATTCGGGCTCGGTTGATAATACAGGTCAGCTGAATCTCCCTCCTGCCTGGAATTTGCGATCACGAGTCTCCCCCGTGATACGGCTGTTGGCGCGTCGTTGTCTTGAGAAACAATCGAATCATCAAATGTAGGCCACCATGGCTAATGGTAACAGTTACAATTCACTTTTGCCTGTGGCTGGGTCTAGATCATTCGCGAGCTTGAGCAAAGCAATGCCATACTAGATTTCACTTCAACTTTGCTGAGAACCAGGATTCCCCAACGTTCAACACCCATTTACAAGGCTAAATGCATTGTCGGAGCACCCGACTTCTTCACTGCCTTCTTTGCGGCCTTGTACCATTTGGCATTCTCCTCACCGTACGTAGTGCGCCGCTTGATCATTCTGCGTGGATGGAACTCGCCATTCTCATCGAAACCTGTCTCATTGTCGTCATCGCCAGCTCTGGACGCTGACGGTGACCCCACGGTGGTACTCGTCATGGGACTTGCAACGCCATCGGTAGGCGAGTCGACATCTGCGCCAAAAATGGCGCCCATCCCGCGGCCTTCACCCTGAGCTGAGAAGGGGTTGTTGCTGGTCGGGCTGGCACCGACACCATTGCTATCGAGCCTGAGACCGTTGAACTTCTGAGCAGTGCCGTTGATGAGTTCCTTCTCTTCTTCATCGGTCAAAGGCTCGATATCTGGAACTGGTCCGCGCGGGATGATTACAGACCAACCAACATCGCTGCCACCGTGACTTTGGCGGCCCTTAGCTCGCAGGTAACCATACTTATACACCTCGAAGAAGGTGGTCTTCTTGAAAACACCGCCATTCGTTCGATCAGACGTGTCCCAATACAGATTGCGGAGCCACTTCGACAATCGCGGATAATCGTGCCTGATCATCTTGAGGTTGCAATTGAATATGTTATAGTATGCTACGTCGAAGCGTGCCATTGTCGTGTATAGCCTCACGTCAGCTTCAGTGAGGTGCTCGCCAAACAGGTACGGCTGGTGGTTCGGATCTGCAAGATGTGTTTCAAGTCGATCCAATGATTTGAAGAGTGGATAGACATTGGTATCGTACGCCTCTTGAGTTGTTGCGAAGCCGCACTTGTACACACCGTTGTTGACTGTGTTATAGACCCATTCATTCATCTCATCAATCTGTTTGCGAAGGTGTGCCGGATAGAATCCGCCTCCAGGCTTATTGACTTCACGCTGATCTGGCTCGAGGAACTCGTCGAAGCTGTCGTAGAGCATACGAATGATCTCGCTAGACTCATTGTTCACGACTGTGTATGTTTTTTTATCCCATAAGACGGGGACTGTGAAGCGGCCATCGTACTGTGGGTCTGCTTTCAGGTAGAGTTGTTTCAGGCAGGTGAAGCCATACAAAGGGTCGACGGGATCGGAGCCGTTGCGGCCGGTGAAGAGCCAGCCATTTTCGGTCAAGTTGAAGTCGGTCGTGATCAGCTGGATGAAGGGCTCGAGCGATTTGAGAGCGCGGACGAGAATAGTTCGGTGGGCCTGCGAGGACTGTCAGTGACTGCGCTTGTCGAGGATGGAAGTATACAAGAGGTCGAAGTACCCAGGGACAGCCATAGTTGACGTAGAGCGCATATCTATCCTTCTCGGGAGGAAACTTTGAACCGGGTTCTGTAGAGATGAAGTTGCGGAACTGACTCTCTTTGCGGCGGAAATGGCCATCGGCATCGGAGTGGGCATGAGTAGGACGCTGTGTCAAGGTTAGACGCAGCTTTGGTCTCAAGGTGTGGTGCTGGTACCGAGTCTCCCATTGTGAATCTGTGGATGTGACGAGGAAATACCTTCTGTAATCACCTTGTTGAGCGACGATATGGATCAAACTGTGCTTGGAAGTGCTTAGATTATTCGTCCGGTGGAGGAATAGACGAAGTAGCTTGGTCAAGGTACGCAACCCGGTTGATATTATTCGTAGAGCAATCCAACTCGATATGCGTGTAACACAGATCACTAATTGAGGACAAGAGAAGGACGGAAAGAAAGCAAGATGGTTTGAAACTCAGCTCGGGCTGTGTCGACGTTGGTCCATCGGCCTGTCTCAGCTTGCAGATACTCCGTACGGTGCTTACTCGATCCTGGGCTTCAATTCCGCCCCGCAAAGTCCAGAAGTAGACCCCAGCCTGGTAACACGTGAATAACTGGCAGCCGCAGATTCGGACTCCGTATTGTGCTCGATCTGGAAGCTCAACCATTCATGAAGCTGAGAATAGAGGCTGAGGTCCGAGACTGTTTTGGGGGCCGGAGCATCAAGTTGCATGTTTGGTTGGTTGCTGACTTTTGAGAAGCTCAAGAAGCTCAGGAAACTTCCCCATCGAGGGGCCTGACATCGACGTCATCGGATTGAAATCCCGCAAGGACACATGCTGGACGCACGGTACATATGAGTTCACCGTGTTCGGTATTCCGTAGTGCTGGTGACAAAAGGACTCGAACTTATACTGAAGTCGATACTCGAGAAGAGGTGAGTAATCACAACCAATAGTATATTCTATATCTGAGGTACCTGTGTTATATGCTCACCGAATACAAACTCTGCCTAATTGGTAAGCATTGGTTAACACAAGTTTCCCGGTGACCATCTACTATGTGTGTAAATACCTAAGGTACTCTGTAGGTGCCTAGGTGAGTGGCTCATTCAAACGGTATCTTCTCGTCACCGCCTCCCAACTGACTGGTGCTACCTCCGTACATTCGCACTTGGCCAATAGGTCTTTCAATATCGCGCCATAGTGCGCCCAATCATTTTGAGCTTCTCGCTCCGGACTCACAGTTGCCCAGCTCCTCAATTTCCGGGGTTGCTGGAGTATCGACGGAAACGTGCTTGACCACGATACAATGTACGGAGTGCTGTACGGAGATATGCTGCCCAACATTTGACTCACAGGGGCTTCTTCGCCTATTTCTTCACTTACGAGTACTCGTACGAGTTGACCTGCACCGTGCGAGCGGTAACTGCCGACCACTGAAGCCGAATTGACTTCCGCATCAGATGTCACCTCGCACTTTGTACAAGGGTATCTGGAAATATTCTCCATGAGACATCGACCAGCAAATCTCGTTAAAATCGGAGCAGAGGGATGCGCAGAAGAAACATCACACCTTGCTAAACGGCGTGTACAACAATGCTTTCACAGATCATTGTTTCAGTTTACCTGAAGCGGTTACTGCTTTAGCCTTATCGAGTGATCATCCATCGCGTAGATTGATTGAGCATTGCGGCGGTTGCACGATTAGGTCTCTCGGCCAAATCCCTTCAAAGGCAAGAATGGCTGCTTTGACCCTATGCGCGGACCGGTTGAATTGGTGTTAGACTCAGGACAGAAAGACAATGGCACTGTCGAAATGCCCACGCTTAGAGATATGCCATCCCAACACAGATTCAGGTGTAGATGATGAAAAACGTGTTGTAGGTGTGGTGCTCCTGTGTTTGTATTTGTCAAGGGAACCAGCCGTTATCGAGCCACAACACAGATATGCCCATCCGTATCTTATCGTCTATCATTGCTTCAGCCTAGCCTAGGATATCTGCGACTGTTCTCATTGGCATCGGTCGAAGCCTTGCAATGGCCTGGCAGGGCTCCGTTCCTGACGAGAACAGCTCCATGATTGAGAATGCAGAGCACATATTTTGTACGGATAGCACGAGGTAGATTGGCGAAAGGGCAGGCTTTCGTGTGGATCAACCCGTGAGCGATGCTCCCTACTCCGTACACTTTTTCCTTTACTACTTGTAAGAATCACTTCCGCTAGGATTTCGTTTATAATACTCTGTTGTTTCAGTGGGCGAAATCATGTGGCGTCAAGCCGATGCAGGGTACAGTTAATATCGGTTAACAAGGGCTGTGGAGTTCCAGCTGCGCAATCCTACCCTCGTGGTTGGATTTGGTCGATCAGATATGTGTTGAGCAACCTAATGATAAAGGCCTGAAGATGAAGGTTTGGTGAACAAAGCACGAACTACGGCGGAAGTGCTGCTTCGGCTCAGTGGGTAAAGTGATCTACCTTGGTCGATGTGCTTCTCCTACCCATGTCACACGCATGATGGTATTATGAGGTACGTGTGCTCTCACATGCCATGGAGAGAATGTTGGATCTGAAAATTCACACTGTAACCTTTGATAGGGTATCCATAGCAAGGAAAAGAACCTTCATCGTGAAACTCCATAACGCGAAGCCCACTTTAGTCCTCTTCTAGAAGACCATGCTGTGACTGATGAGCAACATGGTCCACAGTGCTACCCGAAGGGGGGGGTCCAACTACTCCGTATACAGTGCGATACGCATACTGTCGGTCGTGGGGGAAAGCGTCGAGGAGAAGTAATAAAGATATTTCAAAGCTCGACTGGTCTGAAGATAATTGCAGTATAACAAAATGCGAAGTTAGTAAAAAACCAGCACAACGGCCCCTCTGTAGGTCGGCGGCTGCAGCGGCGAAAACGATTCGCTGTATGCTGAGAGGTCTAACCGTTTCGAAGACTTCAGGCATGCAAGTTTGTTGACGGGAATCAATGGCCAATCCTATCATCAGAACTGGCATCTATCACCACCTCATCATCGTGCAGAGAGGCAGGACAGGAAGGAGCTGTCGCCTACACCAGTGCTGTGCTAGAAGAGAGACTAGATAACAGACGAAGTTGCGTTAACCAGGACTGGACTGGTTAGCAGGGAATGAAATGGTACCTGGCCACCTTTGTTCACTGCAATACTCCGTACTGAACCCACCTTAGGAGGTTGACCCCATGGCAAACAACGTACCAACCCTGGCCCGGCAATATATCACCTCTGAACCATTCTTACTCGGTCCTAGTTTGCGGTCCACGATGCATGGCTGCTGTCAGACGCAGAAATGATGCAGGGTGCAAGGTGCCATGGCAGATATTCCCGTGTCGTGGCTCTGATCCCCTGGTGATAGAAACCATACTACGAGTAGTAGAAGGTCGCCTCGAAATTTTCACAGATGCTTCTTTGTGTCCTCGCTTTCTCCCCCTTCCTACTCACGAAACAGCTATTATAGAGTCAACCACAATTCCCCGAAGCGACATGGACTCGGAATAACCATCTGGATCCTTGCAGAATAATACCAACACCAACCCCCCAGGCTCCTCCTCCTACTCCTCCTTCTATTGCCCTCCGTACATACTTGTATCGTACTTGTACCTACTACAAATCGACCGCTTTCTTCGGCGCCCCACAGCAGCCACTCGACCTTGCCATTATTGCCATTTGCCTTCTTCAAAATATTCCCTGGCCTCGACGATCTTCGATCAATAAAACACCGACTCTCCCGTCATCTTGACCTTGTATCCTTGCCCAGAATTCGACCCCCAAGAATCCAGACGCTCCTATTCCTCCCTGGTCCTTCTATCAAACACCGCCACTGGTTCCGAGCCGCAGGCCGATCATACTTCATACCCGCAAATCCGCCTATTTCACGAACCAACAGAAGCTCCGATTGCGCGTCTCAAGTTGCTCTGGTCGCCTTGGTCGCCTCTCTGTGTAAGAATTGTCTCTGAGCGTTGATTGACCATCTGGGACTGCCTGAACATTCTGTCCGCATTGCCCCGGTGGACACACGGTCTTCTCCAACGCTGAACTCTTTCCCTGCCGATCGCTTCCCGAAGCACGGATCCTCGCAATTAGCCGCACTTGACAACGAAGGACACAATCGAACATCCGGCTACTGAAACCCTTGTGCCCATAATCTTTCGGGCACTTGAAGAGAGGGAGTTTGGAACACAGGGAGACACGATTTTTGTGATTCTAGTTCTCCTGCTCAAGTAAAGTCAAGGATCCAGAATCTAGTACAGTTCCTCTCCAGAACCCGCGTTCTTTGGAGGTCTAGGCCTCAGCACCCACTCTTTCGCCGATAGATCTCACCTTCGACCTTGATCGACTTATCCGCAACTGCGCCTGATCAGCAAGTCGTATGCACACGGAACTCCTGAAAGTTATTGAACAGGCCTGTAAAACATCTCTCAGTACACAGAATCGCAGATACCGTGGACGCTTTTGAAGTCAACCCCGGAAACCCTAAAAACATGGCGGGGAAAATGACTCTGTATAAGCTGGTGGTGCTTGGAGACGGCGGCGTGGGAAAGACTGCTCTCACCATCCAGGTTGGTTGATCCTGCCCATCTTATGTGTATTGACTCGCCCGCTAATGCTCAGTAGTTATGCCTCAACCACTTCGTCGAGACCTACGATCCTACTATCGAAGATTCATACAGAAAGCAGGTCGTGATAGACCAGCAAGCGTGCATGCTTGAAGTTCTGGACACGGCAGGGCAGGAAGAGTATACTGCCCTCCGCGATCAGTGGATTAGAGACGGCGAAGGATTTATATTGGTGTACAGCATCACTTCAAGAAATTCGTTCAACAGAATACAAAAATTCCACTCGCAAGTACAAAGGGTCAAAGAGTCGGGCCATCCAAACTCGCCTACGGGAGCGAGTTATCTACCGACTCAAATGAATGCACCCACCTACACTGGTCCCGTTCCCATCATGCTGATTGGCAACAAAAGTGATAAACACCACGAACGGGAAGTTTCTTCGCAAGAAGGCCAAGCTCTCGCAAAAGAATTGGGTTGTGACTTTGTGGAAGCCTCTGCTAAAAATTGCATCAATGTTGAAAAGGCTTTTTACGATGTTGTACGACAGTTGAGACGTCAACGACAGTCACCGATGAAGCAGATTGACCGCAAAGGTACCAACTATGGACCTTCTCCTGCGATCCGCAACAACCTTGACGCCGAGCACCCACGAATTTATCGTGAACATGGGAGAAAGCGAGGAGCAAACAAGTGTGTGATATTATGATTACGACTCGACCAGTTTGAACCTATAAAGCACTGGTTTCACGATGACTTATGACCAGGTGATGTTTAGCGATAGCGACATGTTTTACTTTCTAACTCGGTGTTCTGCACCGACTATTTGAGCGATCAACGTTTGCCACGAGAGAATCACGAGCAACACTTATCGACCATGCACAAACAGATGCGACATCCAACACAGCTCGCATTCTCTCCATTTGGAGCCAAGAAATGTCTGCCCCGAGTTTGGAGCGTCGGCTTTTCGTTTGACGCACGTGAACGAGCATTCTCTATGGTGTCAGGAACATGCTTCGCTCTAGGGCAGATTGACGAAGCCGCCGTTCTAACCTTTGTTGTGCCAGCGTACGAAACCGACGTAGTCAGCGAGTGCGAGGCATAACATGAAATTTCAATAAGTTATGCAAGCGACCGTGTTGTCTCGGCAATGATGAGCATAGCATCAATGCAGCAGACGAGCTCAGTATGAGGGCATTGTTAAGAAGCACCCCATGTGGTGTAGGCGAGGTTTTTGGGAGGACGGGATGGCTATGGCTAGTGCTTCAGTCACGCCCCCGAGCAGAAGCTCTACTCGTCCATGGCAAGGCACGCATCGAGCAATTCGCGTATTGAGATTCAATATGGAACTCGGGAGGAGGGTATGGTGGAATCCCGGTTGAACCTGGGGAATATGGAGCTCAAGTTATCTCGTTTTCTGGGAGTGAGCACTGCGAAAAGTACCTAGTCTTCTGGTCGGAGGCTGGGGATGTCGAGGGTCAATTAGCTAGCTATCAAAGCCCAAGCAGGGGCGGGACATTGAAGAAAGATAGCTTCGGTCGTCGGTCCGACTGGAGAAGAAAAGCTGCATACCTAGCCTCTTTTGAGAAATCAACTAGCGGTGTCCCGGATACCATAGGTACACTTACGGAGCGATGCACAGTTTCGCGCGTAAGGTATTTTCCTGAGGTAGGTAGTTTCTAGTGTTGGTCAATTGCACCGAACCACAACCACAATTCCACCGACCAACGGCAAGACTTGGCTCATTACGGAGTAGTACATACAGACATCTACTTGGCTACTTTGTATGTGTAAGGAGGTTAAGATGCCGTGTATCTCATGTGTATATGGGCCGAGGTGCCTTCATCGAGGTTATACGAGTTATCATTGGCGATTACGCAGTAATTGTACGGAGTACGACTGAGGGACACGGGGTGCTTTGAAACTTCCGCCTTACGGAGAGTACCTTTTACTGTACACCACGATTAGTAGGTAGGCTGAGAGAGGTACGGTCCTACCTGGCGCTGATCGACTACTACAATATTCCTTACTGTGACTTATTTACTCCGTAACCAGGGGGTTATAGCGAGCGAATATCAAACCGTGGTCGTAGTCCGTATTTGTGTGTGTGTCTGTGTGTCGTACTCCGTACCGAGGCCTCCGTATGTACTGTTGTTAACCGAAAAACGGTCCGAGTCTCGCGGCACACCTTCAATCCCCTGGTACCTAGAAAATTGTCCAAAACGGTCTTGCTGCTGATTTTGAGCTTGTACAAGTACAGAAGAAGAAAAAAAAAGACACCACACCTGTTTGGAACGGGACGAAAGCGATTGGTTATGTACTTGGTATACACGGAGGAACAAAAGGGGGGGAGGAAGAGGAGGGGAGGTGGTTACAGTACTTTGTTTTTTCTTTCTTGTCTCGTAGCTTGGCTTTTTTTTTGGTCGAGGACAAGCCGAGTCTTGTTGATCGTCGATTTGTCCTTCCGACACCTTTTCAAAACCCCCTTTCGCAAAATGTGACGCGATGCTCGATGGGCGAAGCGAGGGGACCAGGATTGGAATTCACGATATCCAGTATGTATCGTACCGAGTAGTTACCATGCGGTCCGTACTCGTAGACGAGTGTGCTCATCATGAGTACCCCGTATTATGGGAATGCTCCGTACCTTCCCATTCAGCAAGGCCAGCAAGGGCCTTTTTTTGGGCCTTTTGCATATTTCCGTCAATGACACGCGGGGGGCGGGTTGGAAGGGGGAAATAGGGGGGGCTAATAAGTCCATACTCCTTACTCGGATTCAGGTATAGGTAGGTAGGCAAAAGATACGGAGTACTCGGTAGTGAATTCACACTTCGTACATCCGTTACAATAAAGTACGTGATGGCTTTTGCACAAAGTCGCTTACGATGTACTCTGTATCTACCTACCTCACCTGTTCGATACGAGGTACTCCGTACTCAAGTTTGCAAAAGTGGTGCCACCTCGTAATAAACTACCTTATCCAACCATCTTCTACCGGGATACTGTAACTACAAAGTACCCGAGTACCCTGTTACGCGGAGGTACTTGCCTACCTACCTGAACCTACAGAGTATATCGTTCCGTAGTATAATTGCCCCGGGAAAAAAAGGAAACACGAAGAATCCAAATCGAACCCAACCAACGTACACTCCGTACTGTGATTGTAAAACAGACAACCAGGTACTGGAGTACAGTGCGTAGAACTGCAGTCTTCTTTAAGCGATGGTACGGCCCAGTGATACCTACCTACGAATCAATCACATATAGCTTTCCCGAACCATGATTTGATTGGTGACCGAAAGGTTGGTCAGGTACTCGTAGTGAATCTTAGCAATGATACCTTGACCTCACTTAACAAACCATCATGACAGACCATAACTCAAAAGTGATTCCCCCGGAGAACTGGATGATCTGGTCTCCAGACATCCAGTACAACAAGCTAGCACATAGTCCCGGTCAATTAAATCAAAACAACAGTGTGTCGAGGAACAACTGCAACAATTGTATCTATGCATGAACGACTCGTGCCGACCTACTAGGCGTGGTTTGTTAAATCTCTCTCCATTCCCCTTCGCGACTGGCGGTCCATCGTCCCGCAACCGAGATGACCAGAGGCGGAGTGACCAAAAAAGGCCATCCCCGTTTACCCGTAGGCGGTTCGTAGAGAAGGGGGGCCTCTTGACTGAACCGCTGCTTTATTAGAAGCGAAGGTGTAGTGGAAAGGACAGATCATTTTGAGCTTTGAACAAAGTCACGCCCAAGGACTTGGTTTTGTTGTAGTGCCATCACCGTAGAATTCTGATTTGAGCACAGTGAATAGCCCAAGGACTGCAGTGTCCCTGCTAGGACTTCACTCAACACATACTGACTGTCAGGGGCAAGGGATGTTAATTTCAAGGCTGCGAGACCACTTCGGATGGTCTGGCGGATTGTAGTCTTCGCCTGGATGCTTACCCTAGATGGAGGAGTATAGTTTGAGGACACGGCAGATATGCTCCGTGTCCCTGTGTGGAAGGAGCTTTCGTGCAAGAGACAGCCGCCGCATATCTGATTGTGTACATGACTCTTGACGAGGTACATGTCTGGTATTCGGTGTAGACTTGACATGACTGAGCGGTCACGTTGTCAATGAAGAATTTACGCGTTCTCATAGGTCCAGGATCCATGCATCTGTCATACTTGCAGCTCCGTGCCCGATATGGAATTGAACCATCAATCGTACTCGAACCGAGGTGCTGGATTCAAGCCGGTCAAAGTCGTCCATATGATTGAGTGAATATTAGGAAATACAAATGAACGGGAATCGCCGCCCTGCCCGAGCTTCAAAAACATGCCCTAGGGAAGGACCGAGCCGCTCCTGGAAAGGCCGCGAGTGGCTTCATGCAAATTTCTGATGAACGGTGAACGTGTTCCAGACTCGAATGGCCATTCATCGGCAGAGACAGCGTATAGATGACAGGAGACTAGGCGAACAAAGGCACCATCAGAGTTGCACAAGGTTCCTGACCTTCCTTAATCGAATAGACGGCTTGGGGATTAAGTTGATTTTTCATTCCATTTCGTTGGTAGACCACCAGATTTTCGAAGATCGCAACCTCACTTGCTCCCCTTTTGACTTTCGAAGACTGTCCTTGGATTTTTAGACCGATAAAGTCCCGTCCCGAGGCTGGAAAAGTCATACAGCAAGAAGAGCTCGTACAAGCGACCAAAATTGCCACAGCATAGAACCGAAAGTCTAGGAAGAAAACCACAAATTTATTGTGCAAATGCATGCATCAAGTCCCAGATCAAAGAGCGCAATGCACTAACTTATGGATGACCAATTCGCAGGAAGGAGAGTTCGTACAATTCGGCAACCTGAAGGCCGAAGAGTGCTGGCAGAGTGCTGGCTGATCTGAATAAGATAAGTCACATCGGACTGTGAGTCTAGGCTCTTCATGCGGTAGGCGTCGTGCAAAGCCCATTATCCAAGCTAGGAGGAAAGACCTTTTTGGCTTGTCTGAGGTAAGCTTCCCATCGATCAGCACAAAAGTTTTGTCGCTTGTTGTCGCACATCACACCAATTTCTCGGCGAGCAGCTGTTTGTTCAGCGAGACACATAGGCCAAGGTGACGATAGGTCAGAAGGTAATGCGACAAGGGCCTTCCAAATTCTGTTTTTGTCAGGATTCAATCCCGTCTGATTGTTGATGATATCCTGTAGGATTGAATCAAGGTTACGGCCCTTTTCGAGACTGCCCGTTGATAGCGTCCCGAGTTGTAATTGAACAATTGCCTGACAGTGGTCGTTATTTCCGTTCCTTGGGATCATGATCACACCTCTGATCGTCGCCCAGCAACTTTCCTTGCGCTTCTACTGCCTTTCGGTGAGGTGGCGATATCATGTTTCATGTGATTGATCACTGCACGATTGGTTTCTCGTTCAGCTTCCAAAGCTCCAATTCGAGCCTGGAGTTCCGCGATCTTCTGTTCTTTAGCCTGGACTGCTAATCGAGTGATGTCGCGACCTTTGCTGATTCCTTGGGTACGAAGATCGTGTCTATTGAGAAGATCAACCAATTCCTTCTCCACCTCTGAACTCAAAGCTACTTTCGACAATACAGCAAGAACTTCGACTGCCAAGGTAGAAGGCACAGACTCCGGGGCCACAGATTGGAACCGGTCTCGCGCAGGCGTCTCTGTAGGTGAGAGGAGCCCGGTGCCCCCGGATTTATGTGATGTGGATGGCGTCGCGAAGACATCGTCACTCAGCGGCCACGTAGCATCCGCATCATCTTTTTGCTCGACCATTTGATGAAAGGCTCTTTTACCTGGAGAAGTGGTGGAGAGCGTTCTGGCAGCTTTCTTGGGGGTTTCGAAATGTGGTTGCTCCTTTGATATCTGTAGTTCTGCTTCTAACAGCGCTTCATCATTGCTCGAGGACCAGTCGAAGCTCGAGTCGTCTTCCAACTCTTGCTGATAGTACTGTTCATCCTGGCCTCCTTTTTCCAAGCCAAAATTGCTGGCTTTGGTGTCTGGAGTAGGCGGGATGTCAGCCGCTTTCGGTTTTCGAGGAGTCTGGGGCGGTGCAGGTGGTTCTGAACGAGAATTGCTCAACACAGCTGCTTCTTCGCGAACTTTGGCATCATCGGTCCAAAGAAAGAACTTGCAACGCTTATGCTGTGGTTTTTGACAAGTGTAGACTACAGCTACAATTAGAGAGATGCCTTTCCGAGCGTGAGTGTGATATACTTACACCACCTTCCGTGATTCTTTCCGCCATTCTTCACCTGGAATTTGTCTGCGGGGAGGCGTGGTTCACAGTCGCATTGCCAAACACCTCCTAAAAACAGACCCCGTTTGCTCGTGCGCCCATTTCTCGTAGTGTATGAGCTGGCCATGATCGATGACAGTGTCATGCGACAACAGCGCTAACAGTGTCACAGATGACAGCGAGCATTTGGTTTGTTGATGTGAGTGACGCAGGTGGATTGGTGGTGGGGTTGGCAGAGAGACATGTAAATGGCGTAAATGCAGGGCAAGGAACAGCCTAAATTAAGCCTGCTAGGGGAAGCCCGCTAATAAGTGGTCTCAACGCCTAGCAGTTCCTCGCTTTCATTGCCTGTAGAGAAAGAATCCCTGTACACCGTTTCGCGGCAGCCTCAACGCGACACGTTCTTTTCTTTTCCACGCCGCGAAACTATCGAATTGACAACACGGCCCTTTTCCCCTACACCGCCGTCACTCCGCTTCAATCGCATCGACTCCCTCGTTGTCCGGATCTCTCGGTACAGGCCGCTGAGTTCGGGACCGAGCCGGACGATGGTTTGGTTAATTGAAGACGCCGTCTCTTTATAACGTAAAGATCAGTCATGGCGCCCACCGGTGGCGCAGTAGGGGGAGGTGGAGGCCACATCAAAGTCGTTGTGCGAGTGCGACCGTTCAATACAAGAGAAATCGATCGCAATGCAAAATGTATCGTACAGATGCAGGATGCGCAGACTGTCCTGCAGCCTCCCCCCGAAGCCGAAGACAGATTACGAAAGGGAGGAAAGGGAGGATCAGAACACCAGAGAACATTCAAGTTTGACAAGTCTTATTGGTCTTTCAGCAAGGCAGATCCTCATTATGCTGGTCAGGACAACTTGTTCAGCGATCTGGGCGTGCCATTGCTTGACAATGCATTCCAAGGGTACAACAACTGTATCTTTGCCTACGGTCAGACTGGTTCTGGAAAATCGTACAGTATGATGGGTTATGGCGAGGATGCCGGTGTCATACCCCGGATTTGTCGAGAGATGTTTGAGCGCATCAACGGTGTACAGTCTGATCCCAATTTGACTTGTACCGTTGAAGTCTCGTATCTCGAAATCTACAACGAGCGAGTTCGAGATTTGCTGAATCCTGCGACGAAAGGGAACCTTAGAGTCCGAGAACATCCATCGACTGGCCCTTATGTCGAGGACCTGGCCAAACTAGCCGTCCGCTCTTTCAAGGAAATCGAGAATCTGATGGATGAGGGCAACAAAGCTCGAACGGTTGCTGCTACAAACATGAACGAAACCTCAAGTCGCTCACATGCGGTATTTACGCTGACACTGACTCAAAAACGTCATGACGTGGAAACCTCAATGGACACCGAGAAAGTCGCCAAAATCAGTCTGGTAGATTTGGCAGGCTCCGAAAGAGCAACCTCAACAGGCGCCACTGGAGCTCGATTGAAGGAGGGTGCCGAAATCAATCGTTCACTGTCTACCCTCGGTCGAGTTATTGCGGCATTGGCAGATCTTTCTTCGGGGAAAAAGGGTTTAAAAGTCCCCTATCGAGATTCGGTACTTACCTGGCTTCTGAAGGACTCGTTAGGTGGTAACAGTATGACTGCTATGATTGCTGCTATCTCTCCTGCCGATATCAACTTTGAAGAGACATTAAGCACTTTGCGTTACGCAGACTCGGCCAAGAGGATCAAGAATCACGCTGTTATCAACGAGGATCCGAATGCACGTATGATCCGCGAGCTCAAAGAGGAGCTTGCGAAACTCAGAAGTCAACTTGGAGGAGGTGGCATTCCAGGAGCAACAGAAGAAGTATACCCTCCCGATACGCCGCTGGACAAGCAGATGGTATCTATTGTTCAAAGTGATGGATCGGTGAAACGTGTCAGCAAAGCTGAAATCATGGATCAACTAAGCCAAAGTGAAAAGCTGTACGAAGACCTCAATCAAACCTGGGAGGAGAAGTTGCAGAAGACAGAAGAGATTCACAAGGAAAGAGAAGCCGCTCTGGAAGAGTTGGGTATCAGCATAGAAAAAGGCAATGTTGGAATGAGTACTCCGAAAAAGATGCCTCACCTGGTCAATTTGAGCGATGATCCGTTACTGGCAGAGTGCCTCGTTTACAACCTCAAGCCAGGCATTACAACTGTTGGTAATGTCGATTCATCAGAGGCATCAGAGATAAGACTCAATGGATCCAAGATACTGGAGCATCATTGCAAGTTGGAAAATGTCGATAATGTCGTCACAATCATTCCGAACGAAGGTGCCGCTGTCATGGTCAACGGTGTCCGTGTGGACAAGCCAAAACGGCTGAAGAGTGGGAATCGTATCATTTTGGGAGATTTTCATATCTTCAGATTCAACAACCCACTGGAAGCAAAAGCTGAACGTGCTGAGCGGAGTCTTCTAAGACACTCTGTCACGGCAAGCCAGCTCAACTCCCCTACACCGTTTAGACCTTCACATGAAAGATCCTACAGTGCTGCAAACTCCGACTTTGACGGCGATTCGAGTAGAGCCCAATCGCCAGGACTTAGTAACGGAGCTTCGGATTGGTTGTTCGCTCGAAGAGAGGCTGCTGGAGCTCTTCTAGGATCTGATCCGAAGATCATGCAGTTATCAAATGAAGAATTGGACAATCTTTTTGAAAATGTCCAGAGGGCGCGTGAAGAACGCCGCGGCAGGCCGGAGAGCAAACTATATGAGCACGACGAAGATTCTGATGATTTGAGCTCATTCCTTGTTAGAGACAAGTACATGTCCAACGGGACAATGGACAACTTTTCCCTGGACACAGCCTTGACACTTCCAGGAACGCCTTCGCTCCACGGCGGCTCGCAGGAGGAAGGTGATATAACATTAACCCCGAGTCAGTTCGAGTCATCAAAACAAGCTACAACTGAGCCCAGCGCAGATAGCAAGTCTGCTGCAGACGTTCCTCAAGTATCAAAGGAGCCCGAACAAGAGCCTGAGCAAATGCAGAAAGAACTCGAACGAGCAAAGCAAGAATTTCAAGAGGAACTTCGCAAGCAGAAAGAGGCTTTCGAGGCTCAAATCAAGCAGATGGACCTCGAGGTTCGGACAAGAGAGGCTGCCAGAACACCAGCTGGATTTCTTCCACTGGATGCGACGGAGATCGCAGTAGCTCGAAATGTTGTTGAGAAATGGCAACAGAGGAACTATATCCTCATAGCCGAAGCCATCCTTCAGAACGCCGGCCTGCTCAAGGAAGCACAAGTCATGGCTAGGTTGTTGGAGCAAGACTGTAATTTCCAGTTTATCATCTTGGATCTCGGAGAAGATCGCGGTTCCTCCTATGACCTTATCCTGCACGATATATCGGGCGACGACGACGACGCACTCGCTAACGCCCGCAAACCTTGCTTGGCAGTGCGCGTGGTTGATAACCAACTAAGTTGTGTTCAGCTCTGGTCCCTCGAAAAGCTGCGGTTGCGATTAAGCAAAATGCGACAAATGCATCAATACAAGGATCAGCCAGAATACCTGCAGCACTTTAGAATGGACAACCCTTTCCGCGATTCCGACCAAGCCCTGTTTTCTCTCGTGGGAGACGGCACCATTCCTCTCACAGCCGTCTTTGAGACAAGAGTGCAGGATTTCGTCGTTGATGTCTCGTCTCCTTCGACCAGACAAATCATAGGAAAGGTCAGAATGTCGCTAGAACCGTCCTTAGCTGAGTCACCACCTTCCACCATCAAGTTCAACATCATCATGCGTGATCTCGTCGGCTTTTCGGAGCACGAAGGTACACAAGTACACGCGCAAATGACGGTTGTAGGAACTGCTGATGAAAGCGTCGCCACTACCCAGCCAATCCAAGCGTTCGGCGATGGTCCTGTTCGTTTCGAAAGCATTCATAATCTCAGCGTTCGTCGATCCAGCGAGAAGTCTGCGACTCTCAAGATTGCCATTTTTGCACAGGTTACTTCGACTCATCTTGACAAACTAATGAGTTGGGACGAGCTTCGAGAAATGAATGAAATCCCGCCAGATCACCAGGCTGCTCCCCGTCTACCAGAGTCAGAGTACAATGTTGAGGAGCGACACGATGTCTTTGCTAAAGTTCAAATGCTTGAACTCGCCGAGAATGGCCAATACATGCCTGTCGAGGTGCTGCAAACCAGTGCCGATGACAATGGAGCATTTCAGCTGCACCAGGGTTTGCAACGAAGGATCTCGATTACTCTGACACACTGCTTCACTGAGAGCCTGCCCTGGGATGATCTCAATGGTCTTCGGATTGGCGAAGTTCACTTGGTCGATTCTTCTGGTCGCATAGCTGATATCACATCTGTCACGCCAGACATCGCTCTAAAACAAATCCAAGAACCAATGATCAAAGACAATGCCGACGGCACTTCGAACATTACAGTCATCGGACAATGGGATAGTTCTCTGCACAAATCCCTCCTTTTGGATAGAGCGACAAACGAGCACTGCAGGATCCAGGTTGCGCTCCGCTGGAATGTTGTGTCCAGCCGATTGGAGCAACCAATGACATTCTCAATCGATCAACAACTGCAGATATTACCAAGATCATATGTGCGACCTCAGTCAATGTTCAAAACGTTCTGGAATCAGACGAGAATAACACACTCGACTGACGGGCTCTTCTCGATCGTCGTTCGTCCCATCAGTGCACAACGAGCGGCCGATTTATGGCGCCTGGACACTTCCAAAAACTACGTCAAGGGTGAAGAGCTATTGGGGAATTGGAGTGCGCGTGGCATCTCGCTGGTCAAAGACTACCTCGTCGCCCGGCGCAAGCGACGGCAGTTGCAGGACATTGAAACGGCAAGGGCAGCATTTGGGCTGAAGAAACTGAGCATCAACAAGACCCGGTCCCGTGCAGCGTCGCCTTCAAACGTGGATGCGAGAGAAGAAGCTCTGCTACGCAAGTTTGTGGCCATTTGGATGAAACCGAGCGTCGAGATGTCAAATCCGATTTTTGACAACACCGGCCATCCGGCCTCGGCCGAGGGAGGAAGGGGAGGAAGTTCGGCTTCCCTCCAACCTGAAACCGGGAACAATGCCCACCCGACTCGCAAAACCCGGTACCTCGCCACGGTCACCAACAACCCGAAGAACCATGTTTCGTTGAAGTCGGGCTACCTCCTCATGCCTTCGGAAAGCCTCGACCCCAGCCACCCGCAATCGATGCAGTGGAAGCGCCGCTTCGTCGACCTCCGGCCCCCTTACCTCCACGTACACTCGGTGCCGGACGGCGAGGCCATCAACGCGATCAACCTCTTGCACGCCCGAATCGACCACGACCCGGACTTTAAGCGCCTGCTGGGCAGCGGCTCGATATCGTCCGGCGACGCGGACTTCGCAGAACGAGGGCACCGAAGGGCCGGTAGTGCCGACCTCCACGGCCTCGCTCACGTCTTTGCCGTTTACGGTGAACAAAACACATTTCTGTTTGCCGCCCGCAACGAGAGCCAAAAGGACGATTGGATCCTCAAGATTGATCAGAGTTACTTTGGCACCGAAGAGGATGAACAGACTTGATTTTTTTTTGAGAGAGAGAGAGAGGAACAAGACCTTCACTGCCACCTGCCCAGGACGAGATTCGATCAAAGGTCGTGCGGAATAGTGATTCCTCTTCTCGATATAACGGATGTCCCTTTGCCTCCCCCTTCGTTCAAGCATTTTTCTTCTTCTTCCGTTTTGTGTTTTACAACACACATGCACACACCCTCTCATGTCCCCGGGGAGTGCTTTTTTTTTGACATATATGAGCAAGGATCTGCTGCATGCACAATGTACGAGAAGAGAATTATGATGTATACATGTGTGGAAGGCCGAGCAACTGCAGCAGCAGCAGAGGCAGCATGCCTCTTGTGATTTTTCTTCCCTCTTTTCCCTCTCTTTCTTTCACTCTCTCCTTTTAGAGTACTTTGTTTTTTTTTCGTTTTAGATACCCCCCCACTACTTTGCTGTTGCTTTCGAGGTTCGCATCTGGTCAAGGAAGAGAGACTTTGGAGGTTGTCGACATGGCTCATAGTGCCATGCCATGCTGTGCTTTTATAGGTCCACGCTCCCAAAAGACACAATGTCATTATACCTACCCTAGGTGTATAGAAATGTATATTCCGCCTCATCTTGTCCAAACCGATGCCTTCCAAAATCATGATTCATCTTTGAACTCTTCACAGACGGCAAAAACAAAAATGAATCATGCAGCCTATGTTTCAGCATCATCTACAATATCTTGATGAATCAATATTGACATTGACGTTGTCATTATGACTGGCCAGTCCCTTTTGGGAGCCCCCGATTACCGCGAGCTTTTTCCTCGAACCGATCAGATGGCCTCCTATCTACACTAACTTGACAAAACTCCACTGCCTTTGTTGTTTCGAACTCTCAGTACCGAGTGTTGCACTTGCAGATGACCGACCTTTCTCGACCTCAACAAACGAAAAAAGTTATGAAAGTCTTCCAAGAAACTGGTCTGTCCTTTCCCTTCTGCCTGGAGTGGCAAGCAGGGTAAAATAAAACTCCTGAAAATGACATCCTTAGACATGCCCTCTGAGATGCAGAGGTCCCGCCAGTTTCGCCTGTTGAAAAAAAACATCAATGCCTGAACCAATAAAAATTCCTTCTGAAACCAGATCGCAATGTCCTTTTTCCTTCTTTTGACAAACAAAAAGAAAAGAACGATTTTTCGGCCGTCAAAGTTGGATGGTCATAAGCTCATTATTGCGTAATATATGGGTGTGGGTGGTGAGATCGCAAAAGTTTCGACATATTGAAATATTTTCTCTATCGCTGCCATTGAACTGTTTCCTTGTTGTTCACTGGATTTGTCTGCATGGCCAAATTGAAGCCGTTCTACGTTCTATTTGAGAAGCAGGATCGATTGGGTTGAGATGACTGGCCCTTGCAGAATATTGACAGGTTCGGTTCGAATCATCAGCGCCGTAACCAGTCGAATTTTTTTCGAGGATCGGCTCCAGTTTGCTGAGGTTCAACCTGTATACTTCGATCGTAGAGTTCGCTTCGTGGATCTGCCGAATCCTACGCTTATTGTCAGCAACATGAACGACGGTCTCTGAAGATCCTTCATCTCTTACCTCTGATTCCTCTACGATCTTGGTTTCCAATAGCAGCTTGACCGTATCCTCTGTCCGGGAAGTTTTGGGTGCAAAAGAATATGGGTTTTCGAGACTTTTTTGCATTCCAACAATGACTTCTCCCATGATTTCAAACTTTTTCCAGTTTATCTTGTCACCAATGTATGTTTGGTTGGCTGAGGCAGCCATGGTGAGATCTTGCCGTACAAGAGGCAAGAATGGAATGCGCTCATTAAAGGAATTATCCCAAGCCATTCGGTATGCAGCGTGAGAGCGTGACAAGCCCATAAGTATGGTCAGCCTCAAAAATGATTTCAGAGTTTCGGGAGAGACCAATTCCCGAGTTGAATTCAATCGAGCAACTTCGTGACCAGTAATACCTGCGACAATTGCACCCAAGGAGTTGTAGTTGTTCATCTGTCTGACTTTCCAGGCCAGTTCCATGAACTTCTCAAGTGCCTTGGCTCGGTGTTTAGGCTTGTCCCGAAGTAATATCATACCAGAGACAAACAATGCCAAATGGTTAAAGTGCTTCACCATGGCGCTGATATTGTCAACTCCTCGAGATCGTCTCTTCTGTTCTGTTGAAAGTAAAACATGTCTCACAAAGTCACGTGGTCTGATCGAAGAGTACATGGTCCAGTCGATTCGAGTGATCTCCCTGGCTAGCTCCTCTACCGGTGTCTCCATGAATTGGTGCCACTGGAGCTTGCTGAGACGGATATGGGGAATCGACTTCTTGAGATATTCAGCCTGTAACTTGGCATTTTCCAATTGGATGACGTTGGTTGCAGATTGACTAGAGGTATTGTATGGCTTACTCATACTAGAGGATGTTGACGGAGTATTCGAAGGGGGTGGCGAGTCGTTATTGTCATCCTCGCTGTCGGAATCATGGAGAGGTTTTCGATGTGCTTTTGATCCGTCTACATTGAGCAACGGTAAGGAATTTGCTGAGGAGGAGGGCGTCTTCTTTGGCGGGTCGGTGTACGCCCAGTCGACATCATCGTCTGGAACTAGAGTATCCAGATTGTTGCTGATTTCTCTTGCGGCCGGCGCAAATACTTTACTTTTCTCGATGGTTTGCACGAAAGGAATAGCTTTTTCGCGAGCGGGACCCTGGGAAAAATCACCGGGATAGTTTGCAGTCCACTGAGCGAGTACCTGCAAATACCGAAGCATTTCGGCGACCTTCGAAAAGTGAACCATGTTGCTTTTCTCAATGGCCACGAAATGGTCGATAATAGCGACGAGGAGCTGCTTCGGAGTTGCAAATGCACGATACAAGCATAAAAAAGAGGGAACAAATCTCGAATCAGTCTTGTTAGCGGGTAATACCAGCAGCTTTTCCACCAGTTCTTCAAAAGTTGAGCCCTGTTCTTGTTTGCTGTTGTCCTCGGGTTTTGTAACGTTCAATGGTGGTCCCAGTTGCTCGACATCTCCGCGCGGTGACATCTCATTGGTATCTTCGTCCATGTTGAGGAAGGTCCGGTAAGCTTTGCTGTCAACATGATCTGGAGAGGCAGGACGCAGCATCGACTTTACATAATACGACTCTGGTGTTTCAGGAACGGTAGCTGTTGTTGTCTGCTCTGGGGACATCAATTTGTTCGTCCAATCACCAGATGATACAGGTGTATGGGGTTCTTGGGGTCGACGTTGAGGCCTCGATGCTGCCGCAGTGTCTAGTCGGAGTTTGGTCTTTCGCACGGGGGACGTCAGTTCTTCTGCTGAAGACGATTCACTATCTTCATTGGCCGATTCGATCACAGCTGGTCTGATGGACAAATTCAAGAGAAATTCCTTGGATTTCGAGGTTTGCAAACGAGTTTTGGACCGACTTCGACTACGAGGCTTCTTGGGGGACGAATCTCTCAATCTGGCTCGTTGAGTTGACGATTGGCCAGAAACATTTTGCGTCTTGCTGGTTCGTGCAGATGCTAGTACAAAAGTTAGCTATGTAGCGAGCGAGAAGATATGTTGAAGATGGTAAGTGCGGCAGTTGCACCTCTCCTGCATCCAAAGAGCCCCCATCTCCGCAGGAGCAATCGCAAGGAAAGAACATCTGACATCGCGAAGGTATACGGGAAGTGCGACGTGTGATAAGCGTACTCACCACGAGGAGAACCGATAACTCGGTTCAACATGTTAAGGAAACAAAGTTTGATACTTTGAGGTGTCTTTAGGGACACTTCGGCAATAGCAACGCTAGCAAGATTGCGCTTGACTTGCTCGAGGAAAACAGGGTTGATCTGGCGCGATTCCTGCTTTGTATCACTCTTAGAAGCCACAAGCATGCATGGCAGCCCGGTCTTTGTCATGGAAGCTTATCAACTCGTCAGCTCATCAAGTAAATCGCAGACATGCAAGTAGGGCACGCACTTAGAGCTGTAGGAACATCGGCAACGCTCTCCTTATCAGACACACTGTAAAGACAAAAGACACCGTCGATATCTGGGAAAGGAGCTCCATTCACGTAGGGGGGCCACTCGATTCTCCTCTCACTACTGAAGTCGGCATCGTCAAGAGAAAGCTCGATGAAGTGAATATGATATGACTGCTCCTTGACCGTCACCTGGGTTGAAGTGCGAGGGCCGTCTTGGTCAATGGCGGTCTTGATGAATGCGCTTTTACCGCACTTTGGAGCACCCAGCACCAGAAAGTTGAAAGACGGTGTTGTCGAGAGACTCGGCTAGAAGAGATCAATGGTTAATATGTGAGTTGTCAATGCGGGGACTAAATCGACAGCGAAAGCGAACACGGTCACGCGCTGGATATACACATACCTGGGATGCAAGATTGGATTGTGATGGATGGTCGCTAGTCGACCGCCGATCCGAGTTTCGAGCGGCACTTCTTTTATCGGGAGAGATCAAAGAATCCTGGCGAGGAGGAGGTTTGGATGTCCGCTGGATGCCATCAGAAATAGACTTGGCCGAAGGAGCATGGCGGGAAGGCTGATCTTTGCGTCGATCAGAAGTAGGAGCAGAGTTGTGTCGGTCGCGTTTCCTTGCGGGAGGCACCGCCGATTTTGCGTCGAGCGAGCGATACCTGGTGGATCTATTGTCCATGATGTTGGACAGGGTCTTCGCAATCAAGCTATCGAGGCATCACTCATGGCGTGGGACTGGCGATGTCTAGCTGGATCACTTTGGGGCAAGACCGTCACAAGGTGGTCGACAACCAAACAGCTGGGTGACTGTGGTGGAGGTTGGTCATGGGTGCCTGGGACATCAAGACGCCAAGTTAATGGGTCTTTGTGCCCGAATGACTCCTTGTGGCCAAGATCGACGAGACAGGGCCAGGTCTCTGTATGAAAGATGACCAGATAGGGAAGACTCCAATGACCGGTCGTGATAGCAACGCTGTTCCTCGCTCCAGAATCGTGGTGAAGCGGAAAGGAGTGGACAGATATGAAACCGGAAGCACAATAGTCAATCGAGACAAGTAGCGTAGGAGGAAGAAAATCTCACGACGGCAAGGATTGGTGGAGCCGAGGGGTGGAGGGGCTGAGTAGCGAGAGCGAAGGGGAGAGAGAGAGAGAAAGGGTCACTCTCGTTCACACAGGCTCGCGTGAATCAGGAGGGGCCTGGTGTGCTCGTCAAGAGCACGAGATGTCAGATAGAACTGCGGAGGATGGTGTGCGAGTCCTGTCGGAGAGGGAGTGAACGAGTAACGATAGTCTGGAGGACGAGCAAGAAAGGAAAAAGATGTGAGGTCGGAGGAGGAGCTTTAGGATTCATTGGGATCGGAATACGAGGAGGACGGCGAGTCTGGGGTTCGTCGAGGTTGGATGTGACGGTGGGTTTGTGCGTGTTTTTCGGCAGGCCGTGTTTGTTCCATGTGAAAAGGCTACTGCACGTCTGATTTTAGTGCTTCAGGTACCATCTTTGGCCTTGGTGGTTGGATGAAGTTGACGAGGAACCATGTACACACCAAGCCAGGCCCATGAACCGTCGGTCTCGCCCATTGGTGACTACCACGTCGCCATCCAGGCGATCCTGTTCCCGCCCGGCGCCACCAACACCGCCAAGTGGATGCAGGCTGCATAATTACCTGTGTTCCCTGCTCTCGACTCCCCTGGCCGCTGGAGGCACGAGTACTAGAGGCCATGCACAAGCAGCAGAGGGGGATGCCATCGAGCAAGCTGCAGGACACTGAGGCTATGTCGTCACATTCACTACTGTATTCTATAGATACCACTCCTCCATATCAGCCGATATGATGCTGGTACGGAGTAGTTTGAGGCAGGGTCGGTAAAACAAAGTCTGGTCACAGAGAGAGTACTCCGTAGTTCCCATCCCAAAGAACTCCATCGGCCTGCTTGGCCTGACCAGGTTTTACTTGCGGAATTTCCGTGTGCTACGGGGCACCCAGAGCCTCTACATAAATAGCTAAGAATCATTCATTACTGGTGCCGAACAAGCATGGAAGGTGGTTACGCACTTTGGGTTTAGGCATCAACTGCCGTATTAGCCCCCCCCCCTCTCCCCCCCGGACGAGTTACGCCTGTACGGAGTACGGGAGTACCTAGTGATGCCCAAGGTACTCCGTAGAACACTCCCTCCCTGGCCCTTGATGGCAGCCAGCCCTGTTCAAGAGCCTCAATTGCTGAGTGGTCTACAGAGTATGTACACCCATTTATCACTGGATACCGAGTGCCTTCATTCATCATGAAGTATCCTGTAGACGGTATTCGTCCTTAGGTAAGAGGGCACTTATCAGAGTATGTCACCATCAACTTATAGGAGAACCTATTCGACGCATTCCACAATACAACCTTCCTCCCCTCCATACCTACTTACCGTATTAGTTCAGCTACTCCGTACACACTTCTATAACCAGCACCACTCGCGTCTAACATCTTCCACTCCTCCGCGAGGCCTGGTGAGCCCTTGGTCGTACCCAAAATCCATGTTCAGGGGCCGAATCCACCAAACCCAAAACTAACATCCCACTTGTTTTGCAATCTCCTCCCTGGTGCCGCCTCACCCTTTATTTTTACTGCACTCCGTACGGAGTACAGTACTTACTCCTTAGCACCAGAGACTTTCGCGCTTCGTTGTTTCGATCGCGTGCCGGTTTGGCCGCGGCTCAGAATTCTCCGAGCCGCCCATAGTCGCTACCATGGCCATGGTCCAGGTCAAGACGGCGTGGTCTATTAGTCGCTTGTCAAATAACTTTAAGAATCCTCAATTTGTTAGCGAACCATTCTCCCTCGGACTGTCAGGCGATGCTCCTTGGACTCCAGAAAGGAGGCAATGTCATGTGAAGACGATGGTCCCTGACGCGCTGACTTCTGTGCGCGACAGGACCTGGACGGCGGTCTACTGTAAGAACGAAGTTCGCAGCGAGACTTTCTGTTGGAACCATTTATTTCTTCCAGTGTTGTGACGCACGCCACAGCCAGAGTGCAATAATGAGGTCTCAAGCCACCCGTCTTGTCTCTGCACAAGTGCAAAGTAAGTGATGGATCAGTTTCTCGGACTGATGAGGGCCTTCAGCTACGCCACGTTGAACCCTTCAAATTTCCTCTGAGTCGATTTGAAGGAGAAGGATGTGATTTTTGTACTTGACAAGAATGTAGTAGATAATAGCAGCAGACACAAATCCCTCGTTCCTTTTATTACTAGCATAACTCTCATCAAATCATCCAGCACATGACGATCGAATTGCAAAGCTTGCTGCTGCAGCACTGACCTTGACAGCGCGCGTGTACAGTACACGCGATTTCTCATCGCACGTCCGCGCTGTGTGCGGCCAGGAATGCTGCAAAGAATCATCTCCGCGCTGTCACTTGGGCTGTCAGCCCGTGCACCACCATCGTCTCACTTAACTTTATCAAAGACCACTGGTCACCTTAATAAGAAGGGTTGTCTCTGGCCTGGTTGAGATACTTCGGTCTTCGAGAAACTCGCACACACTCTCGTTGGAGGTTGACAGTACATGTAAGAGACCGGGACAATTGGTAAAATGGCACCGAGAGACGAAACCGTCCCTGAGAGGTCGTTGATCTCGTCATGTTATGGACACGACGACTTGGATCTTAACGCGTTGTTTCGGCGACTGGATAGGCATGCTGCTGAGGTGGAAGCTATCGAGGCAGGTCTGAAGCAGATGAATCCTTTCCCGCCGGACTCTGTCACAGAGGGAGCCCACCAGCGGTTTTCATTCGAAGAAAACGAAAGTCTCACATCTGCTGAGATGGCACCCGGTCAGGAAGGTGAAGGAACTCGCAAAAGATCTTACTCGACTAACGAAAGGTTACCGTGTCTATCGAGCGGCGACGTGGCAGAACATGTAAATGGAGCAGTGCTCGTGGGCGATCAAAAGGGGCATCCTATTGAGCTGAATCACACCTCGCAGACTCACCACAGTGTTTATCTCAAACCATCAAGATGCAAGGCGTGTGGAAAACGCAAAGCACCAAGTCCTTTCGAGGCTCCGCTGGATCAACCGAGTAATCTGCCACACTGCTACGAACCACAGTTGCCTACATCGGACTGGTCAATGCAGCGTCATTTTGTTCTTCCAAAGCGACCACCCACGCCACGTGTCCATGATACAAGAAGATCGACGAGATTTGCGGAAGTAGATGGAGGATGTGGCAATAATGGACAAGCAAATCACGAAGAAGACTATTTCACAGATAGTGAACCCGACGAGCCAAATTCCCCGACCAGCAACGCAACGGACTATGACATGATAGCGTCCTGGCCGTTCCCACCAGAGAGTCCCACTAGCTTCACTACTGTACAACTACTACCAAGCCGCAGCAGCAGCCTGTCACCGAAGACCGTCAAAGTGCACCCAGGAAACCATGCAGAAAGGCCACCGAAACGCAAAGAACGTTTGACCGTGAATTGCACCGAACCGCTGCCTGAGAACCGCGAAAGATCCTCACTGGTATCGCCTCTCTCGCACACCGGATCCCTCGCAACTGCCGCAACACTGAGCCCTCCACCCACGCCCATCCTGGTGTGTTCACCGTATGAAGATCAGCTGCGGAGGGAGCTGGAAATCCAAGTGCTTCAAGAAGGCCCTGAAGCCCTTGAATTGAAATACAAGCCCCGCGGGCCGCTCACGCTGAACGTTGTGGATGATGATGACGACGACGACGATGATGGCGAGCGTGAAGGAGAGGTTGGTCACCAAAACCAAGATAAGACAGCTCTGTCGACATTGCTGCTGCTGAAAGACAACGGACGACCCCAGTTAAAACGAAGGGAAACCATCTTGGGTATCTTTCGGAAAAGATCGCCCGTGGAGAGGTTTATCGATATGTACTTAGACGACGATGATGCCGCGGAGAACAAAGTTCCCAGAAGGACACGATCTATGAGACCCTGGAGAAGGTCACCCGGTCATCTGAAAGCACCAGATGTCCCTCCGATCCCTACTATGCCACGAATTGAGCAGCCATCAGGATGAACCACGACGATGAATCATGTCTTTCTAGTTTGTTTCGAATTGATATCCGCCACCAAGTCGGCGAAGGCTTTTAGACCGATGCGTTCGGCGTTGTCTGAACTCAGCTCCTTTTCAAGATTTTGCAATGAACGGGCAATACGTTGGGCCGGAGGCTGTCCTGCTTTGGACCTCCCGTGGTGATGATCGTTGGATGAGATCTCGTTATTGCCGTCAGCGGTGGTATCAAAAATGGATCTCAGTTTTTGACGTAGAAGTGGGTATTGCTCGAAAAGCTCTGGCAATCTTGGGTCTTGCAAGAGCTGCTCCCTGGGAGAAGTATTCTCTTTGTCCGTGGATATATTGTCCTGCACTATTGTCATGCTTGGCTTGGGGTCGCTTGCCAATGCAACCTGGCTACATTGATTCTTATGGGTTTTGTAACAAGAAAGAGAACAGCTACAAAGCACTCGTCAATAGAGGAATTCCAAGACAAGAGATCGAGACTCAAACCTAGTGACCCGGCACGAGGGACAGCGATACTTGGAGTCTCTGCTCCCACAGATGGCGCATGGTTGAAGTGACATTGAAACCTATTCTTGAAAGTGTTCTATAGACAATACTGAGGGAAGCAAAGATCGTGTCTAGCGTGATTGTTCCATCCACGGATGTTGTCGAATGCAGCCGATTCTTTACGAGTACCGGAGCAGAGAAATTCAACAGACTTGTTATTGGTGCATTTGATACCGAGTCTTCGGGAGGCTGACAAATGACAAGAGATCTCACGAAGCACGTGACTCGCATTTGCGTCATTTCCTCTTCCCGAATGAAGCAACCCGAAGGAAAGTTGTGGCAGGAATCATCTGCAATTCTCTTCAACACAACAATAGTACTCGTATAATATCTACGTTGACTCTTTTTGAAGACATCAAGATACACTCCTACAGCATTCTGCGAAAATCAACATGCGCGGCATCGTCTCAGCAAAGTCGCTCCGCGCTCTGCGGAGTTCGTGTCGACCGCAGTCTCTCAACACTATTTGTAAGACTGCTGCTTGCCGCAACGTGCACCAGTCTGTTCGGATCCCAGCCATCACGACTTCACAAGCTCGTCACCGCCCGACACTGCGGCTTGGTTATCAACAAGGCCCTTCAGCTGCCCTACCCTCTCGCACAATCTATATACAGACGCAGTCCACTCCTAATCCCTCGGCACTCAAGTTCCTCCCGAACCATCCTGTCCTGCCAGAAACGTTCCCCTCTACGTTCCTGGAGTATACCTCTCCTCGGTCGACACTGGCTGCACCCCATCCCTCACCGCTTGCTGCCAAGCTATTAGATGTGGATGGCGTCTCGTCTGTCTTTTACGGCCCAGATTTCATCACGGTGACCAAGGCGGAAGATGTTAACTGGGCCCATGTCAAGCCGGAGGTCTTTAGCCTCATCACAGAGGCAATCACGTCAGGAGAGGACATTGTTAACACGGTGGACAAATCTACTGCCGCAGACGGCCAGGAAGGCGCAAGCGAAGACTCCCTGGCGGCCAACGATGATGATGACGAGGTGGTGGCAATGATCAAAGAACTACTTGAGACTCGAATCAGACCGGCTATTCAAGAGGACGGTGGTGATATCGAATTTCGCGGATTCGAGGATGGCATGGTGTTGCTCAAACTCCGTGGAGCTTGCCGGACCTGCGATTCTAGTACAGTGACACTGAAGAATGGCATCGAATCAATGTTAATGCATTATATCGAGGAAGTCAAGGGTGTCAATCAGGTATTGGATGAAGAGGAAGAGATCGCAATGAAGGAATTCGCCAAGTTCGAGGAAAAGCTGCGGCAGCAAAAAGGCCCAGATGCGATACCTTCGACAGTGGGCAAAGGCAGCTTGGACTATGCTGAGTGAAGATCCACCGTTCCACTGGCTTGTTGGTCAAGAGAACATGTGGCAACAGTTCTTGGCTCTGTTCCCGCCGAGTGGTGCAGGACATCGGCTGAAGTCTCACTCGACTTACCATGGCGATCACCGTTTCCAGCGCGAAGTACGTCTCCTAATCACGGCTATACAAGGTAGCGGCGGAAAGGCTATTGCAAGATCCCACAGAGTTCCTTCTACAGTTGGCATCGTGCATCGTTCGATATCTGCATACGCGAAAGGGTTGAGCGTAGATTGCGCCAGATCGAAGATTGCTCCAGATTCTTCGATCTGGCGCGATAATGGAGATTCCCAAGAAGAGGCAATGTTCGGACTGCTATAGATGCGGTGTTGGGAGCCAAAATAACGAGCATTTCGAGGTGCAGATCACCGATCACTCACCAGATGCAGGGATAGAAGAATATCGTGGTACTGGTTTCGGTATAGCTTTCGCCCCGAGCAGCGGTCTCGATGGGGTCGGAACGGCTTACGAAGCTTCAAGAAAAAGACAGTCATCGGTCGACCGTAACTGTCAACAGGAATGGTGTAAAGTATAAAGCTACACACGTGCATTGTGTATAACGGAGTACTTGTGCCCATCTTCAACACACTCCGCGGCGTGGCGCGATGTGGTGGCGTTTAGGGAGATGCCACCGTTCGGGAGTATCACACTGACATACGGCGCTGGGTGGTGACACTGACGCTTGGAAAGACATTGTCGTCTCAGTATAAGCGTAGTTCCTGTAGCCAGAAACAATATCCGGTAAACAATTTATGACGTTTCGACACCGAATCCCTCGTACGATACTAGTCATGGCACATGCTTCTTCTACCTTTCAAGCCATCTGGAGCAGCTGATCTGCTTACCATTGACTCCTTATTACCCGAGGGTCTGCAGAGGACACGGCTTGCAGAATTGAGTTTCAATGGCCGCATGGAGTTAATGGTGACCTCCATTTCGCAGTTGGCCGTTGACCTGGTCCTTGTCGCCTTGAGACCTTTTATTGTTCTGTCATTTTCGTTCTCCGCAATTTCAGTTTGCAGTGGTTCGCCCGTACTGTGCTAGCTGTCGCATCCCCAATCATCGCTCACCTGCCGCGTTCACATAACTCGACCGTCGTCCGATCGCCCCAAAGTATCATCGGTCTGGGATTCAGAAAGTATGAATGCTAGACACGGTTCAGCAGAGATTCACTCCGAGGAGGCTGAGATATTGAGTTTTTCTGTTCGGGGATTCCTGGGTATTTACGGAGTAGGTCGCCACGGCGTACTTGGTGTGCATCTCTAGCAGCATATGAGAGCTGATCATGCTCATTCTCATGCTCATACCTACAATGTTGTATGCTCACTCGTGTTCGTAGGAGGGGCAAGTCGTGATGATCTCGCGATCATTCCTGTTTAGAGCCTTCTGGAGGGTGGGCTATGGCTCGGGGCTCTGGGCTCTGGATCTGGGGACTCGGCTACTTAGGTCTCAGCAGGATAACCAGACTTCTTCTGGCGACAGCTGGCCTTCATACCCCCTTCTGTAGTCCTCAAGAGATGACCCCTGGTCCCATGTCCACGAGCTGTGCTTTGGTGTCTACGGAGTACGAGGCGCTGGCTAATGATGAGCCGTTTCCCCAGAAAATCTCTTCAATGGCCGGCAGGGTCAATTGGACTGGTGACCCAATCAATTTCGTTTACTCCACCCCTCCTTCTGTGCATTGCCCCCCCCCATCCCCTCCTTTCCTCTTCCTACTGGTGTTGCCTCGTATTGCTGTTAGCCAGGGAAAGAAATCTGTCCTGTCATAGCGCCATTATTGCGGCCTGGCGTGACCTGCAAGAAGAGGGGTCAGCAGTACTGCCACGGATATTCCAGGCACCCAAAGCCATCTCCAGCAATTCCGCTTGCCCTGCCCTGTTGCGTTGTCTGGTCCATTGTCCACAGTGTCCTGGCCTGCGTTTGCGCCATCTGCACCATGCATCTCCGCTCGACCCCTTCGTTCTGCTGGCGTTTTGCCTCTCGACTTCCCGACTCCCTGCTCCCCTGTTCGCCTCCCACCAATAGTCGAGTGCTTTATCCCATTTACCACCCTGGTGAAGGATCCTCTTCCTCCCAGGTTTGACTTGCAGGATCACCCGAGCACGAACACCTTTTTTGCCTTTCGTTGCTCAGCATCGACCCTGCCCGCCTCATCGATCCTTTTTGCTCCCTTACTGTGTCCTGGTGTCGCAGATTTAGACTCCATAAGCAGCGTCATAACTGTCGCCGTGTCAAGCTACCGCGGAGTGACTTTTCGTTGCTTTTCTCTACTTGCAGACTCGTCCACCAAACCTCGCTTTCTGGATAGGCGGAGTGCCCAAAGCAAATTGCGCCCGGACCACCAACGGCCTGCTCTGGACGTTTGCACTGTTCCGGCCACGGTGCTTAAATTTAGGGGCCCCTCGACACTGCGGGCAGTTGCGTGAGCATCTGACAGGAACCTGTTGAAGAATAAATCCTGGGGAAACCGGCACGCTTACACACATCATAACATTTATTTCTTGCTTGGCCTGGTCTTCGGATACCTCCGCTCATCGACATCTCCAGCCTACTTCTCATCGTACCATCCATCTCTTTCAACCGACTAAACGCAGTCCAACAATTGCGTACTATATCGTTGCGCCAGGCGACTGTTTTGAGCTTCATGCAGAGAGCGGCTGTGTTGTTCTCTAGCTGACAACGTAGTGCTCGAGTGCCACCCATTGTTTCCCATCGGTCTTCATTGGTTGTCTGAGCGCGCCCAAGTCTAATTCTTCTTTCGACCTCTCCTCACTGCCTTCATCAATCCAAACTCCTGGGCAGTCTTCTCATCATTTTTATCACAACGCGCCTTTGCCTAGGCGAAGTATAACAAAGCCGTCCTCAGACTCTGTACGTCACAAGGGCGCCGCGCGCCTTTCGCAACTCGACCCGCGACTAGCTATGCGAATAGTTCCCTTCCAGCTCCTCACGTCAACCTGGTTATTCTGAGGTAAGTAACATTCTTTGCACCTTCTATCCAGTCTATCTATTTGTATCTGGCCGTCTGCTTTGCTTTCGTTGGCACGTCCCAAAATTGAGCGAGGCACGAAGCATGATACGCCAATCCACTCTGGCTCCTACCTAACTTACTGCAACCATACCCCTCCATGATCCGAACTAGAGATTAACTGTTCAGTTGGTCATGTCAGTACTGTACTATATTTGCTAACTCGCTTCTCCATCTGCCAGGGTCGATCAGGTTCACTACGACGTGGACACTAATTCTACTCCATCATCATGAGCAACACTCCTGCCAAATCGAATCTTTCCGCTCGAGGGCCTATGCCGGCTTTTGGTGCTTTCAATCCACACCAAGGTTCTGCATCTCTTCTTCTTGAGAAGTCAAACCCCGGTCTGCGACGTTCCACTCCGGATTCCGAGGCTCTTGCTTCATCCGATGATGAGGTCGACCATGGAAAGTCATCCACCACAAATGTGAAGGCGAACCGGAATGTGCGCCGCACCTCCTGGCTGAACGACGTTACGGTGACCAACCCAAACCGGAAACCATCGACAACCGGCCTCTACAGTCCCTCGACTTCACATCCCGGCACTCCTGGTTCTGAGCAATCGCCCTGGTCTAATGCAAATATGGCCACCCCTAGTGCTGCCTGGCACAACCCAGGAAACAATCCATATGGCTGGAATATATGGGGTCAAGATGCTCGCAAAGACCCGCCAGCTAGACTACAGGAAGTGCTACCTGCGACAAACGGCGATGGCATTCCCTTCTCGATCCCATTGCAACCAACGCCGAAGACCTATCGATCACAGTCGTATTCCGTAGGCCAACTTGACACCACATCGGCACTTCCAGCGGCAGCCCCCGTGTCGACCTCGATCGAAGCGACTCGGAACAGGTTAGGAGGCGCATACCCGTCCCTCCAGCGACGAACCTCCAGACCAAACGGCGTTGGCGGGCTTGACTCCGTTGGACTTGGTCGGCTGAGAGAAGTCGACGATGACGAGGAAGAAGCTCAAGCCAATGGCAGCATGCCGGACCTGCTTGCTACTGAACAGGCACGCGTTATCGAGAGACTGGAGAAAGAAAATGCTCAGCTTCGTCAGGCAGCACAAAGAGAAAGGACGTTTTCTGCAGCATCCGCCACAACTCAACCACCTCCTGGATTCAGGACGCGCTTACGGGGCGCAGTCCCGGAAGAGGAGGAAAATGCCATCGATGACCGCGATGAACTCATATATCCAGGCCGTCAGAACACTGCTAGGCGCATGAGTGAACAGGCCTTGGGCTATGTCGATCGACAAGCCTTTCCTGTTACTGAGAGCCGCAACTCAGATGGCGTAAAAAAGGCGCATTGGCAGACCTCACTGGGATTTGGTCCTATCCCAGAAGCGCCTCAAAGCCGCCGACATTCCTTCGCCGATGTGCCAACAAGGCACGGATCATTCAGCTCGAGTGGTAAGCAATCACCCAAAGAAGACATTTTCATCTTGAAATCTTACATTTGTACAGAACGTGGACATGAAATGAACATGTATGAGACTAGCACACAGGCTTTGTCTCAAGGAGAAGATCGTAAGTCAGCTCAATTCCTTTCCCGGGGAGTTATAGACGTTTGCCACGCTGAGAAGCTCTCATGCTTACGAGGTCCGACTATTGTAGCTGCTTATTTCAACACCGATGAAGCCACCCGCCGCGCTGCCGATGCTCGTGTTCAACAATCCCATCAAAATTACGGCCATCTCAACATGGGACAGTATCTAGAACCTCCCATGCAACCTCTTTACATCGTCAACTTCAAATGTTGTCGCTCGGACGTCTTCTACATACAAGAAGGAACAGGACTGCATGTCAGCGTGGGTGACCTGGTCATCGTGGAGGCCGATCGTGGGACTGACCTAGGCACGGTCCAACATACCAATGTCTCGTGGGAAGATGCTCGACGGTACAAAGAATACTACGCAGAGGAGCACTACAAATGGTTGATGATGTTCTCGCTACAAAGTCGAAATGGAGGCCCCAACGTGGTCAACCCTAACGGTCTCGCAGGACGACCTGGAAGTGCCGTGGGTGGCATGGGCCCTCAGAATCACCATGGCCACGATGGCTCCCACCAGGAGCTCAAACCCAAACTTATCAAACGATTGGCTCAAAACCACGAGATACAGGCATTGAGAGACAAAGAGGGTAACGAAGCCAAAGCTAAACGTGTCTGTCAACAGAAGGTCATCGAGCATCGACTGAACATGGAGATTTTGGATGCTGAATTTCAGATGTCAGTACTACAGTACTCCATACAAGGACCGCTGCTAACGATAAATTATAGGGACAGCAAAAAGCTCACGTTCTACTACTTTGCCGACAGCTATATCAATTTCAACGCGCTTGTAACAGACCTTTTCAAGGTCTACAAGACTCGAATTTGGATGTCGGCAATCAACCCTGCTTCATTTCAAACTCCTACTGCTTCTCTCGGCCTGACACCGGCGTACAACGCTGCACCTGGCGACGAGCGTCATCGGAGGCGCCAGCAGACCGCACCTACACATGAACTTGGCCCACAACCAGTGACAACGCCATTCGGAGACACTTTCGATGCCGACCGCAACTTCAACAATCAGAGTCAGGCAACGCGGAATGCATACTACCCCGGATACCAAGATGCTGGTGCCGCTCATCAACAAGTGCCGCCGAGTATGGGATCCTACCCACCCAACATGGGAGGGCAAATGGATCCTTTCATGTCGTTTTATGGTCCTGCGTACCCAGGTCTCAATCCAAATGCTGCCACTTTCGCCAGCGGGCGAAGTGACTTTAGGGCAAGAGGCCCAGCTCAACCGGATTGGATGGGTAGGTTCCAAGGTCTCTCTCTCGGGTCTTGAGAGGTCCAAGAGGTAAGAGACGACGCTCAGGGCAATATGCTCGACCCTACTGTAAAGCCTCTTTCAACTCTTCACATCGCGCATGCCTGCGGGGGAATGGCAACATGTAGAACTACGTTCATGGTTACGAAATACACCAAAGAGATGATCCAGCATAGATACATTCTTTTAGGGGCATACAAAGACTACAAGATTTACATTCGACGATCTGGGCGACGGTGGATTCACCTGCTGGAGGGATATTTAGTACTACGTTTGACCAAAATTTGAAGCCGAAGGTGTTCAGGTGCTTGGAAAGACAAATTGACGACAACTTTCTAAGTCTGCTGTTTGTGAAATTTCAAGAGTACTATATGGATGCGAGACCGAGCTGCTTACGACATATGACCCAAAAGAAGAGATTGAGAGAATCCTTGAGACTGGCAATAGCGCTAACAAATTTGTGGTCTGTAATTATAATAGTACAGGTGTGCTTATGACTATAACGGCAGCCTATTTGACATTGGTGTACGTTCCCACAGAAAAGGGTAGTCTCTTCTCTTGGATTACTTCTCCTGCTGCGAGCTCGCTGTCCACCGTGACTGCGCCAAAGAGTGTCTGATCCAAACCGACGTAACCTTCAGGTAATCTACGCTCTGGATCCAGCAAGACATTGCCATCCTTGCACATGTTTCCAGTCGCCTAACTTGAACTACAATCGCACGGGTTTCCAGTTCAAGCTGATTTTACACAGCGAGCGACACTCTGCCTCAATCTCGACGTCTGCCCGGTGGTCCAGAGTAGATGACAATGTCAAATGCACAGAAGAATAGAACATCACAGCCTGAAACCGATGGTAGTGTCCTCAATGGCACTGGTGACCTGGCGTAACTATGCTCCTCAGGGCAAGGAAGCTTGAACTAATCATATTCAGGATTGACACGGAGCGCATGGGAAAGATCTGCAAGAAGCTCAAAGAACCGGATCCGTGGCCAAAACGATTCTCCCAAACTGTCAAAGAGCGACATGACAAAATCATCAGGAGGGCGAATGAGATTAAAGAGCAGGAGTTTGTACTCGTCCTGTGGAAGGAAGTCCGCCATGCACTGACCAATCTCAGTCTAGCAAGGAGGGATGAGTTCGAACGCGAATTCTTGCCGCTCATACAGGAAGCGCTGGGAGGGACCGGAGACAACAACGAGGGAGCCAGCCCGGCAGACCTGCCCATCCACGTTGCGTATCTCGGCGCAGAAGGACAACCATATTGTGAAGCTATGGTCACTCTGATGAAGCAGGCGGACGCACTGACATTCACATTCGATCAGCTCTCGGCTCGCGATCCTCCGCCATCACGTCTAGCCGAAATCAACAAATCTTTTGAGCAGGACAAAGTACTCGCCGTAGCAACTGTCGAAGCGGGAAGGCGGGTGGCAGAAACGGCAGTAGACGACCTTCTCGCCGACAGGTTTCAAGAGGTGCGCAAGTCCAGTGGCCTTACTGCAGAAGAGGAGAACAGGGGGAGGCTACTATTGTCGAGAGGAGTCACGACAGACACACCGACATATGAACCATTGGGTTGGGGAAATGTCTCTCGGGATGCCGAAAGGGCATTGAGGAAGCTCTGCTTCGCGGGTGACACGCATGGGAAAGACCATTGATGCTGATGGCACATATTCGGGTCAGCTCTTGCTAGGCAGACTTCTCATATACTCTGCAGACGGAAGAAGATGTATCTGCGTGGCACTCCAGCCGCAATAGACACGAGCAATTGTACGTGAGTAAGATAGATTCAATGAGCGGCGGGTGGATGATAGCAGCCCCCCAGGAGCCATGTCAATTCTGATTGGCCATCAGATCAGCCAGCAACCCACATCGCCGCCAAGTTTTCGCCAAGCCTGCGCACCACTTTGCGATTTTGATTTTGCAGGAATCCGGGTCTCAATCAACGACTCAGTCCATACCACTTTTTTACTTCCTCAACACCAGTCTCTTCGCCAGGCACAAACAGTCAAGGTGCGTGGTAATCAAAGCGTTCTAGACAAGGCGACCCAAGACTAACGTTTCACGAACACAGATGGGTGCCCTCAAATACGTCGAAGAACTTCACAAGAAGAAGCAATCCGATGTCCTTCGATTCCTTCTCCGAGTCCGCTGCTGGGAGGTGAGCTTTGTCCCATGAAGAGGAACAAGATGGAAGAGAGAGGATGCAAAAGAAAAAACACAAGATATTCTCATCTCTCTGGTCCATCGTGTGGCACATTTGACCCTCCTTTTGTGTCTTGCTATACACTCGTTGAACATTTTGCTGAGAGTGCATCAATATAGCTCCGACAATTGAAAGTCATCCACCGCGCTTCCCGACCCTCTCGACCCGACAAGGCTCGTCGCTTGGGTTACAAGGCCAAGCAGGGCTATGTCATCTACCGTGTCCGTGTCCGACGTGGTGGTCGCAAGCGACCAGTGCCAAAGGGCGCCACCTACGGTGAGTAAAATCCTGTCCTTGGCGTGCTCAGACGAGAATCTCTCCTCGGTCGCCCCAGGTCAACGCGAAACGACGAAACAAGAAGAAGAAGAAAGAACTTGAACTGACGGGTTGAATTTGCAATTTCTAGGCAAGCCTACCAACCAGGGTGTGAACCAACTCAAGTACCAACGATCCCTCAAGTCCACCGCCGAGGAGCGCGTCGGACGTCGTTGCGCCAACCTCCGGGTCCTCAACTCGTACTGGATCAACCAAGACTCCACCTACAAATACTTCGAGGTCATCCTGGTCGACCCTCAACACAAGGCCATCCGCAGAGATCCTCGGATCAACTGGATCGTCAACCCAGTTCACAAGGTGAGTCCTGTCTTTGCTCGTCGATCATGATCGAAGGATCCGAATAGGGAAGAGATCGGATATGCTGACAATTTTTTGTTTCCGTCCATAGCACCGCGAAAGCCGTGGCCTCACCGCGACCGGCAAAAAGTCTCGTGGCTTGGGCAAGGGTCATGGATACAGCAAGACCACCGCAGGAAGAAGAAAGACCTGGAAGAGACACAACACCCTGTCGCTCTGGAGATACCGATAAACGTATCGCAAGCACCACCACCACCACCGGCAATAGTCCTGGCGCTTGTTGTGCGTCGGTTCGTGGCTGTGGTCATGTCATGGATGAAACATGGTTGTTCAAAACATCAGAAAAATTCACGAATGCGGTCTTGGCCGTGGCCAGAGGGTTATCTAGCATGTGGACGAGGACAAATCGGCGTCGTGCCGCGAGCATGAGGAGTGAAGAAGGGGAATTACAAACGCCCTTTGGGACATCTCAGCTTGCGATTGCTTTGATGCTGCATCATCATCATCAGCAGCAATCGGTCAGAAGGTCTAAATGATACCAAACCAAAAATTGCAAGCGTTTTCATTGCCCAATGTCATTTCCAAGGTCATGTTGGCTTGCTTTTACCCCACATACGGGAAGTCGTTCTTCCTTCTCTTTTTTTCCCGCTTCCAACTAAGTGATATGAATATCGATTGTGTCGTGCTGTAGATATCCTGCGTACGAGTACACCCGAGGGCAGGCAAAATAACATTCGTCATGAACGTGTTTCGATGTCTTCTTTTTGCACTTTTGTTGAATTGGTTTTGATACTCCGCAACTCCGGGTATATATCCCTATGTACGTATCCACGACGTCTGTGTTGTGTGCTTTCAAGACCCCACGATTGCCTGTATGACTTCCGACGCTGCTTCGTTGTTCTTTTTCGTTCCCACCTTGGCCGCCAGTCCGGAAAGGATGATGAGGTTCAAAAACTGTTCGTCGCAGGCCACGTTGATCTCGAACCCCTTCTCGCCCGACCCCATCATACCCGAGGATGATTTCAGTTTGGCCAGTTTCCTCCCCGACCCGTCGGAAAGTTCCAACGAAGACCCCGTCAACTGGTCCGCCTTCCACTTCAACGTCCCCGCCGGGGGCCACTGGAAACTGAAACTGAGGGAGAGTTGGTTCATCTTCATGGGGATCTTTTGGTTGTGCACTGTCAGCGCGGCCGAGTGGGACACGGACGACGTGGAGGTCGTGCCGATGAGGCCGGCCGGGTTGATGTAACCCCGGTACAGGGACACCTTGTCGCTCGAGATCATGACCGTGTACAAAGGAGGAGCGTCGACGGGGTACCCTCTCGGGTGGATGAGGGTCAAGTTGGGGTCTGCGGGACATGGTCGTAAGACGAAACGTTGGTTGCTGTCGTTGTTGTAATTCACATTGTTCGTCGTCCCCTTTGTCGGTCCCATTCCCATGCCACCCATACCCATGGAGTCGTCCGATAGACTGTCGACCAGCTTTGATACGTAACGACTCATGTTGGATTTTTGTCAAAGGTCGGTGGTCTTTCGTCAACTTTGGTGGACTTTTATAACTCGATATGTACTCAATTCCTCGCTCGCGGGAAAAAATGGATATGATATAAAAAAAGGGGGAAATTCAAGTCGGAAGGTTGAATTGAAGATCGTAAAAAACTTGTTGACTCGATCGATTGTCAGGCGTTCATCAAGAGCCCTTACCTCGGGTGTGTAATGGATATGTATATATATACACAAAGTACGGAGTATATAACCACTTGCAAGGTAAGTCAACCTCGTAGTTTCATTCTTTTAATTTTATCGGTTTAGCAAGGCAGATCCTGCCGTCACCCAAAGATCGCCATGGCCAGTATTCACGGTTTTGCTGCGCCATGGGCTACAGGTCCAATCAAGGCACAAGAAAAGAAAAGCTGAAGCCAGCCAAGATCAACGAACGGAGAAGGGCAATCCCTTGCAGTTAAGTAGAGAGATCTTCGCAAGGCTTTGTACCATTGGACGCCTGGACGCTAAATCGCAAATGGCTCAATGCAGCGCTGTGCACCCTCAGCCTGATGGTCCGTGCATAATGTGGCGCGACCGAGAGCGGCGCAACGTCCCCCGTTCGAGTTTCCCGACGGAATACTTTCTCGTGCTTCGTTGGGCTATATACCGCGCCCATGGTACGTTAACTCCAATCTGATAGAGGTCACCTAGAAGCGGAAGAAAAACAGAGCATGGGTCAAAGATGCCGGGAGTTCCGTCCGGACGAGGCTGCGATGCATGTCGCACGCAAAAGAAAAAAGTATGAAACTCTCTCTAAAAATCAAACAAAACCATACCCACCTTCCTTTGGAAGGGGGGGGGGTGTGTGTGTATGTTTGTATGTGTATGTGTAGATCCCTAACCTGTCAATTGGGTAGTGTGATCTTTCTCAACACCCTTGTCCACGATGCAAGAGGTTGAACATCCCCTGTACAGGCCAGGGTCAGCGACGATTCAAGTTTATGCATAATAACGGGGAAAAATCTTCGTCTTCCCCGCCTTCATCGAGAGAAGGGAGCGTCATATCATCAGCGACAACGAGAGGCGGCACAGATAACAGCCCTCATCAGCATAGTCAACGTCGGCCGCTGCAAGTGTCTCCACACTTCGCGACGATGCCCGTAAGAGTACGTCCGGGATTGAACTGCGAGCAATCTCGACTCGCCATTTCCGTCATAGACAAGATCAAACCCACCGTCGGAATCAGGTACAACCTCGCATGGACGTATGGGGATTACCTCAACGATCTACCCCGCCGGCTCGGTACGAACGTGGCGCTGGACTCTGCGACCGAGGCCTTCTTGCTCGCCGTGAAGCGCTCCATGAACCGTCAGGAAGTGGCTGCTCCGATTGTGCTGGAGAGGTATGGTGTCGCTTTGACCGCGCTCCGGAATTGTCTGGATGATCCGGTCAAGGCTCGGGAGCCGGAAACGCTCGGTGCGATTTTGCTCTTGATGAACTGTCAGGTAAGCACTCATTTCTTTTCGATCCTCGGAGAATCTCGACTAAGCACAACCCACAGCAATACATTTGGTCTCCGGTCAAGCTTGGGCGTGGTCACGTCGAAGGTGCAGCTCAGATCTTGAGGTTGCGGGGTCCCCCGAAACAGGATGATCCTTTTGAGAGGAATCTTCTGCTGTCCCTCAGAGCTGTTGTGGTAAGTTTTTCTGTGCCCGTACCTTTTCCCTATTTCCCCTCCCCAGTGGACAACAACAAACTGTTTATCTTTACCATCAAGCTCACTTCTTTTGTCTTGTGACCTGTCACAGCTCTTCGAATCCATCTTCACCGATCGAGTCGTCTTCACGGACAAGGAATGGATCGACATGTTCGATAGGAAGCTGTACTCTCTCTCACCAGAGGGTCAAACAGTGCAATGTATGACACGATTAGCAAACATGATGAGAAAGGCAAGAACTGTCCTGGAGGACGACAGTGCGTCCCAGTTCGAGCAAGTCGTCATCCAGCATGAGGTCCAGGGTCTTTACCAAGAGATCCAAACTGCCGTCGGCACTTTGCGAGAAAGGTATCAGAAATACAAAGGTGATATGGCGTCCAGCGAATTTGTCTGGAATGACATGTCCGATCTCATACATTGTCATACCATACGGACGTATGCACTGGGACTCGGAATTACCGTCTTCGTCAATGAGTTGCGTATCGCCGTGTGGCCGGATCCTACAGAGATCCTGCAGGAGTCTTGTGCGCTTGCGTCGGAGATTACGAACTTGGCTAGGGAAGGTTGCCGATATAGGCCTCTTGGAAGCAGTGCCTTGGGTATTTGTCTCATCGCCGCCGAAATGGCGGCTGTTGACGACCCGATCCTCAAGGCGGATATACGAGTGTTGAGGCATGATTATGCAATGGACTATCGGGACGTGGAGTTTGAGCAGCTACCCGTCGCCGACGTCGGCACCTTGGTCTGTGGTCGTCAGTATTCTAGAGCTCTGAAGAAGAAGAATGCGGTTGTTGACTCGAGTTCGAGTTCGACTCCTGCTTGAACTTAGAGCTCTGGCGTCAATAGAGGTAGAGCGAGGCGTGTACGGAGCAGACATGATGGGTAAAATTCGTGTACATACGACAAGAATTGATGATGGTTTTGATACCAACTCGCTGCTAAACGGTGTTGTCAAAGTGAATTGAGAAAGAGGAATAGGTCAGGCTGTCGAGTAAATAGGACGAGGCTGAATATTTATTCCTCGAACTCAACGTCCCCCGCATTATTGCCTCAGGTTGTTTTTTTGGGCTGCTTGTCCCCGCAGAAGATTTCTTGGTCCACCAACTTTTTTTTTGGGTACGCCTACTGTACATCAACGAATACAAAATACGAGCCACCAGAGACATATTTGATTACTGCATACCCTTGTGACTCTGGGACAAGAAGTACTCGTGTGTAAGAGAGAGAGAGAGATTCAACCAAGTCCGTCAAGAGGATATCGAACCATGCCGTCCACGACCACCACCGCAGCCTCAGCCACCACCACGCTCAACTTGACGGCGGCGAAATCTTCGAGCGCGGACGTCGAAGATGAAGACATCTACGATGAGATCGAGATTGAAGACATGACTTACGACTCGAACCTCGAAATCTACCATTACCCATGCCCTTGCGGGGATCGCTTCGAGATCGGCATCGCCGACATGCGAGACGGTCAAGACATCGCCGTGTGTCCCAGTTGTAGCCTGATGATACGGGTAATTTTCGACGAGGATGATTTGCCCGCAACAGATGAAAAGAGTTGAGAGAGAGAGAGAGAGCGTATTTATGGAAAGGAAGCGTAATGTCAACGAGGCCCGAGTATGACAAAAATCATTCTTTGTCTGGCCCGGAGAGACAGAGAGACAACACCCCCGCTACCAAAACAACAACAAAACACACTTTTGAATAAGCGCACCGTGATGCAGAAAGTGTTTTACGGCCAGTATTGAGCATCTGTTCGAACGTACTACGGATCACGAGCGCGGGCGATACTGAAATGGAGGAAATATCTGACAGCATTACTTTGGAAAATGGCAAGATCAAGCACTCAACTCGGGCAGCAACGGGGACAACCATGGCCAATTAGATCAAACGTACTTACTCGCTGAACGAGAGTACGGTCATTCGAGGAAGCGAATGTATGCGACAAACGCACATCCCCACGAATGTGAAAAAAGACGTACGCACACTGCGCGGAGAAAGGACGAGAAAGTGGTAAACCTTGGAGAAGATCATCAAGTCATTTCCATCAAGAGGAGTGAGCATGGCCAACGACCACACCTATCGTCTCTTTTGTCCGGGGATGTCCATCTCAACATTTATTCATTCTTCACAGAGATTTGTGGTGAATAAAGTCCTCGCCTACACAAGTCTTTGAGCGAAGGACCGACCATCTCTTCCCTCATAAAGTATCGAGTCAATCCGCTACACCTGAGTGCCTTTGAGCGAGTCAACAGACGAGCTGATGGACCTGTGCCCATTTTTGGGGACATCTACATACTTGCTTTTGTTCCGTACATGGCTAGTTTGACATACCTACCTTGAGCACCCAAGTAATAAAATGGTGGTCTCCAATCACATCACTTCCAAGCCTTTGATATATCCTTACAAGTCTACACTTACAAAAGTGGACTGTTCAAATCATGATCCAAATATCTTCTCACCTACCGGTTTATACTCCATCCCCCAACCTTCCAATTCGGACTTTTCGGCACCCATTTTACAAATCCGTATCCTGTCAACCACAATGTCTCGTGCCCATATATAACTTGAATCTGGTGTTGTTATCGTCGAGGCCGATGGGTTTCTCTCTCGCACCGCAGCTCTATCCTCGACCGCTTTCCCATCATTAAAATATCTCAGTATATCCCTGGCGTCGACCGTCACTCCACCACCACCACCACCACCACCACCTGTGCCTCTCCCCTTTGACCTTGTCGCTTTGACGTAGATCAAATTCGCCACCGTGGCATGTAGTACCAAAGGTCTCGTCTCCGTGACGAGTCCCGCGTCCCGGAACCTCCGACGCACGAGGTCCCCAAACGGCAACAGTCGCCCCGTGTCTTCGTCGGCGTGGGCGAAGAAGACGCGGCTGCTACTCGCGCGTGGGAAAGTGCCGAGGCCGTGGAGGGTGACGGTCAGAGTCGTCGGGCCCGGTTGTTGTTGACTCTTTGTCGCTTTTGGATCTGAAGACGTCTGAGCAGCGATGTCATCCTTGTCCAACTTCTTTGACGTAGGCGGTGGTGATATCGCTCTAGACAGGGACTCCAAAGGTTTTACAAGAATGGTTCTTGTCATTTTGATAGGACTTCCTCCATCTCTCCGTTCCTCGTCCACATGATGATCATCATTCCTCCCCTCGTCGTCGGTTCCTGGCTCAGGTGAATGTTCCGCAGAGCCCTCGGCATTCAGACTTCTCGGACTCGTCGTCGTCCTCACACCGCGATTGTCCCCACCGACCGACTTCCCCGCTTCTGCCAACAATGCCTGATAATCAATGCCCTCTAGCAACTTCAGAGCCCTCTCCAGGTCCTTTGGGTTACTCAAATCCATCGCTCCCAAAGTGAGATGAAAAGTTCCGGGAGGACGATGTGCGGCGGGAGGAATAAGACGGAGTGTATCGTCTCGTCTCCCGTTTCCACTTCCACTAATCTCAGTCTCGATGTCGGTACCATGTTGTTGAGCCCGTGACTGGGTTCCGGAGTTGGACTCGGGCTCTGTAGTCGTGGCTTTTCTTCTCGCACCACCTCCGTCGATAGTCGGTGTTGTGGTGGTGGTGGTGGTGGTGGTGGTCACCGATCGGAAATAAGCCAGAGATTCGGACAACTGTGGGATCGAAGTCTCCGTGGCTAGAGGCAGACAGACAAAGTGTGTCGGCCTCTTGTTGTTGTTGTTGGATCTCGGCTTCGTCGTCCAGGGCCTACTTTTTCCCTTGGCGAAGGCATCGTTTTGCCTCGAGCCAGCGTCGTGCGTCCGTGATTGCGAACCATCCTCTGATGCCGCCATGACGGATGATCGATGCAAAGGTCGGGGTGGTCTTTTGGCAAAGGGCGGCTCTGCGGCGGTTGCAGCAGCAGCAGCAGCACCAGACCAAGTAGATGTAGCTGTTCGTACTCGTACGTCTTGGGCGGCGTTTCCGATGATGCTTTTATAGCCCTTGCGCAAGGTGGTCGCCCCTCGCCCAATCAACATTGAACTTCGACAACCAACAATAGTGGTCCCCGTATTAATGATGGTGGAACTCGAAACATCAAAATCGTTCGAACGAGTGCATTGGGCACCAGGAATGGTCGGCAAAACTCACATTACGTGAATTGAGTCATTGCCGAGTCATCTTCGTTTTCGTGTCGATTTTTATCAGCTGCTTTGTGGGTGAAATGTGACTCATTGTATATGGAGTAAGGAGTAGCAAAGAGGCAGAATTCAGGAATGAGACAAGGCAAGGTGATCGGGCTTAACTGGGTAACTAACAGACGAGGCTGAACGGGGCTCTCTCTAGGGGTTTTGTGCCCCAGCAATGATGCGCCTATTAGGAATGCAGTCTACTTAAGCGTCACTGCACAAGCACCCTTAAGCATCACAAAGCTTTTCCGCAACCTTTTATACAAACGCCTTCTTCGCTTTCATAGTTCTCATACCAGATACCAGTACTGTAAGACATACAGAATACGCTTTTTAAAAACCCATATCATATAATGATGAAAAGACCTAGAAACAGCACCAGTTCTCCTTCACCCATTCAAACGCGTAATGATACTGACCATAAACCCTGAATTATATAACCTGCTATCGTATACGTTGATTCGAACTTCCAGAAGCCCACGTTTCAATCCATAGACAACTGCTCAGCAACAATCACCTTTACCTTCATTCCCCATCCTTCTCGTCCGCCAACCCAACGCTTTCTCTTGCCCACCTTGCTAACCCTCTTTGCGTATCCTTCAATTCGGGTCCTGCCAACGATTGGATTCTCGTCCTCGTCTTCATCATCATCTGAATCACCAACCAACTCAACCTGTTTGTCGGACCTTGGAATCGAAACTGTGAGTTCGATTCCATTTCTCTTTCCTGACTTGCCAAGATTGTCTGCAAAACGCGCAGAAAGCCACAGCTTTGGCTTCGAGCCGATGGCACCTGTCGGGTAGATCTGTCCAATCAACCAGGCCACAGTGCCAGCATATCTACACCACCAAACTTCCTCTGGTGTTAGAATATTCTCGAGGAGTCGTTTGTACTGTTCCTCTCGCGGAGGAAGTTCGCCGTCGTACCGACTTTCCAGCATCAAGGCAATCTTGGCTCGTGAGGAGTGAGACAAGCCATGCGCAGAGGCTAGAACACCACTGATCGTACAGTATAGGGCCGAGAACGAGGCCAATTCCTTGCTCAGAGTGCAATGTTGGAAACAAAGATTAGCCAGACCTTCGATGATGTGGGATGTAATCGATTCGGGCGAGACCATGCCAAACGCTGGTGGTGGCAACGCACTAAGTAGCAATCTCTTGAAGTCGCCAGCAGATGGCCGCGCAAAAGGAGCAGAGGCGACGGCGATAGGATCCTGTGCTCGTACTGATCTTGGTAAGTCTCGAAATAGTAACCCTTCTCGCACTCCTCCCTGACAGAAACGAGCTACCAGCGGCCCTCCCAGTGGCAACGTGTTGGATAAGACATTGATCAGAAAGGCGACTGCAGGAACCTGATATCTGCGACGGTCTGAAACACGGAAGATCTTCTCCGCATTTTTGGCAACTTCCTTGAGTCTTTTGGTGTTTGTGAGCTCCTCGTTGAAGACCTTGAAGCCATTGATGATTGAGATTGGATAGTTTTGGCCATGTTTCTGCGACTCATGGAGAAGTAGATAACCCCAGCCCCGAAATCCGCCGCCCGACAAGTATAGATGCCATCCACCTTCTCTACGTGCTCGATCTGTAAGCTCTGGCGGAATTTCCAAGCTGTCCAGTGCTTCTCGGAACCTCTGACTGATCTCCTGTCTGAATTCCTCTCGAGCCTTCTCCGGGTCGGGGGATTCCTTACAATCTTCCAGCCTCTTTGTCACCGCGGCAGCACCATAAGGGAATGACACAGCGATCTTAGGACTAGTCCTTACCATCCCGTCCTCCGAGATGATCCAGGTCAGTTGGGCACTGCCGCCTCCCAGATCCATCACAAGTCCCTTGACAGTCGGCAGACTACTTACAATACCCATGGCACCAACGTTGCCTTCTTCTTCCTTGCTCAGCATTTGAACTTCTAATCCTGATTTCGCCTTGATATGCTGCGTAAGCTCTTTGTTGTTGAGAGCCGTCCGGGTGGCTTCTGTGGCAACGACGGAGATGTTGGCCCCTGGGACGCCAAACTCATGGCAGACAAGACTGAATCGTTCCAGCTCAGCGGTGACATTTTTAATGACGCGAAGTGGAATGGGGATTCTGTCTCCGGTTTCTGGGTCAAATTGTGCATCGTAGAGCGAAATGCCAGAACGGTCCTTGTAGATTGTCGGTAGGATTCTGGTGGTCGGAGGGGACAGGTCTGAGATCGAAAATCGGATCCCATTGCTGAACGATGCACTTTGGTCAGGGTAATTCGAAAAATACAGACACTGGATGTTGTGACACACTCACCTTCCGATGTCCACAAGGCCAACGAGATACTCATTCTTTGCTGGATGGACCCGACGCATCTTTGCGGTGCCGTGGGGCTGTCAATCCCGTGTCAATGAATAGGCGGTACTCGTAGGGGCGGCGAGGTAGACTGGCGTTCCACCACGCCGTGTTCGCACGATGAGTCCGTTTGATAGTCAAGCACCGGCTTCAGATGCTGTTATGAGCACATTCCCGTCAGTCAGTCGAACTCCCTCTGATTGATATCCAGGCATATCTTGCACATGCTAATCGTATGCTGGCAGGACAATCAGCTGCCATCCCGAAGACAGCTGACTCGTTCTTCGGTCATAGCTTCCCACTCCATCAACGGCGGGTGGAACTGGCCTACGTCAAAAGTTGAGATCATACAGCGCTAAACCGAATGCACGAGTACGTAACTTCGTTGTGCCGCCAGTCACGACTCATCAGTCGTTTGCATCGTCTCTCGCCATCAACCAGCTAACTGGTAAGAGTACGCAAGGGACGACGATCAATTCAGTGCACCCATGACTTCTCTATGCCATTTGGACCCTTCAAGCACGAGAACGAGTTGAAAAAAAGAGGGTTGTTCAGTACATCATTTCAAGGCTGCGTTAGCAAACTGTCTTTCGTACTATCTATTTAGGGTATCTTTTCGAGAGCTGATGAAGCTCTTCGTTGATGTCCGTTGAAGGACATAATCTTCTCGTCTACCTCTTTGAAAGGTAGGTAGGACACAAACTTTTGGTCGTGTCTGTCATATCATCATCCCGACCTTCTCCCAATCAAGTCGTTGAGAGCCTGCAATTCTTTTGCCGTCCAAGAACAAGAACCCGTGTCAATTGTATTCTATGCGTTGAGCATTAGAAACAAACCCTAAAGGTGCCGGCGCCGGTGTTAAATGCATTCCAAATAAAACAATACAGAGCGATATCTAGTAGCGGTAGAGGTCGGACTTGAAGGGACCCTCAACTTCCAGACCCAAGTACTCGGCTTGGACAGGGGTGAGTTTAGTGAGTTTGGCATTGACGTGCTCCAAGTGAAGAAGAGCCACTTGCTCGTCGAGGATCTTCGGCAGCACATACACGCCGACCTCCTTCTTGCCGGTCTTGCCGAACTCAATGTACTTCTTGCCGAAAGCCTCATCCTCGGCCTTGTACAGGAGGATTTGAGCAAGGACTTGGTTGGAGAATGAGCAGGACATGACGAAAGAGGAGTGACCAGTGGCACAGCCTAGGTTGACTAGACGGCCTTCGGCCAGGAGGATGATGTGACGACCACTGGCCATGGTGTATCGATCGACTTGGGGCTTGATGCTGGTGACCTCCTTGGCGTTCTTCTTGAGCCAAGCGACATCGATCTCGATGTCAAAGTGACCGATATTGCAGACGATGGCATCGTTACGCATGGCCTCGAAATGCTTTCCGACGATGATGTCTCGGCAACCGGTGGTGGTGACGAAGATTTGACCTTGGGCAGCTGCATCATCCATGGTGACGACTTGGTAGCCGGAGACGGCAGCCTGCAGAGCATTGATGGGATCAACCTCAGTGACAAGGACACGGGCACCCATGCTGTGGAGAGCTTGAGCACAGCCCTTGCCGACATCACCGAAACCGGCGACAACAGCGATCTTGCCAGCAATCATGACATCGGTAGCACGCTTGATGCCATCAACAAGAGATTCCCTGCACCCGTACAAGTTGTCGAACTTGGACTTGGTGACGCTGTCGTTGACGTTGATGGAGGGGCACAACAACTTCTTGCTCTTGAGCATGCGGTAGAGGTGGTGGACACCAGTAGTGGTCTCCTCTGAGATACCGTAGCAGCCCTTCAACATCTCTGGGTACTTGTTGTGGACGAGGGCGGTCAAGTCACCACCGTCATCGAGGATGAGGTTCAAGGACTTTCCTGAGGGGAATGCCTTCAATTGTTGTTCTAAACACCACTCGTACTCTGGCTCTGTCTCACCCTTCCAGGCGAAAACTGGGGTACCACCGGCAGCGATGGCGGCGGCTGCGTGGTCTTGTGTAGAGAAGATGTTGCAGCTGGTCCAGGTGACTTCAGCACCGAGGGCCTTGAGGGTTTCGATGAGGACGGCAGTTTGGATGGTCATGTGAAGGCAGCCAGCAATTCTGGCACCGGCCAGTGGCTGATCGGGAGCGTACTTTCTGCGGATGGCCATCAAACCTGGCATTTCGATCTCTGCGAGTTCGATCTCACGTCGACCGAAGGCGGCCAACGAGATGTCGGCCACCTTGAATTTTTGGGCTGGAGCACTCATGATTGCGGTAACGAAGGGCTTCTTTGGAAGGAGGAATTCTAGGTGAGATTATGGTGTTTAGTGAAAAGAGAGTGAGTGAGTGGGTTATGAGGGGTTGGGAGATCGCTTTTTCTTGTCCTCACCGCAGATGGAGATTTAAAGACTGATTGAGACTGCGAAAAATTGGTACGGAAAATTGTTGTCCCGCAGAAGCGCATTGTCCACCAATCAGCCCGTCATTCTTCACCCATCAACCCTCCTTCGCTTGTTTTTCAACTGCCGAGCGTCGAGGACTGGAGGACTCTCTGTTGTCAACGTATCATCAGGTTGTGTTGAAAAGGAAAAAGAGAATCCCCAAAGGATATATATATATCTCATCTCTGAATGCCTCACAATGTCATACATGGGCATCTCCACATCATTTGATGTTTGTCGCCAGTCCTTACACATACAAGTGGTGCCCGAGTCGGGGCCATTGGTGAGGTGGGAGTGTGGACAGTCACGCAGAAGGACATGTGTCGCCTGCTGGTGGCCTTCCCTGCGTCTTTATCGACGCTCGATGATATTTTGCCCCGATAAGGAAATGAGAAGCCTGGCGCGGCCTCACTCGTCCTCGTTACGTCTCCTATGCACCTGAGATGCCCTTCTCCCTTTTCAACAGGCCCTTGGCAAGGTAGGTACTCGCCGTACGTTTGAAATGGCCGGCTGTGCTCGCTTCCCGGCCTCTGGCAGACTCAGTGGCAGCGACCAAGTCCGCCAGGACAATCCAACAAAAGTATTGTGCATGGTCATCTTCCTCAACTTCCTGCCTACTGACCGCTCTTTTTTCTCGTGGAGTCTAAATACTTCTGTTCGCGCGTTGTCCTACATTTGACACAATTTCCCAGCGTCAAAATTCGCCATTGCATTGCGCCATTGCACGCCTATTTTACACAATTTTGCACAGGACCACAAAGTTACTCAACAATCAAATAATTGGTTATCATCTCGACTACTTAATTTCAAACACAGGTAGCTTCACTCCCATTGTTCACAGTACAAGCAACCTTGGTTTTTTCTGTTCGAGCTCAGAGGTCGGATCGCCGAAGAACAGGATCGATCGATCATCAATGACAACTACCACTATACACGTTCCCTTGGTGGCAGAAGAGGTAGATTTGGGGAACCCATTGCGGAATACCACTCATGCCCAACCAGGGGGTTTTGAGCATCAATCCGGCAAGATAGACCATCTAGATGCTCGCTGGTTTGTGGTGTCGCCTTACCCCGAGCCGGAGCATATGCTGGATCTACAAAGTATCGATACACCAAACCGTCTTCTGGCTTTGGCACTGACAACCCTGGCACCTGCTACAAAGGAATATGCCACTACGACGTACCAAGATGCTATCAATTGGAGGGATGTAATGACTCGATTGAAGTCCTTGGTGCGAGAACAAGGATACACTTGGACTAGCCAAGAGTTCTACGTCGTTGACTTCCGGTCAAAGCTCATGGAAGATATCGATTCGGAACTCCTGTTCAAGCTCGACAAATTCTCTCACGTCGAGGCTACTCAAAGCGGTGGATTGTTGAAATATTGGTATGGCACTCCGGACGGCAACAGAAGGAACCTGGCAACATGTGAGTGAACCTGTCGGATTACCTTTTATCTTCCCAACTAACGGTCTTCGAGGTGTCTGGCGGAACAAGAACGACGCAATCAAAGGAGGCACTGGACCATGGCATCAGCAAGCTCGCGCTATCATCCCTAGAATGTATGAGCATATTGATGTCCGAGGTGTTCGCTTGATCATCGAGGACGATGTAGCAAGTTGGACTTTTGCACCGTATTGAGGTTTGCTTGGGAAGATGACACCCTCGGGCATTGAAGGAAACGACCAAATTGTATACCGTCCTGGGAATTACTCGGCGAAAGCGATCTTTTTTTCTTTGGAAGAAGGTATTGGACTTGGGATAGACCGGCGTGTAATAATTTTCTGTATGAAGCACCAAAAATGTCAAAGTCACCCGAGACTATATTGAACGTCTTTTCTTTGATGCGACGCTTTTATTCTCATGTACATTGTCGTGTTCGTAGAGAAGAGTCCCTGGAAGGACAAGTCGTTTCTGCCATGCAAAAGCCCTCAAAAGTCGTGAACAAGGCGTTTCCCAATCGGGTCTAGCTCGTTTTGAGTGCAGCTTCAATTTGACCGTCAATGATCTTGGAAGCTACTCGTACCGCAGGAATTGAATTCATCTCCTTCTGAATCTCCCCTCCTCAAGCTCCCTTTTCGTCACTTACTTTTGAGCTTGACAACCTCTCGATCCCACACAAGATGATGTCCTCAAGGGTCATGCGGCCAGCCTTCGCTGCCGCCCGTCGCACAGCTCCCCGAACAGCTATCCGAACCTACGCTGCTCCTGCAGGTGCCGACACCAAGCCTCCCGTCCCTCTGTTCGGTGTCGATGGAACATATGCGAACGCTTTGGTACGTCACAGTGATATTTCCCTGGAAATGATGGAGCGGGACTTTTGGGGCTGGAACCTCTCGTGGTGATGGTGGTGGTGCACACGAAAGACCAGCCGGGACTATTAGGAACCATTCTACCTATTCTCGTTTTGTCGAAGGAGAGAAAAAGCGAGGGAAAAAAATTGGTTCCCCGAAGAGAGTTTTACAACAAAATGGCTAACAATCATGCTTTGTCTCAAAACAGTACACGGCCGCCGCCAAACAAAACGTGCTCGACCCGACCTCGAAAGCCATCGCCAGCCTTTTCCAGATCCTCAAGTCCGACCCGAAACTGCAGACCATCATCGCGGCACCCACGCTGTCCGATTCCGACAAGTCCCAGATCGTCGCCGAACTCGAGAAGCACACCGGTGGCGTCGACAAGACCGGCACCGTCAAGAACTTTTTGTCCGCCCTGGCCGAGAACAATCGTCTCGGTCTGCTCGAGGGCGTGTGTGAGAAGTTTGGCACCCTGATGAGCGCCGCCAAGGGAGAGGTGGAATTGACCGTCACGAGTGCAAGCGTAAGTCCTTTTCTCCCATCGCGGTCAAACAATTTTTTGGTCCCTCCCAAAGGTTTTCTCGAGGGAGGATCCGTATCAACAATGCTAACACACCGAAACAGAAACTCGACGATAAACTACTCAAGCGTCTCGAAGCAGCCATCGCCAAGTCCGAATACAGCCAAGGCAAGAAGCTCAAGACCGTGACGCATGTCAACCCAGATATCCTCGGCGGTCTCGTGGTCGAAATCGGCGAACGCACCATCGATCTGAGCGTGTCCAGCAAGATCTCCAAGATGAACAAGATGCTCACCGATACCGTGTAAAACAAAAAGAAACAGAAGGAGAAATTTTGGAGATGGGTCACAAGGGGGCCAGCAGAAGTGACTTTGAGTGGACGACATGCCAACAAAATAGATCAGGCGGAGAAATATATTCTCGGTGTGGTTGTTGTGTTCCCCAGCTCATACAGCCAAGGCCCTCTTGTTGGGGGGTACTGCTGGTCTTGTATGGAAGGAGAAGAGGTGATGTGTATATAAAAAAACTCATCAATTCATGCATCATTGAAACCTTGTCCAAGTCAATCAAGTGAACGTGTTTTGATGACAAAAGGACCCAATCACTGACTCTGATAAGTTACCAACTTACGTATTACGCCACTCTCTCTCTCTTTTCCTCTCGCTCGCGGTCTCTTCACCGCTTGCAAAAGAAATCGAATTGCACGAGAAAAAAGTACTCCTTTTGACACTTCGTGGGTAGAGATATGTGTATGCCCTCAAGGTGAAATACTCGCCTCGGACATACGAGATTGATCTTCTCACAAATCTCTGCCTGGGTGGAAACAGTAAGATATCGAAACAAGATCAAAACCAAGTCTTTCTTTATTTGATGAATGATGATCTATACTTGAGATGGTTTGCTAGTCCCTCGACCACCTGGATACCGACTCCGTACGTAAACAGCACCTCTCTTTGCTTTGCTTGCTCCATACGTTTCCGTCTCGTCTTAAATGCAAGACGCGCTCATCCCAAACGACGCTCCTTTTTACTTTGCTCTCGTTGCTTTCTATGCTCCCAATCCCCCCTTTCCTTTCCAATCTGTAATCATCTACCCTCCACCGTCGTGAGCATTACCTCAGTTCCCTCGACCTCACAACTTAGTCCAATTGAGCTTCAAACTCATCCTCGTAGACCGCGACGCTTTCTTCCGTCTTGAGTCGACTGAGTTGCTCCCCGACGTACTTTTCGAAGTGACTGTCGGCGACGCTCTTCCGGCGCTCCTTTTCCAGCTTGTCCTCCTCGCCCCACGCGTCGGAATCCGACATCCCACTGTGGGACGGCACCTTGGGGAAATAGCCGTGTTGTTCGCCTTCGCCACCGTCCTCGGATTTGGCGTCGCCATTGACGCTAGACACAAAGCTCGATCGGTTGCCGATGGACCGGGAGGTCGACGACCGTCGCATCCGCGGGCCGGGGCCGGGGGTACCGACGTAAGTGTTTTTCCGGGTGAGGCCACGGCCGTAGATGTCGTCAAAGTAGTGGGAGGCGGCCGTGGAAGGAGTCCTCGGGGTCTGTGGCAGGCGGCAGTTGATGCCGGTGTCGTGGATCATCTTGGCCATCAGACCCGTCCAGCCGCACTGGTGGGAGGCCCCGAGCCCACGGCCCGTGTCGCCGTCGAAGAACTCAAAGAACCACAGGTAGTCTCTCCAGTGAGGATCAAAGTCGAGCGTGTCGTTGCCCGCGTTGATCGCACGACGACCTTCGTGGTCACGCACCATGAGATGTTGCAGACGATGCTGGATCTCTTCCGCGACGTGGCCCAGGTGCATGTACTCACCAGAGCCGGTCGGGCACTCGACCTGGAAACTGGTGCCGTAGAACATGTAGAACCGGAGCAGAGACTCGACAAGCAAAAAGTTCACCGCCATCCAGATGGGGCCACGCCAATTGGAGTTTCCACCAAAGAGGCCGGAATCCGAGTCACCCGAAACGTAGCTGACACCAAACTTCTGACCATTGACATCCATGCTGTAGGGGTGATTTTCGTGATACTTTGACAAGCTCCGGATGCCGTGATCGGCGAGGAACTCGGTCTCATCGAGCATCCTCTTCAGAATCTTTTCGAGCCTGTCCTTGCTAACCAGCGACAACAACAGGCGCTGATCTTTACCTCTCTTGCGCATGGAGGCGATGTTGCGCTCTGCCACGTCGTGGCGGTTCTCAATGAACCACTCCATCCTACGTTTGAAATTGGGGAATTTGTTGATGAGCTCCGGTTCGAGAGTCAGGACCGCATACAGGGGGATAAGGCCGACCAAGGACCGTACGGGCATCTGCTGCGTCCAAGGCCCACCCCAGGAGATCGCATCGTAGTAGAAGCCGTCTTCATCGTTCCACAAACTCGTCTCCTGTCCGCCCGACCTGAAAGTCATGGCGTCGGATATCAGGATGAAATGCTCAAAGAATTTGGATGCAATGTCTTCGTAGGTACGTCGGTGTTTCGCCAGCTCCAGAGATATGTTGAGCATGCAAAGGCAGTAGAAAGCCATCCACCCCGTACTGTCGGCCTGCTCCAGAACACCACCAGTAGGCAAGGGCTCGGAGCGGTTGAACAAACCGATGTTGTCCAGACCCAGGAAACCACCCTCGAAAACGTTCTTGCCATCGAAGTCTTTGCGGTTCACCCACCACGTAAAGTTGAGCAGCAGTTTCTGGAATACACGTTCGAGAAAGTCGAGATCTTGTCGGCCGTACATTTTTCTTTCAATCTTGAAAGTCCTGAAGACTGACCATGCATGCACGGGCGGGTTGACGTCTCCGAAATTCCACTCATACGCCGGCAGTTGTCCGTTGGGATGCATGTACCACTCTCGGGTAAACAGGTCGAGCTGTTTCTTCGCAAACTCCGGGTCCACCATGGCAAGAGGAATACAGTGGAACGCAGAATCCCATGCGGCAAAGAACGGATACTCCCAGGAGTCGGGCATGGACAAGATATCATCCAAGTACATATGCTTCCAATGCGAGTTTCGGACGTTCTTGCGATTAGGCGGTGGTGGAGGCATATTGGGGTCACCATTGGCCCATTGATCCCAGATAAAGTAGTAATGCTGCTTGCACCATAGCATGCCAGACAGCGCTTGTCTCTGGATGTTCCTCAAATCGTCAGCCATTGGAAGGGGGCTGATGCGGTAGTAAAATTCATCCGCTTCCTGGCGCCTTTGCTCCATGATGTCGTCGAGGAGCTCTTCGTTGAGATAGCCGTCATACTTGCGCGACAATCTAAATCTGACCACAGCACATTCTCCAGGAGGGACACCTTCGCCTTGACCAAAGTCATACCAAGCGGCACATTTTGTTCCTGAACATCGAGGGTTGATGGCACCCTTTTCCTCATCCACAATCCAGCGATGGAAAGCATCCTTGACATAGGGCTGCTTGTTCTTGACTTGATACAGCCGGTCATGGTTGGTGTCGTTCTCCGTAAACATGAGTTGCGGATGGACATCATCAGCCTCTGGCCCACACCCGGGGGACGCAGACAGTTGGAAGAACCGAGTGCCCAGCTTGTGGTGCTTGGACTGGGCAGTCATGGGGCCAACCATGCGCACATTCGGCTTGAGCTTCTCAGGCTCATGGCCCCAAGTCCAAGTATTTCTGAACCACATGTGCGGGATGATGTGAAGAGGTGCGGCCTCCGGACCCCGGTTGTACGCTGTCACACGGAACAGGAGCTCGTCCGGGTCATCCGTCTCTTTACATGTCTCAATAAAGATATCAAAGTAGCGATTGTCCTTGAAGGCATCCGAGTCGATGATGTTGTACTCGCGCTCTTGTTTGCCCCGCTTCGCATTCTCTTCGATCAATTGCTCGTAGGGGAATCTTCTTTGCGGGTATTTGTAGAGGTATTTCATGTACGCTGTATACACACGAGATTAGCGACCCATCCGGACGCAGCATTCTTGGACCAAGACTCACAGTGGGTAGGCGTGTTATCAAGATGGAAGTGTGCCTCCTTGATACTCTCGCCATGATTGCCCTGGGGATTGCTCAGACCGAACAGTCTTTCCTTCAAGTACTCATCCTTCTCGTTCCAAAAGGCAAAGGCAATGTTCTGCAAGCCATGGCTGTCAGAGACCCCGGCAATGCCGTCCTCACCCCATCGATATGCTCTGGACCGGGCTTGCTCGTGAGAGAAGTGACTCCAAGCGTCTCCGTTGTCAGAGTAGTCTTCGCGGACCGTGGCCCACTGCCGCTCAGCAACGTATGGCCCCCATTTCTTCCAGTATTTTGTCCGCTCGCGGTCCTCTTTCAGACGCTTCTCTTCCTCGCAAAGGTATTCGTGGTGATCGACCACGACCATTCTGGACAGTCTCTGGGCGATAAGGACCGGTCTAGGATTAGGAGAATACAAATAAATATAGCTCTATAACGGTCCACACATGGCCCGGAAAAGAAGACCGTATGGTCGAGGGTGAAAATGCGGACTTGAGAAGCGGTCGGTGTACAAAGAGATCGATCAATGGTACTCTCGATCCCGGTCCCGCACCACGGATTAACAAGCGATGAGGCAAGGTCAGTCAGGGAAGTTTCCTCAAAATACAAAGATTTTTGCCGCAGGTGAAGGAATTTTCCAGTTCGAGCCCATGTCGACAGCAAAAGTCAATAAATTCGATCTAGGTTTCCAGGTAGTCGGAGGTGTCAGGTGCCAGGAACATGGGCTGCACCGGCTCTCTCGATTGGGGGGGCAAATGGCGATGAAAGAAAGTTGAGGCATTGGCCGCCGCTTAGCCTGGGGGAGCCGGTCGTTATAGGCGTCAGTGGCTGATGATGGGGGGCATCGATAGGCCCCGACTCCTGGAAAGCTCGTTCCTTGGTCTCACTAACGCCCGCTAGACTCGCTAGTCTAGAGGTGCCAAAAATTGCACATGGCAAATTCTCAACAATTTCATGGTATTTTCCACACCGAAACCAAGAAATTCCAGCCTCGCGACTCCGTATTTAGGCATCCTTCAGAGAGATCTAGGGCCACTTTTAGGTAAGCTTGCCACTAAGTTGTAGACTCCATATACATAGGTATATACCGGCACATTAATCGTAGGAAGCACACGACGGGGTACTTGTTTCTAGGTAAGAATGTGGATGAAAAGGCGGGCGATTGTCACCCAAAGCTACTCACTTTACGCCGTACGGATAATATCTACGGGTACTGCCCATGAGTGTCTCTGATACGGAGTAACAAATGGGCCACAGGGCGCTCCATTCGGATTTCACGACCGACTACGGAGGAGCCCGTTAGGTACGGAGTCATCGTGATTGAGCGCATCTTCGATCTCTAATTCTCTATTCTGGTATTCGAAGAAAGCAAATAATTCTGATACATCTGAAAAAGCTGAAGGGGCTCGAGGTCTAATACAAACACCAGCGCCAGCGCCCAAAATTCCATGTCCAAAGCATCTTGGAAAGCTCGCCAAAAATGCTCTGATAAGATGCACTGATTTATTTGAAAAGAGCCAAAATCTCCTTCATATGTTGTTCTCGCACCTCCTTCTTGCTGAGTTGCTTATGGTTCTGGTTCAGAGACACGTCTGCCAACTGTTGCTTGCGCTTCTGCAACTCGACGATCTTTCTCTCAATGCTATCTTTCATTTGATATCGTTTCACCAAAACTGGCCGCTTCTGCCCGATCCGATAGATCCGATCGACGGCTTGTGCCTCTGCGGCTGGATTCCACATGGGCTCCATGATAAAGGCTCGGGATGCAGCGGTGAGATTGAGTCCTTGCCCTGCCGCTTTGATCGATGCGAGGAGAATTGTGACACTGTCGTCCGACGCCAACGCGTCCATGGCCTTCTTTCGATTGTTTAGCGACATTTTGCCGTCGATCCTCACAAACGAGTGTCCATGGTCTCGCAGCGCAATCTCAATCAGGTCGAGGTGCGAAGTAAATTCGGAGAATACGACACACTTGAGCGGAGGTTCACCAGCAGCTTCCAAAGGCTCACTGTCCTTCTGCATCACCGCAATATCTTGCAGGAGCGCTTTTGTCTTGGTATGTGGCCCGTGGTATGTGTGCGCTGTCGCTTCGTCCTCGTCCTGCGCGATATTGTCGTCGGGGGCTGCATAGATCTCTTGCGCAGTGGATCCACTAAATCCAACATACTGCGCAGCGATTTCTTTGGAGCAGTACGGGCAAGTCACCGGTTCTTTGTCAGGTCTCGTGTCGAAGGTGCTTTTGTCCGCTGCGAAGCATTCTGCACAGATCAAATCGAAGCACGGTAAGACGTAGCAGCGAATGCCTTGCTCATCTTCGAACTCTATTTCCGTTATTCGGCGTTCACATCGTCGACAAAGATCAAGTTCGGCCTCAGTCATGAGATTCAGAGATTCGTAGGCTGTCTGTCTGGAGATAGTAGAGGGCATGTAGTCGTCAAGGTCAATAGCCTCACTTTTACTGATGCCTTTCAGCTTTTCCAGATCCTTCTCCTTCAGCAGATCACGGCCATGGGCACAAATCAGCCGCAGCGTCATGATACCTCGGAGAACATGATGCTGAACTCCGCTGCTCTTCTGCTTCATGTGTGCCAGTTCTTGAATCTGTACATGCGCAATTTCCTTGAAAAAATCGTGCAGTTGTCGCTCTTCTGGAGAGAAATCAAGCAAGTCCACAAAGTCTTTCCTCTCTGGCAAATCGATCTGGTCTCGCAGTCGTCGGAGGGTGAATGAGTCGACAAACACTCGCAAAGCTTTCAAGAAACTCGGGTCTCCAGCTTGCGCGGGACCTCTGATGTACTGGTTAAATCGGGTTGGCGTATCGTATGGATAGAGCCGTAAAAACCTGGTCAGCGACCCTAGATCGTCCAAACGATTTTGAATCGGTGTTCCTGTCAGGCACCATCGACGCTCGGCCTCTAGGCTGTAGATGGCTTGAGATTGCTGAGCTTTGTGTTCTCGGATCGTGTGGGCCTCGTCCAATATGATTCTGAACCACTTCAGCTGTTTCAGTGGAGTGACACCAGTGGCACCCCTGCCCGAGAACTCGGAGGCCACAACCCCGTAGGTGGCGATGATGATGTCGAACTTTGACAACTTGTACGGGTTCCGTTCTCGATTTGGACCATGATAGACGTAATAAGACACAGCATCCGAATCCATATGCGCCGCAATTTGGTCCTCCCAATTCTTGACCGTACTTGTAGGACAGACAATCAATGTTGCCTGAGTGTTCGCCAGAAGCACGTTTTGATCATCTCGAACGATCTTCTCCTTGCTGAATTCCATCGCCTCGTCTAGCGTGCTCGCTATCAGTGACAAGGCCTCCAAAGTCTTTCCGAGACCCATGACATCGGCGAGCAGTCCTCCAAAGACTTGATCCGGCTCGTCTTTTACTGAGATTCCACTGACAACCTCGCGATAGACCGTGGCACCAATCTTAGTGGTCACCCGTCTCCACAAAGAAGAATTGTCCGACTCATCAGTCCCGAATGTTCTCGCTTTCTCATGGCGGAGCATGAACGTGAGCGCCTGTTTTTGATGGCTTAACAAAGGAGTTGTAATGACCGACGAGGGCGGGTCGCTCTCTTCCAAAGCACTTCCGGCATGCGCAAATGAGTCAAAGAGCTTCGATACGGCTTCTGTTGCTTCTTCCAGAGTACGGGCATCGGAAAGAATAGGAGTGTGTCCGGTCTTTCTGGTAATCTGAGGTAGGAGATCCTTCTTCTGGTGTGGATTGACGATTGGGATACCAGGCTCAGGAGCCATTGGTGGGCGAAACCAAAAGTTATGTTGTCCAAAGTGTCGTCCGATTTTTGCGACATCCCTTCTTCGCCCGTAGACATTTACGACCATTTTCAGAAACTCGGAGCATTCGACGTGAGGCCACTCGTTTGGCTTCTTACGGCGATTGATGAGCCTCGCCTGCGTTCGAACTCCTGGCAGACCGTCCAATACTGGGGCCAGGGCAGCGGCAAAGTCGGCGTTTACCTTACCGAACACGACGCCCCATGGATCCGAAACTTCAATGATGGTATCGTTTGATCGTGTTCGCAAAAGAGTACATTTCATGACCGGCCATTCCTTGTCTCCCTGAAAAGTCGAAATATTCTTGGGTTTGGGAATGCGGTGTGCGTGTACGTTGGTCGAGAAATGACCGTAGCAAACTTCTTCGTCATCCACGGTTCTGGAAGAGACAATCTCAATGTCATCGTCTTCATCGCCGTCGTCGTCGTTGGTGAGGTCGACTAGAGATTTCAATGTATTCTCGGCAGACTTTTCAGGATCGGGACGCATGTATCCGCCAACGATGCCACTGCTGGGATGATGTGCATAGCTCAAGGCCTTTTTTGACTCGGTGCTCTCAGAGCTGGGACTTGGCTTCACCTTCTTCCGGGGATGACCGACTCGGGATTCCACGCCATGCACAGCCTCTAACAGAGACCGAGGACCGCTATGCTGGCGATTCAACCCAGGAGTATGTGAGGGGTGTGGATGCGTATTGTCATGGTCTGCACCACTGTACGGCATTGGTCGGCCCGCATTCAGGCTTGAAATCTGAGACCGCTTAGGCTGGAGGAGTGAGCGTGGATCCAGCAATGTCCGAGCTTCCGAATATCCTGGCGGAGTATGTGGTAAGATTGAGTTTGTGCGTATTGCATCAGCCTGATTGAGAGGTAGAGCGGCCTGGTGCTTCGGAGGCATGTTGTCAGTCGATGAAACGTTGGCTGCCAGGTATCAGAAGTCAATTCCAGAGAAGTCCTAGTGAAGGAACAAGCACAACACTTGAAGAGGCTCGAATATGATGTGGGTAAGGTAAGGCTGAAAGTCAAGAAACAATGGATGGGCGACTGGTTTGTTACCTTCTGGTTTTGATTTCTTCTTTATCGACTTGGGGTCAAGCAGCATACGCGCATTGGCAGCCATGATTTGTTGTGAACAGGGCGATGTAGTTAGCGCCACGAAGGGACGTGTGAGTGATTCATGAGCACTCGTCTGTAGTGAAGAGGTGGCGAATCATGATGGTCGAGAATACCTGGCAGTAAACTTCAGACGAAAGTACATCCGAAATGGGATCAGTAATCTTCAATGAGACGCTTAGCGACGGTGTCATGCGTTATGAAAAAATTGAAGTCAAATAATGAGAAGTGAAGAAAAGAAAGGCAAATTAACGCTTTCGAATGCCAATTCATTATCACATTTCTTCACGGAGGGACGTCGATAAACTCGTCTCAAATAATGGGGATGTGGCGTTGAATCCCACCCCTCAGCCTCGCGCTAAGGCAACGAGGCTGCAATGAACCGCTAGTAATGCCCATGTGATGCTCCCTTGATGCTCCCAGCAAGAAGGCATCATTAACCAGCCACCGGAACAGTCGAGTTGACCATCTAGATCCACATGATATGCCCCCAGCACTACGTATCTTAGCAGAAGCCACGAAATACCGTGCCGCCCTAGCACACAACAGCCTCACCTCAATGAAGAAAGGACAGGTGAGCAACCCCGTGACAGCTGCATCTGCATAGCGAGTGACATGCCGCCCCAAAAAGACGCAGTACACAAGTTCTTTTGACTTGATTCATTCTGGTGCTCGAGATCCCACCATCCAGTCTTCCTGAGCAAGCCATTCACTCCACGCCCGTTCGGCAGCCTCGATTTCGCCATCAGTTGGATCATACAGTGGCCGTATAAAAGGCACTGTCTCGAGCGGCAGCATGTCGTAGTCACGCTTGACAGATGCCCAACCCCCACTCTTTGCTGCAAAAAGATAATTGCGCCTCTCCTGTTCCCGTTGTGGTCCAATGCCAGGCCGCCAATTATCACCAAAGAATCCATGCAACACCTGAGGAACGTCCATTCCGGTAACGACCAAGCGACGTACGTACGGAATCAACGAGACCGAAGATGCGACTGCTTCCGATTCGGAAGCGCTACCAGATGTCCTCTCCCTTTCTATTTTGGCCTTGCCACTCCGAGAGCCCGTTGTGCTGTAGATCGGATGCGGCTGTCGTTGAAATGGCAGTAGGATGTTGATGAAGGCCGCAAATGCCTGAACAAGTGGTTCATGCTGAGCATGGTCTATGAAATATTTCTGACAGCTTTGGTGCTTTGGGTACCATGCAATTATGTCGAATTGGGGAGTACCCTCTGGTGCTTTGCCGTGGTTTGAAGTCTCGGAGGGGCTGTTGATCCCGGTAAATCTGGCGTCTCGGTTGGATCTTGAGGAGCCTGCCTCTGAAGACGACGATGAGAATTCCATTTTCCGATACGGAGTAATGTGCGTGTGTCTTATGAGACTATGCCCTGATGCGTCCGGAAGACAAGGTGAACAAAGCACACCGATATGCCACCGCACCACAATTTGCCATAAAACCACGATTGTGGCAGTGAGGTGCTTGCATTATGAGAAACGCAACATGGCCAAAAAAAGACTCTCCCTAAAGTTATGAATTGATGTTTGTTATTTCTTGCGCCGTGTGCCTTATGATTGAACTTTCCGTGACGTGGCAGCCGGGTTCTTCTGCACCAAGGAGACACCGCCGGGCGGAACAAAGTTGACAGGTCTGTTTTTCAACCCGATGGTGAATCTCAAATAGTCCCACCCAGGTGCCGTTCAGAATATGATAAAACTGTGACAAGACAGATGGTGGCAGCGAACCTCCCGAGGCCTGGAGAGGTGCGTCAGATTGATGTAGTCTGATTTGACTGCCTGGGCAAAGGTCGGGGAGGCGATTCGATCGCGAGGAATAGCCAGCCGGTGTAGCGAGAACCAACAAGTGTGGGTAAGGATATCCGTACGGAGGATGCAAGCCACTCAATCTCATGCCCGTGATATCGACAAGTATTTATTAATTACCTACCTGTACAGTTAACGTTGGGTGTGGTAGGCGAGTTTCCACTGGCGCGCCATTTCCAATAAATAGGCCCTTCCTCGCGTTAGTTATAGCACCAGCCACCGCAGACAACCAACTCATCTTCGATGGCCGTTTCGACTGGGTCAAGGTTAAGCGACCAAACGCACCATTCACTTTGTCTGTTTTTATTCTCATTATTCGTGGTGTGATACAGATCATTCTCGACTCTACATTTACTCAGTTAGCACCATTAATTGCAGTCGCCAGCTCGCCAGCCAAGTACCTAGAGACTACGTTGGGCTATATAACTCGCTCCTCTGTACCTGTATCTCGGGCCACTTGCTTCATGAACCAGAAAAGGTCACACTGACCTCACAATCACGACGACAATCTCCATGAGCCTACAACAAATACCATGGAGGAAAACAGTCGCATCAGCTGTTGGATTGATGCTTCAAGCAATTTGTTGAGCCTTCGGTGGCGTTACAAATCCGCTTCGCACAAAGCATAGCAATCGAGCAGGCCATGGGCAGGCGACTCAATGATTCTTGGAAGCCCACAACGGTGTGGGATTTGTGAAGGGTGAACTGCCTCGAATACCAGCTAATCATCATCGATATTCTCTCGAGCCATCAGTGCAGACTATCTATCTTGTTTGTGCCGACTTGTTCCCACTTCAAATTTTGCAACAAGGAACAATGGCAATAAGACAGACTGTCAAAGCGTACCTGTGCTTATTTTGGTGGTATAGACCACCATCTCTAAGGGTAATTGATGTACTGTAGTTACTTGAGACTTCGCTCCGGATCTCGTGTAGCACCATTAAGCGGCGTGGTTTGGCTATACGCACCCAACACTAGCATTCTTGGTGTGAAAGTCAGCGTACTCGATACACGCAGAAGACTTAAAGTACCTCGTAGGTACGGAGTAGACCTGAGAGAGCACATTGTGACTGAAAACGCATAATCTCCGCTGCCACCAGTGAAGAGAGAGGGTTGACTGCTCCCGCTTACTTCAGCGACTGGCGGTCGACTTTACACGTTGCTGGCCCCCAAGTCAATATGCACAAGGGCCAACCTACTGTACTCCGTAGTCAGCCGTTGATTTCAGACCGCCGCTCTCCCACCGGACCCAGACGACTGGCATTACTCCTAGGCCACGGCGGGTTCGATAGATGCCTTCTGGTGGTGCTTATGCCTAGACACAATCAGGGTCTTGGTGTTGACTGCCCTTTTTCAAGCCGTAGATGATGCAACTTGAGGCTGATCTGACTTGTTTGGGCCACCTCGGAACCTGAACCATGTTGGGAGACCTTGGGAGACACGGGATCTGCTGGAGCGCGCAACGAGTAATTTTATAGCCCATCTTTTGTTGAGGGCTTGATGGCGGAGGCCCAGTCCAAAGCCTAAATGGCACCAGAGGACTTTTTGAATTGCTGACTCAGGTGCAAAAACCCCCTGCTTGCGGTATCATTTCAGTCTCTGAGTGGCGGTTCTCGCATATGTCAATGCACGATCCCTGGTAGACTCGCCCTGCAGGGCCGTGGATAGTTCGCTAGGCCGGTACCAGACTGGGACCTGGATAGACCGTATTCGTAGACTTGGTGCATTTTGGTTTGAGCACAGGGACTCGGAAGATGAGCGGCGTCGCCCAAGGCAAACTGACTAATACGCGACTGCTCGGATGTTGTCGTTCACAGTGTGCACCTCGAGGGACTGTAGAGCTTTAAGGCAGACAGAGTGTCAATAGCCACCGAGAGCGCCTCGGTCCGACTTAACCATCAGTCTGGCAGGTTGGATCATTCTGCACGTCTTTGTGAAGCCGATAACACAATACGAGGTCGATCGTATTCTTGTTGCAACATGTGCTGTTGATAGACAGGGAATTGTGTAATGAGAGCCCTGGACTGCGACCCCTCCACTTTATTTCGGGGAAATCCACGCCGATCGCCTGGAATCCTTCTGTCCTCGCTACCCGTTCCAAAACGGCCATACTCCTCAACAACAACCGTCTTCGTCGACTTCATTCGAGCGTCTCGACCGCTGGCGATTAACCCCTCGATATCTCTGAGAAAGGCGGTTTCACACCGAAGAAATGTCCTCCAACGAGGTGACGACTCCCTGACACCTCTTTTTCTGATCGCCCTCAATTCAATACAAGCCCTCAACAACCTCAGCCTCACTTTCCAATTGCTATTCCCTGATCCTCGCACAAAGACGACCAAAGTACATCTACGTATCCGCTCTGAATTGTGTTGTGGTCGCATTGTGCACGCTTACATTCCCGTCCTTCGATTGAACATTGGTTCGAGTTCGTGCAACTGCGGTATCTTTCCGAGTGGCATCGGTGGCAGCAGTATCCTCAAAGTCAGCTTCTATCAGAACAACCACCCGAGCCATGGATTTCTCATATTTTACTTCTGCCCCCCAACCGTACCAATTCTTTGGACTCTCACACACGCCCAGCAACAACCATGCGCCGACACTGGACGACTTCAATCCTAATGCCTCCAATGTGAGTACCTCTTTGGACGTCGATCTGGCTCCTTTGACAGTCTCACAGGACCAATATGATTCCGCTTTCGCTGCCTTTCAGCAAAATTTCCACTATGACCCCTCCACGTTTCTCGCCCAGCCACATCAACCCAATAACGTATCCCCTCCGCTCGATGTACATCAGGATTCGATGTTATCCATACCTGATGGCGACTCGAAAGGATTCACTGCAACGGTAGCGGAAGTGCCCGCAGAAGAGACAGTTGTTGGCCGAAGTAGCAGTGAAGAGAAGGACTTATTGACACCGCAACAAAACAAGCGGAAGGCGCAGAACCGAGCAGCGTAGGGATTTAATATCGTGTTGCGTATGGCAATGGGATTGCTGATGTAATAAATAGGCAACGCGCATTCAGAGAAAGGAAAGAAAAACACGTAAAGGACCTCGAAGCCAGACTTTCCACTTTGCAGCGCCAATCGATGACTTTGAATGGCGAGAATGAAAGGCTACGTCGGGAACTGGCCAAAGTCGCAACCGAGAACGAAATCTTGCGAGCTACGTCTGGTTCTGCGTCCAACGGGCCCACACCGTTCATGGAAGAGCCCGATGCTTTGGTCGGTCCCATGCGTTTCGTACCGACAGATCTACCTGCAAAGCCACGCTCCTCGCCCAGTAGCATGGCCTCTGGAGCTGAGCCGTTCTCCAAATACGCACATTTCGGCACGATGAGGACCATCACCATCGATGACGAGACTGGCGAACAACTACTCGGCGCTGGTGCAACCTGGGATTATATCCAGGCGCACGAGTTGTTCCGGAAGGGTCTGGTTGATGTAGGCGATGTATGTGAACGATTGAAGAAGATGGCCAGGTGTGATGGCCAAGGGCCAATCTTTTTGGAGAGCGATGTTAGGCAGGCGATTAGCGAGAGTGCAGTCGCAGGTGGTCGGGACGAGTTGATTTGAATTTATTTGGCTCCCTATGCAGGGAGTCTGCTGATTTGTTGGTTCACCATGGCTTTGTGGGATATCTAGTACTGGAATTTTGATTTAAGCGAGGCGTCATGGTGCACTTTACATCAACAAATATTTTGAATTAGGAGGACTTGTTTGAGCTCTTTTGACTGAAGGGTCCTATCTTTGTCGTCGAGAGGCTGCTTTGTGTCCCATGACGGGATCGACAACTTGAGAGCCTCTTCAATGCTTGAGAATCTTTTTTGAGTCCAAGGTTGATGCTCTGGATCAGAGTGTCTACACGACACTATCATTTCATGATGCTCAGGCAAACTCGAAAATAAACATATTTTCTACAGGCGACACGGCTCTACCTCGAACCGCAGCCGCATATGCAGCATCGGCTGGTTCGAGTGTCATTTGCTACCCGAACAAGCGAGAGCCGACGGCAGCGTATCAAGCTGGCTAGAGACTAGGATGCGTTGACTGTTTTCTCGACACTGCCAGTTTGATCGACACTCGGACCAGAGCAGAGAAGTCTGTCTCGCGAGGGCCCTTGAAGACTGACGGAAGTTATATACCAGAAGACTGGCAGACTACAGGCGGAATCGATCATATCCTTTGAGCGGTCCGTTGTCATCTCGACCTAGCATTTTAGCAGCAGCCTGCGGAATTGAGCTGTGCAAATTTTGAGAGTGCTTGGTGGTCGAATACTGAGCTTCGCGGAGAAACTTAGGGACTGTAAGGGTTCGTAGAGAGTGGTTTTGGTCCGTATAGCTTGACCGATCTAAAATTTCGTCGCTAGTCCCAATCATCATCATCACCATCATCATCTATGGGTTTTTTGTTGCCGCCGAGCTCTTCCTCACTATCTTTTCGCTTAAGGCGCATGTCGTTCTCGTTGATCGCGCCAACGTCCACGAGAAGCTGCTCGATGTTGCGAAGATTCGTCCGTGGTCCGTTCAACTGTGCCAGGGTTATAACCTGCCTCCTGATATCACCGTCCTTGTAGATCAGAATTGTTGGTGTGTTGCGTTCAGGGTAACCTTCGATACACAGGTCGGCTCTTATCTGGCAGAATTTGATATCGCCATACTTTGCCGCTGCTTGACGCCAGACTTCAGTCAAAACTCGGGACTCGACATTCGTTCCAAGCGAAGACGTCAAGTTGACAAGTACAAATGCATTGGCACTCTCGTCCGTGACGTCTCGCGCATAGTCGGGCTTCTGAAGTGGATAGACTTGACCATAGACACTTTTCTTCTGAAGAGTTGAGAGTTCGGCGAGGCGACGTTGCCGGTACTGCTCCAAAAATGCCTCGTCCTCTTCATCCTCCAGGTCGGCGAGTTCATCTAAGTCTTTATCCTCGAGCCGATTCTCGTGGGCTTTGCGTGTAGCCTCGAGAAGAGCTTCTTGAATGATTGGCTCTGGATCTTTTGGCTTCTCTGGGATGATGCCATGTTTGCGGAGAATATCATTCCTGTCATCAAAGTATGAACATGAATCTTTGCTTGCAACAGGGCGGGTAGACACAGGGCAGATGTATTTCGCTTACCATTCTGTATCGGCATTCGGGTCATCAACTGGCACATTGACTGGCATATCCATGTTGAAGAGAGATATGGAGTGATCGCAGCACCTTCAAATTTTCATCCTGACCTCCAACTAGGTGTCGAATTTTGTCTAGGCACCAATGATCTGGGATGAAGTGAAGGATCTGAAGCGTCGTCAATGTGACAAGACACGCTACAGCCACAGTGGCTTTCAAGTGTGGCGCACAACGCGCACTCCACAAGAATTTGGCTTCGGCGAGGACACTGTAGACATCCCCCTGCGACTTTCAACGGCCTCACGTCGACACTTTTCCCTTGTTGACACTCTTTCAGCGTGCAATCCACGTCAGTCTCTCCCTCTCCAGACATACTCTTCCTTTCTTCCTTCTCCGCGACATGATCGTGCGGTAGTCCACGCCAAATTCCCGTTATTCTCCTTGTGCTTTTCAGGGCATCCTCGTTATCCAACTCCAACATACACCCAAGAATACACGAAGGACCATATTTACAATGAGTTACGCAAAGAAGGACGAGGATGCTGACCACTCCGTCGGCTTCAAGCTGGACCGTACCTCTGTCTTTCAAGATGGTATACTTTTGCGCTTATTGTGACATTTTGGCATACTCCCAACTGACCGTACTTCAGCTCGATTGTTCAATTCCTCCCCCATCTCCCCTCGAAAATGCCGGACACTTCTCACGAAGATCGGCGTCCTCCTCTTTACCGGGGAGAAGTTCCCTACGAATGAAGCTACGACGTTGTTTTTCGGTATTTCCAAATTATTCCAGAACAAGGACCCCTCCTTACGCCAAATGGTCTATCTGATTTTGAAAGAGCTGGCCCATACGGCCGAGGATGTGATAATGTCTACCAGTATCATCATGAAGGATATGACGGTGGGAAGTGAGATCATCTACAAAGCCAATTCTATCCGAGCACTCTGCAGAATCATCGACGCCACCACAGTCCAAGGTATTGAACGACTGATCAAGACTGCCATAGTCGATAAGTCTCCAGCAGTTTCTTCTGCGGCGCTAGTGTCCTCGTATCATCTCCTGCCAATAGCGAGAGATGTGGTTAGAAGGTGGCAGAGCGAAACCCAGGAGGCAGCGTCCTCATCGAAATCTGGTGGTGGCTTCTTGAGCTTTGGGGGCAGTTCTCAACACTCCCTGGCAGCAGCCAACACAAATTACATGAATCAGTACCACGCTATCGGTTTGCTGTATCAGATGCGATCTCATGATCGGATGGCCTTGGTCAAGATGGTGCAGCAATATGGCGCGGCGGGAGCTGTCAAGAGCCCGGCTGGTGTCATGATGCTTGTCCGACTAGCTGCTCGACTCGCGGAAGAAGATGCCAGCCTGAGGAAACCCATGATGCAGATGCTTGATACTTGGCTGCGACACAAGAGTGAAATGGTCAATTTCGAAGCAGCCAAGGCAATCTGCAACATGCCAGATGTGACTGATGCCGAGGCGGCACAGGCGATCCATGTTCTGCAGTCTTTCCTGACTTCACCCCGAGCAGTCACCAAATTTGCGGCTATTCGGATCCTCCATTCTTTCGCGTCCTTCAAGCCGCAAGCCGTACATTCCGCCAACCCCGACATCGAGGCACTGATCTCCAACAGCAATCGAAGCATTGCGACCTTTGCTATCACTACTCTGCTCAAGACTGGTAATGAAGCTAGCGTTGACCGATTGATGAAGCAGATCCAAGGATTCATGGCCGAGATCACGGACGAATTCAAGATCACCATTGTTGAAGCGATCCGTACTCTCTGCATGAAGTTCCCTAGCAAGCAAGCTGGTATGCTCACATTCCTGAGTACGATTCTCCGCGATGAGGGTGGCTACGAATTTAAGCGTGCTGTTGTTGAGAGTATGTTTGACCTGATTAAGTTCGTGCCGGGAAGCAAGGAAGAAACTTTGTCACATCTATGCGAGTTCATCGAGGATTGCGAGTTCACAAAGCTTGCCGTCCGCATCTTGCACTTGATCGGCGTCGAAGGTCCAAAGACACCGCAGCCCACAAAGTACATCCGATACATCTACAACAGAGTCGTTCTGGAGAATGCTTTGGTTAGAGCCGCCGCAGTGACTGCCTTAGCGAAATTCGGTGTTGGACAAAAGGACCCGGAGGTCAAGAAGAGTGTCAAGGTATTGTTGACGAGGTGCTTGGACGATACAGATGACGAGGTTCGTGACCGAGCCGCACTGAACTTGCGGTTGATGGATGAAGAAGACGATATTGCCGAACGATTTGTCAAGAACGATTCAACATACTCATTATCAACCTTCGAACACAAACTCGTCATGTATGTGACATCAGACGATAAGTCGGTCTTCAGCAAAGCTTTCGACATTAGCCTGGTCCCGGTGGTCTCACAGGAGCAGGCCTTGGCCGAAGAACGGACCAAGAAGCTCACCACCGCTACCCCAACGCTCAAGGCTCCCAGCACCGGACCAGCCAAGCCAAAGGCAAATGGTCTTGCAGACGGTCCATCTGCCGCAGCTGCCGCCCAGAAGTATACCCAAGAATTCTCGAGAATACCTGAGCTTGCCGCTTACGGGCCGGTGCTCAAGTCCAGCTCTGTGGTTGCGCTTACGGAGAGCGAGACCGAGTACGTCGTTTCCGCAGTCAAGCATATCTTCAAGGAGCATGTGGTTATCCAGTATGACATCAAGAACACATTGGACCAAACAGTGCTTGAAAACGTTTCAGTCCTAGCTACAACATCTGAAGACGAAGAGCCGATTCTGGAAGAGGAATTCATCATCCCTGCCAATGCTCTGAAGACCAACGAGCCTGGCGTTGTTTATGTCGCTTTCAAAAAGGTCGAAGGAGAGGCATCTTTCCCTATCAGCACATTCAGCAACGTCCTCAAATTCACCAGCAAAGAAATCGACCCAACCACAGGCGAGGCCGAAGAAGGCGGATACGAAGACGAGTATGAGGTCGAGAATCTCGAGCTCACAGGAGCAGACTTTGTCTCACCTGCCTTTGCTGGTAGCTTTGATCACATTTGGGAGGGAACAGGTGCCAACGGCGAAGAATCTAGCGACACATTGCAACTGGCGAGCGTTAAAAGCCTGGCAGGTAAGTATTTACGACGCTCGGTTGGAGCGTGCTTCATGCTAATTTTTGATCCTTCAGACGCTACGGAACAACTCACCCAGACACTTTCTCTACAACCCCTCGAAGGCACAGACGTGGTTTTGTCCAACAGCACGCATACTCTGAAACTTTACGGCAAGTCAGTGACCGGTGGACGCGTTGCTGCGCTTGTCAAGATGGTGTTTTCTGCCAAGTCGGGCGTCACAGTCAAGGTATCTGTTCGGACAGATGAAGCCGGCTTGTCGGGCGCGATCATCTCGGTGTTGTCGTGAGCATATATGCATGGAACGAGATCAAAGGGTGTACGGACGTATGCATTTCTCAGGGGGATATAGGAGACTTGGTGGTACTCCAGTATTTTGTTGTTGTTGTTGTCGTTCCGTACAACGGGGAAATAGTAGCGCTGGTTTTGCTGGCTTGCTTTGCTGAATGACGATTCAAAAAAAAATTAGACACAAAGGACGAGACCGAAGGATAATTTCTGCCCGTACAATCGAATGTGTAGCAGCACGAGGAGAAGAAATGAGACGGGAGAGAAAGTTTGATGAATGTCCCGCGGCCTGAGTGAATGAAATGAGAATTGAACAGAATTTTGCAAAGGTAGAGAGAAGATGCGCATCCGATCATTACGTTCATTGTGTATCAAGCTCATACTGAATGTCGCGAGAGGTATCCTTTCAAAATTTCCGTCCGTTTGGAAGGTAGAGACGAGGAGCATCCGAGACTCACTTGCCATTCACGACCAGTTTGATTCTATCCCCGAGTCTTTCTAGTGTCCTGCACTTTTGACGTGGTCTGGTAAAGGAATCCTGAATGGGCAGCCACTGACTGGACCGGGTTCATTCTCGTCCAGTCCAAAGAGGAAACCAATCCCACGCTCATACAGTCACGAGTTCCGAGTTCACGGCGGTTCTTCTCGAGGCTTACTCGACTCTCGGTGTCAATGTAGATCACTCTCGCCGAAGGTGTCAGACGAGTGTGTGAAATAGGTCCCGTATGAGCGGGTGGGCCTGGTTTTCAGCGCCGAGGTTGGTCTTCACAGTACCGTGGAATCGATGCGTGTCTGGAAATAACCGCCCCCCCCACTGCTCTACGACGTCTGAAGTGAGATTGATAGGGTGATGGGTATTTTCTGGTCCCGCGTCTTCCACCTCAGAAACCCTTAGTCGCGCGCATGCATGTCATAGGACTGGCAAAAAGGGTGATGAACCTAGGACAGATGGATTTTGGATGCGTCATATTCTGGTGCGGTGGTCGACAAATTGGCCTACGTCGTCTTCTTCTTCGATCTTCCCTTTTTGGCTGTTGTTGAAGGTGTAGCTGGAACAGGTACGGTCCCCGCGTCGGCGCCCGACGAGAAACTCATACCTCCCGCTCCCGAGATGGCTGCCAGTGTGGCATCGTCAATTGCCGGGATTTCCGTGGTGGGTTCGACGGCGGCTTTTCCTTCCTTTTGTGCCACGCCCAAGACTTCAATGTTCTGTGCCAGCCAGGACTGGAGTTCCTTCTTTTGCAGGTATCCGTGGGTGTTGAACCATTGTGTGAATGAGCCTTCGATCTCTCTGTCTTGCCACTTTTTGCCCGACGGCGCCTCGTAAGACACTTTGAGTTTGTAACTTGGTTTGTACTTTTGAGTCGAGGATTTTAGGGTCAACTGTATACACCACGAAACCACGAAGAGTAATCGTCAGTATCGGTATTGCGGAAAGACTTGAGGAAACGGTGGAGGAACTAAATTTGGGGGGTTTGAAGCATGTGTGTGTGTGTGTGTGGGAGAGCGATAAAAACAGTGGTCTAACCTTTTGTCCTCCCTCTCTCGTACCGACAAACACTGTACCAGCTTCGACAGCCCAGATCCAATAAGTCAATAGACCATTGAGGACAAAGTACGCCACGCAGGCCGGACCGGTGTATGCCTTTGTCGCGTCCCAACCTAGTTTGTAGTCGGCGTAGAAGAGTATCCCAGCTATCACGACCGCGCTGTAGCCCAGGATCAGTCGGACGTTGGTGCTGGAGTGTTGTTGTTTGAACGTGTATGGTTTGGGGAGGCTCGTGAGGTACGGTGCCAACGCGTCGTCGGTGGCATTTTTGAGATCTGTGCAAAACCGAGTTAGATCTGGGATGTCTGCACTGGAAGAGATGAGTAATGATATACATACCGTTGACGGAGTAGAGGGAAACTTTTTGAGGTGGTGAGGACATCTTGGTGGTAGTGGTGATGGTGTTGGTTTCCAGTCTCGGTAGACTACTATGAAGAAAATGTCAAGTCGTCTGTAACATCTGTAAAGGTCATTGAACGCGCATTGTTTTGCCTTGTTATTTACTCTGTGGTGAATTGTTAATGTGTGTCGTTGACTCTACCTCTCATCCATTGCCAGCATCGGAGGACAGATGTTCGTTGACAGAGAAGCCGAAGTTGACCCGTTAAGTATGGAGTATTTGTTCATCTTCAGCCTTGTGGTCTCTCATCGACACATCATGTCTCTATTGACGTGATTGATGACCTACTGATATAACAACCTATCCTCGGCGTGTAGGGTATTGACTATGAGTCTGAGTTACCTCTTCGGCAGGTCTAATAGAAGAACCATTATCATTGGACATTTTATGTTCGTTCGCCCTTTGACCAAGTGCTGCCGCCTCGCCAGCCAATGTCTGACCATGATGAACCAAACTGAATGTTCTTTTCTTAGATTAGAGCACCTAGGAGGCCAGATCGATCATCTGTGGGGAAAACCAATGGCTCTCCTAAGAACACAGATTCTGGCCCTGTCCAGCAGAGTTAACCAAATGCCTCAACTCGTACTCCCGGTTTTCTAGGTAGGATCGGACGTTGCCGACGAGGCTGCCACCGCCAAAAAAAATTCGGGGGATCAGAGCGGCACATAGTAGAATCGCCCGTCCAGTCATCATCAGTCACACCACCGTCCATCCTTGTTAAAAGCCTCACGTGTGTTCCCAACATCAGGGCGCGCATGATAATCATCTCCTGACACTTTTTTGATTTCCAAGGACTCCTACGGACTTGCCCATCATTTTTCCATACCCGCCCCCCGGGACATCATCAGTGCAACCCATCAATAGTGGTATGATTGTTACTCGGTATGTGCAAGTATGATTTCGTGCCTCGTGTATCAGACCACGATCAACATTTGAACTGGTAGGTCCAAGTACAAAAAGGTGAGCTTCAGTACTTTGCAACTCTTTCCTTGTCACTACGATATTCATCATATCAATCCGACATTGAAATACATCTTTTCGACATCTGATATATTATACATACCTGCATCGATCACCTCAAATTCCAGTAAAAACATACACCACCACCACAAATCAACAACAACCCCCAAAATCTCAAAAATCCCAAAATCCCAAAAATGAATCCTCTTGTTTGGAAGGCATCGCCAGTATCGGCATCGATGCATACACTCCAGTACGCCGGCTTCTTCACGTCGTTCCTCATCCCAGCCGGCCTCTTCTTGGGATACATGAGAGACCCGGCCAGTGTCGCCGAGGCGAGGAAAAGATCTCAACGGAGAGCACAATGGATGAAATAAAAATTTCCCTCCAGAGACGAGTACTACACCAGAAATCATAAAGACGGCATTACCACCTCTCACCCGCTCTATGCTTAGCGGAGAACACTCCAGGGAGACTCTCTTGTACAGTCCGAGTCACTAGCTCATGGGATGCTTGACGCTATCGGGGCGGTGGGAAAGATGTAAAGACATACTAGACAATTTGTTATATTAGCGAACAAGTGCAGCAGGGACAGCATTGCAATGAAAGATGGCAAACGGCGCAGTTTTTGAGATTTGGTCCCAAGGTAATTGAGAGTTGCCTCTCTTACCTGGGACATGCACTTTACAATGAAATACGATGGGCTTTCGAGTCTACAATTTCACAAGACAAAAAAGAAACCCAAGTTTCTTGTTCCCTATAGTTACCGTGTCACTATCTACAGCTTGTGAATTACTCTCTGTGTTTACTTGCTGATTCCAAAATCTTAGTGATTTGTCCTCTCTTTCCCGATCCGCCCGACCGGGATCCAGAGCCAGACAACTCGCGCCGTCTCCGTGTCTGATGGTGGCTCCCTTCACAACGCAATTTCAAACATTCAATCTGACGGTCCACGAGCAGCATCGTCAAAGCCTCTCGCCAAGGCGGATCCTCGACGACATGGCCCCCTCCGCTTAAAAGTCAGGAACCTCAGGACGAGTGCTGTTTCGCCTTCTTCAACTCTCGCTTCAGCCCGCCCAGTCCGGTGGCGGCCCTGAACAAGCCGTCGGTGCAGCCCTTCCAGACGGTGTTGGCGAGGAGGACGCAGTACATCGTCGTCGCGAACGCACCCCTCCAGATCCACTTGGGCGTACCGAACCACCCGTCCAGCAAGTCCGACACCACGCGCTTCGCGTACTTTTCGCCGTCCATCACCAGGGTCCGGGCGTCCTCTCCCTTCATGTGCCTCTCGAACACCTCCCTCACGGGCCCGTAGATCGACCCCTCGGGCAGCGTGTACGTGGTCTCGAACTTGGTGACGTTGCTCTTGACGCCGCCCGTGACGAGCTCCACGACGCGGACGTCGAACGGCTCGAGCTCCACGCGCATGCAGTCCGTGAGCGTGGCGAGGGCTGCCTTTGCGCTGGCGTACGCCGTCGCGGGCGACTTCAAGGCGTGCGCCGATTGCGACGTGTGGTTCACGATGATGCCCTGGGAGTGGATGAGGTGCGGCAGGAGGATCTGGGTCAGTTCGAACTGGGGGAAGACGTTGAGCTCGAACATGCGGCGGAACTCTTCGGGCGTGGTGTCCGCGAACGGCATGACGATGTTGCCGCCGGCGTTGTTGAAGAGGATGTCGAGCTTCGTGACGCCGGAACAGAGGGTGCGGATCGACTCTGTCGACAGCAGGTCCAGCTCGCGCGTGTCGACCCCCAGCGAGGTCAGCCTGGTGAGTCGCGACAGAGAGCGCGCAGTGGCGATGACATGGAAGCCTCGTCGATGGAATTCCTTGGCCAACTCTTCACCGACGGAATCCTCAGAGCACCCCGTTATCAGGACCGTTTGTCTGGAGTCCGCCATGTTGTGTCTCGAGCAGGCTTGCAATCGAAGTACACTGGCTATTCCCCACAACCTGGAGATACAAGAGATTCTGGAAAGGGCACAAAAACTGAGTCTTACTTGCCAGGCGGGTAGACCTTCTTTTGTCCTGTACCAAAAATTGGGACGCCTGAAGATTCCGAATATGTATTCGCTTGCGAAAACTCACTTGTCAGACAGACGCGCAATCAATGAACATCAAAAGCACCAAGTCACTCGCCCTTGGAGGATGGAGACCGAGTTCAAAGATATATATTATTCCAGGTTGAGCGTGGTTGCAAGATCTGGACTATCGAGCTGGTCTACTCCGTGGTCTTCAGGGTATGACTGTGAGTTATCTTCGTATGTATTTTACCTTACCTGGGTACTCCAAAAAGGCTTTCGCCGGACACGCGGTCTCTCAGTGCACAAGAGCTCTTCCATTTCCCCGACCTGGGCAGGCATTCATTTTATACTGAAACCCTCGTCCTTGAATCCCTACCTCTCCAGAGTCGGGGCCTATGGAATACCCTGTGGGTAGTTTGCGCATGCCGAGCTACTTAGGGCAGCTAGTGCCCAAGACACAATCGTCATCCCGGAATTTGCGCCCCGCCAACGCACCTACAGAGCCAAGTTCACGTGTGATCAGAACGCCCCCGCACTTTGAAAACTTTTTGTCCTTTGAATATTAAAGGGCTCAAAAAATCGACACATTCAGGCGGGTGGCGTGGTGTAATGGTCAGCATGTATCGTTGTGGTTATTCATCGTACAGCTATTCTTTGGCCGTATATCATGGTGTTTCCCAGCTCCGATCCGATCCCGGTTCGATTCCGGGCGCCGCCACAGTTCTAAACGTGGTGGTGCTTCGCCTTGTTATTTTTATTGTTTTTGGTTTTTCTTCCCGTATTTTTTTGGACGTGCCTATGCTTGCCAATCCCTTTTCTGGGTCAAGCAAACGCAGGCAGTTATATAGGAGCGCGTTCCAACATTCAATATACATACGTATATATGCCGTGAAGAAAAATGACAATGCCTCTGCAGTGTTCAATGGAATTGGCAGTAGATGTATTCAAGGCAAGCCGCAGACGCTCTTGACTCCTCATTTGCCACCCCCGACATGAGTTACACCGTACGGAGGATAGAACTCGTCACTAGAGAGGCTTCAAGTACCGTCAGGCTTTTGGAGTACTGCTAACAATGTTCGGGATGACTTCAGGTAGAGTCGGGATTTTTCCGACATTGCTCACCAAAACCCTCACGCATCGGAACGGCTGTCGGCACCCGGGGATCGGTAATTCGATTCATCTCATACATCAGTCCCGATAATGACCACGGCTCCCTGAATGTCACCGCTCTCTTACCAGGATCATCACCATCTTCTGGTATGCACGTTGCAAAGGAATCAGCCGAGTAGCTGGACCCGTGGAGTGGCATCCTTGAACGATCGGATTGCGCGGGGATCGCTGGCACCGCTTGAAGTATATAATAGTCCTCTGTCCTAGAGGCATTCCGTCAGTCGTGGTCGCCGAGACGACAATGTCTAATAGCATCGAACGACTCTCGAGCATATCTAGACATCTGAGTACACCTGGTCATCCTCCGACTTCGACAAACATGATGAAACCCAGGAAGAACTTTGAGGTCGCTGTCGTTGGCGGTGGCATTGCAGGGTTGACACTAGCCATTGCACTGTACCACCGTGGCGTACCCATCACAATCTACGAACAAGCACCACAGTTTGGTGAAATAGGTGCCGGCGTGTCCTTCAGTCCCAACGCGGTCCAGGCTATGAAGGTCTGCCACGAGGGTGTGTACAGGGCGTACGAGAAGATCCGCACGAGCAATACCTGGCCGTCCAAACAAAAGGTCTGGTTTGATTATCTCAACGGCCTGGCAAATCCCCCTGAAGGCCGCAAAGGACAAGATATAGCCTTCACGATCAAGACCAAGAACGGCCAGAGCGGTGTACATCGAGCAAGGTATCTCGATGAGATGGTGCATTTGGTGCCCAAAGACATTGCTCGATTCGGCAAAAGGTTGAAAGCGGTCGAGCAAAACAGCAATGGTAGACTGGTCATGGAGTTTGAAGATGAGACATCGGCAGAAACGGATGCTATCATTGGTTGTGACGGTATCAAATCAACGGTGAGACAGATTATTGTCGGCCGAGACCACCCTTCTGCGCGTCCAGTGTATACACACAAGTATGCTTATCGGGGCCTGGCCCCGATGGACAAGGCGATCGAAGCGATCGGTGAAGAACTAGCGCAGAATTCATGCATGCATGTGAGTTATCTCCTACTCGTATTATGCTGCAAAAACCCCGCTGACTTGCCACAGATGGGCCCTGATGGCCATGTCTTGACATTTCCCGTTGACCACGGTCGAACGCTGAATATTGTTGCATTTCGAACGACTCCAGAAGAGTGGCCAGATTTCAACAAGCTCACAAGGCCTGCCAAACGGGAAGACGCCCTCCGTGACTTTGCTGAATATGGAACCAACGTCATCAGTTTGTTGAAATTGACGAAACCAGATCTTGATGTCGTAAGTAACATGAGAATATAACGTTGACATACCACCCTTGACTGACTGCATTGCAGTGGGCCATCTTTGATCTTGGAGAACATCCGGTTCCTACCATGTACAAGGGACGCATCTGCATCACGGGAGATGCTGCACATGCAACGTCCCCGCATCACGGTGCTGGCGCGGGTTTCTGCATCGAAGACAGTGCCGTCCTTGCCGAACTCCTGGCCGACGAGATTGTCCGAGAGCCTCAAGATCTGGAGGCCGTGTTCGCGACCTTCGATGCCGAAAGGAAAGACAGAGGTCAGTGGCTGGTGCAAGCCAGTCGACATATCGGCGACTGCTACGAGTGGCGAGCAAAGGGTGTCGGAAGGGACTTCGACAAAATCGAGTCGGAGATCAACAGACAGAACGCCATCATTGGAGACTTTGATGTTCCGGAAGCTTGCGAAAAGGCGAGAGCGGAGCTTCATAGAAGGCTGAAAAGCTCATAGGGTTGCCGTCAATTTTGAGACAGAGAGGACAACGACGAGGTGGTAGCATTGTGATCCAAATTCAAATTCAGTCCAAAATAGTCGAGGTCAGGGAGGTGTTGTCCAAACCAAGCATCTGATATGTCGTCAACCCCATACGTTAGAAATGGACTGAAGTTCAGTGTCGGAATGGCATCCGCATCGACGTAGTTCGCGGCGTATGCGGGCTGCATCTCGGTCTCTTGAGCACTGTTCCCCCCCTCAATGGCTCTTTGAGACGAACGAACATGAGAAGAGATATTTTTAGGGTTCAGTTGATTTTGGGATAAGGGTTGGGAGCGAGAAGCTCGAACTCTAAGCTTTTGGAGGGCCCGGATTGCTTGAGGCGCAGAGATGATTTGCTCTTCATAGTGTTTCAAAATTCGTAGGCAACGGTCCCAACTTACTTCAAAAGACTGCTCTGCATCCTGTATTTGTATATCTCCAGGACATTGCATCGCGGCGAGCAAGGTGATCATGGCCGCGAATGTGACTGCTGCATTGTCAACGCTATCCTGAGCAGACCGCCATGTTGAACGTACAATACACCGAGTGCCATCCGCTACTCTTGTATGCAGTATCAAGATGTTGGTGGATGATCTCAATTAGTCTATGTGCCATTCGAACACATAAATTGCAGCACTGGATGATTAAATGCCGATCCAGCGAGGATTCAGTGTCCATTTTGCCGAACTTGATGGATTGTGGATGGCTGTGCCGGATCGTGGAAAGCAGAAGCGGCCGTAACAAGAGCAGCCGCACATAGAGAAACCTAAGTCAAAGTGAGGACTGGACAAGCTTTCCGCTGGGGTAGAAATACCTGCAGTATAACACTTGCTGTTGCAGGTGGACGCAATTGTTCTTTTCTGACACATCCAGTGGTGATACTTCTGAGGTCTGTAAGTAGTCTGGTATCGATGTCGCAAAATTATCAAGTCGACGGTTGAGCCTCAGAACAATTTCGACTAGGTCATCGGGCTCAGAATTCGCTGTATAAAATGTCCGCAAGATCTCTGCAAGATGTTCGAAAAGCTTGCAGGATGAGACAAACAAGCCTAATCGGGAGGGAATATCCACAGGCTGAAGCCCTTCCTCCCCATCGTCGCGCAAAAATTCATCATCTATCGATAGAGGGATCGGAATATTACCGGCATCTTGAAGCATAGTCGGCCGTCCAAAGGTCATGGCAAGAAGTCTTCCTTCGTGTTAGTGGTCTCTTGCATCGCCTTTATAGATTTGCCTACCTGTCTAGCATGACACAAGTATGCCAAACACGGCGGTTCATTTCACGATCCAGCTGTGTCTCGCCTTCCCGCTCGCTATGGATATGCAGACCCAGGCTCTGTGCTACCCTGACTGCAAGTCCGACAACGTTCCAGCAGCGAGTTGCATACCTCGAAGATTGGAGATAGACGCCCTGAAGTAACAGCAACTGTACTGCAGGTAACGACGATGAGTCTAGCACATCGAAAACAAAAAGGCGCCTAGATCGCTGGTAGAAGTCGTCGGCAATTGATGATCTTTTGCTGGAGGGAATCAGTGTGCTAAATTGGCAACCTAGAGCAAAGACCAAGTTGAGCATCGATGCAAGAATACTCTGGCTGTCATCAGACTTCTCCTCAAAAGCGACGCTCGGAAGACCTGGAAGCCACAAGGCTCTGTACTGCCTCTCCAGCGACGGCCTGTGGATGATGGGGAAGACCGGATGAATGAATTCCCAGTAACACGCAAGGTAATCGTCTGCGTTGCGACGAACAGGATAGACAACAGCACTGTCGTCCATTTCGCGAACAATCTCTACGTAACCCATTGATCGTTGGTTGAGGCAGCGGTGTCTCTTCCTCGAGCTGGTGGCTTCTGAGGATGCATCCAAGGTGTGGGTTCTCTTCGCCATGTGCCGAATGAGGTTGATCGTGGAAGAGCCACCGTATAGCGCCGTGTCGCTCTCAGCGGCGACAGTCGCAACTCCATCGACATGGTGCTCCCCGTTGGTTTCGTGTTGCGACTGCTCGTCGTGAGATTCGGCTACAGCAAACGGAGTTGGTTCCGACTGGATAATGAAAGGTCCTCGACTATCCTGGACCCGAGTTCGTGATTCTGCATCCTGTTTTTGGAGGTCAAGCAGAGGGCGCTCAAAAATACACGTGGACCCAACTCGTCGTTTGTCACACGCAAGGCAGACTGGCAGTCTGCCATCACAACGGGTCTTCCGAGAGCGGCAGTTATTGCAAGCCAGTGAGATCTTGGATCGTTTACGTCGGGTTGATGGTGACGGTGCTTCTGGGGCAGTAAACACTGTGGTATTGCTCCGTGTCGGATTGTTTGTCACCTCGAGTTGAGACATGGAGCTTAATCGTCGATCTTGGAATGCTGGTCGCATCAGAGGAAGTGAAGCACAATATGAAGTGGGAAATCCGGGGAAGTCAAGACCAAAGGAGGATTGGTTTAACCAGTAATTCTTCAGGGAAGTCATTTATTTGACTTAACTATTAACTAGCCCGTCTAGGCAAGGCTTCCGGCGCCTCTATCGCCTAAATGTGTTTAATGATCCTCTGAATTCTGCTTCCCTAAGTACACTAACCCTTTAGATGGACCTTAGTCGCTTTGGCGACCTCTTAACTTACTCCCTACTCAAACGTCCAACTCCAGGTATTTTCCATAACGACACTGATAACATTTACTCTGTCGCCCCGCGACCCTATCGCTGTCTTTCAATGATCGCCAGAACACTACTTTAGTCATGGCTGTAGGTGCTACGGTACCATTCGTGTCATCACCCCTCTCCTCTCCGCCGCCAAATCAATCCTTTAGCAAAACAATCTCTACTACATCTACCGGTCCAACATATCGAACAGCAGCAGAGTTCCCATTTGAACTCTCCCAGCACGTTCAAACATACTATGAGGAACGGCTTTTCACCCAAGCATATAACTTCCTCATCTCCATCGTCAGCAATAGCGTATCTCATGCCGACCCTTTAAAACCCGTCACGATCCCACCTTCACCACACCTCGCACTCGCCGCCACCATCTCGGTCCATCCTGTATTCACCACTCGTACATACTCGCGCGAGAAATGGGACCAGGCCAACTCTGCCCTTCGACTCCTGCGCCTTGTAAGCTCCCTTGCCGGACCTATAAATGCAGACTTTCCAACGGCATTTGGTTTTCATAGATATGATAGCCGCAACTCTCGTCACACCAGCACCACGCGCTACGATGATGATGATGAAGAGTATCACTCGGACAACCATTCTGTCACATCCACGGACCTCAACACCCCCTACGCTTCTTCACAGTCTCTCTTCACATGCTGTGAAGATTTCTGGCATTTGGTCGGCTGGGCTCTCAATTGCTCTTCCCTAGCGATGCCGTCGACAGTTCATGCTTCCCGTTGGGCCCATTACAACTCCCTCCTGACATTTCTCATAGATCTACTTGAAAGGGACTGGAGCCTTCGTACCGGTGGCCCTTCGTCTACTCCAGAAGAGAGCCTGTTGTGGAACTACATAGAGCTGGCCTCGGGCGGTCACGCCAAAGCCCGACGCATCCTGCGAGCCATCTTCGCTGACGGCAGCACTCGGCCGATGTCTGAGTTTCGTCCTATCTTTGCTCACGAACTCAAACCGCCCACCAAACAAGATACCAAAACGGTAGCCAAGCGCGAAGATGTGGACATCGATGCAGATATATATGGTGACTATCTCATGCGCGACGAGAGTGAACTTTCCGACGATGACAATGCGAGTACCGCAACAGGTACGACCGCGTCTGGACGGCCCGCCAAACGTCTACGGCGGGCGGGAAGCCGCCCTCACACGCCGAGTGCAAAGGTCACGCCCAAAACTAGCGCTGGCAGTCTGAGGAATGACTACCAGGATGGTGCCGATAACACAAACGTCGCGTGCCTGGGTGATATAGAAGCACTAAATCTACGGATGAGGTTGTTACGGCTATTGACATATGTGTCAGAGCACCCTACTTTGACGGCAACGAGTCCTACCACATTTCCAGATATGGAGGAGCTATTAACACTTTTCGTTGAGTTTATCAAGCCCTTACCTCTGTCAGTGTTTGCCGGAATCATTCTCACGGCTCCATCCACCGAACCGAATTCACACGGCGTAAGTCGAATGCAAAGTCAAGTTTTCGACCCGCAGACAGAAGCACTTCTCTGCGAATCCCTGCTACAGCGAATCCTGGAGAACTGTGCACCATCGATCCGAAGTGACGTGCTACTATCACAGCAGAAGTTGACCGAGGAGTATCTCCCCTTTGCAGCAGGAAAAAATACCGTTGATGCAAATGCACGGGTATCTCTGCTGTTAGAGGCATTGACTAGAAGTCTGGCCCAGCTCGGAGAACTGAAGCGTGAGGACGATCTGACAGCGGCAGTGTACAGGGGCATTAAGAAAAGGATGAGTAAGGTTGTTGATAGTTTCGAGGGGAAGAGGCCTAGAAAAGGAGAGAACAGGAGCGACGAGGCATGGATCCTGCTCGTTGAGAGTGGCGACAGGATGGGAAGGATTGTTGACGGGCTTCAAGCCGAGTGATGTATGTAGGTGTCTGCTGTATGACATTAATTAGCATATCCTGTAAACTCTATACGACTGTTTACCTCTTATCATTCTTGAGACACCGCAGCATGAAAAAGGGGGAGGAGGTGACAGCCATGTGGCATGAAAGCCACGGGACGGCGGACAAGGCTACGTATGCCAAGCCGAGGCTCCCACCCCTCCAAGATTCTAGAATCGGACAGGGCAATTACTGGGATTATTTGTTTTGAAAGACCCAGGGTCCAAGACACACACATCTGTTGCCTCCCTCTGCTCGAACAAACGTGCCTTTTCTTTACCGTTTGAATTATATCATCACCTAGTCATTTCGAATTCCTCTAGAAATTGACTGTCATGGCTGGCGAAACGTTTTCTCTCGCCGGCAAAGGCCTCAAACTTGACACCAAGGAGGACATTGAGAAACACATCGCACCCCTCCAAGAGTCTTCCAACGTCACACACATCGACCTCTCGGGCAACACGCTCGGTGTGTCGGCATGCGAAGCCCTCGCGCCCATACTCTCGTCCAAGAGCACCCTCCGGAGCGCCGACCTCCACGACATCTTCACCTCCAGACTGCTCGAGGAGATCCCCCCGGCGCTCTCGTCCCTCTTGACGGCGCTGCTCGAATGCCCCAACCTCCACACGATAGACCTGAGCGACAACGCGTTCGGGCTCAACACAAAGGACCCTCTCGTCGACTTCCTCTCCAAACACGTGCCCCTGAAACACCTCGTCCTGAACAACAACGGCATGGGCCCCATCGCGGGGACGTCCATAGCCGAGGCGCTCGTCGCCCTCGCCGAGCGCAAAGAAGCCGCCCGGAGGCAGGGCAAGGACGTGCCCCACCTCGAGAGCATCGTCTGCGGCCGCAACCGACTCGAGAACGGCAGCATGGCCGCCTGGGCCAAGGCGTACGAGGCGCACAAGAAGGGCATCAAGAGCGTGAAGATGACACAGAACGGGATCCGGCCCGAGGGTATTTCGCACCTGATCTCCTCGGGCCTGCGCCACTGTGAGCACCTCGAGGTCCTCGACATGCAGGACAACACGTTCACGCTCAAGGGCGCCCTCGCACTCGCGAAGACGCTCGAGGGTTGGTCCGGCCTGAGGGAGCTGGGCGTGGGCGACAGTCTCCTGGGCGGACGGGGCGCCGTGCGGGTCTTCGAGTCGCTCGCGTCGGGCGGAAACGGTGGGGTCGAGATTTTGAGGTTGCAGTACAACGACATCAACCCGGCGGGCGTCAAGGCGCTGGTGCAGGCGGCGAAGGACGGCTTGCCCAAACTGAGGCGCGTCGAGCTCAACGGGAACAAGTTCGACGAGGAGGACCCGTCGATCGAGGCGCTGAGCGAGCTGCTGAGCGAGCGCAAGGACGAGCACGGCAAGGACGACGACCCGGACGAACACTGGGGTCTGGACGAACTCGACGAGCTCGAGGGCGAAGACAGCGACGAGGAGGAGGAGGAGGAGCATGAGGAGGAGGAGGAAGCAGACGAAGTACGTGCCAAGCTCGTCGAGCTGGACGAGCAGGCCGAGGAGGCCCCAGTGGCCGAGAGGAAGGACGCCGACGTCGATGAGCTGGCTAGTAAACTCGAAAAGGCTTTGTGATGATGGGTTCAACATACAGAAAAACGGAGAACGGAGAAACGAGGGGATTGGATTTGGAATTGACAATAAGTGAATTGGGAATTGTGCATCAAACCTTTTTGACACGGTGCAAAATGACTTCGAGTATATATAGCAAGGCGTGGCTCCAGCATAGCATGCATGGTACAGTGGTTTGGGTTTTGTTTTGGCACACTCGATACCCCTTTTTCAAAAGACAGATTCAGATGGATACCAGGAGAGATGTAGATAAATGGTTACCCACAATCAACGCGAGTCGCATCATATTCATTTTGTAGTATTAAGACTTTTCTTATGGAGTATAGAAGTTGTACTAAGGCACTGTTCTGGATGCCATGTTCCTTTATACACTGTCCTGGTCTAGACTGGCTGGTATTTGCCGTTGTCATTACAGAGAAGCCTCATCAATCCTAGATATGACACATGACTTTGTGGGTCAAGCGACTATTGGGATCAAAGGTTACTCGGGCAGCGGCGAAACACCACCCACTGGCTCCCATTCTCCAGTCGTATGTTGTACGCCTGCTCGTCTTCGTCGAGACGAAAGCGGCGGTATCGACCATCCAAGACCAACAGTGACGGGGTTGGTCGGCAAGCTTAGAATGGGCTAGCTGCATCCACGAGAGCCTCATAGTCAGGACTCGTTGGTCGGAATAGGTGGAGGGTTTGGTCCATCTTGGTCTCGAAGAGCAGGCGAGCTCAGCTGCCATAGATGCTCAAGAGTCTGTCGTCGGCCTCGTCAAGAATACTCCAATGCTCGAGAACCTCCAGATTCTCAGCCTCGGCCAAAAACATCTTGTCAGGATCCTGGCCCGGTCCAAAAGGATTCGCGTTGGCGCCGGGATTCATTTGAGCCATCTGCTGGGCCATCTGACTCGCCGCATTCTCATTGCCCAGAATGAAAATGAAGACACTCTGCAGGCCGAACAGACACAAAAAGTACCACGACAGACTGCTCACCCATCTGACATCGAGGTCCCTGGTCATGACGCCGGACTGGAGCATGCTCTTGAAGCGTATGGTGAGAGGGAAAGGCAGTTTCAAGATGACAAAGCCCGCGAAGAAGGCGTTGATCCAAGACATGATTAGTGTCTGCGGGATCATCATGGCCATGTTGCCCTTCATCATGCCCATCATGCCTTCCATGGCTGCGGGGTCGGACATCGGGTTCGGAGCTGCCTGGCCGCGAGACTGAGGACCACCACGGAGGAACGAGCCTTTTTTGAAGGAGTCGATGAGGTATTCTTTCCGACTCGCAAAGGAGGAGGTTGTAAGTGCGGCGTTGGCGTTGTTTCGCAGGTTGATGCCTCTCAAGATTGCCTGACGTTCGCGGGATTCGAGCAAGGAAGACGGAGGCTTAGGAGGGGTATGTAGCAGAACAGTTGCATAGTGTCGTAGAACGCCAGTCAGGATCATCACAATCGTGATGGGAAGGAGGATCCAGTAGCTGTGATCAAAAGTTAGGTGGCTTTGCTTCAACTGAGATAATGACCTAGGCTCTAAAGGTACTTACAAGAGCGCAGGATCACGATGGATCGTTTGCTCAACACCGGGAAGAGCCATGATGGGCGATGGTATGAAGAGCTCGGGACGTCCTCGATGTCGCCGTCGTAGTCGTGGGAGGAAGTACCTCGTAGTTGACTGGTGAGTGTGAACACAAAGCAGTACGGAGGGAATTCGGGAGACCTTCTGTTTCGGGCTGAGGCGTAATAGTTTGTTTCCCAGATATGAATACCCACCTCCAAGAAGTCTTCGACACCATGATGCGACTTTAACTCTACGCCATAGAATCAGACGTCTTGTACGACTAGAACAGCTTTAAGATGCTCGTTCCTATCTAGCAGCCAATGTAACGAACTTTCATGATCTCGCATGCGGTTGTTCAATGGATGTTCCAAATATAATGCTGCAAGGCGACACACAGAGGCTCGACGAGATTCCAAAGCTCTTCTCCGACACTTGATGTCTCGAATTCAGCAGCAAACTTGGGCTCACATGTCCTGAGTTGGAGCCAGTAAATATGAAAAAGACGTCCCTTCCATTCCAAATACGGGAGCAGACAGAGCAATGCGAAAGCAACATGGGTAAATGTAAGGTAGTCTCAATGGAGTATAGACTCCAGGAGGACACTGATATCAACGACTACACCACTTTCCAGATGAGATGGCCACCACATTGACAACGACCGCCACAGTAACGAGCAAGGACATGGCAGAATACAGGCTGAAGGCCGCATTTGAGGAGCACGCCTTGACACTGGGAAGCAAGTCACACGTATGCTACTATGCATTTGAAAAGCATTTTCATTGCTACTGTCTCCTTTCTCAGCTTTGAGCATGATGCGCGCTCCTCATTGACCCATTTCGAGCCCGTCTAAACCAACTCCCAGTCCTCACTCTTCTCCTCCACTCTCACGTAGCCCTCATGAGCCATTTGCAACTCCTCCAAGATCTTCTCCTCGCAGGCGCCGCACACACTCATCACCGCCAATTTTTTGTAGTCGGCGAGGGACACTGACAAGGTAGAAACACGCGGTTTCTCTTTCCAGACCACCGCCCAGGTCTCGGTGCAACCCGAGCAATAGTAGAAGGCCACTCCGGCCGCTTTGTCTCCTTTGTAGCCATCTGGTGCCGTTGCTTTCTTGATGACTGTTGGGTGGAGGGAGGGTTTGATGGTGGTGGTGGTGGGTTCGTCGCTCTCGACGAGCGAGAAGAGGACGTCAGGATTGGAGACCGTTGGGTCGGTCGCTGGCAAGGTTTGGGAGGAGGAAGAGACTTTGCTGGACGACATCGTTGTTGAGAGGGATTGTCGGATGATTCAAGTGTCTTTTTCAATGGGAACGATGCTCGCCTTGTTATTTTGTCGATGTTAGGGATGTGAGAAGAAGTGAGAAATGTGGTAGTAATAAGACAGTGCCGGAGGCATGATTGTACATCTGAAGCATCTGCACTGAATAATGAGGTGCGGCGGTATTGTCTATTGTTGCGCGTTGTCCTGGTTTAGTACCATCAAAGGCGGTGTTGAGAGTGTTAACAAGTATTCTTCGCCAAGCGGTGTTGAAAAGGACAGCACAATGAAGGGCCATGTGGACCTGGTGTGTTGAGCGTGAAGGATCAAGAGGCTGTTCCCCTGAAACAGCCCAGCCTTGTTCAAAGAGGTCATCATGAGGTCTTATTATGTCCTATGACCAGGGATGACAATGATGATTCCGTCGTGGCCATGGTTGGCTTCCAAAGTATGACAGAGCATGACTACCTCTAGAATCCCACTGTTGACATCCCACATTGGCCAACAGCTAATGGTGTGAGAAACCCCAAGAATACAGGGCTTATCTGGGATCATAGCAGATTTCGATATACCGGATTCAGATATCAGGCATGTTACCCAGGGCATATCAAGCTGAGAGATAGTCACGTAGCGTCACAGCGCCATTGTAACAGCTTCAGCGTTTAGAAGTACCAGGTACCCACGACTCGGGCGTCCAGTTTGTTCCATGATTTGACCCGGTCTCTTCAACCTGCTTCCATGGATCCTTGGGTGACTGGGCAGGAGTTTCAACACCACTCTTGCACTTTTCGGGTCGAGGAGGTTGTTCAGGTGTGCTTTCAGCTATTGCTCTATCTTTCTGAGGATCCCCAGAGAGCTGTTGTGTGACAGTTGGCTTTGGCTTCTCAATATACTTTGCTTTCGCTGCCCATCTCTCATCCGCCAGCCTTGCATTGTGTTTTAAGGTTGCTTGTCTTTGCAGATCCGCAGCTTGTTCCTGCAGACTTGGTGGATCCGACCGAGTCTGTCGCAGCCATTGATGCCACTGAGGTGAAATCTGGACATCGGCATAGAGGGTTTTACGGTCGGCCTTGACCATCCGTCGCATTCTGTTGTGGTTGAGAGCATCTCGAAACTCCCAATATGTATTTCCTACCAGATCTTGACCTGGGAAGGTGTTAGCATACGCTTAAGCGACAGAATGTAGTTTCAGAAACGAACCGACGAGGAATCGCTTGCGCCATGGAAGGCGTAACATTTTCCAGCGGATCCATAAATCTCTCATGGTCCCCATTGTGGTGGAATCTCTTGGGTATTGGTAGAGACCGATCAGAAGGATGGACGATGAGATTCTTGCATAAGCCGTGCAGTACAGTGGAATAATGTGTACAAAAAGATGTAGAATGACGGGATTGTGCAGTGGCTTGTTCTGATCGACGTCAACCTGCAGGGGTCAATATTCCACCCGCCTGGTGCCTCGAGGGTCTTGATCACTCTTACTATTACACTGCCACTCTTTACCTTCCATGCTATTCACTTCCTACACAATATCTTCGCATGGTATACCTAGACACCTCTTTCACTAACCCCAAGAACATACACTCTCCGATCAACCATAATCATGGCTTCGGTCACGAGTCTCGACCAGGACATGCGCAAACTGCGCCTTGACCGGTACACGCCTGGTGCCGCGAAAGAAGTAAGAGCGTGGATTGAAGATACACTGGGGGAGAGATTGCCTCCAGGGGATTTGATGGATGCCTTGAAAGATGGTGTCGCGCTCTGCAAGTAAGATGAAACCGTATATCACAATGCGCCGACGCTGATGGTTATGTTCTGCCAGACTTGTCAATCTAGCGGTCGCTCCAGGCGTCAAGTATAAACAGTCCAACATGCCATTTGTGCAGATGGAGAACATATCTCATTTTCTACGCGCCTGTGAACTACCACCATTGAATCTACCATCCCACGACCGCTTCTTGACTGTCGATCTCTATGACGGTAAAGATCCGGCACAAGTTTTACAATGCATTTCCGCCTTCAGTCGCGCTGCAAATGGCATAAACCCAGGAGCATTCCCATCCACTCTTGGTGCGAAGAGTAAAGGGGCAGCCATGAGTCCGCAAGGAACGGGATCAAGTGGACCGAGATCACCGGCGTACACCACCACAACAGCGGCTCGGCCTCGAGGCACGAGCAACGCTACCGTCGACAGCCCTTCATACACCTTTAACCCGCTCAACAAAGCAGCATATTCGGGTCGAATAAGTCCAACCAAGAATACCCTTGGGAGGGGCGGGCTCGCTACAGGCGGGCCGGTCAGTACCTGGAGCAGCAAAGCTGATGAAGGCAAGACGGCACCGGCGTGGAACATTCATCAGTACGGGTACATGGGCGGAGCTAGCCAGGGCAACCAAGGTGTCGCATTTGGCGCACGGAGACAAATCACCTCTCCCGCTCCCAGTGTACCGAGCGCTGCAGAAAAGGAAAAGCGTCTCAGAGAGGAGGCCGAGCGCAAACGTCGTGAGGCAGAAGAACAAGAACGGCAGCAGCAAGCACAAAGGGCTGCGGAAGAAGAGCAAGCCAGACTCGAAGAAGAGCGGAGGTGGGCCGAGGAGACGCAACGGGTTCGAGAACAGGAACTGGAAGAACAGCGGGTCCAGGAACGTGAACGTCTACAGGAAGAAGATCGTGTGCGACAGGAAGAACAGCGTCGTAGAGAGCGTGCCTACGAACTTGAGCGAGAACGTGAAGCCGCAGACCAAGCTGAGCGAGAAGCACGATCGGCAGCCGAACGGAGTCGCCAACGTGCGACGAGTGACGCCCGCTTGAATGGACAATTCCTCAGCCAGTATCAGGCAGATCAAGCTCGAGTGAGTGCTGCAGCTTCGCACAAGCAGCATATCATCGAGCAGGAGTCCACCGAGAGCAGACGCATCGCCGAACTCGAACGTCAACTGGAGGAACTCAAAGCACAGCAACATCACCATCCCACGGAGCCATCCCCGCCACCCAGGCTCCAAGCGGAGCAGCCCAGACAGCCTCCCCTTCCAAGCCGGTCCAACGTCGGCACGACAAGCCACGAGGACGACTGGGACGCCTCGGAGCGAGACTACCTCAGACGCGAATGGCAAAGGACCCAAGACCTCGAGCAGGACACAACATCACCACCTGCGAAGCCGCCCCGCCCCGAACCTGTCCCGGCGCCCTCGACCACTTCCACCCGGCCCCTCCCCGACCCAATGACCTATACTCCCGGCACGAACCGCACGGACCGGTACCTCGCGTCCCACGCTGCGCCGGCGCAACCCCCGGCCTCGTCCCACCGCCCTCAGGATTACTCGACCACGACGGAAGTGGACCTCGAAACCCAACGACGCATGCAGTCCCAGGCGCGCACCAAGGCGGGCGGGTGGGCGTCAAAGTCCCTGCTCGAGCGGGAGATGGAGCGCGAACGCGAACGGCAGCGGGAGTGGGAAGAGGGCCAAAAGGACACGGCCGCGAGGGCCCGCGACATCAGGGAGGGCAGCGCCCCGGGCCAGAGCTGGGATGTGCATCAGTACGGGTACATGGGAGGGGACAACCAGAACCGCGGCGGCACCGGTCTGGGTGTCGGTGGCGCCAGAAGGCAGATCATTGGGCCTCGACCACCTCCTTGATTGCTCTCCTGTCAAGACATGCTGATGCGTTGCGTGAGAAATTTGGGGCACTTGGGCAAGACACGTTTGAGATGATTGAAACGAGGTATATGAGAATTCGAGTATAAGTAAACTTCTACGGAGTGCACATTAACGTGGGTAACATGGTGACACTGCTGGCTTAGCTTTTATGTGAAGTTTTGGATCGGATTCACGATATTCATATTGCACAAAATTGAAATTGAGATTGATCTTGGATTACGACGGTGGTCCTCTGCCATCTTGATTTTTGTTCCACCAATCAAGAATATATCATTGGACTTTCTCAAGAGCTCGTTTCATTCTGTTTTGGAAGAGAGAGCGAGGATTGACGGCCGAGGGAAAGCACCAACGTCGACACTATCCGCGAGACATACCTCGGGTAGGTATTAAACATAACGCAGGGAGTACTGGCGCCCCATGATGGGTGTCTTGTACGTTTTCCACCCCGTCTGCAAGGTCCAGACACAGGTGCGGGTATTCGACCGGGGCCAAGTCCGCGGGATGGAGGAATTGGTCAGCCATCTCGCCAGACACGTCTGGAGGTGATCCTCTCGTCTCAGTCTGAGTACACAGGGAACGATCCTCCTGGGCTGTCCGATGGGGCAGATTTTGTTTGCCTGAGTTGAACAGAAGTAGAAGCGCGCAAGATGTTTGGCCATCGATAATGCGCATCGGCCTTGTCATTTGCCTGTTGCTTCCGAGTATGGCTCCCGGCATGTCGCTGACACTTGTTCCAGCGCTGTGAGACAGAAGAGTGGATTGTTTCTGTCTTGGTAGCTTTGACCGGTTCAAGTGCTGACTGGCAATTGATACAATAGCGAGTGGCCATTTGGATAGATGATCGTTGGGACATCATGACAGCGCGACTTAATCTTCGGGTTGATACTGATCAAGGAGGGAGGTAACGGTGACAATGGTCTACCACAAAGCGAATAATTGGTCGATCACAATTCTCCTTTATATTCTTCTTGACTGCCGGCTGCATCTTGTTCATCTTCTTCTTTTTGTTTGTTGGGTTCGTCTGATTTGGCGTCCTTTGTAGTCTCAACCTCGTCCTCGTCGTCCGAGGCAACGACACCTCGTAGTTGAATGTTACCATTGACATCGTCGAGTCGTTCAATCTTCCAGTCCTTTGTGCCCGCCATCTTTTGAAGTTCTATACGGAACGATTCGACCTCCTCGGGACTGATGTCGAGCTTTTTCATGTCTGCCGCCGACAGACTTGAGACTTGTCCATTCTTCTGCATGATGAGGATATCTGCCTTTTCGTCCTGGGTGAGCACAATGCGCCCCCGTTCGAGCTTCTTGCCCTCGCGGCCAATATATTTCATTGCCCCGACTTCGACATTGCCGAGGACAATCTGTTGTTGAGACTGCTGCCCCTGTTCTTCGAGTGTCTGGCTGGTTGAACTTAGCTCCTCGCCACGGGCTTCCCACGACTCGACTCCACCTTCTGATATGATCTCCGTGCACGTAATGGGATGTGCTCGACTCTCCTTGGGGGGTTGGAAGGCTACGTCGTTGCAAAGTCGCGGCGTATAGACAATCATCAAGTACGCGCATGTCGCCGTCTCTTTAATCCAGCCGATGCGGTCCGTGAGCTGTGGGTTGCAGTGGAATTGAATCTCGATCTTGCGATTGTTGCCCGTCAGGTCACATGGCGATCCCCCTTCGAGGCGTTGGACAAGGTAGTTTGTCTCTGCTTGTGTCTGGACCTCTGTGGATATTGTCCGCTCCGAAGAGGAGATCTTTCCCTCCGCGGCCGCCTTTTTGTTCGCTTTTGGTGCTCCTTCAAACCGGCCCAGGACGAAGCTTGGAACAGTAGGGTCCTCTTGAGGAGGCCACACGCGACCGTTCGTCCCCGGCGGCAGGGCATGGAATTGCGTCACTTGCGCGTTGTAGCAGAATGAATACGTCCACCAGCCGGTAGAGTAGTACAGGCACTGGTTTGATGCCATGCCCTGCAGCAGCTCCGATCCTCGACTGACTGCACGATCCAGCTCTTTCTCGCGGTCCGTGGCAGAGGGCTCTTCTTTGGTTGCATTTTCGATGCTAGGTTTGGCTTCTGGGATGAAGCAGAGGTGCGGGTAACCCTGGAGGAGCAGACGTTCGTAGGTGCCCACTGGGTTGGCGTCTTCCCCCGTGGTATCTGATCCAAAGTTGTTGTAGTTCAGCTTCGAGGGCACTTCGTCGTGTCCAGTCTGCTTGGTCCCATCGTTGGCGAGGTAGGCTACGGCATCGGCTTCTAGTATGTATGAGTCTGCGAATTCGACAGAATACTGGATGGTGTCAGCACGAGCCCTGGTCTGTCATACGGGTTATTGTCAGTTGGTAGTACCTGTGGGAAAGCGAAGAGGTCATCGTGGACGCTGAAGGTGTTTTCGCTGGCAAAACATCGTACGAACAAAGCAGCCAAAACAAGACCACGAAACTTCATCATTTCCTCCTGTTACCTCATGATCTGGGAAAATTCAGCGAGTGTCATACATGCAGTTATTCATTCGGGTGTGTGATCTTTGTACAGTATGTCACTGTCCACCACGGAAATTTGGAGATGGACTTGCCACGGTCTCCAGAATCTCCGCAGCCAAAAATCGTTGTCATCGTCCAGTCAGTCTCACCTGCTTTAGTCTCCGTATCTCGAGGTACACATGGTGGAAATATCGCCGGGTCACCACCACTACCTGGGTAAATATAAGATATCGTTGACAATCACAGACTTTCTACGGAGTACAGGCTACATCATTGGTCATTTTTCAACAATGCCCTCGCAACTACCAACAATTCTATGAAGGGGCTGGCAGACGCTCTAAACCAACACCTCCACTGCCCTCGATATATCTCACGCGACATCCAGATGCCCAGGTCTGCAGTTCGGCGTCGGAAGATGTCTTTAGATCCTCATACCTTGTCTTGCTCTCATCATCGTCATTCTGAAGACTAGTCCCCTCCAGTGTCGTGCTAAACTGAGGTCGACTCACGACCTCATCCTGTTTCAAACCGGCCAACACATCTACCAACAGTCTCAGTCCATTGACCTGCCTGAATGATCTGCCACTCGTGCTACTCCAGCTCATTGCCACCAGGGCGAGTGTGATGCCTGCGGCAACAAACATGCACGCAATGCCGACGAACAATATCACGGGCACATACGTGATGCGATATCGGAGTATTTGAGAAGTATCTGCAACATCGATGAAAAAGTCGGGCTGATCGCGCGTAGAATTTGTGCTCGCCACCTCATATGCCATGCGTTCCGTCTCTGCAGAGGCGTAGAGGAAGTTCAGAGCCAATGTCTCGTAGTCGGTCGTCCTGGATGTCGTCCCTGACGTGCCGTCAGTACCTGTCGGAGAGGCAGTACATTCAGTGCCTGTAATTGTGGCGTCATAGCATGGATCTGCGGACCTCGCAAGGGCTGGAGCCAGTCCAGGGATCGTCACATCGGGAGCTTGATAGTTCAGGTTGAGTTGTAGTTGCTGCATGCGCAACGGTTGGTAAAGGGTTTTCTCTTCGGACATGTTGACGCTCGCCAGACTCCTCTTCCAGTCTCCATTCGCCGAACGGAGCAATTCAACTGTGCCATTCTGTCGATGAATTTGACATTCCATGCCCCATACAGACATTATCTGTTTCGTGCCGTTGAAACCTGATGCCGTCATATTGAAGGCCTTTGGCACAATATCGCCGTATGGAGAAGAGTACGTTTCATTACTCAAGTTGAAACTGCCGGCGTAGCCCAGGAAAGCCGAAGTGCCATTGTATGGAAATGCCATGAACGGGTAATCTTCATTGTACGCGTTCTGCATCAGCGCGATATCGCCTGGGTAGTTCCCAGAGAGGAGGTCAGTCTCCCCGCGGGTCATGGTGAATTGAACGGACTTTTCACCCATCTGTTGCACCATGAACGTGTCTGGAGCGAAAGGCTTGCAAGAGACTGACCATCGAGAAGCCGGGACAGCATGTAAAGCTTGTACAGTTGAGGGAAGTGCCAACGAAGCAGTGGTCACGTTATTGAGCAGATAGGCCTTATCATCGGTCAACAGCGGAGTCGAATTTGAGATACTCAGTCCAGTCAACATGCCACTGAATTGATTGGCAAAGCTAGACCTCTGCTGAGTGTTGAATCCCCACATGCCGGCGAAAGTGGTGGAAACAAATGAGCTGGGGACAGCAAGCTGTGCATCGCTGAGCATTCGAAGTGTCGTGTCCTGTCCGGCCGCATCTTCATTGAAAGCCTCGTAGGCTATCACGTTTCCGAATGCCGATTTGGCTAAGGCGGAGAAGATGACAAGCAGGGAGAGACAGATCAGCCGTCTTGTGCGTGGGCCGAGGAGTGTAGACAGCTTTAAGATGTCGTAGGACCCGCCGGTCGTGCTACTGACCTCGACCAGACACGCCAGAGGTACGCCTTGAGCAGATGTATCCTTTTCGTTGATGGTAGCGACCCGGGCACAGGAGAACCAGACGGCGTTGAAGCCAGCGAGGATCAATGGTGCGAGAAAGGCACTGCATAATACATCGATGGCTTTGGCCCCGGGCTGTGTCAAGCGTCCTCCGATGGTGGCACTGTGGACGAAGGACCAATGGTCTTTGCCCCAGTTGTTGTGGTTCGTACTCAACCAGATTATCGTAGCAATCAACGGAGCGATGAGCAGTGCAGCTGCAGTTGAATAGTAGACCACGGCATCGTTGGACGGAGTTCGCGGGTGTCTCCCGATCGGAGCGTAGGTCTCGTCTGAATTCGTGGTGGCTCTCGCCTGGGCCTTTTCTGTTCTTGTCCAAGGTATCATGAGGGAGGAATTCGGTTTTTGATTGTTCATCCCAGAAGAGCTGAAATTTATCTTACCGTGTTGTACGGATAGAACAAGCACATAAACAATGGCTCCAGAAGGGAGTCGGGCATCATACTTGTACCCAGAAGGTGAAGAGCACTCTTATTACAGGGCACAGCCTCTGCCAATTGTAACACATACCTTTAAGGCAGGCATCCGAAGGGCTCAAAATCCACGCCAAGTGTACACCAAGTCCGCGAGCGTCCATAGTGGTTTTGAAATTGACCAGCCTGAAGATGATACAGGTCGATTGATAGGCGGTCGCACCAATTTTGGTGCGCTTACGGAGGTCTGTAAGGATGCCGCATATGCTAAGTTTGGCCCCCAAGTGGAATGATTTGTGGCTGAGACAAGATTCGACCTGTATTCCGTAAGGTGCTTTAACGTGTACTCCATATTATTTACCTATCAGTTGATGGCTGTAGACTCCCACTGTCAGGAAAGCTGGATTCCTGGTGATGGAGTTTGCCATGGAGTTTACTTACCTAGAATAAGCTACCTCCAGGTATTTAGATGAGTGACGTTTGGATGCGGCGGAACAAATGCTTGGAGACTTGCCATACAGAACAAAACATCGAGGTTCACAACTCAGGACCATCTTGACTACCTATTTCAATCGCAAGGACGTTCAGGTTCAACAAGAAGCTCTTCCATCTACAAGGTCGGCTTCCGAGAGTGGCGGACACCTCTAGCCATCAGGTGATGAAGTGGTATCAGATCTTTCCACTGCCAGTAGCGTTCTATTTCAGAATGAGCCCGTCTACGGTATAGACTTCAACATGTACGGAGACAGGTTCTAGTTGAGACACCTATAGCGACGAATGACTCTGTCAGTTATCACATAAACGGCGACCAGTGTCACAACAGCTTCCTATTTGACGCTGATGGCAGCTGTTCCAGCTTGGAAGAGTAGTTTGACCACGATGTTGGCTCGGAGAACCGAGACTGAAGCGTGTTGGTGGTGGGTGAATACTCGAAGATGAGCCATATGGACAGGGGCTGTAGGAGTAGTCGGTCGGTTCACTTGTTGAGTTGGATGTCCAAATACCTGCCTAGGTAGATATCTGTGTACCTGTATATGAATCTGATGTAATAAGAGTGAGAGATATAGAGAGAAGAGATGTTTGTAGTGACTTGAAGTTCTACGATGATCCAATCGCGTCACCAATTCTCCGTCAGTCTTGGCGTTATCGTGGTCAAGTTGCAGCTCTCAATGGGCGCAGGCGTCGTCGTATGTCCCTGGAATCGGCTACACCTGCATCAACAGTCAGAAGTCGACCAACTTCCGCGACGATTGCATAATAAAGCGATACTTTCATCTGTTTGCATACACACGTTGTATCACTCTTTCTGGCGGCACGGGATCCTTCAGCCTTTACACGCCAACGCCAACTCCAACGCCGTCAATCCAAGCAGCGTTTAGTCTGCCTGTGACATCTTACGGAATTGCTCGCTTAAGCGAAACACCAACTTACTTCCTTGATTTCCCCAGCACAATCGATCACGGTGTCAAAGCCGATGGCTTGTGCCTTATAGCTTCATCGGATACTGCCAGCTTGCTTCGTCCGCCTTTGCCTTCGTACACACTATGGGCTTCGTGGCAGTATGCACTGCACTTTATGATTACCAACCGCAAGGTGCCGGTGAGCTCGACATTAAAGAGGGGGAACTCTTGTACATACTCGAAAAAAGCACCGAGGATGACTGGTGGAAGGCCAAGAAGAAGGCAGCTGGAGATGATGAGGACGAGCCTGAGGGTCTAATACCCAACAACTACGTCGAGGAGGCCAAACCCGTCCATGCCGCAAAAGCTCTCTATGACTATACTCGGCAGACTGACGAGGAAGTTTCCTTCACAGAAGATGCCACTCTTCAGGTCTACGACACCTCGGATCCGGATTGGACTCTAGTTGGCGTAGGCGATGACTATGGCTTTGCGCCAGCGAACTACATTGAGATCTCCGGGGATGCACCTCCAACGTCTTCCTCGTCCTCTAACAGACGATCGATCCCCCCTGCGCCCGCACCCGAGCCAGAGGCATTGGCCAGTCCGGTATCCCCAGCAAGATCAACACATGATCCTGCAGCCAACCTAGCACGAGTCTTAGGAGGTCAAGCCCCGGCCTCACCTGCCTCAGCTCGCCCGATACCCACGCCGTCCCGTGTGCAGCTAACCCCGGATCCCTCAGATGAAGAAGAAGCCGCGCCTGCACTTCCTCAGAGACGTCCCTCGCAGCATGCATCACTTCCTATTTCATACTCACAGCAAGAAGAAGAGGGGGCAGGTCCTCTACCATCGCCGCCCTACAACAGAGCTCTCGGACGACCTGAGGACGATGACGCACCCATTCGATCACCGGGCGGGTATCATTTATATAACATTAACGAGATGGTGTCGGCAATGGGACGAAGGCGGAAGATGCCGACGACGTTGGGCATTAACATCGCCACAGGAACCATCATGGTCTCTCCCGAGAAGTCAAGAGATGGGCCCTCGCAGGAATGGACAGCCGATAGAATGACACACTATTCGATTGAGGGCAAGCACGTCTTCATTGAACTCGTCAGGCCGAGCAAGAGCCTAGATCTACACGCGGGAGCCAAGGACACCGCAGAAGAAATCGTCCGAGCTCTAGGAGAAATTGCTGGTGCTCATCGAGCAGAGGGCATTCGAGAGGTGATCGAGGCAGCTTCGGGTGGCGCCAGCCACAAGAAGGGCCAGGTTCTCTACGACTTCATGGCACAAGGTGATGATGAAGTCACGGTTGGTGTCGGAGATGAGGTCATCATCCTAGACGATACCAAATCGGAGGAGTGGTGGAACGTCCGGCGGTTGAAAAACGGCAAGGAAGGTGTGGTACCCAGCAGCTACATCGAGGTAACCGGGTTTGTCACTCTGGAGCCGCCCTCACGAAGCGGGCTGAATGCCGGCCTAAGTTCAGTTGAGCAGAACCGCCTCGAAGAAGAAAGGCTCGCCAAGGAAGCCGCAAGATCTGATCGGGCGCGGCAGCATGCTGAACATTCGCGGTCGCACAGCGAGGTTGGACCGGGGATGCCACTCCCTCAACGCGGAAGTAGTCTCGCCGACGATCAGCCCAGCAGAAGAGACCGAAGAGAAAAGGACGATCGAAAGAAACGATCGAAGCCGGACCCTACCAAAGTCAGGACCTGGACAGATCACTCTGGCTCTTTCAAAGTTGAAGCTCAATTCTTAGGTGTAGCAGAGGGTAAGATCCATCTGCACAAGGTTAATGGCGTCAAGATCGCCGTCCCTGTGACCAAGATGTCGCCAGAAGACCTGGACTACGTTGAACAGGTAACGAACGAATCGATCGAGGAGCACATTCCAGTGGCTGATTTGATCAAGATGAAACGCCGAAGTCAGCAGTCTGAGCAGTCGAAAGGGCGAAGCGGAGCCTCTATAGAGCAACCAAAGGCACCCGAGTATGATTGGTTTGATTTCTTCCTGAAAGCAGGTGTAGGACCACATCAGTGTGAACGATACTCGCAGGCCATGATTCGGGACTCAATGGACGAAACCGTCCTCCCTGACATTACCGCCGACACTTTACGAACACTGGGTCTTAAGGAAGGGGACACACTCAAGGTCATGAAATACCTAGACCAGAGGTTTGGACGTGCGCGATCAGCCAGTGTGAATGGCACCAATGGCGAAGCTGGGCCAGGAGGCATATTCTCGGGCCCAGGCGGAGCCTTGCACAACAACACGCGTAGAGGCAGGCCTGAAGCTAACCGACAGACAAGCGACGTGGTCGATGCCGACGCTTTCGCCAAGAAAGAAGCAGAAAAGATGAGTGATGCAAAAGCGACACCCCTAACCGAGGCCCCCCCTCGAAAACCAGATGGTGGATTCGACGATGATGCATGGACTGTCAAACAGCCGAAGCAGACGCCTACATCTGCTGCTTCTGCTGCACCTCCGGCTCCGAAACCTCCTACGGGCGCCATGCAGGATTTGTCTCTGCTGGACGCTCCTCTTGTACCGACTCCAGCCCAGCCATCCGCGCCCGCGGTAAGTCAACCAGCACCAGCACCTCCCCCAGCACCACCGCAACCCCCAATTATACAGTCGCCCCCTGTACAGCAGCCTCAGCAGACAGGAGCAACTCCACAATTTTTCTCGGGCCTCCAACAGCAACAAACAGGGATACAACCTCAACCAAGCGGACTCCAACCGCAACAGTTCAACCCACCCAGACAGAGACCGACAGCACCACAGCAAAGCTTCACTGGCGCTGGTCTGTTGCCACCGCCCCCGCGACCAACATCTGCACCTCAAAATCCTCAACACAATCAATTTGGCCTGCAGCCTCTACAGCCTCAACTCACTGGCATCCCCAGTACTTCAGCATTCCAAGCTCCTCCCGGTCAGAGTTTGAACGATTTAACACAGCAAAGATTGCAGCAACAATATCAGCAGATGCAGTTGCAATCTCAACCCACCGGCTTCGGTCAATTTGGCCTTGGTCCACAGCCTACCGGTTTCCAACAGGGGCCACAATTTGGACAATTCCAGCAACCCTATATTAATGGCAATGCTGCTGGAAGTCCATTTGCAGACCCTCGTCCTGCATTCCAATCACAGCCGACTGGGATGCCGTTCCAACAAAACTCGGCGGCAGGTGGTGTCAACTCAATGCTCCCTCAGGCCCTGCAACCGCAGAGGACCGGTTATGGGTCTCCAATTCAACAGCAGCAGCCGAACGGGTTTGGTCAAGGTATTCAGCCACAGCCAACGGGATTTCCACAACAAGCTCAGGCTATACAAACCCAGCCGACAGGGTTCCAACAGGGAATTGCCCCCCAAGCCACCGGTTTTGGGCAAGTCCCTCAGCCAAATGGATTTCAGAGATTCTCACCGCCTCCTGTTCCTCCACTGCCTCAATTTCCTGCAGCTGCTCCTCTGCAACCACAAAAAACAGGGCCAGCTCCTGATATTAAATTTGGAATGTCTCCCGCGAAGAAGCTGACGCCTCAGCCTACGGGGCGGCGCGCAAATCTTGCCAATGCTAGTAAGTTTAAACATGTCGCATTCTTGACAAGATAGCTACTGACACAGATATAGCGGCTGATAACCCGTTTGGCTTCTGAGCATGACTTTCGAATGGAACGTTATTTCACAGCATAGTCCTCTTTGATACCGTGATGATTGCGGGATACAATTGTTTGGGTGTTCAATGCGATCGATGATGTCAAGGGTTTAGCAAGCAAGCTACTTGCTGCCACGGAGGTCAAGCATGTTCCCTGCGCGTCTCATCCTTTTGAGCGACTGTGAGATAGATTTTTGAGGAGGGTGGTTATGGATGTTAGCAGGGAGTCAAGGGCTCAAATGCAGTTGTCTTGTACTTTCTAAGTCGAGCAAGGTGGTTTCACATTGCTTCTTGTTTGCAAGCGGCATTCGAGACAAGTGTCAATGGCGTATATTTGTGGGGAGCCTACATAGCCTTTCTGTGTGTCGACACTTACCAATGTGGAAAGTATTTATCGAGATATGAAGATGTAGGAGCGATTAGTAAATATACAACATCATGATCTGATCTTAAGAAGGTCAGCCTATATGTATTTCTGTAAGGATCTCGCAACAACTGAGTATTGCTTCCACCTCGACAGGTGTCTGTCCCGCGGACGGCAGGCTGTATACACAGTGGTATTGATTCTTCGATGGTTGAGTGAATGTTGGCTCAGGTTTACGGTACTACTGACCATGAACAAACCGCAACCACATATCACACCCTCGTACCATAAGGAAGTTGTTGTCGCCGACCTCTAGCATTCAATCCGAATTGGCTTGGGAGATACGGATACGTTGTTACTCCGCGGCACAGCCCACGTTCGTATTGGGCCGAGACGACGAGGGTACAGATGTGGAAAGTACAACCTTAATCAGGTATGTGTGTCCTTGTTGTCCTTCTATGCCGCGACCCCAGATTCAGCTCTCACCCCGTACTCTGTAAGAACAGTTCGTATTTTATCTTCTGTCAAAAGTAAAATCTCGCCAACAATATGAAACTGGACTCGTATTTTAACGCCAAAGGAGGGAAATACCAGCAAATGCATATACCATGGACCATGATCTCCACAACGCCCGACCGGGTCATCTCTTCCCCCATGCGTAAAACCTTGGAGGGTACGAAGAAAGATTAGAACTTGACCATCCCATAAGCCTGACAGATACCAAGTATCAAATCCGTAGGGTTCAAAGAGTGTATGATTGCCTTTGTGGGAGTGTAGCCCACCACCGCTGGCACTGCTGCTTCGTCCCCTGACAGCTTTCCCCCCTGGTTTCTATTGCCGAACTCTCTTGGGTGAAAGAAGAAAAAGAATGCCATTTGGGTGAATAGGGCTTCGATACAAACCAACAAGGACTGTAAACCAATGATGATGTCGTTGTAGGTGATTTTGTCATTGCCTTGGACGTGAGAGGCTATGATGCTGAATGCGAACTGGGCAAACGAGACATGTCAGAAATTGTAGAACCGAACACGTGAGTCTTCTGCCGGAAAAAAAGTGATTGTATGAGAGCAGGGTCAGTACGTACATGTTGAAGCGTGGTGATGAGGACAAATAATTTGAAACATAGTAGTTTTGGCATTGCTTTGCGGCCCGTCATGTGGCTTTTGAGACGACGTTGGAAACGGACCACCGTCACGACGGCTATGACTGTGGCGACGAGTGTGAAGAGTTGGATCTGATTTAGCAGTGACATCAGCATCTTTATTGGCCTCAATAGACTAGAATCGGACTCACCCAAAAATGTGCGAATGCCGGTTTCGATGAAGTTTCGCAGTACACTCCTGTCGCCCTTGTGATTTCCTCGGCAATGACGAGAACCAAGGTGACGACGATGTAGGTAAAGACTATAATCCAAGCGGCCTGATGTAGATTGTCAGTTGTTTGTCTCGTCATCGGAAACTGACTTTGTCGACAAGGAGACTACCCCCGAGGTATTGGGCAAAGGTATGGGCATTGGGGGAAATGGATGGCGGACAGGACAACAACACAGTAATACAACAAAAACGTACCCGGAATAATTGATAGTGTTTCATAGGTTTCATCTCACCCGTTTTCGTCTTGTATTCGAGTTCTTTGAAAAATGACACTCTGGTTTGTGGTTCAGGAGCGACGTATTGGACGTACAACATGAACAGCGACGCCAAAGCAACGGTTTCGTATAACAAGGCGATGGGCTCGATGTAGCCGCTGTTTTGGTATGTGTGGATCGAGATCACCGACACAAGAGACGCAACGACAGGAAACAGAATGATTCGAATGACGTTTCGTTGTTCATTGGGTGCTCTGTATTTTCGAAAATGCAAAACGCAGAGGCCGATGCAGAGCAGGGCCGTGGCGGCTAGGCAGATCCAACCGATCACTTGGACCACACGTTGGAATGTGAAAGTGCCGATGATGGCGATACCTGGTGTATTCGCATTGGGAGGTTGAGGGGGGCATGTCGGTGACATCGTGGACGGTTTTGTGTAGAAGTTGGTTTATCTTGAGTGTCCACTGGGGAATGAAGGACCTGAAAGAATAGTTCACGATCAGGGGGAATAGATGATTTGAGGCTTGTTGAGAATAGAACAGTTCATGATGGTGAATTGAAGGGGTTGACAAGGTGTCTTATAGACTCTGTAAAGGTTCACGCTGTAGCAAAACATGATAGAGAGAGTGGAATGTTGTCATTGTCAATATCCAGTCAATTTTCAGCTCGCATCGACTCTACCTTCGTGGCTATGGCTTTATCGTTCTCATGGTCTTTTGACTTTCACCCGTGTCGAACTCGACATGGGATGTTCCGGATCTCGCATACTCTCAGCCTTCTCGGCCGGCGTAGTATCGATATGTCTATCAATGGTGAAGATGCATCCGGGGTATGTTTCTTAAAAATTGAATGGATGATGGTACCTTGGTTGATATTCCTGATGCATGTCATGCCATCGAACAGACAGCACAACGATGCTTACTAGAATCACTATTCAATACACTTACATACAATAGGAAGTGCCGCTGAGTGCCTCGCGAGGTCTGAAGCCACAACGAGGCTCGTTGGCGGAAAGGAAGCGTGGCTGTATTCGTATCATGGGGGACTGTTGCGAAACGCAAAGACCCTGGTCTCGACTCTCAAGTTTCCCTGGAGAGGGAAGCCCACGGCGACATTCCAGAATCTCGGGCCCGTTCTTCAAGTCCGAAAGAGAATGATGTCGTCGGTATGGCTTAGATATCCGTATTCCTAGGCATTCAGTTGATGACAAAGTCGAGGTAGCCAATGTCGATACGTGCTGGTCGCCGCATGTGGAATGTACATCCAGCTCAGAGCAAAGACGCTAAACCGCATACGGGAATTGATGCGACGGGGCTTCAGCATTGCCATCATTTTCTCGCTTCTTTCAAACCATATTCAAGCCTCTTTATTCAAGCCTCGTCTTATGTCGATACCAGTTTCCTACTGGGACTAATCACTTGTCCGCGGAGTCTTCCGTCAAAAGCTTCGTTCTTTGGGGCTTCCCTTCTTCCTTCTTCGCGAACATGTCCAAATACGATAGTCTGGACACGGGCGAAAGCTTGAACCAAGTGGCTCATGACACCTCGTATTCTGCTGGTAACTCTGTGCCGTGCGACTTCAGCTCCGGCACTGTCACAATGTCACGGGCTCTTCGGACTCTGGGTCCGTAGAGTCAAAAATAACATGTGAAGTCCTAGACTTTCAATGATTCCTTTCCCTCAACTACAAGTACATAAGATGAAGAGTTGATCGTTCATTTTATCTTACACAAGGTCAAGATCTCCTTTTCAAAATCGTCTTCCGTTGGTCCGCACATCTTTCTTATGTTTTACCATGGCGACGCTCAGTCGTGCCTCCAGCAACGAAGATGATTACAAGTCCATTGTACAGGCCACTCTACACGATCGCCTGCGAGATGGACTTGAAGAGAATGCCCGTCGCCGCAAGAATGACAAGAAACATCTCAATTTCTCCTCCCATATAAAGCACCACGATGCCGAGCTGACGCGGATTGCTACGAATATATCCAAAGATGTCGGCTTGAATCCACGCACTCTTTCCGACATAGATCCTAGACTGGACCCCGAGAACGAATCGTTCGACTTTCGTTTCTGGTCTACGACATTTATGCAACTGGTCAAAGAGGATGTTCTCCACAGAACAACTGTCGGGTTCTCCTTTAAAGGTCTCACTGTATCAGGCTCAGGCTCAAACCTAGAGCTGCAGAAGACAGTCGCCTCCCCTTGGATGGCGCTTGCTCGACTTCCTATGCTCCTGTTCACCAGACGGCAACCACAACCGAAGGTCATTCTCAACAATTTCAATGGCTCTGTTGAGCGTGGGCAGATGCTTCTTGTCCTCGGCCGACCTGGCAGCGGCTGCACAACTCTGCTGAAATGCATTACAGGTCAATTGCATGGGCTCAGTTTATCCGCAGGCTCTTCCGTCACCTACGATGGGATTCCACAATCCACCTTTATCAAAAACTTCAAAGGCCGTGCAGTATACGCCGCCGAGACCGATGAGCACTTCCCTCATCTTACTGTTGGACAGACCCTACACTTCGCCGCAGTAACGCAAACTCCTCAAACGCGCATTCAAGGAGTCGACCGAGCATTGTACAACAGTCACATGGTTGAAGTGATGCTGAGGATCTTCGGCTTGACCCACACACGGAACACAAAAGTTGGAAACGACACCATTCGTGGCGTTAGTGGTGGAGAACGCAAACGAGTCAGCATCGCAGAGATGGCATTGACCCGGTCCTCGGTGGCAGCATGGGACAACGCAACCAGAGGCCTCGACTCAGCCACCGCACTTGAGTTTGTTCGCTCTTTGAGGGCCATGGCTGAGATTGCCGGAGTAACTCAGGCAGCTGCTGTTTATCAGGCCAGCCAAAGCCTTTATGAGCTATTTGACAAGGTTATCGTATTGTACGAGGGTCGACAGATATACTTTGGTCCTGTGGAATCAGCTCGTTTATATTTTGAACGAATGGGCTGGTATTGTCCACCACGTCAAGCAACTCCAGACTTCCTCACAGCTGTCACCAATCCTACGGAACGGCAATGTCGCGAGGGCTTCAGTAAGGACATCCCCAAAACTGCTCTCGAGTTTGAACAGTACTGGGTTGCGTCCGAAGAATACAAGACTTGCATAGCCGACCTTCTTACGAGTCAAGGCGTGCATCAGAACAGCGATCGTCTTCGAGCTCTTCGGACCGCTCATCATCACATGCAGGCTCACCATACCCGTGACAAATCTCCCTACCTGACCTCGGCATTCATGCAGGTGAGGATTTGTATCAAGAGGTCTTCCCAACTGTTCTGGAACAACCGAGCGTCCACTGTCACACTCCTCATTGGACGTACTATCCTGGCATTCATTCTTGGGAGCATCTACTACGGCCCCAATGGCACAACATCAAGTCTTCAATCAAGAGGCTCGGTGATATTCTTGGCTACCTTGACGAACGCCCTGATGGCTGTGACCGAAATCAGTTCGCTTTTCTTCAAGCGCGGCATCGTAACGAAGCAGCAGACGTATGCCTTCTGTCACCCCTTTACTGATGCACTTGCCGCATACATTGTCGACATTCCGGTCAAGTTCTGTATCTCAACAGTGTTCAATGTGGTCTTTTATTTCATGACCGGCCTTCGACGAGAAGCTTCGAACTTCTTCATTTTTCTTCTCTTCAATTTCGTGTGCACCCTCCTCATGTCGGCAGTCTTCCGCACCATCGGAGCTGCCTGTAAGCTCATGCCAACCGCTTATGCCATTGCAGGTGTTGGAATTCTGTCTCAGGTCATGTACACCGGTGAGTTTTACGCGTTCTACGAGGATCATTATCGATTGCGAAGGACTTGAGCCATTCTTGCCTTCAAAGTCAAAGAACCTAGGCTGACTCTACAACAGGATACACCATGCAAACAAGTTATATGCATCCCTGGTTCCGCTGGATCAACTACATAAATCCCGTCGCCTACATATTCGAAGCGCTACTTGTGAACGAGGTGCATGGACGAGAGTATCCTTGTGCTGTAGCAAATCTCGTTCCTCCATACGCTGGAGATACGAATTTTGCATGCGCTTTCATTGGTGCAACCCCTAACTCTCGCACCGTGTCTGGCGACAACTGGGTGACGTCTGGATTTGGATATAGCTATTCTCATCTATGGCGCAATCTCGGTATTGCGATTGCATACCTGGTGGTATTTCTCATACTTTACTTGATCGCCACGGAATTTCGATCAACCTCGGTTGCACAGCCTCAGCGGCTTATATTCCGGAATCGAAAAGCAGCTCATGGTCAACTTTCCCCAAAGCTCGACGTTGAAAATGGGAAGCCTCAGAAACCGAATGATACGGATATCAATAGTGCTCAACTTCCGGGAGAGATGCCAAATGCCACGACGAACTTCAATGTGCGCACCGGCCTTGTCGAGCGTTCTAGGATTACCACCACGAAAACCAATGATCTATCACACAGTGGTACGCTCACATGGCAGGATGTAACTCTAGACATCAGCATCAAGGGTACACCACGTCGACTGCTCGATGGTGTGACTGGCTGGGTTACGCCAGGAACATTGACTTGCCTCATGGGTGTGTCAGGCGCGGGAAAGACGACGTTATTGGATACTCTCGCACAGCGCAACAATAGCATGGGAAAGGCGTCCGGTACCATCATGGTCAATGGTGCTGCTCTGAAGCCTTCATATCAGCGGAAAACTGGCTACGTTCAACAGCAAGACCTGCATCTTCCTACCACCACCGTGCGGGAAGCGCTACGATTTTCAGCGGTACTCAGGCAGCCTTCATCGGTACCACTCGAAGAGAAATTCGAGTTTGTTGAGAGTGTGATTGATATGCTGGGCATGGAGGCTTTTAGCGAGGCCGTTGTTGGCCTACCTGGCGAAGGTCTGAATGTCGAACAAAGGAAACTTCTCACCATCGGTGTTGAACTTGCCGCTAAACCCGCCATCTTGTTCTTAGACGAACCAACTTCTGGTCTCGATTCTCAGAGCGCTTGGACAATCGTCTCACTACTCAGGAAGCTGGCAAACAATGGCCAAGCAATTCTCGCAACTATCCATCAGCCGTCTGCTACCCTTTTTGAACAGTTCGACTCCATTCTTCTCCTGGCCAAGGGTGGCCGGACGACGTACTTCGGACCACTGGGACCTGACTGCCGAACTCTGACACGGTATTTTGAGTCTGCTGGCGCAAAGCCTTGTGGTCATGACGAAAATCCTGCAGAGTACATTCTACGTGTCATTGGCGATTCCACCCTTGATTGGCCTGAAATATGGAGAATCAGTTCGCCAAATGCAACCATCAAAAGCAGACTGCAAGCTACTGTTCAGGAGAAATATAGCGAGACCGCGAATATGGACGATGAACGGGAATTTGCGACAGCTTTGCCAACTCAGCTCCGTTATGTTCTCGTACGGCTCTTCCAGAACTATTGGCGCACTCCGGGATACATCTATGCGAAATTCCAAGCAAACATACTGGCAGCACTCTTCATCGGGTTCACATTCTTCTTGCAGAACTCCTCAATGACGGGCATGCAAAACACGGTATTTTCCGTCTTTATGCTGAATGCCACATTTGCCACTATTGTCAACCAGGTATGTTAGGCTACTGTCGTCAGGATTATAGATTTACTGACTGTGCACAGATAATGTCGCGTTTCATTCCACAGCGATCACTATTTGAAGTGCGAGAGGCTCCGTCCAAAATGTACAACTGGGCTAGCTTCGTTATCGCCAACATCATTGTCGAGATCCCGTATCAGGCGTTTCTATCGGTGATCGTCTGGGCATGTTGGTATTTTCCTATATTCGGATCTCATCAGTCAAGTCAGTCACAAGGCATGATGTATGCTTTTGTTTTGCAATTCCTTCTGTTTGCTTCTACATACGCACAAATGATCATCTTCACGATGCCGAGTATGGAGACCGCGGGTGCATTGTCGACGTTGCTGTTCACCATGACCCTTCAGTTCAACGGTGTACTACAAACTCCGACCGCACTTCCTGGCTTCTGGATTTTCATGTGGAGGGTGTCACCATTCACTTATGTAAGTCATGACTGTGTCGACGTGGCCATCCACGTGTTTGCTGATCTGATATCCTGCAGTTGATTGGAGGCTGGGCTGGCACTGGGCTTCAAAACCGAGTGGTCAACTGCGCACAGAACGAGTTGGCCATCTTCGACCCACCCAATGGTCAGACCTGTGGGGCATATCTGAAGAGATACCTCGAAGGAGGAGCTCCCGGAGCACTGTACAATCCTGATGCCACAAGATCGTGCGAGTACTGCCCTATCAGAAACGCCGATCAGTTTTTGGCTAGTGCTTCCATATCACCATCCGACCAGTGGAGAAACTTTGGTATCCTGTGGGCATATATTGGATTCAACATGCTGGCTGCCTTGTTCTTTTACTATGTCTTCCGAGTCAGGAAAGTATCTCTTGCCAAATTGCGCAAATCAAGGAAGGAAGAGACAACAAAGCCGAAGCTCAAGGACGATGGACTCCAGCAAGACAAAGGTCGCCTCCACCATGAAGATGACAGTGGACCGCGTTGGGGCAAGATTGGATTCTACTACCATCTCACGTCGGGCATCCTGAGGAATATCGTCAAGTCAAATTACGCGGTATAGGGGATTGGTTTAATTGGTAGAGGGAGGTGACATGTTCTCAAATGATCATGGTTCGATGATGCATCACTTCGAAAGACCCTTCTGGGGTATTCGTAGGAGCCGCGTGAGCCCTAAATCAGCAATGTCGATCTGAAGTCAGACTTTGTGGATACTTTTGTGGAGTGATACTTGTATGTAGATGATCAACGAAACACGTGCGATCCAGTAATCGAAAGATGCTTGTGCTTTTGAGAGCGATGCTCTGTTACGTGAGGTTCGATGAATTCGCACTCTGAGGGTAATCATCAAATCTGGACCTTTTCACATGGAGGGGGAAGAAGAATCATCGGCATCACCGTGTGGCTTGCTTGTCACCTCGCATATGATACACAATTGAAGACACCTCTCGACGGCTGAATACTACAGTACACACTTTATGTTACTCCGGACTTGGACTGCGCCTCCGGTTTGGTGCACAGGGCTGATCAGATAAAACGCCACGATACCCCAGTCAATGGGGGCTAAAAAAAGCACCACCCCGGGCAAACCCTTCTCGTTCAATAGGCCACTTTACTGTAAGAGTTCTGGTCTGAGCGGCCCAATATCCCGTACTTTGGGTTTCGGCTGGCATGTTGCATTGTAACCACTGACTGATCATGGTACAGGATACGATTGGACGAGGGGGCGGATTCGGTTAAATCACCTCGAATGTGGAAACTGTTCAATGTGTTGTCCTTGATACGAACAAATGGTCAACCCTCCATCGGGATGCATGCAAAGCCATTCGTCCACCCCGAATGGCCCTGAGAAATCGAGGACAATGCCTGAGTGAGACGTATCTGGCCCAGATGCCGCCATGCCCAATCGATGGACCAAAATCTAGACCCGGACAGGTGGATCGTCTCATTATCACTATTACAAGGATAAGCTGACTCGTATTTCGCCAATCCTCTCACTCAGCAAGCCAAAAAATGGAGCCCCGAAAGCTCATTCAACGACGCGCCGCTTGAAAGTCAGACAAGCCTCAATACAACCGCACGATGGTGACAGCTGGTGACTCTGGTGACACCGGTGATAGGTTGACGTTTTTGCATTTTTCTGCGTCAGCTTCGTGTGTGGGATAATCTATCATGCCAAATCTTATTCGTGACCTGGAGAGTTGGAGGGGATAGAACTCTTTCTGGATACGGAAGAGGTACGGAGTACGTGTGTCCCAGCTTTGTCGGTGCGGTGGGTACTTTTTGAGTGGTCCTCACTCACTCACTCACCTTACTCAGTCGACTGTCATCTTGAAGGTATCTACAAGCACGGATAAGAAGCATTTAAGGCGAACCGGTTTCCCAGATTTTCAACACAACCACCATGTGCGGCTCTTTTGAAAAAAAACCCACCGACCGAACATACACAACACACTCATTGAACTGACAGAAGAGAAAAGCCACCCAGTTGGTACCACTTGGGGGCCTCAATAAATATATATTCCCCGGGGCCGCCGTCACAAAATAACAAGGATATAAGGCCCGGCCGTCGTCCAACACTCGTCCCGACACACACATAACAAACAACAAAACAAAACAAAAACCCCTGCCGAGTATTACTTTCCTGGTGGTTACATTGGTGGTACTGTCTTTTTTTGGTGTCCTGTTGCAAAGTTCACCATCGCCATCATTCGCCACAATGATGATGCCATTCTGCGCAAACACAAGAGCATCCACTATGCAGCGCAACCCCTCCACCATCCCTACATCCTCCTCCATGATGAAGATCAAACAACGACCGTCGACATCCCGCCGTGGGAGTACGATCTCAACCTCCAGGACTCCTTCGCGCCTTCCCTCGATTCGAGAAGAATGTCCAGCCTATGACTCAGTATGTTCGACACCTTTGAGTGAACAACAAACCCAAGAAGACTTTCTCGATGACCACCACCACCACCCTTCCAGGTCGTACACCGAAGAATCACTCGAAGATGAAACCAGACACGACTCTGACGAGGAGGAACTACCCCCTTACGTTCTGCTGGACAACGGCATCAACAAACCCGCCTACTCTAGACGAGTAAGGGAGGCAACTTCGTCGTCGTCCACGACGTCGGTGGTGGAACAACCACAACAGTCGTCCAAGCTCGATGGCATCTTGTGTCCCCGATGTAATTTGAGGAGGGCAAAAGCTTGGTATCGTCAAAGGATTCTCAATGATAATGACTCAGGGTCAGTGCTTTCTTCCTCTGTTTCCATCTCCCCAAGTAGGTATCAAACCGATGACCGTGACTGACTTGATTTGTTTGATCAGATCGAAAGCAAAGTCCAAGTCGAAGCCGAAACCAAAACCCAAACCAAAACGTCAAATGCCGACATACTATACTCAGGCCGACCTAGACAACAATCTCAGTTTTGCATATTATCTCTTCTAGATGGCCTTTATCAACAACGATGTTGGTGACGAGACACAACCAAGTCGATCCCTGGAGGATACATATCACTTTTTGTTCTGCCTTGTGCAAAATTCCTCTACGACTTCTTTCCTTTTTTGTTGTTTAATTTTTATTCTCGTGTTTGAAACAGGGGAAACTTGGAATAAGAATCAGAAGAGACCTCGATAGTACTCGAACAACGTTTCGATGACGAGTTTTGTTGGAGTATGGACGGTGGCACACTGGCACATATGATATGATTGATCGATCGATTGATACAGAGACAGCCAGAGAAAGAAAGATACCCAGATTATATGAATGATAAATATGAATATGGAACCTGATTGCTGTGAAAATGTTACAGAGTGGTTGTGTGTTTCGTCAACGACTGTTTGCTTCCACAGAAACTACACCACCGATTTTCCTTTCTTCGATCGGAATCTCTTTTTGGCATTGATTGTGTGGTGTGTCTTATCGTTGTGTCTTGCTATTTTTTTGGTCTCCTACAAGGGACTGGGGGTCGAGAGAAGATCTACCATCGTCATGCAGAGGGGCCAGACATATTGGAAAAAAACCACCCCAGCCAACTAGAATAATCTTACATGTAATCAATATTTTGGCAATTGACAGTGACAACGCACACCTTTCTGCGAGCCTCTCTTTTCTTACTTGATCCGCCTTTACCTGTGGTAAATGGTGACAACATTCATCAGCATGAAGAAAGATGAGCATTGTCATCCGTGAGACAATTCTACCCCTAGCGCACAGAGGCAACATTAGCAGAAAGAGTCGACAATACGACGATGACCTTTTCAATATTATTCCCACCTGAACAAGATCTCTGATGGACGTATCCCCTAAGTCTCTCGCCACACTATATCACTGTACACGTGTTGTGGTGCCAACACTCCCCATGGAAGTATTGGTAGAGAGATACGTTTCATCACTCAAGGTACTTCCGACGGCCCGGCCACTCTGGTTGTATTATAGGCTCCTACTCCTAGGCACCCTCTGGGTCCGGACCTCTCTGGTTTGTCATAATGTGCAACAAGTCCAGTTCCTCCCAATGCAGGCTTCTCTTTGGCATTGGCGTGTTATTTCCCCAAATCACCCCCCAGGTCAAGCATCTTCCAAGACGGCATCGGCGGCCTTTTCACTGACCATGTACGTGGGCAGGACGATGTAGTAACCCGGGATCTTGGGATAGACACTGGCGTCCACCACCCTGAGCCCGTCGGCGCCCCTGACCCGAAACTTGGAATCCAAGACGGCGTTCGGGTCGTCGTCTGCCCCGATCGGGCAGGTACAACTGGCGTGGTGACCCCACGCCTCCTTCTTGATCCAATCCTTCATCTGTTGTTTGGTGTCGACTCGATCCTCACCGGGCCACACTTCCTTGAACGTCCCCTGGAGGGGGATGTAATCCCGGAACATTTCCCTCGAGAGTTGCATGCCTTCGTAGACGGCCTCGAGGTCCTTTTCGTCGGCCCCATCGGCCGTGTTTCCCGTGTCAAAGTAGTTGAAGTTGATCAGGGGGGTGTCTCTGGGGTCGGTGGACCTCAGGGTCACGGTCCCTTTGTCGTTGCGAGAGTGAGCCTTGAGCACGATCCAGGCCCAGTGGTGGGCGTCCTTCAGGGACTCGTTGGCGTAGCCCGGGTGGTAACCGGTAAAGTAGGCGGGGGCCCCCGAGATGAGCAGGTCGGGGTCGTCGCCGGGTCCGGCCGCGGAGGACCTTTTCACGACGGCGACGGCGATACCGTTGGTGGCGTACGTCCCTTTGAGTGAAGGTCCCGGCAGGTTCTTCCATTGTTCCAGGCAAGGGTCGGGCTCCGTGCGGAGGAAGGTACACGAGTGAGTGATGGCGAAGTCGGTGTTGCTGTCGCCGACGATGGTGGCCTCGTACCGATCCTGCAAGTTCGTCCCCACCCCCGGTAGGTCCACGACGACGGGAATGTCAAACTTTTCAAGTTCAGCCTTGGGCCCGACCCCGGACAGCTTGAGGAGTTGGGGAGAGTTGAATGCACCGGCAGAGACGATGACTTCTTTCCCGGCGTCCACGCTGCCTTCGGTTCCCGTGGACGATGACTTGGACAGGGGATCGGCGCGGTACAGTCGAGGACCTTGGATGTAGTCAACCCCCACCGCTTTGGGTTTGGTTCCGGTGGTGTCGAATCGAACCTTGGTGACGAGGGTGTTTAGTTTGATGTCGAGGTGGTATTTGCGCGAGCCGTCAGGGTTCACGGCGTTTGCGGTGGCGAGGATAAAGTCTCGTGGACCATTGCGTTTCTTTTCAACCTCGGTGACGGCGATCGGAACCTGGTACAGACCTTCTTGGGAATCTCGGGAGGGGACGTAAGCGTTGATGTCACGCAGGAGAACCTCACCGAGACCGGCAACCGTGTTGATGACTTTGCCAAGGAGGCCTTTGCCCATGGCCGTCCCGGCCGAGATGATCAGAGACAAGAGTTTTGTATCTTCGACGGCGAGAGACAGCTCCGTGAGACTGGTCTCGAACCATCCGTCGAACCCGTGACCGACGACGCTGTTGGGGAGGTACCTGCACCGTTCGAGACGTTGGAAATACTTTCTCATGTTGTCGGCGCGCCAGGTGTCGTCACCCGTGACGCTCGCGATGTTGTTCCAGTCGCTCTCGTGCGGGTAGATTGTGATCATGGCGTTGTGCGCCGCGCAGCCCCCCAAAGTTCCTGTGCGCGGGTACCAGATCCCCAGGGGGTTCGAACCGGCAGGGGGGCTGTTGCCGACGTAGTGGTCGCCCGAAGGCGTGTCCCAGACCATCTTGGAGTCTTGTTCCTGCCGGGACTCGTCCGGGTAGTGGTTGACGAAGTAGTCCCATCGCATCGGCGCGTATTCCGTCGCCTGTAGTTGAAGGGCGGGCACCTGTTGGAACACGGCGTCTCCATGGTCGTCCCCGGCGTCGATCAAGAGGACCTTGTAACCTGCTATGGCCAGCCTCGAAGCCAACGGGCCACCCCCGGGGCCACTACCGACGACGATGTAGTCATATTCGGTCGAGTTTGCCGCCGGTCCCTGAGTGGTACTATTCTGGGACTGGGCGGTGACGTTAATGCTTTGTCGTTTTGAGGCATGATTGGAGTGTAGATGTCTATGTCCGGCCGTGCTTGATTGTGATGTTAGCTTATATGTGTTTAAACGGAACAAAGCTCTTCAGTATCACTCACAAAGCTGTCACGACCGGACTCAAGAGTGCAAGAAAAGCAAAAGCCTTCATGGTTTTTGGATGGTTCCAGAGGGAGTGAAGAAAGCCACAACCACAACCACAAACCAAAATCTCTCTCCCCTCTCTGCTCGAAGAACATACAACTCGAAAAACAAAAAGGAATGACTTGAGGGTCAGGCAAAAGAAAGAGCGACGTCTGAGTGAGTGTCACCAACGCATCAGCCTCGTGTGTGAGAGGGAAGTTATATTCTACCACAAGTATACCGTACGATCGCTGTTCCAGTACTACACCGAGAGAACCGCCAGGGAATCTGGAATTAAGGCATCCACCCGGATGTACACCGAGAGAGAAGTGATGTGCATTGGAGGGACATTGTCGTGGTGTCGATGATGATGATGTGACGGTCGAGTCAGTCTTGCAGATACTCCGTCCGGTCGACCCTCCCCGGTCGACCTTGAACTAGTAATATGGGCACCTTGGGACCTCTAGTAGAAGTTCACAAACAATGGAGACACGCTGGGACAGAAAACCCAAGGAAGCGCCGGCAAAAGTATGAGGAATATGAAGGTGGAGTCAAGCCATTCCAGTCCAAGAACCCAACAACCTCTCAGCACACAAGTATACTACTGTACTGTACATCAGTAGCAGGGCTTAGCATTGTGTAGTGGAGACATTAAATACTCCGTAGGACTTTGGGCATGAATAAGGAACAAGGCTGCAGAGCAAGTTTCATCACTCAAAGGACCCATGAACCATGTCCTCTACTTTTTATTACAGTAGTCCTTGTAATTTCTGGCTCGGGCAACCAGGAAGAACCCATCACCTAGACAGCGGCCTGCTCTGCCTTTGGCGGTTGCCTCAGGGGCATTTTTGTTGACCTGCTCATAAGCACCTATGATGGCTATGCACTGCAGGGTTTTTTCCCATGACAAACGGACAACCTAGACTGATGAAAGGTTTGAAGCCTTGTCGTGTCAAGTACCAGGTTCTTTTTTCCTTCGAGTGGTCCGAATGGGGTCACTCATTGATCAGTGAATCAGACCCGGCAAAAGGCGCCCCGACATTCAAAAGGTTATGATCGACAACAACGGCTTTCGAACCGTTGATCTGGGACCAGGGCATTGACCCCCCTGCGTTAGTGGCCCCGGGAGAGCCTTGCACGAGGCTAACTACCTTAACGCTACCCCAAGTCGGAAACTAAGAAAACTGCCCCGGATGCGGACACCTCATTAATCAGAAGGGCCACTTGATCATACTCCGTACAATCACGCACATACAGTGGCTCACGGCGTAATTTTAAGCGGTGGTGCTCGGTATGACTTAACAAGGACCTTGTGTGACAGACCACAACAGGTGGGTCTTTCTCTCCTCAAGCACAAGACCACACTGGCTAGCTTCTTTTCGAGATATCTGTTGCGTAAAGAGAATGAGAAGGTGTCTGCTGCAGTAGTCACGAGCGAGGCATTGAGGTACAGTAGAGTATCCTCTGCATCCTGATTTTTTGGGAGATGGACGTTGTTTACTGTAGTTGGAATTTATGTGTGGATTAACCGTGCTTGATTATACCTGTAAACCTGTGAAACTCTTTAGGAGGAAATTAGACTGATTCTTCCTTGGAATACGTTATTGTACCAGAACAGGTGTGCCAGAGGTTCCAGAGGGAGTAGTTGTCTTTTTCACGCTTCCAGACGCCGAAATCTTCTGAGTAGACTGCAGTGAAGCACTTCAGATTGCGACACCTGGTCTGCTGTCACCACGAATGCTTTCGACATCCACCAAAGGGTGAAAGTTGTCCTTGTTGTCATCTTTTTGAAAGTCCAAATGAATCGCTGGTGACGCCCCTCGGCTTGAACGTCCGGTATTGCTTCCTTTGGTACTTCCCTTTGTACTTTTGCCTCGAACCGTTCCGCCTCCAAAGACCTGGGGGAAATAGTGTTTGAACAAGGAGTACAGTGCTGGCATACAGGCGCAGATGATTCCGACGTGTAATTCGATCGAAGACCAGTATCCAAAGGGGACGCCGTCGTATGAGACATTGCTGGATTTGGCAAATGAAAACAATGTGTCAAGTCGAAGGATGCTCACAATGGTAACACTGGGGTG